GACGAGCTTTTTTATTATTAGTAGGATCTTAGGCTTACGAAGGATATTATTATTAAGGATATAATATTTCTTCGCGGTCTTAGAGATATAGGAAGCTTATAAGAGCTATATCTTCTTAAGATCCTTATCCCTAATAATCTCGATACTAAGGAACTAGCGTAGCTCTCTTATATACGTAACGGTGTATTTCTTCGTAATAGCCTTATATAGCTCTTCCTAATCTTATTTTTGCCTTTTCGGATATATTATAACGATATTATCTACGAAGATAAAGATAATAACGCCCTTATAGACTAGTACGTAGGCGTCTTTTACTAGCTACTAGGCTCTTAGTTTAGTAAAGAAACTAAATATCTCTTTAAACTATAGCTTTAGAGAGATACGGAGCCTATATAGTGCTTTTAATAGCTTTAGGCATAGCCTAGGCATTAAGAATCCTAGTAGAGGCTAGCAATAGACTTCTTAGCGTAGGATTGCGTATAGAAATACTATTTTTACGTTGTATTATTCTATCTTAAAGTCCTTAAGGTAGTAGAAGGCTATTAGTAGTCGAAATATTCGTGCTCGTAGGGTATCTATATATATATCCTCGTTACCTTTAGGTTATAGGTCTCTATAAACTATAATACGTGCTTTAAAGCGTATAATATACCCCTATTTATCGGTCTTATATATAAAGACCTAACGTAAGGGGATTAGGAAGTAACCTTTCTATTTAATAATAGCTTTTAGGATAGTCTTCTATATACCCCTTACTAGGTTTTCTTCTATTTCGCGGTCTATAGCTTCCTTCTACTCGTATACGAATTCTAAAGCTATTGCCGCGTTAAAGGAGGTAGGGGGAGGCGGTATATCTTTAACGTAAAGCTTATACTTACTTACCTTTACGATAATATTATTAATAAGGGATTTCTTAGGCCTATAAGCCCGTTTTCCTTTAATAACGTTACTTAGGTTAATCCCTTATAACGTATCCTTTCGTCTACGTTATTCTTATATTTATAATATCCTTAAGCCGGCCCTACTAACCGCTAGGTTAAGGGTATAGGGTTCGGACTAAGGGTTATCTTCTTAAACCTATACTATAATCGTTCCTTTACCCTAGGTTAAGAGGTATATTATTGCGTTCGTCTTGGGAGACGAGTCGATTAATATAGGTATCGTATCTTTAAGCTATCTCCCTAACGAGATATAGGAGGGGTTGCTAGCTATAGTATCTATTACGGGCGTAGGAGGCATAGAGCTTAGTAACTCTATATTAGATATAGTATTAAGTAGAAGGGGTAACGTTAAAATCTCTATCCCTAAGCCTACTATTTCCGGAGGGGAAAGATATATATATCTATATAATCCCTATAAGGGCGTCTTTAATCCCTAATCTTCCGGAGTATATAGGGGTAATAGGTCCCGTAGGAGGGTAATTACTTCTTCTAGCGTCTAACCGTTATCCGTATTATCGTCGGATAAACTTAGTACCCTAAAGGTTTCGGGTTCCCCGCTATCTATAACGTTAGTTACGGCTATATCTCTAAGGATATCGTAGCTATATATTTAGACTAGCTAGGCTTGCTCTTTTCTTTTTATATCGTAGCTTATAGACTCGTTAAACTATATATTAGCTAATATTATTAGTTTATTCTATCTAATTAACGGTATCTATACGACGTATTATTAAGTAGACCTATAGCCTACTAGGTAGCCGATATAAGCTCTCTACTTAAGGGGTAATTACGTCTTATATAACTTAATATGTTTTAATACCGTAATTATTATTAGGAACGCTATATAGCTAAAGACCCTTAAATATATAATGTCTAGTTTAATATCTTTAATATAGTAATATAGTAGATTATTTTCTTTTATCTAGGTCTACTAACGCTTATATAAGCTCTGCTAGCTATAATTATATAATTCGAAGGGTGTTATATTAAGTAGGTATACTACTATACGGTATATCTCTTGCTATAGCTCTTCTAGAAGCTTTAAGTTAAGCCTTATAACCCTTACTTTTTCCTTTACTATTGCCCTTAATCTCTCTACGTAACCGTTTTATATAGGCGTTAAAGGGGCTAACTATATAACTTATATCCCTCTATTAGTTATATAATCTATTTATTCTATTATTAAAAGAGCCCTTTCCCCGTTAGTAACTAATATAGTTATTTTAACTCCGTACTAGGTCTTAAATAACGCTATAAAGTTATTAAAGATATCCCTAATACCCGTTTTTCTTTCTATTAGGTAATAGAACCTTATAGATATATCTATATAGGTAAATAGGGCGAAGTTCTTTTCCCCGTTATATGCTATTATAGGGCTAGGGTAAAGGTCGAAGCTAACTTATACCCCTAGACCTTTAGGCCTTAGGGATAGTATTTTTCTCGAGACTTCCCTCTTAGCTTTCCCTATTACGTATATCTAATAGCTATATATTATAGGGCCTTAAAGCTTAGTGCCTAGGCAGGCTTTTAATAGCTTTTCTAGTGATTTTAGACTAGGATGCCTAAGGCGGCGATACTATAGGTTACCCACCCCCCTAGTTAGCGGCTTAGGCGCTTATATAACTACGAATACCCGCTTATACTACGGGAGTGTTCCTATTACGAATTAACCTTCGAAGTCGGTTAGTTTAATACAAACCTCCTTCGTAGGTTCCGAATAGAGGTATCCTAGGAGCTGGTTCTAGAATATCCCTACCGTTATCCCTAGCCTAGCTAAGAAGACACTTATCGGTATTTCTAGGATAAAGTAGGCATCTAGTAAGGTTATCTTTCTACCGTTAATTATAGGGATAACTACTATTCCTATTCCTTATACCCTAAAGGCTTAGTCTTTAACCTAGACTTCGTTAGTAGAACCCTACTTAAAGGTTCCTTCCTAGAACTAACCTAGGTTATTAAAGAGGTTAATATCGGCCCCTAAGTCGTATATTAATTTATCGGTAAGTAACGGCGTTCCCTTTATAGCCGTATTTACCCTAGATAGAGTGACCGTGTTAATAGTCTTTCCTAGCCCGTTATTACTAATAATAGTATCTGCTAGTTCTCTTCCTTTAGGGTAGGAATTAGGGGTCTAGGCTATGCATTTTACTTTCTCGTCTAGATAGTCCTTTAGCCGTTTTTCGATATTCTATTTAGCTAGATTACTATATTTCTAGCCTATCGGGGGCTTCTTATTATATATCACCTATAGTAAGTAGTAATTTTCCTACTAGCTTATTAAGCTATTAACGTGCTGCTTATAGCTAGCATATTTAGCTTAGGTGTCTAATTTCCTAGAGATTTAATTAGCGCTTCCCCTTTTTATAGGTAGTTATAACTTCTTTCTATAGGTATATTCTTATTTAAAGTTAGCGATTAGGTTCCTTAGGGGAAGTTAATCTTTACTATGTCTTTCGTTATAGAGGTCGAGAGCCCTTATTATTATAGACTAATATAGGTCCTACTCGTCTACCGCTATAAGAAAGTCCTATCTAATTCTTATATCGTTAAGTATATCGACCTTAAGGTCTTATAAATCTATAATAATTTAGTCGAGCTATTCTACCTATGCTTTCTAGTCTTATATACCTCTTTTATTAATAGAGGTCGTATATCTCTTGTAAATTAGCTTTTTCTCCTTTACCCTTAAAGGCAAGGCTTACTTCTTTAATTCCTTAATTTTCTCTCTTAGGCTATTATATATTAGGGTTATCCCTTAAAGCCCTTTACTAATCGTTTTCTTAATTAATTCTTCGAGTGCGATTAGGGCTTTCTACTAGACCTTATAGCGATCGAATTATAGCTAGAACCTTTTCTCGAGGTTATAAAAGGAGTCCTTTATATCCTAATATCGTTCGTTATAGCCTATTCGCCTCGCTAGGAACGCAGCCTCGGTTTTATCTTCTCGTTAGGATAGTCTCCCTCTAAGGTTAATAATAAATTACTCCTAGTCCGGCTATTAGGGCTATTTAAGCTCCTTTATACCGTCTAGGTTAGTATATTCTAAATCTCGTAAGTCTAGGCCTACGATTTAATCCCCAATCTATAAGGTCTAATCGAGGCTTTCCTTTAGTCTTACGATATAATTATCCCCTCTTACTTCCTTTAACGTTATCTTAGGAAAATAAGGGGTTCTAGCTTAATAAGTAATATCCTTTTTTAAGGGATATATAATTCGTATAATTCGTATATTTCTAGTAGTGCCCCTTAGTATAGCTAGGTTCCTTGCCTTAATACTATAATTTAAGCGTTATAACGGCGTTAATAGCTCGTAAATAGCTTTAAAGGTAATATCGGCGGGCAAAAGATAGTCTAGCTATATAGGCCGGGCTTATAACTCTTAAGTAGTGGCTTAAGAGCATAGTAGAAGAAATAGGGGCATAGAAAGGTGAATTTAGTAATATATATCTTAGTCTATCTATTAGGATAAGGGAGGGGCTTATATAGGTATAGTGACCACACATAGCTAGCTAAAAGAGGGCAATAGGATATTCCTATACCTAAGTTAGGCCTATATAGTGTCCTTGGGCTAGGGGAGTCATGTTGTTCAGGCAGGCTTCCTTGTGCATGACTATTGGGTCCACTGAGCATGACTGTGGCCTCTTATGCCCACTCTCTCTCCTCAACACAAACTCTCACGCTAGGTTGCCTCTAGGAGCCGACCGCCTTTCGCCTGACCTCGAACAATTAACCAGGTGTCGAGCTTGGCTTATGTCTACCTTCCAAGAGCCCTTATGTCCCCCAACGCCGGCACCATTGCGTCCGATCGGCATAGATGTCCGCCGCATCAAGTTTCGCCATCCAGCTTACCCCGAATTCGAGCCAGATCTCCTATGCTTGAGTGCCGTGGATGGCGAGCATAGAGACGGCATCGACTACGACACGGCATTCGTCTCTTGCTGTATTGTGACTGGCAATAAATGGAGTGTCGCGTGGCTTGCATGCAGGGATGCTAAAGGCTTGTTTACACGAATCCAACGGCCTGACAATGGCACACTGCGAGAAGAGAAATATTACTTTATGATCGGTGATGATCCGAAATGTAAATAACTGCTTATCTCTATTCTCCGAACCTCTAAAGCTAGACTGACGTCCTATCTAGACCAATATCCGGTGCATCCATCTTTCGACCATTGGCGGTTTCCCCACGACGACCTTCCCGCCCTCTGGGCAGAACTGGCGATTGCCCCGGCTGACGCCACGCGCCCATCTAAGCAGAGAGCTGCCGCAGACAATCGAGACATAACTTGCCGAATATCCGGGCACTATAATGCTACCGAAATCGCCTATCTTATACCCCGGTCGGCCGGCCACTAGTTTAAGTCGAATAATATAAAGAGGTAGGAATCTGATGCTTTAACTCTTACGATAGGAGTAGCTTGAGCGGTAGATCGCTAGGCTAATAATTCTTCCCCTTAAGGTATTATCGCTTTTATAACCCTTAAGATATTAATAACGAGAAGAACCTACTTATTCTCTATAGGGACCTCTATTACCTCTTTAACTAAAGGCGCTTTACGTTTATAGTAAAACGGTCTAGCTATAAGGCACCTCTATAAGTTATAATATATATACTATCGCTATAAGGCTTAACTAAACTTATTAACCTTTACTATAATCGTCTCCCTTAAACGATAATAAGTATTTTAGCTAAGATATTTTTTATATAATTTATATAGGCTATCTTTACTAATAATATATTTCCTTTCTTTTAAGGCTTTTAAAAGTACTCTATACTTTTATTCGATATTAATATAGGCGGCCTCTTTATTTATAAACTATAAGCAGTATAAATTTATTAAAAGTTAGTCCTTTTTAGTCTATATCCGCGAAGTTATAGTATTAGCCCTTAAAAAAGAAAGCTTAATTAAGTTTATTAAGAACTATATAATAAGGCTTATAGTATAAGTAATACTAAGTAAGAAGGTACTACTAAGGATAACTTAGGCTTAGAAGATAAACCTAGGGGGCGACGTGCCCTAGCTAATACTATGCGCCTATTTAAGTAGAGAGCTATTATAGATAATCGAGATATAACTTATTAAATATCTAGGCACTATAATACTACTAAAATCGCCTATCTTATACCTTAGTTAGCCGGCTATTAGTTTAAGTCGAATAATATAAAGAGGTAGGAATCTAATACTTTAACTCTTATAATAGGAGTAGCTTAAGCGGTAGATCGCTAGGCTAATAATTCTTCCCCTTAAGGTATTATCGCTTTTATAACCCTTAAGATATTAACGATAAGAAGAACTTACTTATTCTCTATAAGGACCTCTATTACCTCTTTAACTAAAGGCGCTTTATATTTATAGTAAAACGGTCTAGCTATAAGGCACCTCTATAAGTTATAATATATATACTATCGCTATAGGGCTTAACTAAACTTATTAACCTTTATTATAATTATCTCCCTTAAACGATAATAGGCGTTTTAGCTAAGATACTTTTTACGCGATTTATATAGGCTATCTTTACCGACGATATATTTCCTTTCTTTTAGGGCTTCTAAGAGTACTCTATGCTTTTATTCGATATTAATATAGGCGGCCTCTCTGTCTATAAACTACGAGCGGTATAAATTCGTTAAAAGTTAGTCTTTTTCGGTCTATATCCGCGAAGTCATAGTATTAGCCCTCGAAAAAGAAAGCTTAATTAAGTTTATTAAGAACTATATAATAAGGCTTATAGTATAAGCAATACTAAGTAGGAAAGCACTGCTAGGGATAACTTAGGCTTAGAAGATAAACCTAGGGGGCGACGCCGAAATCGCAGCCTGGATTAGAGTGAATGCGAGTCACCTCCTGGTCTCGCTAATGAGTCTTACTTATTAGGATCCGCCGCTATATCTGAGGACTTGCTGGAGAAGGGACCTTATAAGCTATCGACGACTGACATCCATAGAGACGACATCTCCATAGACGACAAGCCGCCTCAAAAACGTCAATGCCGCCACTCCATAGATCAGTAAGAGATTACTGTCCCCTAGGCCGCTAAGGATGATGGGGTACACGTGGTCATGGCGGAGAGGGGACTTGGTCGGCCTAGCCCTCTGTGTATATACATACTTATCGTAATTAAAGTCTGCGTAGTGTTAAACTATTAATACTAAGAAGTGAGCCGATGTATAACGAAGATTAACCTGCATCTATAACCCTCCAGCTCAGCCAAGTTATATATATATGTGGACTTTATTGGCACACTAGCATATTGCTGTTTGCACACTCGCCCTATTTTTAAGATACTGTCGGCTAGTATATAGGCACCGCTGTTAGTAGGTCACCTGAAGGATCAAGGGAGGGCCACCTGAAGGATCATTATGAGGCCATGTATCGGGGACCCATAAAGACCTCACGTATGGGGCCAGTTTGGTGCCTATGTAAGTCACCTGAGGGTCCCTCTGACTACGGCATAAATAGGGCCCTGTGGCCGCTTCTTTCTAGCTAGATCATGCATCTTTATCCTTTCTTGTGCTGCCCCTACCTCATGAGTACCAGAATAACAGTCCATCGACAGATACGTACCAACGCCAGCCCGCCCCGCCTATTTGTAGCGGGCCGCGCCTGGCAGGTAAATAATAGCGGTACCGCCCAAATGCCCGCACCCGCCCACATACACACATACACACTCATACACACACATAACGCATGCCTCTCAATTCGCTTAATAGACGTGCAGCGGGCACCGCGTACACGTGCCCTCGCAGCGAGGGAGACACGGATGTGCAGCGGGCATCGCGTGCCCTCGCAGCGAGGGAGGTTGAGAGAGCCGGATGATCTCGACGGAAGTGAAAAAGGCGTGGAGTTTGGCTTTTGTTGAGGCCCAAGTTATCTATCCACCCACTTTCATTAACTGTACACCCAAAAAGTGGATTAACTGTGGCTGACGGCCGAAGAGGGCCGATACCGCCAATTTGTATGCACACATTCTCTACGATAAGTAGAGCCAGGTAGTAACAGTTCTCCTTCAACGATAAGGCACCCAAAATTGAAGCTATTCGTACTGCGCTTTCTATGCTGATGAGACTATTCTTTGGTGTTTACAACAGGCCTCCTTCTTCGAGTGCACTACGTGCCTGATCCGCTTCATCTAACTGTGATTCCAATTGATCCCATACATCCTCAAGGGCGGCATCGTCCGTGAGGCCGGCGACGAAGATGCAGTCTTGGGTCTCCCGCCGTACCGGCTGATCGTCATCATCAGAGACTGGCGTTTGACGCCCGGCTTGTTGATACGCCCGTTGCATCCGTGTGCCTGCCTCGTACGTATCGCCGTTTTCCTCGATGTGCCGCAGCCCTCGTTCCGTTGAAGTCATCGCGGCCGTTACCGTACCCGTCATCGCCGCTGGTGCCGTTGAGGAGGAGGCAGTCGTATAGCCTCAGCCCGCTCATGCCGTTCAGCGATCTCGTGATGTGACGGATCCCGCCGCGTTGATCTTGACCGCCGTGACTCTTCGAGGTTGAGTGAGCCCTTGGGGCGGCCCTTAGCCCTGATAACTTGTGGCTCGTATGGTGCCCGAGTAGGGCTTGTGCCCTGAGCGCTTGTATCGATCGGAATATACCAAAATGGGTCGAAGTCGTCGAGTGTAAGGAGGTATTGGTGTTGATAGACTCGAAGATTCGATGGCAGCACGGTAGCCCTCGACTAGTAGCCCAATTACAAGGACATTGACCTGGCGGCGGTTTGGCCCGTTGACTTCGGGGTCTAGAGGATCTTGCGATGCTCATCTATTAGTAGCTTTAACGCATATGACGATACTCGCTCGCGGATCGGCATATACGGCGCCTGTAGGAGAACGTTGATATCTTGTGGAGGTTTCGATTCTCTATCGCTGTGATCTGAGCAGCCTGATGGCCCCAGAAGCGTTCGAATCGTTGGAAAACGGTCGTCAAATCGCCCGTACAGGACCAAAGGAACTTCTTCATATGAGAGTGAAGTCCTCGACGATCGAGGTCGTTGTACGCCCGAAGTGGCGATATTGATTAACGAAACAAGATACAAACTTCTCCTTCCAAGGCGTTAGCCACGTATTGCAACAGTATTGTATAGCTGCAAGCGGGTGGCGGCCTGGTGTCTCAAATTGGCGTAAACGTTCGTTGAAGCTATTCACATCTTGTGACTTGACGATCTCGTTCCACTCTTGTAGAAACGCTTGGAATGCCGGGGCCCGTACGACTCGATTGCCGATTTTGATGCCTTAGGGAAAATTGCTTGCATTTCGCAACGACATTCTGGTTAATATGCCACGTGCAGAGAAGGTTAGTACTGTTTTGAAGCTCGCGAAAGCTATCTAACGCCTTAAGCAACGCAGTATCTCGGTCCGTGACAGTGACCCTTGGAAATGGGATCGACTCCTTCTCGCAAAGGACTAGCAGCAACGAGATAGCCCAATAGTAATGGGACTCGGTCTCGCCGTTCAAGAAGATAGAGGCAATAGAGAACGTTTTGTTATCTCGAGTGGCCGCGCAGATATTCAATAACGGCATATTGAATCGGTTCGTCTTGTAGGTACAGTCGAGGACGAGGACATCGTGATGCTGACGCCATCGATGGAAGGTAGCACGAGGCGCGAGAAATAGCCCAGTTAGCCGGCCCTGGGGATCACGACTATCTCGATGAAAGAAGTCGGACTTATCTAGCCGGTCGTAGAGAAACTGAAGAGGCGTACGGCCAGCTAGTTCTTCCTGACGGTGCCTAGCCAAGGCGTTACTCACGTCTTGAGCCGTGATACCGGCTAAACGAGGATCGTCGTGAACCAGGTCACGAAGCTCGCCAGCAATATCGGTCGGCCGGGTATTGTTATTAAACTTCCGGATAATGTCGTCGCGATACTTCTGGATAACAAGCGCCCGGTACTTCGGAAAGACCATCGGGTCATCAACAAGGCGATGATTGTGAACATCGTGAAGATAAGAGATAGTCCAGTAACCGCGTTTTTCCTTCAACGAGAGGCGAAATTCACAGTCTGTTTTCTGGGTTGCTGTATTGAGGCGACGACGAGAGATATGAGCAGCTTTATCCTTCCGATTTTCGTAGGGCCGGCCTTGATACAACGAACAAGTGCAGACTTGCGTTGGCCAGCGTTATCCCGCTTCGATGTTCGAATGTGTAGGCGTAGCCCTCAGCCTCAACAACGGTATCGGCGGCTTCCATCGCGGCCTGGAAGGTCGGGAATAGTGTCTTCGTAAGCGACTCCATGATTCGGGCTCGTAAGGGCAGAAAACGCGGTGCGAATAGCTTCAGTTTTGATGGTATTGCTGATAGTTACGGTTACAGGATGTTGTTACGCAAGCATCACGAACTGGCCAGCTGGCCGGCCGGGAATGGGCGCACCAAAATTAGCGGCATCGGCACTGCGCCTGACCCAGCCACAGTTGATCCACTTTTTGGTGTACAGTTAATAAAAGGAGGTGTATAGATAATTGGGCCCTTTGTTGAAGCTTCTAAGCCGGCGATAGAGAAACGGCAGAGAAGGCAGCGGTAGAGGCGTGAAATTATAGATTGACGAAGGTATCTTAGCTGAACGAGGGCCACCGTATCGGCGGTTGTTGTTGTGATCTTGTTCCTCCTACGACTACACGGTCTATTAGGGAGAGAGTATATAGAGGAGGGAGAAGAAGGAATTAAAAACGGCTTCTTATCTTTCCTCTAGCCTCTAGCTGGCTCCTTCGTGATTTATAGAGAGTGCCCGTAGGTGAATCAGTTGCTATTTCCCCCTTAGGCTGTGCCCCTTTCGTCGGGTCTGCGCAAACGCTCCTTAGGAAAGCTTCGGTTGGGGTGCCGCGGTTGGTTCTGCTAGGCAGAGAAGAGCGTCTGTTTTGCTGCCTGCCTAGTAAGGCTATTTATAGGTAAAAAAGAGCTCTATTAAGGGGCTTAAGAGATATGTTGATTGAAGGAAAAAAGGTGCGAATGTGAAGCTAGCTGCGTTGCAAGACGAGATATCCTAGGGCTCTATCCTGATTGGCTGACAGCCGCCAGCTGCAGGTCCTGCACGTGACTCCTCTTGTGGCCCAGATACACACACATATACCAAATTTGAAGCTATCACCAGCGCTGCGATGGACCCCTTTCTCTCCCTCCTTGATGCCCCTACGCCTATCCACGATGCCCACGAAGAACGCGAAGACACGATCCCATCCCTGCCGCCTTCCCTAAGTTTCGAAACCTACGACGAGGCAAATAACTTCGTCTAGGGCTTCCTTCGCGAGAACGGCGCCGCTATTATTAAGCGGTCAAGCACATGCAAGCGAGATATTAATGAGGCCTCCCTTGCAACACGAGTCCTCTATATGCGATCGTGGCCAGAATGGGCGAGGCGGGCTGGCGTTGGTACGTATCTTAAAATGGGGCGAGTGTTAATATGCTGGTGTGCTAATAGCAATACTCTATTAATTATAACTTACCTCTACGGAGTATAGAACGAGGGGAAACTTTAGAAGACAGACGTAGATACGACGTGTTTAATATTCAATCTTTAATTTTAACTCGCCGGTCACCTGCGCCGGGGGTTTGTTTGAGAACATGCATTACATACACATATACCTCTGTACACACGCATGCAGTCCCCCTTTCCGCTCGAGGGGTACGTCTAGTAAGCGTGTCTGCGTACAAGCACCGATAAAAGCACCGATGCACCGATATCGGTGATAAGGTGTCCTCAGAAATCGGGGCACTTCAAAACGGTTCCCTAGGCGGTTAGGAGACTAAACGCCGCAGAAGCAATTGCGGGTACGACACCTTAGTCAGGTAGCTACTTCTCCGCTTTATCAGCCTTTACCTACGGAACCTCAGGTGCTATATAATGGAGGAGCAGGCACGGGGACTTCGCCGACTGTCATAACCACGAAGTGGCCCCGGATCGAACGCTCCTGCGGGAGAAGACAATCGCCATCGGGGCGAATCCCCGACTAACATTGCTACACTCTCTGCTTTCTTTTTCCTTTCTTTTTCTTTCTGCCCCGTAGGCCCTCCTCGAGGGGGCTTGCGGCCGGCCCATGACTTCGTGGGCTTTCTCAGTCACCCGGCCTCGGCCAAAGACTGACTACTATTACGGCTTCACTGCCGTGCCTGGAACCCGCTGACGGGGGAAGGGCCCCAATTTCCGACCGGCCTCAGAGCCTCAGAATTGCTAGATGGAGTGGTTAGGTGCTACACACGGTCCTTAGTCCAGGTACTCGGGATATTCTATGTATCTAGTCTTCTCTAGCCTAGCACGTCTTTTGCCCTTATAGGGATGTCCCAGACGGTAATCAATACTACTACTACTACTACTCAGGTGCTATATAAATTACTAGGACTAGAAAGTACCTCATGCCCCGCATTGCCGTACTTAATCTGCGCATAGTATACTATCAAGAGATATTTTGTCTATCTTAATTGTATTTTTGATAGAATTCTTATTAAGCTTATAATATCATTTATCTAGTCTTTCGTACTAGAGAGTAGATTTTTTGACCTTATTTTACTATGCATCGCGATTTGAGATAGCGTATACTAGCTAAGACACAAGGCGGCTGTTAAGCTACGAACGTCAAAGAGAAAGTAGGTCATTAGTACTTAGTGCGCTAGAAATTTAGTATAGCGGACTTTGTATACAGGGAGGGTAACGATTAAAGCGGGTCCCTACTAAGGGCCAGCCTTTGGTTTATCGACCTCCAATTTTAATAGACCCCGACTCAAAGTCTAGAGGTATACGTGGCTAAAAAGAACGGACAGAACAAGCTATGAATGAGCTTGACGGGATCGGAATCTCTCATGCAGGTATGGCCGTATGTAAAACTCAAGCAGCGTGATGTGACCTATCACCTGCACGTTCACGTGCGCACGCGCCGTTGTGGCCACTAGCGAGCCATGATATAATAAGCTTCAAGCCTCGAGCCGCTTGCCCCACCACCACCATCTTTCTTGACCGCCGACGACCCGCGTCTCGCCAACCATCTTCGCCCGCCGCTTCCTGCGTCTCCAGCCTCCCATCTCGCGGCGCCCGTCTCCGCCTCTCGCTCCTCCCTCCCTTCCGCTCATGTTCCGTCTGGACTGTGGCACGTAGGGCAACGCTCCCCCCTTCTCCGAGGCGCCTCAGCATCGCCCACCTGGAGGCTGTTCCAGCATGTCCGACCACGAGTTTGGAGGTGAGTGCAGCAGCGCTGTCGCAGGGCGTCGGTTTCCTCCCACGGTATACGGATAAGCCGTAAATGCGGCCTCTCTGCTCTTGCCTCTGCATCTTGGCTGTCCTCGCCTATTCGCGTTTCGCCTTCTGCAGCGTCCCATTCACCGACACCTCCATGTACGACCGACACTTGCCCACCCATCTGCAGTGCCTTGGCTCGGTTTCTGGCCCTGCCTCGCGTCGCCTTCTCCTTTGCCTCCTCATTTCCCTCACCATGAATCGCCCCCTCCGACGTCAGCCCGCGCAGAGCCGTTGCTGGGCCCGACTCGACTCCGTTCCTGCTGCGTGTTGCGTGCTTCTCTACAGGCTAGGTCTAGGTGCTCTCGCTAACACTGACCCAGGCAACGATGATTTATCCCTCCCTAAAGGTACGACCGCCCCCTCTCAGCCGGGCCTCGCGAAGAGCTCAGCGACATGGTGCAAATCTGGCGCATCGTGAGGCTAATGGCCGCGCAGCAACCGTCCAGAAGATTGTTGGCGAGATTCTGCCGGCACACGGGGGCGTAGCCTTCGCCAAGGAGGCGCGAGACCTCCTCATAGAATGCTGCGTCGAGTTCATCACCCTCATTTCCTCTGAGGCCAATGAAATATCGGAAAAGGAGGCCAAGAAGACGATTGCCTGCGACCACATCACAAAGGCCCTGGAGCAGCTGGGCTTCTCCGACTACGTCCCCGCCGTGCTCGAGGCCGCGGCCGAGCACAAGGAAGTGCAAAAGGTGGCAGCCATGGCCCTGATGCTGCGCGCGCCTCGACTGACTTGCTCTACAGGGACGCGAGAAGAAGTCGGACAAGTTCGCTAATAGCGGCATGTCGATGGAGGAGCTCGCCCGTCTGCAAGAGGAACAATTTGCACAGGCACGGCAACGGCACACGTAGCGCGGAAACACTCATCTCTTGGATTTGGCGTCGCGGTCGGCGTTGCTTGGCGTTGCAATACACACGGGTACACGGAGGGCCTGGGATTGTCGGGACTGCGTTGGGGCTTCTCGTGAGGGAGGGCTGGAAGCGTGGCTGGGTCGAGATTGTGGGCGTCTATGGATGCTGCGTGCATCCGCTCGGCCTAGGGCATCCTGCTCTAAATTCAATCTCGTATCTGCTTGCTCGCCGGCCGGTCTTTTGGAGGTTTCCAAACGGATACGAGCAGGCCTCAAGACTGAATGCATATGCCGTGCCGAAACTCTTGCATGGCCCACACTGAAGAGCCCGCCAATGATGATGCAACGGCCTCGGTGCAGCGCCGCCTTATCGATAAGGCTGCCGGCGGTGATGTAACCACGAGCTCCTCCCCCACATGCTGTTCCCCAGGGCCAATTTGATTCTTTGGCCAGCCATTGCCTCGACGCGTCCTTTCTTCGATTGTGCACTCACCCCCACGCCCTCTCTTTCGTCGCAACCATAGGGCGAAGAAGACGCCGTCGTCATTCTCAGCTGGCCGGACCCCGCGTCCCCCGCCGCACAATGGGCCAAGAGGAGTCGGCCATTGTCGACGATTCGGTCCCGCCGCACAGCCTGGCGGCCCGGACGCTGTCGGCCGTCGCCGAATACATCAAGAGCGGTCACGGCAAGAGAATTGTCGTCCTCACAGGAGCCGGCATCTCCACGGCCGCCGGCAGTACGTTGGGGTCTCCGAGCTTGGGTGACGTCTTAAACGGCTGACAGCGACGGCACCCCAGTCCCCGACTTCAGATCGCCCAAGACGGGCCTCTACAACAACCTCGCCCGCCTCGACCTGCCCTACGCCGAGGCCGTCTTCGATATTGAGTACTTCCGGCAGCACCCCGAGCCCTTCTACGTCCTCGCGCAAGAGTTGTACCCCGGGAAGTTCCATCCGACCGTCTCGCATGCCTTTATCGCGCTGCTCGCCCGCAAAGGCCTCCTCCAAATGCTCTTCACCCAGAACATCGACTGTCTGGAAAGGGCCGCGGGCGTCCCCGCCGACAAGATAGTCGAGGCGCACGGGAGCTTTGCGACGCAGCGCTGCATCGAGTGCAAAGGGGAGTTTCCAGACGACAAGATGAGGGAGCACGTATTCGACGGCAAGGTCCCCCACTGCGCAGACACGGCCTGCAACGGCATCGTCAAGCCCGACATTGTCTTCTTCGGCGAGTCGCTGCCGCCGGCCTTTGGCCAAAACTCGTACATCACCGCCATGGCCGACCTGGTCCTGATTATCGGCACGAGCCTGACGGTGTATCCCTTCGCGGGCCTGCCAGAGATGGCCAGAGAGGGCAAGCCGCGGGTGCTGTTCAACATGGAGCGGGTCGGACGCGTTGGCGGTAGGACCGACGATGTGGTTGAGCTCGGGCCGTGCGACGACGGCATCCGCACGCTGGCCAACGCCCTGGGCTGGAGAGAGGAGCTGGAGAAGTTGTGGCGGGACGTGGTTGGCGAGGAAGAGGCCAAGAGGCAGCTGCAGAGTCAGGAGAGGCAGGATGCGGCTATCGATGACGAGATGCAGAAGCTGGCTGAGGGCGTAGAGGCAGCGCTCAACTTCGACGAGGTGAAAATGGGACCCGAAGATGACGCCAATAAGCATGGAGACATGGGTACAACTGGCCGAGATGCACCACCACCAGATTACCGCGAGCAGGACAGCGTTCCTTCATCGCCGGAGACACCGGAGAAGACCGCGGTTGCCGGAAAGGCTGGCCCTGGGTCATCGCCCGTCAAGGCATCAGGGGAGCCAAAAAATGCGACTACAACCGAACCAGGCTCTGACGAGCGAAAGGAAGAGCCGCCGTCGACAACCACCGACGCCGTCGAGCATAAGGGCGAAGGCAAGCTAGACAGCAGTGACGGGGACGAGCAAAAGCCACCGCTGTGAAAAACGGCTTTCATACTCCATCAGCTACGACGCGAAGCCGTCGACGTAGCCAAGAGAGCAAGGGCGGAGCTGCGTACAGCTCCCCGCGGTCTTACACGTGCTCACACCACGCTTTGAATCATGTGTCGGACTCGGGCTTGGGAGAGGGAAAAGCGATTATTATTCACGACGGGACGTTGAGCCAACCTGCCAAGAGATGTAGTTCAAAGGAGTTTCAGTCGCCCAATGACGCGAGCGGTGTTATATGTACATTGCCATGCTCTATATACAAGAGATCCGATTCTAATTAACGCCTGATCGTCGAAACATAAAGAGTCCGAGGTAGTCCCTCCCATTCATTCAAGTCCGTCTATGTCCATCCACAAAAAGAAAAAGCCTCCGCGAAGCCGCCCCCTATATACCAAAAGTCTTTGTCCAAAGAAAAGAAGAAAGCAGCATATTCACGTCAACTTGTATGTACAGACCAGCCGGCCCCCCTTTTTGCAATGGGGGGGAGCGATGACGACGACGCCCTTTTACAGGCCGCTGTCAATCTGGTCGGGGATGTTTGTGTTTGTCCACTTGGCCCACTGGCGGCACGTCTCGGCAACGACGTTGGGGGGGCGCATGCGCCGGACGCGGTCCTCGCCCGTGACGAACTGCATCAGGAAGCCGGCGGACGAGTGCCAGGCGATGTGGCAGTGGAAGGGCCAGACGCCTAGAGAGAGTCAGCAGGGCCCCAATGATGTATATATATATGTAGTCCAGCCTTGTATTTGCTGTCGGTCAGGGGGGCTTACCTGGATTCTCTCCCGCGTCAAATTGCATCACCAGGTGTCCGTTCTTGCGCAGCTGCACCACGTCCCGCCGCTGCGGGTTGTCCGGGTTGACAATAGTGCCGTCCCACTCGCCGTCTCCCTCGTGCAAGACGTACATGTTGAAGCCGTGAAGATGCATCGGGTGCCTGCGGGGACCACATGTCAGCACTATATCTCGACGAAGCCTGGGACAGGAGGGGGAGGGTTCGACATACGCCACTGGCGTGTTGTTCTTGACATAGACGCGGACGCTGCGCGCATTCTTGGTGTTCTTGACGTTCCACTCGCGCTCAAAGGAGAAGTTGCCGAGGTTGGACAGCAGCAGCGTCGGGCTGTTATAGTTGCCCCTGAACTCGACGCCGCCAAAGGACCACAGGTTGACGCCGCTCCCGTTCTTGATCAGGTTGACCTCGAACTCGTACGTCTTGTCCGGCTTGGGCAGCCGCAGCTTCATGGCCGGGCGCGTCAGGCGCAGGTCGTCGTTTGCGCAGGTGCCCGGGTCCGGCACGTTCCACGGCTCCGAGCACGGCGCCTGGGTCTCGTCGGCGTCGTCGTAGTAGATGGCGGCCAGGCCGTGCGGCTGCGCCGACAGGCTGCACGGCTCCGAGACGTTTGTGCGCATCCAGTAGGCGTCGAGGGTGCCGTTAGCCTTGACCAGCACGTCGGTGCGCTGGCCAATGCCCAGCGTCACCACCGACGTCTCGTAGGGCTCTACCGTCACAAAGTCGTTTGCAATCACCGTCATGGTGTGCCCGTCGATGGAGAAGCGCTGCAGCGCCTCGGCGCCCGTGTTGACCAGCCGCAGGCGGTGCGTCTTGCCGCGCCGGAAGCGGAACTTGGAGATGCCCGCGTTGCTCACGCACGGCGTCTTGTCGCCGGGCGCCAGCAGCGAGCAGTTGAAGTTGTTCTTGCCGTTAATGAGTGTGTTGTTGGAGGTGAAGGGCTGCCCGTTGGGCTTCATCGTCTCCTTGACCAGGTCGTAGTAGCTGCGGTGGTACCAGTCCGAGAGCATGACGGGCCCGACGTCGATGTCGTAGGGCCGCTCGCGTGGGCCGTAGATGACCATGGGCCCGAGGAGCCCGCCCGAGAACTGCGACGAGTAGTGCGAGTGGTACCACGAGGTGCCGTACAGCTCCGCCTCGAACGAGTAGGTAAACGACTTGCCCGGCGGGATCGGGCACTGCGTCACGGCCGGCACGCCGTCCTCCCACGGCTTCCCGTGCTGGAGGAAGCCGTGCCAGTGGAGCGCCACGCCCTCGCGCATGTCGGTGATGTTGTTATGCACCGTCACCTGGATCGTGTCTCCCCAGTTGGCCTCGATCAGGGGGCCGGGGAAGGCCCCGTTGACCAGGAGGGCGTCGCGCTGGAAGCCGTCCGGGGCGATGACGCCGTGGCTGATGGTGAAGTCGTAGCTGCGGATGACGCCCGTGTGGGGGAAGTCTCTGTAGTAGTTGGTGTCGAGGTTCATGACGCTCCACGGCTTGCCGTTGGGCAACGGGTTGTCCTTGAGGAAGAGGGGCAGCATAGGCGCCAGGAGCGTGCCGAGCAGAGATTTGCTGTACGAGGCCTTGTTAGCATGTCGAGATTTTGCAGAGCAAGACGACGAGAAGGAGACAGCTTACCCATTGGTCCTGTGCTGCGGCAGACGGCTCTCGACGCTCCGCGGCTCAAACGAGCTGACTCCGACCACCATCTTGACACTGGATACGGCGCAACTATCAAGAAAGCTCCACGGCCGGACGATGGCTGCTGGCCTCTTTATAGGAACCGACTGTGTCTAACAATATGAGTTGTGAACGAGCGTGCTGATGTGAAACAGAAGCTTCTCATTTGCATGCGAGGGTCATCTCCCTGTTTTATAGACATGGACTCAAGAGCGTGAGACGTGGTGTAGAGGCCAGGAGCCCGAGCCATTTCCGACCGCCCACCACCCGCACACCCCCTGGACCCCCCTTGTCCAGAGCTGTGCTGGGAGGAATCATATTGGATCAGCAGCACACAAACGAAGACGAACGAGCTGAGCGCCGAACCGTCGACAAGACCGTGTTGGTTGCCCCAACGGTTCAGAGGGAGAGGCTTCGCCGCGAAGCCTGGGCTCATGACTGGACGAGGAGGCTTCGTGATAGGCCAGGCCGGAGAGGCTGACAAGTCCGAAGGACCCTTGGTTGACATCAGCTTCATGGCAGGGCACAGTCCCTCCGTCAGTCCGTCAGCGTCGTGGAGACCAGGAAAAGACCTCGGTCGGTTGCCGTTGTCTCCGAGCCAAGTCTTGCCCCCTAATTATACACACACTTACGGATACACTGTCACACACCCACATGGGAGACGTGGAGTCATCTTTCTAAAGCGAACAGCACCTAGTCATCCGGCCCCAACTAAGACCGCTCACACCCGGCCGCCGGTGCCTGGCAGGACGTGTTTCCTTGGGACGAGTCGGCAACCTTTCCCCCCCCCTTGAGTCGGGGATCTGCGCCGCATGCAGCAAGGCGGCATGCAGGGCTGGGAAAAGAAAAGCTTCCAGAATCTGAATCACAGTAAAATTGTGCAGTACCGCGAGAGAAAGACTCGAACCGCACGCTGGGCCAAGGGAAGGGACGGGGAAAAGGGAAGGGACGGGGAAATGGGAAGGGAGGCCGTCGCGGAGATTGATGATGGCTGAGCAGCGCGCAAAAGCTGAGGGTGGCCTTTCAGAGATTTCACGATTTTTTTCCCTGCCAGCTCGAGCTCGAGCTTCCAAGAATAGGAACCGGTTCGCCCATGCAAGCCGGCCGCATGCGCGCTCGCAGCTGCGGTCGCACCAGCGCCTCTTTTCGTCAGCATGCATACACGGAACGGTGCTCCCGTCACAGCGCGGATCTCCATCGTCTTCACCCAACCCACCGCGTCCTGTCTCGTTGGCCTCTCCGGACGGTCAAGAGCAGGGTGTCATTTCGGCGTACGAACGTTGCATTCTCGATCAAGCACATACATATGCATGCAGCTTTATCCGTCCATGGCTTGCTCATCGTTACCGATCGTGTGGCGCGCAGAGAGGATGCTGTGCGCGAAGACAACGACAGGGGTCGTGTCTGCCCGTCGAGAGGCGCAGAAGCAAGTCATGAACATCGAGTGTCATGTGTCGTGTACTTGCTTGCCCCCTTGGCAGACGGCTCAGCCGGGGGTCGATCAACAAGAGGCCCCCACGCCGGGCGCCTTTTGGTTGCATTCGACCATGTGTTCCATCTGCCCTGAACGAGTGCCGGGGCTGAGCTAGTCCATCAGCCGGGCACGCGAGACAAGCTAAGCCACCAGCCCTGCTAAAATATCACTTGGGCCAGATATCGTCGTGGCTCCGGCGCAAAAAGAATGCGTCCCTGCAGCTCTCCGGGCCCCGTGGTGAGACGCTGTCGCTCCACGCCAAATGAACTTCATATCACGGCCATCAGCCGACATAAGAACACCCACGGGGAAGCCTGTCGGCCGAGCATGGCCGGGTAAGAGCTGCTGCTGGCCACGCGGATGATTGCGAGAATACGACGGATACCGGCCATGTCAACGCCCGAGCAGAGCCAGAGCCAGCCCGCCACAGGCTTCCGCCTCTTGCGTAGCAATAAACATCCTGGACGAATGGCCACATGGGCCGTCACTGGCTGCTGGCTCGCTTCCGGCGTATTCGGACCTTGACGCGGCTGCGTCGCAAATCGATATTCCCCGACCAAGGCCAAGGAAAAGGCGGGGTCCCCGGCCTGAGCCACAGCCGCCGCGTGCGCCGAGCTGTCGGCCGAGCAGAGACCGGGGAGGGTAAGCATGGCAAGGCAACGCCGGAGCATGGCTCAGACTATCAACTCCGACTCACGCCCATTACGCACAATATTGAACTCTGATATCCATTGCCAGATGCAGATGTAGATCAGCACAGGTCTCATGACGAGCGGAATTTCCATGGCAGCGTGCTCAAGACCATGCCAGCTGACGTCTCGTGACCTTTTGACGTTGGCTTCGGGAGAATATCGAGGCCGCGTTGCTGTATATTACACAAAAAGGGGTGTTGTCATGAGCCACCACCGCCCATGGGTTGCCGATCTCGGCGGGTATAACCTCGTCTTGTCCTCGAAATCAGCATCTTCGCCACGCCGGGTTCGCCCTCAGGACAATGGGCCGCCGCTGAGCCCGCATGTACATTTCGTGCATCCTGGGGTCGGCGTCGGACCGGATGACGCTGCCGATGGACATGAAGAAGCTGGACGGGCCCCCGTCAGCGTCACTTAAGACGTCAGAGAGGATAACAGTCGACTGACCCGAACGTGGCGCCCGAAGCACCCATGTATTGGCCCAGCGTGCGCATGATGCCCTGGGAGCCAGCGCCATAGCGGAAGATATTGACGGTCCCTGCGGCGGGTCAGTGTCTCCGTCAACGTCCGGCAGCCGCGAGCCCGGATGGTGCGTACCGAAGATGAAGCCGATGATGACGCCGACAGCTAGCGTGGCGTTAGCGAGTGCCTCGACCGAGTGGACGGTGCCGGCGAAGACATACTTCCGCCCATCATGGCGCCCATTTTGACTGCAGCTCGCCCGTCAGTCTCGCGCTCTCTCGCCGTCAAACGCGTCAGGTCTCGGCGTACACTTGTCGAAGTTGGAGGGGCCATGCTGGCCGCCTGCGTTGACTGCGGCGACGGGAGGCATCGTGGAGGCAGGCGTCGTTCCCTGGAGTGAGGTGTCGTCGGATGAGCGGGCGCCTCGGTGGATTCTTTGTTGGCGACACCCGTCCGCAGCTTGTTGTAACGGTAGAGACGGGCGGTTGGTTGATTTCTCGAAGCTCCCCTCGACGACCCTGATTGGCTGCAAGACCGAGGGATCGGCCAAATGTTGATGCGATGCCGCCGTGCCCCTCACAGTGTCACTCCCGCGGTTATTGTCACTGCAGCGTTGCATCACGTGCAGTGCCATCATGAGTTCGTTACGGGGCCCTGCTTGCGCTCACCCGGCCGAGAAGCAGATGCCGTAGGCGTGTATCACGTACGGCCTCGAGCAACGTCCAGGCCCACGAGCCTCGCGCGAACCGACCCCGTGTCTTTGCGTTGAGAGCTGGGCATCATCCGCACATGCCGTCCGGACGCTAGCGGTTCGCAGCACTGTACGTGGCTCCAGCGCTTCCCCCCAAGGGGAACAGACCTGGAAATCCCCCCGGAACCACCCCTTCGAGCTCGCACTCCGTCCCAGCTGGCCGACAAGGAGACTGCGCCCGAGTCGGTTGAGGATTTCACATTCTGTACGTTGCCTGTGCCGCTGTCCGGCCTCTGCAGCCATCTTTCCGGCACACCCTCCGTCACCCGATTGAATTCCACCTGTCCCGCTGGCCATCTTTTTGCTGACGAATTTTCCCACGTCTCAGCGCGTACCAGAACAGCATCCTGCACATCCCTCGCCATCACCAGCACATCCGCCGCGCTCGAGGCCGCCAGGAGCCTGCATCCCCTCTCGGAGCCGTTTCGCCGACGCTGGGCCGGTCGAAGCAGACGAGGCACGCGCTTGGCCGCTGTTCAGCCGCCGCCGACGATCCAAAGGAGCCGTCTGCCCTCATCCGCATCCAACCCGCCCGCCTCTGCCTTCCTTGCATCGCCAGCACCACGCCCAAACCTTCCTCATGACCGCTGTGGCGAGTCCCCCGACCTTTCCTCAGATTTCCCGAACAGCATGGGGGACAATGAGCAGCAACAGCCTCATGAACCCCGACGAATTTAGACCAATGTTCGCGCCTCGCAAGCAGCTCTCGCGGTCAAACTCGTCGTCTTCCATCTCGTCCACCTCGTCAAGCACAACCATTGCCACAAACGGCTCGCAGTCCAATGGCACGCCGCTCTCTGCCGCCTCGGACCTGAGCCAATGGTCCGGCAACACTGGCCCACGCAAGCGACCGCAACCCAGGGCCCCTTGGCCCATCGCCAAGGCCGACATGCAGCCAGACTTTTCGAGGCTCCCGTCCAACCGCCCAAACAGCATGGTGGCCCATCAGAATCCCTTGCAACAGGGTCCGGGCCAGCCGCAGATGGCACCGCATGCTGGGATGAGGCCCATGCCCCACGAGCAGTTCTCCCCTGGCCAGCCCGTCCTCTATCTCCTCTCGCTCAACGGCACGTTCGAGCGAAAGACAATTGCAGTGCCCTTTGCCCCCGACAGCCTGCGGATCGGTCGACAGACCAACCAGAAGACGGTGCCGACGCCCACTAACGGTTTCTTCGACAGCAAGGTGCTGTCCAGACAGCACGCCGAGATCTACGCCGAACGTAACGGCAAAATCTATATTCGCGACGTCAAGTCGTCCAATGGCACCTTTGTCAACGGCACCCGCCTCTCGCAGGAGAACCGAGAGTCGGAGCCGCACGAGCTGCAGACGGCCGACCACCTCGAGCTCGGCATCGACATTGTCAGCGAAGATCAAAAGACGGTCGTCCACCACAAGGTGGCGGCCAAGGTCGAGCACGCCGGCTTCTTGAGTAACACTAACAACGTCTTGGATATGAACTTTGGCGACCTGGACCCGGCCAACGGCACCATGATGGTTCCCAATGGGCCCGTTCATATGCGCGGCAGGACCGGCAGTAATGCGTCCATGGGCAACAACGGGGGGCGCATGATGCCCAACGGCGGCGCCATGGCGGCCCAGTTCAATAGCATGGCGCAGCAGCGGCCCTTCTTCCTGTCACCCATCGCCACGGATCAGATTCTGAAACGGCTGGCGGTAAGTGCACCGGCTCCTTTCCTGCCTATCTTGCGCGCCGGCTCCTGACACAACCCAGACCGAGATGCGCAACGCTCGACTGCAAGCCCAAGACTTGAACCGAACGAACCAGTTCGTCAATACGCTGCTGTCCAAAGACGATGTGAAGGACCTCGAGAAGCCCGATGTGCCAGAGCCCTCGAAACCTCAGCACGTGGTGAACGGGAGCATCTCGTTCCGATCCGACCACAAAGCTCGTTTCTCCGATCCTCCTGCGCCACCTCCACAACAGCCCCTCCCCGAGAAACCCGACGTACCATCCATGAAGCGCGGCTCCGTCGATCGGTCCAAGTCGGGGCCGCTGCATCCGGGGCCGGCTCGGCAGGATAATGTGAACCAGATCATCCAGCTGACGGAAGCACTTAACAATGCGAGGCGGGACATGGACACGCAGTCTGCGCGCATGCGCGAACTCGAGGCCATGCTTCAAAAGGAGCGGGAGGCGCGAGAGCTGGCCGAGGAACTGGCCAGGCGGCTTGAGGGACCCGCAAACGCCCAGATGAACGGCTCAGCTAAAGCAGCCACCGGGGGGTCCGTCAGTGACGCCCTCGAAGCTTTACACGAGGACGCAAAGGCCCATGGTATTGTGCCGGAAACAGAACTGGTAGAGGGCCCACCCCAGGCAGACGTTGCTCCAGAGTCGACAGCTTCTCTTCAGTCCCGCATCGATACCATGGACGAGCATATGCGAAACCTCCGAGAGCAGCTGGACAAGTGGAAGCAACGGTGCGAATATGCAGAGACGGAACGCGACGAGAGCCGGAGGACGTTGGCAGACATGGTGGTGCAACTGAGAGCCAAGGAGGCGAAGCGAGTCTCGTCCCAGGCTCCGGGGCGCTCACGATCAAGGAGAAGCCGTTCTCGACGGCGAGAAGTGCACGCGGATGAGGGCGCATCTCTCAGGCCAAGTGATCCGGAGCACGCATCTGGGCCAGCGCCGTCGGCTGGAGCGGTTTCCAACGAGGCCGAGGACGATGCGATGCTGTCAAGGGCCAACACCATCACGCCAGCCTCTTCACGCAGAGAGATACTGGGGCAAGGCCAACATCTGCAGGCCGGGCTCCCGTACGCGTCTATGCTCGGGGTGGTGCTGATGGGAATGGGCTTGATGGCTTATATAAACGGCTGGCAGCCCCCTCCGCCGCGACTGGAAAGATGATGAACTCGGCAACCTCGACTAGAAATACAGGCGTCTACTCGACGAAGAGGGATAACTCGGGCCTGCAAGCCGATGTACCTTGCAGGCAGCGCGAGAAGACGCAGTTTTTTTTCTCAGACGAAGGGACGAAACGATGACGACGAACATGCACGAATCGGCCATGCCCCTTTCTTTTGTGTGTCACAAGCTTGATGCTGTCCTTTTTTTCCTTTACTACACTGTATGATAGGGAGGCAGACGAGGGGGGGCGGGCGAGCTTCGAGCAACAGGATGTATGGACAATAGCACGCGCGCAGGAGGGAACAAGGCTGGCGTTTGATGTTGCAGTGTACGTTTGCATTAATGGAGCACAAGCCGCACGCGAGCTCCTTGGGCAGGGCTCGTGGCGGGCGAGCACTCGGCTCCTCGGTTTACAAAGACCAGCTTCCATGGCGGCATTGGATTGAGATGGCGATGTCGGTGGATGCAAGGGAGGCGACGCCAGACAGACGAGGCTCAATTATTATTGATATCCGGCCCGGACGTGGTCTTTTCGTGCCACGACGGTGAATGGCTCGGGTGAGGCGGCTGGGGGGGTTTGGGCCGAGCTGGGCATTGCCAGCATCGTATGCGTATCATGTCTGTCAGCGATGTGCAGGGACATTGGAGGACTCGCATCTGGAGTCGACCGATGGGGACACGGGAAGCCGGTGATGATTGCAACCTGGTGAAACCTTGTTGATGGCCGTAACCTGGACGTGAGGGACAGTGTCCTTTGGGGAGGGCGATTGCTCCCTTGGAAGAAACAGGATTCTTCGGCCGCATGACCAAGCTGGCGTTTGATGGAGGCGTGATGGCGATGGTTTTGGTCTTGGGACAAGTCCGAAAGCTTCTTGCGCTTCTGCTACCCTAGAGCGACGGGAGAAAAGGAACCGGCTCTGCTTGGACGGCGTAGGGCTGTCTTTGGGCCGGTCTCGGTCACTCAACTCGGTGAGCGTGTATCGCGATTGTCGTCGTGACGCGAGAGAGGCTCTGAAAGGCCGGCCACCTGCAAAGTTGTCTGTTTCAGCCCCTGAATGGATGGATGATGCCTTGCCCTTGATCGAGATGGTTGATGAAGTATCCGTAGGTACGGAGTGACCTATGGATAGACCGCCAATGGAAGAGCGTGCTCCTATTGGTTCGTTCCGAAAGGACATGTTCTCGGCGGCAGTTGAAGGTACAAAGGGGTTGTACTCCGTACCTTATTTGATAACGGCCGTCAGTTGAACCGGGGGCACGGACCACGTGATGATGGAATATCTTGATGAGGCACCTTTTTTTGTCTCTTGTCGTCAGGCAGTTTCGCCTGCCACACCCCCCCCTCCCTCCCTTTGCAAAGCCAAAATTACAGAGGCCATTCATTACGTACCGAGGACAACGATCGGCCACGATACCACGCACACTCTCGATCGATAAACGGGAAGAGCGAGCCATCGATCAACCGTCGCAACACAAGCCAGGAGCAGGGCCGCCGCCGCGTCGCGTCGCGTATCGATCAACAATGCCCACGTTTCAGAGCAAAAGGTTTCGGACCGCGAGCGACGCCAGCAAGCTCGGCATGCGGTACCGCGCCCTCATCAGCAAGCGCCCGTTCCTCAGCTTCGGGCTGCCGTTTGTGGCCGTCGTCATCGCCGGGTCCTTTGTCCTGACGCCGGCCACGGCGATCCGGTACGAGCGCCAGGACCGCAAGGTGCGGCAACTGACAAAGGACGAGGAGCTGGGCGTGCGGCGGTCGGCGCGCAAGGTGGACATGAAGGAAGAGTATTACGTGAGTTACTCACCACCGCCGTTTTGTTTTACCGGGCCTCCCGAGATGCAGGGAGAAGCGAAACAACAAAAACTAACCGGGGATCGACGACTGCATAGAGGCTGGCGGGTAGAGACCTGGACAACTGGGAACAGAAACGGGTCGAGAGACTGCCGGGCGAGAGCGATGGCATCCTGAGATGATGGTGGCTTGTGGGCGGCCACATGGAGGGGGGACGATGAGGGTCGCATGCCCTGAGGCTCGACGTCACCCACGAGACAAGCAAGCTCACCGGCTACGGCTCTGCCCGCCCCCGCCCTTGCCTCGAGAATGACGGGCACCGCCTTGGACGCGATCCGAGTCAAGACAGACAGAGCACGCAAAGGTGTGAGAGGGCCGGAGCAAACACGTCGCACCGGCGCGGCGAATCGGCCGATGCGGACACGAGAGGGAGAATAAGGCCGGCGGAGAATGTCAGCCCCGTCCGTGGGGCAGGGCGGGCAGAGCACGACCCGGCGTCTTTGGTGGGCATCGAATTCACCCACCAATTGTGGCATGTCGTTTCCAACCCACGCTGATCTCTCTCTCGGCTCCTTTCTCTCACGGCACTCCCCCTCCTTGACAGTCTTCCCACCGTCATGTTTTAACTCCTTGCTGCGGAAGCTAGTTGGCCAGCCATCGACGATGACTGGTGAGTGGAGCCGAGGATCGCGTTTGCCTTGATGGACGTGCCGATTGTTCGATCTGGGGACCGAGACGGTGTTTCAGCGAGTGGCGGGGAGAGAAGAATGGCCATGTCTTTATTTTGGCCTATTTGCACGAGAAGCCTGACGACACAGGAGGGCCTTTTTTCCCCCAACCCTGCCGGATGAAGCAGCAGCGGCATTGTTCTGCCATGGGTGGGGTCGGTGGCATCGAGGCGATGCGGAGCAAGCAAGCAAGCAAGCGAGCAGGCCAAAAAGCCTAATGCCACTCACTCTGCCTGCTTGTCGTACATGCTGCACTGGTATCCCTTGCACGGACCTGACTACTCTATGTATGTACTACCAACGACATGCACGATAGCCGGGGTGGGGGCTCGATGATGAGGCTGATGGTGAGCTTGTCTGCGAGGCAATGATCGCCGGTCTGGCGGGCACGCATCTGAACGCATGCATCATGTAGGTTGCGCAAAGCAAGCCCGCAGGCGTGTGTGAAAGAGAGCTAAGTACGCGTGCGATGCGATATCGGTGCAAGCGCCTCGTTTTCCATGCCCAGGAGAGCGAGCATGCAGGCAATGGGCGAGTGAATGCCATGACATGTCCCCTTCCCCCCCCTTTCCCCCATCTTCGCTTGTACTGTATGTATGTCTCCGCTTGGCATCGAGGCTAGTAAACCTGCGCAGCAGCAGTAGCGGGAGTCTTGCCAACGGCGGCGGTTTGGACGAGCAGCCACATTCTCGTCCGTTGGCCCTTGTGGGATGGCGTTTGAGTCTGGCAAGCGATGGCCGCCCGCCCTTTATCTCCGCCCGGCAGTCGAGGCAGCGGGCCTTTGAACCTGGGGGGGGGGGGGTGTTTGTCTACCGCTCCTATGCGGAGGAGTGTTGCATGGCCGACGACGACTGCTCTCGCTGTTAGTCTTTCATATGAGTGTCTTGCTTGGGGCGCCTCCCCACCACACCTCTTCGGCCCGGCTGCGACAGCGGCGGCCGACTCACGGACGGTGCGGTGGCGTCACGGACGGCTTGCGCTGGTGTCGATGGGGCCAGCGAGGTCGAATAAGTCGGCGTAAATTACGTGGTGCGTCGCTTGTCGTTGGACGGGGACGGGCACACGCCCCAAGCTGTCTCGCGAGGCCGAGTGTATTTTTGCGTGTAAGCGAGGGAGCGATGGATGGATGGACGGACGGATGGACGGATGCAAGGACGAGAGAGAGTAGAAGCCTTCGCCTTTCCGCCATCTCCGGGGGCACGGCATGTGCATGTACGGAGGATGGGTGTAGGCGGGAGAAGCAGCCAAGGGCGCTCACGTGAACATGGACCTGTTTTTTGGTTCCTACGCCGGCACCCCCTCCTCCTCCTCCTCCTCTGCTCGCACCTGTCCGAGATGGGGGGGGGTGCAGTGGGGGTAGTGGTGGTGGTGGCGGTGGGTGGTGATGGTGATGGCGGCAGGGCAAGGAACCGGGGTCCGGCGCAACGCTCTCACCGCGAGCCGGCGCCGTGAGAGAACTTCATAGCCACGAAAACAAAGTCACTCCTGCTGAAGGGAGCGGGGAGCCGCCCATCCAGGACCCATCCATGGCCTGTGTTTCTGCCCTGGAGAGTCCTTTGCGCCCGCCGGCCGCTACTCGGCGCCGACTGAGCCGGATGGACCCGGAGGCCGACGGCGGCCGTCGGGCGGGGGGGGAGGGAACGAGTCGGTGAGGCGGCACGACCACGACGACGACGCTGATTGCGTGCAGCGCCGCGCAGTGCATTGCATACGTGCGTGCGTGGTGCGTCTGCCTGGCGCATCTGCCTGTTGCATCTGCCTGGTGCGCGGTAGATGCCCTGTCGCTTATCCCAAGCAGACGCGGCATCTGGGGTCGCATCTGGCCCTCCCCTTTGCCTCCCCTTGCCTCACGTCCAACTTGGCTACCCCGTATGCAGTGCAACGTTTTCTCTCTCCTTCTTTCCCGTGGCCCCCCTTTCCCTGATTCATTCGCGATAACCCAATGCAATTGCCGACATTGCTACGTTGGGCAGCACGCAAAATACAGGGGGTTGCGCGGCATGTCGCGATGCTTTTCCTTTTTCCGGGCCTGGCTCTGCCCGCTCGCTACAGGGCCTGTAATTATTCGCTGTATGAAAGGGGCGAGGGGGGAGCATATGCTTTCGAGGCTGTTTTGGCGCTCCTAGCCAAAACTCTGTTTCCTTGGGGACGGACGGCGTTGGGCGCGGGCGTAAAGTATAGGGACCCCCCGTCCGAGGTTGACGGCTCTTGATTGTCTATCGGCCGATGACCCCCCCGAGAGGGACAATGTGCGAAGCGCCGCCCGTCGAACAGGGGAAAAGCGATGCTCGCGACTATGGTGTTTTTTTGGCCTTTTGTCCACCTTTCGCTCGAGGCTTTTGCTCAAGTGCCGGCTGCTCTGTTTCGCATCTCCGTCCTTGTCCCCATCGTGATACACTGATACGATAACTTGCTCGATGCACTATTTCCTTTTTATCGGAGATCGTTTTCTTGCCCACGCACTAGCTAGGCAACTCCTCGGAAACAGCGATAAGTATCGGGCGGCGCTGACGACACAGAGAGGGTGTGTACGTGTACGTGTGTGTGTGAGAGAGAGAGAGAGAGAAAGCAAGGACTTGGGCAAGTAGCCTGGCTTTTGGCTTGTTTGGGAAGCCGGCGCTCCGATGCGCTGCGGAAGCCGAGCCGAAGGACGATGACGATGCAGAAAAGGAAACAGGGCAGAAGCCGATGACGATGACGGTGCCGTGTGTGCCTTGCATGCCCTGCTCTCGCCTTCGGAAACCCACTTGGAACCGTGACTTGCATCTGGCCGTTGTTTCAAGTCTTGCGAGCTGCATATGCGCGTACGAGATGCGGGCACGTGAGAAAGAATAAGCGGCTCGAATATAGCAGCTCCGTGACGCTCGGCGGAATGCGGATACGAGGGAGCAAGCAGTAGAGCGGCTTACACGCACAGGCTCTCATATACACACGCTTGTTGGCTGGACAGCGCCGCCATTGGCCAGTCGCTGGACGGCCAGCTGGCTAGTCCGAGCACAGCTCTACAGCCCTCGTATATCTTCGGCCTTGAGAGAGCAACGATGAGGGTGTTGCGTCGCTTACACGGACCAGACGAGGCAGCCTCGGAGTCGGGCGCGTCAAGCCGGCTGTCGCCCGAGGAAAAGCAAAGGCTACCGTCTGGACGGTGCCGATGGATTTCGCGGGTGCCGGTGGGTCGCCGACATCGTACGTGAACGACGCAGGCGTTGCTTTGGCCAACGTGGTCCAACGATGCCGTCATGGCCTCAGCATCGTGGGCTTCACTTTGAGTCGGCCCGGCTCGCCCAACTCCTCCACCGCGCCCCCGCCATCGTGAGACGCGAAGGCAAAAAAAGAAGAAGGCCAAGACGCCTGGTCCCGTGCGGCTTCTCTACACGCCGCGCCGCGGAGACGGGAGATGGTGAGAGAGCGGGCGGAAAAGGTGGGGGAGAGACAAAGTCCGGCCGGATAGCTGGTCCGCGCCCGTCTTTTCTTGGCTTTTCCCCTTCTCCTTCCACCGCCGCCCGCGAGCGAATATGGATGCCAAGCTGTATGTGGGAGAGCGAGGCGGAGCGAGGCGGAGCGCGCAACAAAGGGCACGGCAAGTCGGTGACGAGACGGTCAAGCTTGGGTCGAGCCCGTACGCGGCAGCCGGCACGCTGCATCCGCACAGCGACGTGTTGGTTCCGGCCGTGACGATGCCGAGGTGTCCAATGCCGCTTCCATTTCCTCGGCCATGCTGGCCTTTTTCTTGGTTGCCTGTCCTGTGTGCCCGCTCTGGCCTAAGCTTGCAGCTCGGGCCAGCGTCGCCACGGGCAGCGGGAGCGGTGAATCAAACAGCTCCGACACTGACAAATCGGCTGCAGAGTCTACGCCCAACTAGGCCCACCCGGGTCTACTGCCAGCGGGCGGTGGATGGATGACTGTGCAATTCGTGGAAGCGGTGTAAGTGATGCTTTGAAATGCCGCCATGAGCTTTGGGTGCATCGATCCGTTCCGCCGTGGTGAGCACAGACGGTGCAGCAGAAGCCGACGCAGAAGGCAACCAGGCTAAAAATAAGAAATTCCAACCAAGAAAAAATGGAAGAGGAAAAGGGGGAGAGGAAACGAAAAGGGCCGTTTTCATGAGGCCGAGAGAGGGGGAGGGGGACGATGCATTAGAGGGAGGACATGACCGCTGTAAGCACGCTGGACAGTATTTTGAGCCCACTGTTGCTGCTGACCCTTTGGGCGACCGCTGCTGCTGAACGGCACGCCTACACCACCTGAGAGGTACGGGTACTGTACTGTACGTACAGTCCCCACTAGTGGTAGGTGTGGTAGGTACTTACTGTACACGCCCCTGCTCGCACAGACGCTTGCGCAGGTGCGTTGATGCGATGCAGCAGCCGTTGGTTGACCTTGGGTCGGGTCCATCAATCAATCTCACAGGATTTCAATTGATTCCAGCCTTTATTGCCCAGCTCGCCGGAGCGCTGCAGCCACCACCACCACCACCGCCGACTGCCGGCCATGGGACACCTGCGGCGCATCTGCATCCCGACGGACGAGGGTGTCTCGGCGCCGCCGTCTGCCCGGGGCTGTCGTTGCCTTCGACATCTCCAGCTTCACCAGCTGAAGAGTGCATCGTCAAAAGGCTAACAAGCCCAAGTAGCTTTTGCCAAGGGCTGCCAGCGCTCCGCCACGCCCCATGACATGGCACCATCCGAAAAAAATAAGGCTCGGGAAGCTCGGCAACGACTTGGGGAGGGCGGCGGCGGCGGCGGCGGCGGCTGCCGAGGCATTGACAGTACTGCTGTACAGTACAGTCAGTACAGTCAGTATCCGCACAGCCCAGGCAGTGACTCCCCGTCGTCGACAGAGGTCTGGGCTCGGGGTGGGGGCCTCTGAGCTGATGCCGAGAGGCGCCGATATAACCAAAGGCGAGCCAAGCCCGGGCGAGCAGACGGGGGGAAAAGCAAGCAAACGTCAAGAAGCGAGAGCGCGCTGCTTGGCGCGCTTCATCCTGGCCCCCCCCGTCGCTCCACCACTTCTACCAGCGCGCCGGAGAGGGCTGTATGTAAGTCAGACGATGCAGGTACAGACCGTACCGCAATCAGTCCAGCCATGTATGTACATCTCGCATGTGCACCATGGCTGCGCGCAGGGGCGCCGAGGTTGGGTTGGCCAACGGCGAGACAGGAATGTGCCCGGGGAGAAAAGCAACAAAAAAAAGACAAGAGACGGTCAAGGATGGAGAGAATGAGGGGAAATGTAATTAAAAATGCGCGTCGCGAGAGACAGGACACGCCAACGCCGTCCGCATGCGTGCGTGACTGCCCGCCGCAGTAGCCCATCAGATAACAGCGGCGCTAGGGCGCCTGGCCTTGCACCGAATAGGCAATGCGCGTGGTGCCTGTCGTGCGTGGTTTGCTGAGGCAAGAGATAATACCGACCTAAAACCCAGGGCACCTGATGCCTGGGTAGGCCCTGATAGGAGGAACAACTGCGGGTAGGAGGAACTGTAAGTTAGGTACTTACGCAGCGGGACTGTACAGCAGGTACGCGGCGGCGATGGCTGCTACCTTGGCTCCCCGCCAAATGCGGCAGCCGCATGCCTCTCTGGCTAGCTCCCTGCTTGTACCTGGACCAGTTCCCGTCCCGGTGGCATGGGGCGGGATCGATCCAGGCACAGGAACAGGAACAAGGCAGGCCACAGGGACAAGTCACCGTGTCACTCGCGCACCCAAGACAGACAGACACACACACACACACACAACAGGTCAGCAGCAATCCTCCGTCGCTCCCTTGCTTTCCCCTTTGAGAGGCCCTTTCCTTTTTCTCCGCTGCCTTGTTCGTGTTCACTATTGCCCCTTCCCTCGTTGACGCCACTGCCGCCGCCGCCGCCGTCTCCTCGTCCTGACGGGCTTACCAGCATGTGCGGTTCCTGGCATGACCTTTGATGACCTTGTAGGTGAGATGACGGGGTGCTGCGACAGAAGAAATAAGAGACGCCTGACAAATACAGGCCACGCACCCAACGCCGCGGCGGCTTGCCAAGGGAGGGTGTATTCGTACTGTTGGGAATTCTGCATGGGTCACGATGCTGTAATTAGCGTTCAGTCATCCGAGGCCACCTCTCATCAGCCTCTGACCACATGGCCTCTTTGGGCATCTCGCACCCGCCAGGATTTGCCTGTCTGTCGTGTGCGACGCCCGCCTCGTCCGCCAGGCCAGCCTGTCGATTCACACCCCCTGGCAACCCGACGTGCCCGGGTGTCGTGTTGTGCAACATGAAGCCGCCCCGAATACCCGGCTGCCTTTTTTCCCCCGTCTGACAGGACGCCTTGTGCCTTTGCAGCATGACATAGGGCACACACGGCACATCTATTTCTATGCATTCAGTACACCAGAGCGTGACAAGTGACAGGCGGCATGGACTGTGCAAGGCGCCCAGGGGTCCTCTCCTCTGCTCGCGTCCAACGTGGTTTGCAGCGACAAGACACGGCGACATATTTTCGAGAGCATAATAGAAGTGGCTTGTCAGCGGCCACGATGTTTCTGACCTCTATGCCGCATGCGGCCAATCCTCCACACCGGCAAGCCCCCAAGCGAGGGGAGTGTGGGGGCGTGGGCGCGGGCGTGTGCCATTCATTACTCACGAGCTGCGGAGAGAGCTTCACTTCTGGCCATTTTCTTGGCAGGAGGGAAAGAAGTCAAGGATGAAAGCAAAAGGAATTTAAATCTACGGCCCTCATCCTTCTTTCCGTCGCCTGTCGGCCGTGAGCCTTGTCCGTGAGCCTTGTCCGCAACCAGAGCCTTGTTTCGCAACATGGACTGGACACAGAGAGGCTGTGTGTTTCGTCAACGAGTCGTCGGTTGGTTGGCTCTGGGCCAGTTTACGTGCATGGCATGACGGCGAGTGTGTGCCTGCAGAGTGCGTCTCTTCCCCCTTTGCTCTCTGTCAATGTCGTCTCTCCCTCCATTCATGTGGCTCGGATCATCGTCACTGTCGTCATTCGGGCTCGCACAGGCAAGGGGGTGCTGAGGTGGCATCGCGACACAATGCATGTGTGTATGTTTATGTTGACCATGAGAGGGATAACAGGAGGATTGGTTACACCAGCAGGGACGAGGTCGCATGGAGGACAACCCATCACATCATACTGCTACGCATACAGCGAGGGCACTGGACGAGCGAGTGTGTGAGTGTGAGTGTGAGTGTGAGTGTGTGAGTGTGTGTGACGGCGTGCACGTAAGAAGATGCGAGTTGCGAGTGATCGGCGAGCTTGTTTCGTGTGCACGGATCAAAGAAAAGACTGGAGGAGGACGGGCGGACGGAAGAACAGAGGATAGGGTGGGGGGTGGATGGGCGGGAGCCGGACATGGATGGGCAGGCACAGAGAGATGGAGATTGGAGTGCGTACAGTACAGATGAGCGAGAGAGAAAGAGAGAGAGAGGGAGAGAGAGTGAGAGAGAGGGGAGACGGGATCGCGATGGATCATGGATCTGCCCGCCCCAGATACTTGGTCGTGTTTCAGCCGGGCCCCCCCCCAATCGTCACCTTGCGCGGCCGCATGTACCTTGACCCATGCGTTCACACTCACATTCACGAGTGTTGACACTCGAGTTTGAATCTAGATAGCAAGACCGAATTCACATGCACTCACTCACACACGAGTGTCGACGCTCGAGTTTGAATCTAGGTAGATGGCAAGACCGCATTCACGCACGTCTCGATGCGGGCGATGCGAGCCTCTGCATTCCAGCAGGCGTCGCGGGGCATGCATGGTGCCTGGCCTAGCACGCCGCTGCAGCACCTCTTCTTCCGGGCGCCGTCGCATGCGTCCCGTCCGCTAACACTCGCTGTGCCTGCGGGGGGAGAGAGAGCGGCAGCCTCAGGGCAAAGACGCAGCAGAAGCGACGACGCCTGGGGGCCGGCGCACCTGATTTGCCTCGGGCTAGACACCCAGGCCCGCTGACCAACCGCAGCCGAGCAGCGACGCTTGCCTCACCGCATCGGTTGCTACAACTCAGGCCAGCATGCATATCAGAGGTAAAACCGGGCACAGATTAGACTTCTGCATCCCATTTCAGCGGTCCATGGGCGCTGGTGCCCGCATGCACCCGTCTATCGCGCACCCTCTCTCCTCTCTCGGCCTCTTTTTTTTCGACGGCAACGGGGGAATCGACGGGATACGGATGTTAGTGCACGCAGATACGCTCTTTACGTAGCTATGATGTTATGTGCTGGGGGATCTGCTCCCCTTTTGGGACGGCCGTCTGGTCAAGTGACGACGACCAGGAGCCGGGGGGGGGAGTGAGAGCGAGAGGGGTGAGGGAGGGGGTGAAGTGAGAGTGCGAGAGCGAAGAGAGAGAGAGAGAGAGTGGGTGGTGTGGACAGCAGCAGCCTCGTCGTCCCCATCCGTCGGCTTTCTTAATAATAACCGTAACCTGCCATTGACCGTTTCCACACACACACGCCTCTCTCTTGCCCTCCGGCCGGCTATTGCAAGCCTCGTAGGAGCGAAAAAAAAAAGCAAGAGAAAAGGACTTGTAACAGGCTGTCAACCTTGTTTCTGGCCTTACTTTCGCACCCCGGTACGTACCGCTCTATGTATATCGCCCACCCCACCACCACAACCCCGAGTCCCCCTCCCCGTGCGGCTGCCACCTAGCAGTACGTACTCGGATACCTTGCCAGGGTACAGTATCCCCAACTTACACACCTCCTCCTCCATACATACATATAGACAACGCCCGCTCCGCCCACTTGCGGCTGCTTCTTCTTCACCGCCAGCTCATCCGCCCCCGGCAACCTCTGTCTTTTTATATTATACATCTCCTACCCCCGTGCTTGAGACGCTCGTTTACATATACCATCATCATCCGCCTCTTTTCCCATCATCATCATCATCATCATCATCATCGTCTTCCTCTCTCCTCTCTCCTCTCTCACACACGCACACACTCAGCTTGCCATACATCTCCAAGCTCATCAACATTATACATACGGGGCCCATATAGCTTCTTGGTTGCCCCCCCAGCTTCCAACCGACGGCTTCTCACGCCGAAAAGCATTCTCGGTTCTACACCACCATCACCACCACCACCACCACCATGCACGTCCTCGGCCACAGCTTCAGCCAACGGCGCAAGACGTGCAAGCCCCGCGACCTCCACATCCGCAAAATCTCCTTCTCCGGCAGCTCCCTGTCCTCGGGCAGCTCGTTCTCCTCCTCCATGTCCGCCGCTTCCATGTCCTCGTCGTCCATCTCGGCCCCCTCAACCGCCGCCTCCTCCTCCTCCTCCTCCCTCTCTCCGCCCAACTCGGCCTCGACCGCCCGCGGGCCCCGTTCCAGCCGCTCCGCCGCCGGCCTCGACCCCCTGGCCCTGCACCCGACCTTTCAACCGCCGCCTCGCCTCTGCGACCGGCCGCTCCTCAGCAGTCCCGAGCCCCGCCGCTTCGATGAGTCGACGACCTTTTTCCTCGACGACGACGAGGAGAGCATCATCGACCCCTGCGGCTCCTACGTGCGCCATGACGAGGCCGTGAGCCCCGTGGTCGAGGCCAAGATGATGGAGCCCGACGACTACTTTGGCGTCCAGTTCACAAGGCGCCCTGCGATGCCCCGGTCTCGCTGGTCTGAGTCGACCGTCGCCACCGTCGAGAGCACCACGCCATCCGACGACGACGACACGGTCCACGGCTCCGAGGAAGACGACGCGGACCGCGATGTCGTCGACGATGTCATCGGCCACTACTACTACCAGCCGACTAAGCCGCTGGACGGCCACCAGTCGATGCCCAACTTTAGCCACAAGCGAGACACGATCCCCAAGCGCCCCCCCATCAAGACACTCGACAGCCTCGAGGACTTTATCAAGCGTGGCGGCTGGAAGCGACGCGGCATTGTCTTCCACCAGGAGGACGTCGACAGCGGCGGCGACACAATTAACCTCTTCTGATCTCGCGGTGCAAAAGTCCCTTGGGACATTGTGGCCCTCTCCACCCTCTACTTTCGACCACTATTACTACCTGGCTCTCATATACGCCACCTTCCCTCCACGACCAGGGCTCAGCCGACAGACCCCGTACATCCTCGACCATGACGTCGATTCGTGTTATTTTTTTCTCTCAGCGTGTCATTTTTTTGGATCAAAATTGGGACTCAACAGTTGGGCGGGCCGGCGTTTGGAATCAGAGCCTCTGGCATGCATTTACACCATTATACCACGCAACAGTGTCGTTGCGACGAGCAAGCAGTCTTGCTCTTTTCTTCCCTGTCCATGCTCGAGGCAAAGTTGTATCGTCTTGTAATGACGGCTACCGACAACAGAGGGCATCGGTCAAGAAGCCGTGCCTGGCTATTGATTGTCACACACACACCTCTCTCTTCCATTTCTTTGCCCAGTCTCAAATCTAGTCGTCGTATAGACAGACACCAACAATTGAAAGCATCAGCAGGCCCTATCCTTGAGGCTTGCCGAGGAAAAACCATCTTAGTCCCCTTTTCGCAGGCGTAGCTCTCGTGTCTGATACGAGCTTTTTTCCCGCTGAATGCCAACTGCCACGAGGCTCCATCCGAGTGCATGGTAGCTGCGCCAAGGCCGGTGGGCGCATGACGCGGGCGGAATTAACGAACGGGGTTCGCGAACGGACTAGTGTTGGGCCCGTCTAGCGCGAGTGATGCAATTCTGACGGCTGCTCTCGGCGCTCAGACGCCTCGGAACTCCGACGCGGACCCTGAATGGCTGACGAAACCACGTTTATTTAATGAGAGTCTTAGACAGCAGGGTATGGTCAAGTGGGCCTGGGCCGGTCCAGTCCCTCTCGACGGGCGCGACATGACTGGCTCGGGCCACGGGCTTGGCTCGCTTCTCCGGGCTCCGTCATGACGCTTTCTTCACGCTGGCGCGGGCAAGGAAGGGCCTCGAGAACGGAAAAGGAAGCAATTCCACCGACGGCGACGCAGATCAGGTGGCGGAAAGGGACCGAGGGGTGCGAAGCCTCTCGGCCCGGACAATCGCACGCACGGGCAGCGAGGGACGTGAGACGACGGGCGGCCATCTGGCCATGCTCGATGACGGAGCAGCGTTTCAAGAGGCGCGAGCGAACACGAGAGACGTAGGGCTGTGCTGGGTTTTTTTGCTGGGAAACCCGATGTGGATTAAATATAGCAACGCAACCAGGCTCCAGTCATCCGTTTATCCACCTTCCTCTCAGAGCACGAGAAGCGGTAGCTTGGTAGCGTGTCAATAAACAGGCACATATAGCAAGGCTATGCCGGGATCTTGTGCTTATTTGCCCTCGTCTCGCCCCGAGGGCCTCGCACTCGTGAGTCCACGTGGCGCGTCATCTCACGAGAAGAGGAAGAAGAAAAACGACAGTGGGCATTGGTAAGCAGAAAACACGCAGCAAAGGGGAGGAGGCGAGGAATGAGGGCTGGTTTCGGGCTGGAATGTGTGCCTGAGGGAGACAATTGCCTGCTCTTGTCGGCGGGATGGAATGCGTGGTCGTGTCTCTCGTCTCTTTCACGCACTATTCACACGCAACGCTGTTTAACTTAGAGAGAGCATGTCTCGAGATATGAATGACGACAATGAGGTCATTGTTCTCTCCTCCAGGCTCTCCCTTGTGATATGTGATATCGGGGAGCGCGCGTGCTATTCCATCTTTGCCCAATCACAACCCACTGAGCGGAAACCTCACCAAGGGAGACGTGACTGAGACGCCCACGGAAGAGCAAAAGAGGCAAAGTCTTGGCGTCGATGGATTTCGGGCACGGGGCCGCCGATGGGGCCGGGGGTTCGGGGGTGGTCGCGCTCTTGCTCACTCCTCGCCCCTGTTTCTTTTTTGTGATTCCAGGCACGGCTCGGCTCCTGCATATAAGTTGCATTTCTGAACGGGGGGCGATTGCTTTTTCCTTGCCTCTTCTTTCTTGGCGCAGCTCCGGCTGAGAAGCTCGATTTGGTTACCGCTCTTCACGCGTGCACGGCTGTTGGCGAGACGGCAAAGTCTTGGCAGGCTCTCTGCGCAAGTGAGAGCTCCGTTATCTCGTTCTGATGAAATGACTACATCCATAATCGTCAATCTGTCATACAGTGCCCATCCGACGAAAGCGGCTCCAGAGCTTCATCCCGTCTGCCCAGCCATGTACAAGAGTATCCGCGTATATGGTCAAATGTGCACAGAATCAGGCCCGGGCCCCCATCGTCCCGCGTGCTGTAAGTAACAAGTTTGCTGTAAATGCCCACTCCTAAATGGTTCTGTACATGTTCATGCTCCCAGCCGCTACCACAGCCTCCGCTGGTAGTAGACGGGCTGGTCACCCGCCTGCGCCAGCCGCCGGATCTCGTCCTTGATCATCCGCCGCCGCTCCGCCCGCGTCACGGGGATCCGGCTGTTCTTGAGCGGGTCCGGGTGCTCGACCCCCCACGACTTGGCCGCCACCTGCGCCTGGAGCTGCTGCACCACAGCGCGCTGCTTCTCCGTGGCAACCGCCTGCTTGTCGTCAGTCTCGCGCTTCTGCTGCTGCTGCTGCTGCTGCTCATCGTGCCCGGCGGCGACAGCGTCGTCTTCCAGACTCGTCTGCTGGGTAACCACCACCACCGCCGCCACCGCCTGCTCCATCTCCCTCGCCTCGCGCGCCGCCTCGCTCTCCACCAGCACGACGCTGCCGTCGGCCAGCTCCGTCGTCGACGTGCGGAAGCGGTCCGGCAGGTGCGCCTTGGGCGAGGGCCGCGACTCGCGCGGGCGGATGGCGGCACGCAGGTCGCGCAGCGTGCGCTGCTGGATGGCGTAGCCGCTGAGGAAGAGGGCCAGCGTGCACAGGATCACTGGGCGCCGCGAGTCAGCCCCGGGGTCGTCGTCTACCGCGCGTCTTGCCGTGGTGGAAGTCTCCTGCAACGTACCGATGATCATGGAGGCGAGCACCGAGACCTCGGACGAGGTGAGGACGGCTCTGCGCATGGTTGGCGGGTGATGATGGGGCGGAGAGTGAAGCTGCGGCTGGTAGCGCTGCGAGGAGAGTCTTCTTTCATGTCTCCCGACAACTCTGCAAACGACCGCCGCGAACGCCCTGGCTGGCTGGCCCTCGTGGTCCTACAACGACCCGAGTGGGTGGCGCATGCGGCCCGCGTTGGCACAGCAACAATCTTATCGCCCCGCCACCAACCCCCAGGCTTCTTTCGACCGCGAGGCAAATCGTCATCTTCGTCCTCTTCCTATGCGCATGCCGGCCGCCGCCTCCACCATGCCTCGACCCAATGACGACGTCGTCCACGCCGACGCCCGGCGCTTCCTCGACGACCGCGGCACCACGGCGGCCCTCGCGCCCAACGGCCTTAACCCGGCCATGATCATGGAAAAGGCCGTCAAGGACCGCATCGTCGACTCCTACTTTTACAAGGAGCAGTGCTTCGCCCTCAACGAGGCCGACGTCGTCGACCGCGTCGTCGAGCACGTCTCCTTTGTCGGCGGCACCCACGGCGCCGCCCAGAAGCCCAGCCCCTTCCTGTGCCTGGCCTTCAAGCTGCTCGAGCTCGGCCCCAGCGACGCCATCCTGCGCGAGTACCTGGCCCACGGCGGCGAGCACTTCAAGTACCTCCGCGCCCTGGCCTGCTTCTACGTCCGCCTCACCCGCCAGGCAAAGGACGTGTACCAGACGCTCGAGCCCTTTCTCGAGGACCGCCGCAAGCTGCGCCGCAAGGGCAGGGCCGGCACCTCGCTGACGTACGTCGACGACTTTGTCGACGACTTGCTCACCCGCGATCGCATATGCGCGACGAGCCTGTGGAAGATGCCCAAGCGCGAGATCCTCGAGGACCTGGAGTTGCTCGAGCCTAGGGTCAGTCTTCTGGGCGACTTGGATGACTTGCTGGACGAGGATGACGACGACGAGGGACCCGCCACGCCACTCGGTGAAGATTTTCACGACCTCGGAGACCACGGAACTGGCCTCGAGAAGAATCGGGAAGAAAAGCCATCTACGGGCTCTAGAGCCTAGGACCCAACCAAAGCAAAGTCGTACATTATGTGCATCGTCTCTTCGAAAGTTTTCCCCGCGCATCCATGGAATGTACACTTCTCTTCGCGACACCGCTCGACCGTCTCGTCTCATCTCTACACGTCAAGTCACCTGTATAAATACACACATATCCACCTCCGCACGTCTCACTCACCCCGCGGGCCCGCCATGAGCGCCTTGAGTCGCTCCGCCATGGCCAACAGCCGCCGGTCATCCCAAAACTGGCCGACGAGCTGCAGCCCAGCAGGCAGCCGGGTCTCGGCCGCGGGCACGGGCAGGCTGACGGCGGGCAAGCCGGCCAGGCTGGCGGGCACGGTGAAGACGTCGTTCATGTAGGCATCGAGGCTGCTCCTCTGCAGCACGTCGGCGAGGCGCGGCGGAAACGAGGGCGTCGTGGCCGAGAGCAAAAAGTCGACCTGCGGCGGGCCACGCTTGTCGGCCAGCAGCGTGTGCTCGGGCATGTCGCAGAGGTCAAACTGCGCGCCGTCGCCGCCGCCGTCACACAGCGGGTTGGCCAGCCGGAAGACGCGGTCGAAGTCGCGGCGGATGAGGCGCCGGACGCGCTGCGCCTGGACAAAGTAGTTGTCGATGGCGGCGGAGCTGAGGCTGTAGGTGCCGAGGAGGATGCGGCGCTTGACCTCGTCGCCGAAGCCGACGCCGCGCGTCTCCGAGTAGAGCGTGTGGCCGGCGCCGTCGCCGCGGCTCTCGGGGGGCCGGACGCCGTAGCGCACGCCGTCGTACTTGGCGAGGTTGGACGAGGCCTCGGCGGCGGCGATGACGTAGTACGCGCACAGGGCCTCCCTGGTCGACGGCAGGGACACGGGCACAACGGTGGCGCCCGCCGACTCGAGCGCCGAGGCCGCCGCCGCCCAGGTCGCGCGTATGACGGGATCTAGCTCGGCAATGTTGTACTCGAGCGGGATGCCGACCGTCAGCTGTGAGTTGTCGCCCAGGGTCGGGGGGCAGGCCGCGGCGCAGCGCCGGCGCGTGGCCGACGACAGCGAGGTCGGGTCGTTGGGGTCGTGCTCCTGGTCGAGCTCGCCGTCGGCGAGTAGGCGCAGGATGGGCCGCGCCCCACGGGCAATGAGGCCGACCGTGTCGAGCGAGTTGGCGTAGGGGAAGACGCCGAAGCGGGAGAGCATGCCGTAGCTGGGGCGGTAGCCGACGGCGCCCGTGTACGAGGCCGGCAAGCGGATGGAGCCGCCCGTGTCGGTACCCAGGGCAATGTCGGCGTCGCCCAGCATGACGGCGACGGCGCTGCCCCCCGAGCTGCCGCCGGCCGAGATGGGCTCGTCGTCGTTGGCCGAGAGCGGGTTGCGGACGGGGCCGTGGATCGAGTTTGTCGAGTGGGAACCCATGCCAAACTCGTCCATGTTGGTCTTGCCGACGACCTCTGCGCCGCGGGCGCGCAGCTGCCGCACAATGGTGGCCTCAAAGGGCGAGGCATGGCCGACGAGGATGCGGGAGGCGCATTGCGTGGGGAACTCGTCCGTGGCAATGTTGTCCTTGACGGCGAGCCGGAAGGGCGTGGCGCCGGCGAGCAGCGGCGGCGGAGGAACCGTGGGCTCGAGCTTGCCTGGGTCTGGGGTCAGCGGATGGCGCTGTGGCTTTGTAGAGGAGTGGCGGACCGCTGTCGACAAAGTGGTTGAAGCCCGACGAGCGTCGGCGTTGTGGCTGTTGGAGAGCTTGCCGCAGAGCCGGGACCCCTCGAATGCTGCCGGGCTGGAGATTCGAGCGGCGCGCGCATGCCGCCCTCATTGTCAGTCACGGACCATGCAAAGAGGAGCCTCGGCACGACAGCGGTTGACTGCGCATAGGACGGGATGCAAGGTTGAACTGCCTTCACGGAGAAGGAAAAAAAGTCGCCGTCGTGGACGCGAGATGAAGGTGAGCGTGGCAGGTACCTGGAGGGGGGGGCAGTACTCAATAATCATGATAACGGTGTAGCTTAGCTCGTATATTGTGTGGGTGGATACTTGTACTGTCATGCCTGGACTGTACCCTGTCAAGCTCACTGTACTTCATCTGTGCGGAGTACCCGACCCTGTGTTACTCCCGACGGGTGCCTGCAGCGCGGCTCAGTCCCGCGGGTGCGGAAAAGCGGAGCTCTGTAGTTTAGACCCGCAGGTTCCTACTCTATCCGTACTATCTGTGCAGATTACGTACCTCGGTATCTTATCTTATCAAAGCTCGGCACCCAACGGTCTGCAGAAAGCTCTCGCTGTTTTTCAACGCCATTACACTCCGGCATCTCCAAATTCACCACCACTCCTGCACCCGCCCTCGAACGACGAAGACGACGACGCCGTTAGCACAACCACTAGCATACGCCATTCATATCATCTCGCGCGTCCCGTGCTGGAGCCTGCTGGGGAGGTACCGGCGGAGAACGACCGCGGCAGAAGCAGTCATGTCTGCCTCGGCCGCCAAGCGAGACTACGACGACGTCGACGAGGGCGAAGTCTCGGCCGACGAACCCATCCCCAAGCGTGCAAAGAGGCTTACCGGTGCCCAGCCGCGTCACCACCATCAGCACTCGGCCATCGATCCCACCTGGGGCCAGAAATATGTCTTCTCCAACAAGGACGATGCCACGTCCATCCCCTATGGTGAAGAGTCCGATTTTGAGGATGACGCCGAGGCCATGGCCTACCTGCGCTCCGTCCGGTACGTGCTTCGACCGCTTAGGCTTCCGAGGGAACCTGTCTTTGCTGAATCCCATTCCTTGGCTCCATATCCAGGACTCAGGTGACGCTGATATGCTCCATGTGGCAGACAAGAGGCGCATGGCATCTCCCACCTGCTCGTTGCGCCGACCAGACAGATTGGGCCCCAGCTGCCACCCGAGCTGCAAGAACCCCCCCACGATGACGACGGCGAAGCGAAGCCTGAATTAGACGGCCATCGGAACGTGCACGCGGCTGCTTTGGGCGACGCGAAGGCATACTACGAAGACGGCGCCTACATCGCGCGGGACCCCGAGGCACAGGATGGCAATCGACATGGCGAGGCTGACAACGACCAGGACAGTCGAGAAAGAGAACTGCACGAGGCATTTTTTGCCTCCACTTTGGATAGGTACCGCTGCCTTCGCCGCCTTCTGCACTCCAAGCCACCCCCTGGCGCCGCCAAACGACTTTCCATTGCACAGTCCACTTATGCTGCTTCGTTGGGCCCCAACTCGACCACGGCAAAGAAATGGTCCACCATCCTCCGTACCGCCGACCCACACCCGCTTCAACTCGCACTCATGTCCAAGGACTCGGTCTTGCGCATCCTGCGCGTCTTGCTGGGCGGGAAATTTCTCTGCCGCGGATACACGCTCTCTGAGCGAACTAGCCAGTGGCTGTGGGGCCTGCTCGCGCGGCTGCCGGATCCCTGGGAGCTCAACCACGCCGAGTTGGCCTTGGTGCGAGACCTTGGTCGCCGGGCCGTGCTACTGGGTAGGTCCCTAACCGAGATGGCGGCGCTGAAGGCGGAACTCGACGACGGCATGATGGGGGTGCCCGAAGGCGTGGATGCGAGCAGCGATGACGACGAACCAACGAATACCGATATCAAAATGGAGGGGCCTTCCAGCCACTGCTCGGAAGTGCACGAGAATCCACCTCAAGAAATGGGAGACATAAGGCAGGACTCCCACAAAGACGACGACGCTGATGTCGAGGAGGGTGAAGAAGGCGAAATCGACGAGCACGAGGCCGCGGACGGAAGCGAATCCGTAGAGATGGATCTCTCATCCGACTCTGGCGAAGGCGGCGAAGTAGTCTCGGGAGGACACGGAGCGGCAACCGACGACACCCCGACGCTCGAGGCGGCCAAAGCGGCTCTCCTGGGTCGGCTCGCAGACGACGCACCTGGGCAGGCCGACAAGGAGGACAATCTCGAGACGGCCAAGCTCCGTCTGCGGATAAACATGCGGGCCACGCTCAACATGATTCTTACCGTGGCGGGAGACTTTTACGGCCAGCGCGACTTGCTCGAGTTTCGCGAGCCGTTTGTGGGGTTGTGAGGGGAGGGGGGGAGGAGAACAGGGGGGTTTCGCCGATGCTGTTGCCCGAGACTGGAGATTGCTGTGTGCAGCCGAAAGGGGGGGTGGCTGGAAACGGCGTCATTGCTCACTCGTGAGGCTTTCTCACATCATCTTCTCTCTCGGCTGCCAGCTAGCTTGATACCCGTGATTCCAATTTGGCTTGAGAAAGAATTACACGATGCAACCTGTACAATGGCGACTCCTCGGCACGCTCTAGCCGTACCGAATGGTGGAGAAAAAACAGAACAGACGAAAAGAACGGTACATGCGGAGGTCCCTCCGAGTACGTGTTGTGCCCACAACGCCAACGCCTGAATGCCCTAGGATGGCTCGCCCTCAGCCTGGGCCACCTCCACCTAACTTGTACAGTCCGAGCTGCTGGGCTCGTTTCATCAAGAAAAGAAATCCAACAAATAAAAGCAGTCCCTTGCCACTGTCCAGACGATTCAACAAGGTGCACGAGGTGCCTTCTCTCTCATCGCGAAAGATCCATGTCCCTGCCTTCCCCAAAGACGAGAAAGGGGGCCTCTTCAAAGTCCTCGTCGACGGCCATGTTCTCCTGGCCCATGTCCTCGAGCGGGAGGCTCTTTGCCGTGCGGGAGCGGCGCGGAGTGGCCATGAGGCGGGCATTGCCGCTGTTGGCATCCCAGCCCTTGTTGGAGTGGAGGCCTGCGACTGTCGAGGCGGCGTCGTCGTCGTCGTCATCGTCGAATATGCGTTTCCGCGAGGGTTCAGAGGCATGGCTCTCGACGCTCTCTTGCGAGAGGGTCAACCCGGGGACGGCATCCATGTTAGGGACGTCGTCGTCGTCGAAGCCGCCAGTCTCGGGCTGCGTGCCTAGCCCGCCAACTTTGTTGATGCCACAGAAGGGGAGCAGCTCGCGCGGCACTGGACATACAGCCGCCGCTGTCGCCGCGGCGTCGTGTGATGCGCGCGGGGCAGCAGCGGGCGTGCTGTCGGTCCACAGCTTGAAGGCGCTCGGGCCCGTCGTCCGGTAGCCCTCGGGAACCGACTTGCGCACGCGCATGCCGACGCTGAGCAGGTTTGCCTGGACGCTGGCGGGGAGGACCGGGTGGCGCGATGCCGGGGCGGTGGCAGACGGCGACGACGGGCCGGCGGCCGAGGCAGGGAAGAAGGAAGTGATTTGGCGCTGGTACGGGTCGGCGGCGGCGCCCGCAAAGGGCCTCTTCGTCCGGGGGGCCGACATGCTGGAGGTTGAGTGACTAGCTGGGGTTGACGGCTGCTGGAGACGGGGCGGCCACGTCGTTGAAGCCTGTGGATGTGGTTTTCGATGGGCTTGGAGCCGGCGGAGAGCGCCAATTGCAACAAATTGTCTCGTGACAACGTATCGCCGAATCGCACCAGCCGAATCGACCCTTCTCTTTCCTTTTTTTCCACCTGTGACGTTTTGTCTCAGAGCGGCTGCTGGACCATGCAGGGGGGAGAAAAGAAGACAAGTGGTCGAAAGACAGCAAAACCAACAAAATCAAAAGCGGTAGAGCGGAGAGATTCCCAGATGTCGGGAAAAGAAAGGAGAAAAGGAAGAAAACGGGGAGGAAAAGGGCGGCTTTTACTCGCGAGTAATTGCCATACCCAGAGGACAGAGAGAGAAGGTTGAAGTTTTTGGTAGGGGGCCAGCGAGGCTAAAGCGTTGGGAGGCTGGGGTGGAAATTGGTTCCGTTCCAGGCAAGAAGTGGGGAGAGAGGCTTGATTGACGATGGAGAGACTCGCACTGTCGTTTGGCACTGTGCTCGTCGCGTCTGACGCGCCTGCGACGCGTTAAGTGCTCATGGCTGAACGGGGAATCCCGCGTCTTGAATTAGTCAGCCGCTTCTTCAAGGCCTGCAGCAGGGGCTTGCCGTCGGAGCACCACCTCCGGAAAAGTGACGATTCACGGTGGCTTGATGCTGCCGCTGCTTGTAAGAAGTGACGGTCAACTCGGTGAGGCCACTTACCTCGGGTCCTGGATTGCCCCTTCGCCACCGGAAATGACCCCAGCGGCGCCACTGGCAACCTGAGTGCTCTCTCACCTCGGCATGAGCCGCGGCCATGCATACGCGATGGCGGCGCAAGGGCCGGAGCTCGGGGTAGGTGGACTGGCACCAGGGTGGCCTGCTCCGCGATCTGGGCCGTGAGAGGTCGATGGCCATGGTCGTATTGCTCTCCGTTGGCTTGACTCGCGGGTGACGGGTAGAATCCCGGCCCCGGCAGACGACAAGACTCACCGAGGGCCACGCCGCGCTCATGCGCCGGGCCTGATGCCGGCGTCCGCTCCTCTTGCGTCTAGAAATAACCGGAAGAGTCGAGAACACAGCATGTACGACCGGTCATGGCAAGTCAATGTCCAGGGTTGAGAGAGGGAGACAAAGTTGAGTCTATGGGCTGACTGCCGTGCAAATGGACAAAGAGAACGACACATCACGTAGTGGGAGATGCTGCACGTTTGGTCGACCTGCTGTCACTCTGATTCTGGCACAAACGAGCGATGAATACTCCGAGAGGGGCTACACTTCGACCGCATCATCGTCCATTCGTACAACCGTGCCGGGTACGTGTCACGTCGTTGAACTTCGTGACACCACAGGAAGACAAGGCTCGGGTCCAAAGCACGTAGCGTCACATCACCACCACCTCTGAGACCATCACCGAGTCCAAGATACAGTCCGTGGAATGCTTGAATTCGCAAGCGCAGTGTGCGTCTTCCACTACCCACTGCACCCAGGGATGAAGCAATCATCAAACCAGCGGTTCCACGTCCTCGCACCCAGCCAGTCTTCCAGCCCGTCCCGGACACTCGTGAAAGGCATTCTCCGGCCACCCACCCCGACCAGTGGTTTTTATGTGCCTGCTTCCGGAGACGACTCGCGGGTACAATGCACGCGCAAAACGAGAAAAAAACGACATGAATGATGTGCCATGCAAGATATCCGGAGACCCCAAACGCCCCAGTTTCGGGTGTCCCATCTTCTATCTGCAAAGAGGTGGATGATTATGTTTGCGAAGTTGGCTGCCTTGTCTATGCGCCCACGCCGACGATTGGCTTGTTTTGCAGATCCGAGATGACCACCGTGAGTTGAACCATAAGAGTCATGATACCCCAAGGAAAGCAACCGCCGCGAGGCAGTCTACTTTCTTCGGAAGGAGCAGCCCTCGGTTAATCTGGCCTTGCCACCGGTGGGCTGGCACAGAACCGTGGTGCAGCCCTGGCAGATGACGACGGTCTGGGCGTGCGAGAAGACGGTGGTGATGGTGAAGCAGCCGGGGCACTTGACGTCCATGAAGAAGGATCGGGGCGCGGGGACAAGAGTCTGGGAACGTCGAGCGTTAGAAGGGGCCGTCGCGGCATGTTCTCGTCGGTGGTATGTTGCCGTCGTACCTTGAGCTTGTGCTTCTTGGCCTCGGCGGCCGGCGAAGGGTTCAGGAGATCAACGGCGAGAACCTGACCAAGCGCTGTCAGCAAACCTCGCCCTTCATCGTCGACTTGGCCGCGCGTCCCGCCCGTCCGATGACAATTCCAGGCGTCAAATTTGCGGCATCGATGCGACCGAGGGCATTCAAGAATCCCTTGGCACGACTTCACACCGTCCTTTGTCGTCGTCCGGGGCAGAGAGGGGGCATTCGTCGCTCACCATCTTGACTGTGTATCTCGAGATGCGTCTGGCGTCGGTGTCTTGCGAGGATCGAGATGCTTGACGAATCTGGCGACAGATTTGAGGCTCGCAAGATGGGGTGAGATGAATTAAGCGAGGAAAAGTTCACCACAGTCTGAGGAGGGTTTCCCTTTCGCCTCCGGCTTGGTCCTGATCCAAAGAAGACTAGCGCACTAGGGCTTCGAGGCCCAACAGCACGTGATGATGGCGTGGCTGGCCTGATTGGCCCGTCGCTGGCCAAATTGCTCCGCACCTTATCCGTAGTCACCGAGGGGATGTCCGTGCATTACCATTTTGTGCAAGCAGACGGTTGTGCAGCCGAGCTTTATGCACTCGAACGCGGGGCACCGCGGCCGGGGAACGTCGGGGCCGCGATACGCACCGACCGAGTCTTTTCTGCCTGGCCTGATTGCGCAAGCTTTTTCACTTTCCGCCTCGCTGCATTCCTTGCTTGCTTTGGACACTTGACCCTGGAGGTACAGACCGGGGCAAGACGCAAACATGGCGGCGCCCGGCGACCAACGCATCGCCGTCCCCATCGACGATCCTAACGCCGACACCGAGTGGTATGCTTGACCCGCCAGAGCGCAACGGCGCAACAGCTGTCTGACTGGCTGCAGGAACGACATACTGCGCAAACATGGAGTCATTCCCGAGAAACCGCCCAGTCCGACTCCTATGATCGAAGAAGCCATCGTCGAGGGAAGGCGGCTGGCCCACGAGAATCGACTCGAGGGCAAGGACCTGGACGAGCTTGATGAGCTCGAGGACCTGGAGGACGAGGCCTTTTTGGACCAATACCGACAAAAAAGAATGGCCGAGCTGAGCAGCCTGCAAAAGAAAGCTATCCACGGCAGCGTCTACCCCATTTCGAAACCAGATTACCAGCGCGAGGTCACCGACGCATCCAAGGACGGGCCCGTCTTGGTGAACCTGACGTCGTCGATGGGCACCAACGTGGAGTCGCGGGTCCTCTCGGAACTCTGGCGGCAGGCTGCCAAGGAATATGGAGATGTCAAGTTTTGCGAGATCAGGGCGAGCCAGGCCATCGAAAACTACCCGGACAGGAACTGCCCCACGATCCTGGTGTACAAGAACGGCGACCTTGCCAAACAGGTTGTGACGCTCGCGACGCTGGGCGGAGCCCGCACCACGATGCGGAGTATCGACGACATTCTGGTGGAAGTCGGCGCCGTGCCTGCATCGGACATGCGGGTGGTCAAGAGGAGGCAAGCGGCGGTGGACGCTGAGGAGGAACGATTGGCCGGGAAGAGCATCAAGACGGGCTCTGCGGGAATTGACGACGACGATGACTGGGACTGAGGCTTTTGATTTGTACAAGCAGGAGGCCAGATGTCTGCGAAGCCGCTCGACGGATGGGACGCCGGAGCCCTACCTGCGATAATGATGCTCTGACCTGATGAAGCGAGCTTGGCCACGGTGACGCAGTATGAGGACGACGAAACGGCTGATGCGGACCCTGGAGCGAGCCTTGGGCGGATCTGATAAGCGCGGCTTCGGGGCCCCACTGCCGGCGAAGAAACGCGCCCCGAATTGACTTAGCGGGCCAACCACAGGCCGTGTCACGTCACGCCACCTCTGCCACTACCGAGGGCAGCTATCAAACCGCGTCCCGCTCGCGTTTCTTGATACGTTTTAGCCGAGCATCTGGTGCCGCACACACTTGCATCGCGGAGCAGCGTGCAGCGTGCAGCGTGTTTCATACCGCTCATTCTTCCGTTTCCTCTTCTTGTATTAGCCTTGCAATGGCGGAAGAACCGTCGCTGCCCCGGCTTCCGGCCGTCTCGTGGGACGAGCCATCCCAGCGCTTCTCCAACAACCCCCGCAAGCGCAACCTGCCGTCTGCCAAAGCCTCGTCGCCCTCCCTCAACTCGAGCGATCCCGCTGTCTTCTCGAGCGACGACGACCCGGGCCTTGACAACTACGTCGAAGGGAGGAAGAAGAAGAGATACATTGGATCATGGTTTCAGCAGCAGCCCGCGTCGTCCGACTCGGCTTTCGGCGACGCCATGCCGGCGCCCAAGCCTGCCAAGAGAAGGCTCGCGCGACAGGTCGACAGCGGCGTCTTCCTCGGAAGCGACGGCACCGACAATGAGGACATGATGGAGGCCCTCAACGTCCCGGTCCGGGCTAGGCTGCCGCAGCTGGACAAGCGCCCGGCCCCTCAGGTCTCGCCAGCAGAGCTGGCCGCCCGCGAGACGGTCCGGCGGTGCCTAGAACAGGGCCTCGAGACTATCGACTTTTGGTACCTGGGGCTCGAGGAGCTTTCCGACGAGACCATCAGCCCGCTCGCAAACTTCTCCTGCATCCCGCTCGTGACCAAGGACGTCGCCTTTGAACAAAAGGTGCCGGAGCTCAAGCTGTACCTTGCCATGAACAGCCTCAGACGGGCCCCTGGAGCCCTGTTCGACCTGACGCACCTGACCATCCTGAGTCTGCGCGGGAACAAGCTCACAGAGCTACCCCCTGCCATTTCGAAACTAAGCAACTTGAAGGAGCTCAACATATCGCAGAATCGGCTGACAAGTCTCCCGGCCGAGCTGCTTGACCTGCTGCAGCCACGCAGCAACTTGCGCGAGCTGGTCATGCATCCTAACCCCTTTGATGAACCCGACAAGCCCATTGCAGGATTCACGCGGGAAGGCAACGGCCCAGGGGACGGCTCGCAATTCTATATCAAGTACCTAGGTCGATCGCCTCTGCAAGTCTCCGACTCGAGGGGGAAGGCAGTATCAGACTTCAAGTTGCCGTCTGGCGACACGGCGCAGAAGGTCGCCGTCGAGCGGCCAGGCGGCGTCCCTAACATGAGCGCCGCGAGGCCCAGCCGAGTCCCTAGTCTGGTTGAGGCGTCCCTTCGAAGCTGCTACGGTAGCAGCCAACTCTCCGAGCTGCAGCACTACATGCCAGAGGGCCTGTCCCATCTCCGGCGGCTGCTCGGTCGAGCCGCGCAGCAGCGAGACATGGGCGGGATTTGGTGCGCGCAATGTAGACGCTCGCTCATTGTGCCGACAGTCGAGTGGCTGGAGTGGTATGACGTGACCAAACGCACTGGCCCAAATCCAGTGACAGAACAGTCATTATTGAATCCGTCGCCTCCTATTAGGCTGTCAGTATCGGAGGTTGCCATGCCTTTTAGGCATCGGGCCTGCTCGTGGAAATGCAGCCCTGGCGCCGCTCCTGAACAAGAGACGGGCTGCTAGGGAGAGCCGGCCTGTCAATGGTGTACGGTCTTGACATTTGGATTGGCGTTGAGAGCCGGACATGGGCCTGTTTGACGGGCTCGATGTCATAAAGGCACATAATTGTATGTTTACTGGTCGAAAAGCGATCGAAGCGTTGATGATGCAGATCCCCCTTAGATTCTGTTTGAGGGATGGATTATTTACACTTGCTCTGGCAGCTGCCAGTGAGTATGAGCCCGCCGTGTCTATCCAGCCTTCAGCCCTGTGCCGAGTTTGGATCACGCCGGGACCAGCTTGTCTTGTTTCTCCAACGACTGCTTGATTGACTGCTTTCCATGGAGCTCGACAGTGCAAGCATTTAAGCCCTCGCATGGACCCTTCAGAAACCAAATACTCGCCACTTTTCTGTCTGTTGCGCTGAGGAGACCCGAGGCTTTTTACGACTTCTCTGGCGCTTATGATCGAGCCGTTGCACATCAGTGACATCACCATTCACAGGTTTGGCCTGAAGCGCTGGCGAGGAATCATGATACATGGAGAACTTGATTTCCCAGGGCCGCCAAAGACAGAGATGAATCAATGTTGCACGTGCAAATGAGTTTGATTGCTTTCAACGATGGCCACGTGTACTGGCTTTGTCGTCTTGAGAAAAAGAGAGACAAGACTTCTGGTCTGCGCACACCCAGAGTCTAGACACTGGCGGTTTCGGGCCGCCACCCCCCAACCCCGTATCGACGCATGGCGATATCTCTCGGATCCCCTTTACCTGCAGACGCAGGGACGGCCGATGGAGCGGCACGGGCAGACACGGATGGGCCGGGAGCAGTGGCAGCCGTGCGGGCCGCAGAAACCGGCGCACCGCTGCAGAAGTCAACACGGTCAGCATCTGGCACTCAAAGGGGAAAGGGGGTTGAAGAAAAGAAACGAGAAGATGGCAGGCCTCACCTTTCGGGCGGCCTCGGCAAGGGTTCCGGGGGCCTCGTCGGCGCTCGAATGGGCCTGGTCGTTGGCCACTTCGGCAGTCTGCTTGGCCTCCTCCGCGACGTCGGGGATGGCGTTGGCGAGGACAGAGGTGGCCAGGGCGCCGAGGAGCAGCATGTTGGTGAGGAACTTCATCTTGGCTGGGGCAGAGGGCTATATGTAAATGGCCGGTGATGTGAAAAGGAGATGGAGAGGATATTGCAAAGGGGCAGGACGGGGAACGAGACTGGCTTTTATTTCTGAGACGCTGCTTCGTCGTCCTTGCGCGAAGCAGCAGCCATACATGAGACTGACTACGATCGTTACCAGGCATCAGAAACATGGCCAAGCCATGCTCGCTCTCGCTCCTGGATCTTGGCGATGGATTAGCAGAGCATATTGCCCGATTGGAGTTCGCCTCATCAGCACTTATGCGTGGCCGTCGAGGCTCTCACGACACAAGAAGCCGTCGTAGGATTCGTGGGACCATCGTGGCACACCAAGGACTCGCCACGATGCGGGCTTGAAGGGCTTGTGAGGGCGGGCAGGTCTTAGGGGTTCCATGTGGCTTTCTCGTTGATCTCGGTGACGTTGATGGCGCCAGCCAGCCAGCCCGTGCCCCCTGAGCTGTCATGGCTGGCGTCGTTGTATTCTAGACGACCTATGTGCCTTACCTCCAGCCATGGCGGATCGTTTTCATGTTGGTTCACGCCGCGTGTGCGCGCGGCGGAGACGCTGTCAGCAGACGCGGACCAATAGCGGCGTCTCGATGCATCAAGCACATTTCGAGGCTCCCGGCCGACCCCTGCGAAGGCTCCCCCTTCCTTCTCTCCTGAAGCCTGGATGTTGCGACGTAGACCGGCAAGTAAGTGGCAGGACTGTGATACATCCACAAGAAGCTCGGGGGAGGGATCGGCAACGGGGCGAGCGAATGGGGCGGCCGGCTGCCCTGATTGGTCCTGTAGGGCTGATTCAAAGCGTATTCACAATGCTGCGTATCCTCTGACTTGTCGAGTTCACTTCCTGTAAGATATGGCACCAGGCCTGTCGTTTCTGCAACGACGGAGCCGATTTGGTTTCGGCCGTCATGTTTTGTCGTGCCTTGGGGTCTCTCTCCTGAGGCAGATGAAGGCATCAGGACATATCTGGGTGTCCCGAAAGGGGTGTGTGGACAGCAGCTGTATCCACCACTCTTTGATATACCATCAAGGACTCGCGGCCTGTCGGGCCTTCCCGGCTCCGGCCGGAAGTCGGCCCCACAAAGACCCCTTGACCCGGTGCCGATCCACTGGATGGCCGGGGGTCAGATCAAGCGGCGCCGCACTGCTGATTCCATGTCCGCGTGCGGCCCATCGAGCGTCAATTGACGTCAGCCCTAGTCTATTGTGCGTTTGCCAAGCTGTCTTGCATGTATGTAGCCGCTTCCCGTCTTGGCTACGAGCAAACTTGGGGAACAGGGTGGCTTGGCCTCGGAACTCGGGGGACGTGTCGAACGAAACATTGATCCAGTTGTACTGGATCTCGAAACCTTTGAGGAATGTTCAAGGGTCCTCGGGTCAAGCCAGTCATCTCCTGATCAACGTCAACATGCAGATCCGACTTCTCACCGCCAACTTGTCAGCTGGTTACACGTGGGATGAATTCTGGATAGCCCTCCACTCTTCATATTCTCATAGCTTACAGTTAAGCAGCTTGATGAGGGACAGGTCGGCAGCAGAGAGCTACTGGTCAGTTAAGAGAGCGGCTCTTGAAGGCTGCCGCTGCTGGTAAGCACTGCGAGCCTCAACAACGTTGATTGCACCATTCGGGCGGGAAGATCCGAGACCTCGGGCTTTGGTGACGGTTTGAAGCTGAAACCTCGATCAACCCTTGTGGTCTTTTGTGCTGTGCTGCCACCGGCAGTAAGCATGCAGGGAAAGATGGCGTAAAGTTTCCCGCAGAGCATCGGCCCGAAGCCCGTCGATGGTTTGAGCGCCACGAGCCTCGGATGGAGCTTGCTCCGATTCATGGATTTCGGTATTCCTCACAAGGGGAAATATGCTCGATGGAAATAAGACGCGGCTATAACTATCGAGACGTCGCCGGATCCCCATCGATGGGCAATCTGGAGGGACCGCCTGGTTCTACTGTTAGTGAGCATTTTCACTCGAAACTTGAGATTTACTAGTTGTTTGTATACGAAGCACAATGCTTCGACCCTTGTATATATTGACACAAGATTGGAATGTGTGCGTATAATTTTAGACGAAGCAGCTTTGATGACATGGAAAACGTAGAGTCCGTGGGGGGTTTTTTTTTTGCCGCGCCGGTCTTGCCTTTATGCTGGACGCGTTGTGCTCCGGCGCATGATCAATCTGAATCGGATTCTGATCATGGCAACGAGTGAAAAGACGTGTCCGCGTTGTATCAATGATTTACGAGGAGCCTCGATTCTACGGACGGCACCATTTGCGTGACCTTTGACGTTAAATCGTCACCAACTGATATGACATGCGCTCCCATTTTGCTCTGAACATGCAGCCCCATGTTCTTGTCGTCTCTCATGACATTACTTGTGCTCTTGATTTGCATGTATATTCTATCAAGGTAATGGTTATTGTATGTATGTACATTCCAATCCCAACATTGATCAAGTCTGCCGTGAACCCTCTAGCCTACCCTGGACCCCCGCATCGACCACAATGCAGCCCTCACTAATCCCCCAAGCCGAGTCAAGACTACGCCACCTTGACGGCCTCTCCTGAACCCCCCCCACCCTAAACGCGACTCGACGCGCCGCCCCTGTTGTCGGGACCAAAACCTCGTCTCCTACCAGCAGTATCCGCCCTTTGAGCTTCGTCCGCGGGCCTCCCTCTGTCCGCTCGTCCTCGACTGCTTCTTCCTTTCGCCGTCATTGCTTAGTCGCCGCCGGGCCTGGAATATCCGAAACGAAGCCTCGTCATCGCTCCTTGTTGGCTTGACGAGGCCTGCTGAACACAAGGCAGCCCATCGAAGCCTTGTCCCGTCGTCTCCAGTGCTCTGGGTCGGCCAGCCACCACCCGCCATGGCCGCCGTTCAACCACATCCAGCCTCACAGCAACACCACCGGCGGCAGCATCACGACGGCTCTAGGCCCCCCTCGCCCACGCCCTCGCAGCTGCCCCCCGTGCCCGCCTCGCCCGTCTACTCCATCGCGTCGACAGCCGCCCACGCCGTCTCCCACTTCAGCCTGCCGCTGCCTCCGGCGCCCCGATCCGCCCACGCCGTCCTCAAGAAAGCCGACCTCGAGCACTCGCAAGACGCCTACGCCGACCTCGTCGCCTCGGCAAAGGCCTACCGCCTCGCCCTCGCATCCCTCTCCACCGCCGCCTCGGCCTTTGGCTCCGCCCTCGAGGCCTGCGCCCGCCTCAAGGAGGCCCGCGCCGAGCCCATTGGCCCCGCGGGCATGGCGGCCAGCTTCGCCGCCACTTGCACCGCCGATCCGCTGCTCTCCGCCTCGGGCGTCCATCACCTCGTCGCCAACCACCAGCAGATCCTGTCCGAGACGGTGTACCGCTCCTTCGAGGTGCCCCTGCTGCACGACCTCGACCGCTGGCGCAGCGTCATCGAGGATGAGGACATGACGTACCAGCACAAGATCAAGGCCCAGAGCCGCGAGGTCAAGCGCCTCGAGAAGGAGGGGCTCAAGCTGCACAAGCAGCCCCGCCGCGACGTTGCCCGCTTCCGCGCCCATCTCGTCGACCTCACCAACAAGCTCGACGGCCTGACGACGCTGCACGCCGACCACGCCCGCACCCTGCTGCGCGAGAGCCAAGACACGAGCGCCCGCATCGTCGACGCCAGCTGCAGCCTCGTCCGTGCAGAGGTGGACATATTTGAGAGCCTCGCCCGCAAGGGATGGACCGGCGGCGGGCTCGACGACTTGCTCGACAGGGGCCAGGATCTCTTTGCGAACGACGACGCCGGCGGCGCGGGCGCCAACGCCGCCGACCCTGCAAAGCTCTTCTCCATCCTCCCGCCAAAGAGCATCCTCGCCGACTCGGCCTCGGACGCCTCTCGCCTTGACCACGACCGCGCCGACGGCCTCCTCCCCGCCGACGACCATGGCGGCGACCGCCCCCGCTCCTTTGCCGCCTCGGCCACCGCCAGTACCGCCGGAACCGACACCACAGACGCCACGAGCAGCACCTCGAGCGCTGGCACCATCACCGCCGCCGGCACCGCCGCCGCCGCCTCGACCCCTGACAGCGTCGTCTCCCCCGAACCCAGCAAGCCGCGCCACCCCCGGCCCTTTTCCCCGCAGCCCATCCGCAGAATCCCCACCGACGTGACGTTTGAATCGCTCGGCGCCCTTGCCGCCACCGAGCCCCCGGGTCCTGCCCGTCGCGGAACGAGTGGCGGCCGAGCAGACGCAGGCGGTGCCGAGGGAAAAGACGAAGACAAGAGCAGCAGCAAGGCCGCAGATGGAGGAGACCCTGGCGCAGAAGAACAGCAGCCATCAGAGGCCGTCGAGAGCGAGGCACGGCAAGACCGGGGCAGGAAACCATCGCAGTCCACGTACGCGAACCGGCGCTCGTCCTTGCCGGGTCCCGCAACGACGGATAAGGACGAGGCTGATGGCAACTAGGACTTTCACATTGGCCGTGGCCGGCGCGTCACCACGACATGACTGTACGGAAGCATCGCTTGTTCATCACCTTGTGTGTTTTTTTGTACCTGTTCTTTGCCCACCCTGTCGGAGGTTTGGTTGTTTGCGCAAGCCAGCGGGACTTTCCTCGTTCGTTGTCAAGGGCTCGAGCGCATCTCATCATGGGCGTCGCGTCTCTTTGTATACCCATCCTTCCCCCTCGAACCCCTTTTTCGAAAATCATGTATATTACAGCCTTTTCCCTCCTTGCTGGCCCGGACTCGGCCAGGGAAACAAAATATGCATCATCATGAATGCATCCTCCCAATGTTTTGGGTCGTGCGCTATATGCCCCAGCCATGCCGTCCTCAATGCTGTCTGCTTTTGGTCTAAGCAAGGGGGAAAATCCCAAAACGCCAACGTGCCATGTGTAGTGCCGCCCAAACTACCATGCCTCCACAAGGGCACGCATGACGGGCACGCTTCATCAACCTCGTCAATAAGAAGAATGAAAATCAGACCCAAGACCGACGACTTCGCCCGAGGAAACCAAAGAAATGTACAGGCAGTCAGGGATTCTCACGAAGAAATGTACGCCTCGGCTTCATCGCGCAGCTCCCTCGCCCCCATCTGCCCACCCACGGACTACTCGTCCTTGTCGACGCTATACACGTCGCCTCTGAAGAGGCCAAACGTAGCGTCGAGCCACCATATGAACTTCCAGTAGAGGCTCGCGCGCGCCCAGTCAAACTCGCCCGCCTCTGTGCGCGGCACCTCGTTGCCAATCATGCTGCCGCTGAACCACCGCACAAAGGGAATCGCGCCCACGATGCGCTGCATGACCGACTGTTGCGGGAGGAGCGCCTGCTCGGCGGGCAGCAGACGGGCGCGGCGGGCCGTCGGGATGCGCCGGCAGAAGATGCTGTCGTTGGTCATCTCGACGGGCTCGGCACCCGTCGGCGGCGGCGGGGGGACGAGCTCCGTTATGGTTGCCGAGGAGGCGTGCGAGGGGGTTATCGTGGCGGTGTCCATGGTTTGGCTCGAGGTGCGTGAATTGGGCGGCGAGAGGTCGAGGAGGCGGCTCGTGAGTGTGGTCGGCATGCCGATCGGGCCCTTTCTGCGAGGCGTGCCCATGGCCGCGGGCATGCTGTTGGAGCGCTCGACGTGGTTGTGCCCTCCCTCCAAGCTGTCGACGTCGGGACACGACTCGTCCCTAGGCGGGGGCAGGCCTCTGTAGGGCTCCGCATGCACCAGGTAGCCGAGGACTCGCTGGGGACTGGCAAAGACGGCAGCGTTGCCGGCCTCGACGCTCTCAAACGTCACCTTGACCCAGTGCTCGCCCCCGTCGGCGCGGTTCACCAGAGCACGCTCGTCGGCGGCGAGGGTGCGGCGCCGCGTCAGCGCAGGGTCGCGCAGCTCCGACTTGTAGCGACGCTGCGCGGCGGGCGGATCGCGCGGGTAGTCCTCGAGGATGGGCCCGGCGAGGGCCTCGTAGTGCGCAATGGCGGCGTACTGCTGCGACGAGGAGCGGTAGCCGCGCAGCATCAGCTCGACGGGGGATGACTTGGCCGCGCGCAGGGGGGCCGCCTCGTCCGGCACCAGGCCGCTCATCTTGCGCTGCGAGGCGCCCGCCGCCGACGGCGGCGGCGGGGCGGCGGCCTGGTTCGACACCCAGTCGCCAAACAGCTTGTCGGCGGCCGCGAGCGTCGGGTTCTCGCGGGACCGCGCGGGCGTGCCGGTGCGGGAGCGGGAGCGGCGCGTTGACTTGCCAAAGGACCCTGTCTCGGCGGTGCTGCGGCGGGGGCGCGCGCTGCCCTGGTGGCCGTCGTGTCTGGTCGTCGGCGTGAGCGCTGCGGCCAACAGGAGCATCTGCTGAAGGGACGGAACGAGCTTGCGAGGCTTACTGGTTGAAGATCATGGCATAAGGCCGTTTGACGCCGTCGTCGCCGACGTAGCACTCGTCATCTGGGACGTTGTGGAGGATAAGAGGAGCCATGGTGGGTGGCTTCAGACGAGTGGGGAGGAAGAGACAGTCTGGTAGGAGAGAAGAGAATAGCGGGAGGAGGGGAAACAAAGCAAGAAATTGAGGCTCTCCAGCCTTGCAAGGATGGAATGGGAAGCAGGCGCAACAAGGGGCCAAAGGGCAGCGCTGCTGGTCGGCTTGCGATTGAGGTTATCGCTGACGATTGTTTGCGAGCTTGGGAGCTGCCCTGATAAATTTCCTGGCACGGCAACAATGGGACGGGTCATCAGTTTATCCGGCCCCGTCGGTCTGACCTCCTCGCAGTGGGATCGTGACCGTAGTTCTCCGTTTGCCATTCTGTCGACTTGGAAACAACATGTTAAATCATGGCCCTGACCTTGATTACAATTTGTTTGTATCCATTAAAATTACCCATCATCTCTCGTGATTCGTCATGTCGTCAATCGCGCGACCCGTTATCCTGCTTTGCCCTGTCCCTGCGACTCTCATCCATACTTCAAATTCCATGCCATCGCCTGGGCATCTGCATGTCCCCCGATAAAGCCCCCCCCGAGTGCCATCTGAGCCAGTCGGGTTTTTCCCTATATATGCTCCAGCTGGGCGCCTCCATGATCCTGTCTCCCCGCGTGTTCGACCACACCCCGCGAGCCGGTTGGTATAGGCTGAGGAGCCACTATGTCCTCAGGCCCGCGGTCCGCTCAATGAGCTGCAGCTCGCCGGAATGGACGCACATGTTCCGGAACAAGGCGCTGGGATCCCGCGTTTCGTCTTTGTCCAGGAGACGCTCCGGTGGGCCTTCCTCGGCCACGGTCCCGGCGGACAGGGCGACGACGCTGTCGTAGTCGGCAATGGATACGAGCCGGTGCGCAATGGTTACGACGGTCGTGCCCGCGACGTTGATTTCTCGCAGGGCCGCCTGCACAAAGTCTTCGGCTTCCGCATCCACGCCATCGGTTGCTTGGTCAAGCACGATGACGATGGACTCGCGCAAAATGGCACGAGCGATGCACAAAAGCTGACGCTGGCTTGGCGTCAGGGCTGGTACGACCTCGTCTAAGCCGACAGGGATGATGCGAGACAGCCGGAGACTCTGCATTACTTCGTATATGCGCTCGTCGGTGTGACGCAGCTGAGGATCGAGACACTCGCGCACGCTGCCGCTGAACAGCGCGGGGCATGGATCCTTGGGGACAACCGTCAACAGCTGGCGTAGCTGACTGAGCTTGAGGGACGCAATGTCGACACCGTCAAGCTCGACCAAGCCCCCTGCTGCCTCGAGTCGGTGGATCATGGCCATGGCCATGGTGCTCTTGCCGGCCCCCTTATGGCCGACGATGGCGACGCGCTGACCCCCTCCTATCCTCACGTCGAGATTTCTCAAGACGAGCCCCTGCGTTGACCCGTAGCGGGTCGAATAGTTGCGGAAGCGAATGCTTCCCCGCTGCGGCCAAGTGTATGTCGGCACCCGAAGCTCCTTGATCGACTCCACAGGCTCTCGCTCGGCGTTTGTGCACTCCCTGATGCGTTCTAGGGAGCCAAGGCCCCGCTGACTCTGCGAGCAGAAACGGATAAATCCAAGAACGTTGTCGGTGTAGGTCATGGAAAAGGTCAGGACAAGACCGGCCGCGCCTGCGCTGACGCCATAGCCTTCTCTGCCCCAGAGGATCAAAGCCGCTGCCATGGACGACGTCACGGCACTGAGGCAGGCCACGCGGCACACCAGCCACTCTCGGGCAGCGGCGTGATGAACAGTCGGTCGGCTCTCTTGATCTGTTAGGTCGTGGCCTTGAATAGCAAACGTCGAAACCTGGCCATATGCACGAACAGTGACGCTTCCGGCCAGCGTCTCCTGGATGTGTTGGCACACAGACGATCGCTTAGTGGCCGCGATCCGATTAAGACGGCGGGTTAGGCGTATGTAAAAGGCGCCGACAGCAGAGTAGGCCAAGCCAATGGGGGCAGCCACCAGTGGGAAGACTGGTAGCACGAACGATATAAAGGTCGTGACCACAACCATATTGGCAACCAGCTGGAGGGCGCCGACGCAGGACAGTGCCAGATCTCGGTCGACGACTTGGGCATCATTGGAAAAAAGGGAGGCAATGTGCCCGACCGGAGTTCGGTCCAAGAAGCTGAACTTGGCGCCAAGTATCGCCGACAAGAGGCGGTCGTGAATCCTCTCCGAGGCCTTGTGCGCGCCGTGAAACGCTATCGCGTCGCGCATGAGTGACATGAGAGCAATCACAATGGTCATGCTACCGTAGATGCCGACGTAGTATGTCCCCTTTCCCCGACTCGGACCAACAGACTCGTTGGTCTGCCGAGCCCACTGCGCAATCCACAGGTTCAGCCCAAGGCGCATCAGCGGCTGAGCCACGAAGGCGCACAGGGTCAGCAGCCAGTAGGGGCCGCGTCCCATGGAACAGAGGTAGAGCTTGATGGCGGGCCAGCTGAATGCCACAGTTGACTCGTCCTCTCGGTCTTGGTTGGCCTCCGACTCCTTTTCTCTCCTTGTCGGAGCCCTTGAAAAATTCTTGAACACGAATTGATCAGAACTTCTGTTTCCAAATTTCCGAGATTGTGTCGCTCCCCTGGTTTCGTTCCCAGTGTCGGTATTCAAGCCCGTGGCGTCGATCAGGACATCCGACGGGAGGACGCGAGCAGCGACTAGTCTCGCAGGACTACCTTGATACCTGACCTTTCCATCGGCCAAACAGACTGCGTAGTCGCAATACGGCATGAGCATCCGGAATTGTTGAGCTGCGAGGACGCAAGTCCGACCTCGCATGAGCGGTCCCTTGATGGCGTGGACCAGTACGTGTCTCGCAGTGGCCGCTTCAAGCCCAGTAAGGCAGTCGTCGAGCAGGACGCACTGGGCCCGGCTGTACAGAGCCCTGGCTATTGCGACTCGCCGCCTTTGGCTATCGGAAAGACGAGAGCCCTTCTCTCCCGCCAGTGTCAGGTCTCCCCGGAGGAGCGTGGGCAGCTCTGACAGTAAGGCAACGGCCTCAAGCGCCGTCTTGTACCGCAGGTAGTCGAACGGGAGGCCAAACGTGACTTGTTCTCGTATTGTCTTGTTCTGAATCCAGGGATTTGACGGACAGTATGCAACTGTCCTGCGAAACCCCGAGGGTTCGTTGATCCATGGCTCACTGCTGGTTTCCGCGGGCGAGTGAACACGCCCGCTGACCAAATCCATCTCTCCTAGCAAGGCCAGCAGAAGAGACGACTTGCCCGAGCCTCGTGGTCCGCAAACGACGTTCAGCCCCCCGGGGCGAAATGCAATTTGAAGATTGCTGAGCCGGAAGAGTGGTGGAGGCTCCAAGCCCACCAGAGGGTCATTTTCGGTGTAGCCGGCTGTCGAGTGGTCGCCATGCCATTGCAGTGTGGCACTGTCGAAGCCCATAATGCCGTCTCGAGTGTGAGAAATTGCAACGTTTGTGTCTCGCTGGCCTTGGCCTAGGAACCTATCAATCTTCCCCAAGGACGCGTTTGCTTGTAGTGTGACCAAGACCATGTCCGACGCTCGCTCGAGAGGCACGCGCAGAAAGGCAAACGCCGCGAGGGCCGGAAAGGCACCAGAGTTCTGAAGCGGGAGTCCAGCAACGACGGTATAGAAGAAAAAGGTCACCAGCGCTGCGATGATTGGCGCGGAGCAGCAGGCTGTCGTGTGTGCAGACCACCACGCGAACCCTGACCTCAACTTCGCGAGTTCGGCTCGCCGAGATCTCGACACCCGCCCATGAAAGCAGGATTCCCACTCATAGTACTTGATGAGTTCAACACCAGCGAGGAGCTCTGTGGTCATCTTTCCTCGACTGTCCGCAGCCCCCGATGCCTGGTGCAGGGCCACAGTTCGGCGTTTCGACATGTAAAAGCGCAGGGGAAGTAGCGCAACCAAGGAGCATACGCCGACAACGCCGCTTGCGCCCATGATACTATACAGCGTCCAGCTTGCCACGAGGAGCTGGCCGGGAACGCTCGCCCAAAAGAGATGCAGGTGGGCGCTGGCTTCGCTGATGACAATTGCGTCGACAGAAACGAGGTCAACGACGGTGCTGCCGCTCTTGATTTGCTGCGTCGCTCTCCGGGATGTGAACGCGCCTGTATCCTATACAGGAGAGCCAGTCGCCGTCTTGCAACGCAATGTTTTGGCGTAAAGCTCGCCGATCAGAGTGGACTTGAGCTTTGCAGCGGTTTTCTGACCAGTCCACTCGCACTGAGCGTGAGCGAGGCTAGACACAAGGCCCGAGACGAGCAGACCAGCCACGAGAAGCCATGCTCTGCTCGAAGGTGTCGCATCTGGAACCTCCAAGTATCTGAGGATGCCGTAAAGCAGATGCACCGGGACGTAGACTGTGACGCTCGCGATTGCTGCCCAAAGCCCTTGCAGCAGAATCTCTTCTTTGAAGTGTCTGAGCAGCCGCACGAGGAGCGGAATAGTTGAAGGCGTGGATTGGCGGAACGATGAGGCAAGGTCTGCAGACTTGAGGCCATTCGCGAGGTCGCGTAGATGGTGCGATTCGAGCGTTGCATGATATCCCTTCCAAATGAGACTCGTCATCCAAGACAGACTCATGCGAGATGCAAGGCTTGCTAAATCTTCTGGTGTTGAGTCGGACGGATCAAGAGTAGAAGACGAATTCGACATGTGCCTAGGAGCGGTAACGCGCAAGAGCAAGAGTAGGGAGAAGAGGGCGCAACGAAATGGTGATGGCCCACCAGAAAGATTTCCGGGGAAATCGGCAGCGAAGAGAGTGCCTGCGAGTGTGGACAGCCACTGCGAACAGTAAATGACCATCAGATGGCACTGCAGCGTCGAGAACAGGCCTGGAGAGTCGTCGCCAATGCAGAAGCGGACGAGGATCAAACACAGCGCGTACGCGGACGACAGAGTAGCGGCCACAAAGGAGGAAGCTCGATTACTAGAGCGCGCTGCCAGCATGAGGAGGGGGACGTGGAGGCCGATATCTGTCGCGAGCGCAAGCGCTTCAACCAAGGCCGACAGCCACGAGTCTCCCGCAACGTATCGAGGTCGCGCTGAAGATGGCGCTGCGCCGCAGGGATCGCCGTCTGCACCGAGATGTCCTCGCGGGCCAGATGGGAGGACGCCACGCGGCGAAGACGCGGATGGGAGCTTGTTCGAGAAGCATCGCAAAGGACCAAGGCGTCGCCACGCGAAGCGAGCCGTCAGGAGAAAAGCCGACAGAGCGCAAACACTGAGAGGAAGCAAGACGCCGCGGATATCGAAGCGGGCGTTGCCCCAGCCGCACTGTAGCAGCAGCAGCAGCAGCATGATGGCTCCAGGGCGAGTCGCAGCTAGCTATTCGTTTGGTCAGTTTGGCTGAATCCATGATATCGCGGCTGGTCGCGGAGCGGACCTTGGCAAGGATGCGCGCGCTTTCACCTTGAACTACATCCGGCCGCGGTCGAGGCGCCGGCTTCCATGGTTGTCGCTGCTTCAAGGTGATGTGATTGGGCTTTGCTGTGTGGAAGCGCCGACGGAGTTGGTGATGGTGCGTGTTGGCCGCTGAAGGTGGTGGGATGGCCGAGCTCCAGTGCCTAATAAGTTAGTGAGTGGCCTGTGGACTGTGCCTGCTGGGGGCGCGGGCTTGGGTTCTTGGGGGCTTAGAAATCCAGCCGTTGAATTACCAACGGGCGACGCAACGGCTGAGGCGCGGTTTGCTCATCCAGACCTCGCACCGGAAGCCGAATTGAAAAGCCCAGGCTTCGCGCGCCTCGCTTGCTGGGAATCCTTCCGTAATGTCCAGTCGCACCAAAATCCTGCTTTCGCTAGCAGTCGCAGGCGCTGCCATCTATCTCTCCCGCTTCCTCGACATCACTTACAGCACCATGAGCACACGGACCGCGACGCTCGGCCGCTGGCTGTCCAGGCAGAGCAGCTCGCCGCCCAGGATGCCCGTTTACTTCTTCAGCCACGGCGGGGTGAGTCGGGATCGTGACCGAGAGGCATCCAGGGCTGACGGCAGTGCCACAGCCAGATGTTCAGTACAACACCAAGCACCCGGTGTATCCCGTCCTGCAGAACATCGGAAAGGAAATCACGCAACAGCTGAAGCCCAAGGCCGTCGTCGTCTTCTCGGCGCACTGGATGGGCGACAAGGACACCATCCTGGTCAACAAGGAAGAGCACGCCGACCTTGTTTTCGAGTACGTGGCACCGACTGCCTGACACCCTCTTCTGACGCGCCACTCCAGCTTCTATGGCTTCCCCGACCACTTTTACAAGGCCCAGTATCCCAACCAGGGGAGCCCCGAGCTGGCGAGCCACATCATGGTCATGCTCTCCGAAGCGGGAATCCAGTCTTCGGGCGTGACGCGAGGGCTGGACCACGGCGTGTGGTCCGGCTTCAGTGTCGGTAAGAGCGGCAAGCAGCCCCGAGCGACACAAAGTGCTGACAGAAGACCGCCAGCCTTTGATCCACAGACCAACCCCCTCAACGTGCCCCTGGTGCAAGTCTCGCTCTTCAAATCCGAGTCGCCCCGTGACCACTACGCCCTCGGCCGGGCCGTGGCCCGTCTTCGCCAGGAGGGCATCGTCATCATCGGCGCCGGCATGTCGGTCCACAATCTGCGAGACATGCATTTCATATTCGAGGGCAACACGGACCCCCTGCCGTATTCTGTCAGCTTCGACAATGCCCTCAAGGACGCCGTCGAGGTCGACCCGTCTGTGCGAGAGGACAAGATGGCCGAGGTGTGTAAGCGACCGGACGCGAGGCAGGCCCATCCCTTCATGGACCACTTGATGCCCTTGTTCATCGCCGCCGGAGCAGCACACGACGACCGGGGGCGGCAGACGTGGACCATGCACGAGGGGAGCTTTGCGTGGGCGCAGTATCGGTTCGGAGACCTGCCTTGACCGTGACTGTGGCTGTGCATATTTAGATGTGCTTGGCGACGAGTATCTGCGTTTGTCCTTTTCTGTTCTGTTTGACAACACAAATTGGACCGTTTGTGCCCCGTGGTGCCACTGTACGGTGATCACGAGATTGACGAGCCGACGCCTCTCACGGAATCGCCTCGGCTGTAGAACTCGACCCGCGGGAGTGGCTCGCTGGCCATCCATCCCACAAGTCTTGTGTGTTCGGAGCCGTATCCAAACTGCTCTTGTGCCTTATCTCTCCTCATATTTTTGTCGTTGATACTGAAAGACTCGATGGGCTCGACCAGAGAGTTACCACCGGCGCTTTGTATCGGGCTGTCATCCCTGGAAAAAGAGGACAGATCATTCGTCAAGGCCTGGACCGGGACCAGCTGATCCTGGAGCTTCTCATCCACCGCGCCGCCTAGGCTTACTTCCTCGACGAGCTCCCCGCAGAGGGCCTTTGAGATTTCTGCAATGAATGTGTCTTGACGCTTGGTCTTGCGGGGCATGGAGCGATGAAAGCCTCTGCCCCATCGGATTCCGGCTTCCGAATGCGCGACCTGAATAATCGGCAATCGGGTGTGGTCACCCGAGTCCTCTGTGAGCTTGAAGCAAACGTCTGCGTCGGGGAATTGCGACTCTAGGCGCCGACTCAGCTCTGCTCGAAGCCTCTTGAGCGAGGACTGCGGAGTGATGATACTCACATCGATGCTCCTGACGTGATAGGACGACGAGGACGTATACCTTTGAGGCAGATTGTACTGAAGCGCCTGGCCCTTGGGGACAGGATGGACCTTGAGCTGGAGCCTACCCGTGAACCGTGGCCCAAAATTCCACACGCACCTATCCAGTGTCCGCTCAGCCACGATACCGAAGCATTCCTGCAGCGGGGGCATCAGGACTTGGGTCCAACATCAAGCAACAACACTCTTCTTTTCTACTGTACCTAAAGTGTGGAAATTGTGCGACTTCAAATACACAAGCAAATAACTGGAACCTTCTGGGTGGTTTAATGGTGCCTACGTTGCGTGTGGCAAATAGCCAACTGTTAGAGCAGAGAATGGACTTATAATACGCGTTGACAACACCTCTAATGGGGATGTCCCTATATTGCCTGGTGTAGCGGTATTTCCCAGCTTCACACCAACGCTATAAGGTGGCGATGGTTGCGACAACGCACTGTTGCCAGCATAAGCGGCCCAGGTAGTTAGTGAGTGACTTACCTTGATAAGGGAGGCTAATTAAACGGCGAGGGCATTTAGTTGGCCTCCGCCTAGTCGCGAGCCAACGAGTACTTACTCAATTGGGAGAAGCGGTATGTTTAATATAGGACCCGATCCCACAGATGCCCGTTTCATAGCCGTGACAGGCTCAAATCCGCCACGCTACGGGCTTACGATAGACGACGTCCTTCTGTAATCGAGCTTGTGTGGTTGCGGTGCTGGTGTTGATTGGTCGGTCGAGAGCACAAGCCCTCTCGCGGCTTTAGTTGCGTTCAAATTGAGTATTAAAGCCGCCACTAATCGCTCCACTTCCTCTCGCCAGATTAACTGCCAGCGCAGTCGTATCCCGAGTTGCGGATTCGTTACGAAACCATCGAATCCCTGAAGACGTTTTATCGCAACACCAACTTGAATATTATCCGCAGTTCCGGACCATGGCACATTGGCTCCTGGTAAATGGCCTTGTTGTTTCGCGGGCTTCTTTTTCTATCAATATTACTTCCGAAAGAGGGTTGGCTGGAACCTCCCACCTGGGCCGAGACCTTTGCCAGTGTTCGGCAACATCATGGATTTACCCCCAAAAGGAGCGCCGGATTTCCGGCATCGGCTCAGACACAAGGAAGCCTATGGGCCGATTAGTTCTGTCAGTGCAATGGGTCAAACACTTAATATAATACGCGATAAACAGGCGGCACACGACCTCCTAGTAAAAATGTCTTGTGTGTGCTATGCCCTTATGGGCTCGTCAGGCTCGAGGGCTCCGGCAGGCTCATCGTCAGAGGCTGGCGTGCGGCGAATAGCTTATTGATACGTATATGTGAATAGCTTCACTTTGCAAGGTACGCATAGAGAGGGGCGCGTAGTCAAGGCGGGGAATATACGCACCTGATTATGCGGTAAGTTATCGGCGCTGCGCCTTGATCATCCACACAACCTCACTTTTTTCTATCCCGAATAGTCAGAGAGCTATGCTGGATAACTATTAATAGTCGGCCCCCTAAAAGAGGCCCTAGAAAAGCGCTACTTCTGCTTGGCTGTAAAAATACGTAACCAGCGAGGTACCCTTTTTTTTACGAATCAAGCGTGAATCAAGCGAACCCCCGTCCCTGATCTCCATCCACTGTAGGGGCGGGGAAAGTGGTAGTCGCAGACAAGGATTGCCCGCATTTCTGACAATATCCTATTAAGCCTTCCGGGCGAAATAAATTGCATGAGTATTGCTAATTGTACATATACATATTGCTATCCGTACACTCGCCCTATTTTTAAGATACGTACCAACGCCAGCCCGCCCCGTCTATTTATACCGCGCGCGCCTGGCAAGTACCCGTACCGCCTAAATGCCCGCACATATAACCCTCACACACAACCTATATATATACTAAATTTAAAGCTATCACCGCCAGCGCTGCGATAGACGTTATCACTATTACACGCGGCCGGCCCCGTAATAATAAGCTACCTATACTAAGCTCCCTCACAGCGAGGGCATCATAGCCGGTATCATAGACGGCATCATAGACGGCATCATAGACGGCATCATAGACGGCTTTATAGCCGGTACTATAGGTATAGCCGCCTATTGCGGCTATACGGGCGTCACAGCTTCCCAATTCGAGTTAGGCTAGCTTAAGGCGGCTCAACGCGAGCGTTCGAAGGCGCCGGGGGCGGGACGAGATCGATGAACTTAGCTATAACCCGCGCTCTCTCGCAGCGTCACAACAAGGATCGTTAGCTCGAGGAAATATAAGGGGAAGGGGATCAAGAGGAGGACGCGGCAGGAGGGGCGCGCCGCCGGCTTCGTCAGGGCAGCCGGCTTCGTCAGGGCAGCCGGCTTCGTCAGGGCAGCCGGCTTCGTCAGGGCAGCCGGCTTCGTCAGGCGTTAGAGGGATCGTTGAGTGGGATGCAATTAAGGCGCCGCCGCCGCCGCCCACACAGCCGTAAGGGCCAGAGGAGGAGCCGGATTAATTAACGGGCCGATTATTGCAACTTCGAGCTCAAGGCTCGGAAATGCCTTATTTAAGCGAATTAAGAGGCATGCGTTATATGGCCTTTATCTGTGTGTATATGTGCGGGCGGGCGTAGGCGCGGGTGCGGGCATTTAGGCGGTACGGGTAACTACTTGCCAGGCGCGCGCGGTATAAATAGGCGGGGCGGGCTGGCGTTGGTACGTATCTTAAAAATAGGGCGAGTGTACGGATAGCAATACGTATATGTACAATTAGCAATACTCAATTGCATTGCATTGCATTCTCGACCCCAGTCAGCACCGAGTCCTGGCTTCCCCATCTGGTATGGTTTTACTATATGGAACAATAACGAGGCGGAGCCTGCCTCTTTGATTCATTCTTTCCTTATTAGGCGACCCAGCTATATTCGAGATTGAGAAGGGCCTATGATTCCATTATTAATATCTGAAGAACCACTCTGACCTTAAGCATAGCCTCTCTCCGTACATATTACGGAGTAGCGTCGGCCGTTTCCCGATAGGTGTCCTTCGACATATATCGAAGGTTTGCTTCCTTTTAGCGCTTTGCGTGACATTGGCATATAATGGAGCATTACGCCGCAGCCGATGCTTTGATCGAGGACTCAAAGAACTTGGGTCTCTAGCATGAAAGCAACGACCATTGTATAAGTGACGCTAAGACAATGTTTCTGCACATTAGGCTGACATATCACTAGGCCGTCGAGAAGACAAGACACAACGAACTACTTAAAAGGGTGAACTGCCCATAGTTCGGACCCCATGTGGCCCAGATAGCTCATTGACTTGTCAGTGGTGGTGGGCTCACCCTGTTCCTTTAGATGGCGGAGCTTGATGTGCCGTTTGAGGCATCAGGGCCATGCACTGCCCTGCAAACGGCAGCAGACTCACACATAAAGCCGTGAGGCTGCCCTAGATAGATTGAATCGTCACCCCTCTTTTGCACACCCTTGGCCCTGCCACGGTTATGCCCTTGCGACTCGCATCGGAGCTGGGCGCCAAGATCGAGAGCCAGTAGTGTCTCCGGGGAGACCGTTTCACTACCTCCCCCTGCTCAAATAAGAGGCGCTTAACTAAACGCAGGCACTACCTAACATCCGAGGTGTCGTAACCAAGCAACGTAAACCCATAGGAGCGAGAATTTCTCTAGTTGCGTGGATGACAACCTTGAGCCTGATTCCTGATTAGGCAATGCCGGGCCTTGTTCTGCTGCCCGCATTAATATGAATACACGAAGCGATAGCAACTTGCATTGATCATGTGACTCTTACTCCCACCGGAGTAACACGCCTCCTTTCATCTCGTACGCTAGCATTTAAACGTGGAGGCAATGCCGCAAGTCTGCCTGGCCCTCTGGGCACATCTCACGTATATATATTTTGCCTTTAGCCTTCATCATGTTTGGCATTGGACTGCTCTCAATGCTTGCAGTTCTGTCACACCGTCGTTAAACACATTCGTTAAACACATTCGCTCTTGTACCTAAGGATGCGCTGGACCATTATCGCCCTTTCAGCTGTGCCTTTTTGGCTCTCTTGGCTTGGGCCTTGCAATGGCGGGGTCTTGCCAGAGTCATCACTTGCTCGTCGACAGGCTAACCCCCGTGGCGAATTCGTCTGGCGTGCAGACGCCAGATCCCCTCAACAAATCAGGGAGACTGGTGGTTTTCAGCCTCAGGGGCAGAACTGGCATCGCAATGAAGCGGCATTTCTCACGGATCGCCATTTCAGCGCGGGCCCCGGTGGTTGTGGCTTATCACGAAACCTTACTGCCAGGCCATTTCAATCAGCCTATGTGTCATTGGCACGAAACAGGGCCACGTCGGAAACATACACTCATGAGTATTTGAATTCGAGCACATGGCTTTATGAGATTCGTGCTACGCCCAACATGATCGATCCCGGTTTGGCAGAGTCTGAAGTCCTGGCGCTAGGCGGCGTTCAATGGAGACAGATACGGAGATACGCACTTATGAACACTGTAGAAGGGGGCAGAGTCAATGAGCTACAATGGCAAGACAACCCTGAGTACGATAGGGAGCTATACGAGAACTCCGAGTATGCCGCGAGTTGCGTTGTCGACAACGAAGTCCCCCTCGACCTCGACGATGAATGGAGCGAGGATGGGATGGACTCGCTGGATACAACTAGGGAGGATACGGATGAGTATGAGTACGATGGAGCAGGCAATGAACGATATCCGCGTTATCGCTCGGCTGCGACTCATATGAGCGGCAGGACAATGGAGGCTCTCGTTGGCAGATTTCCGCCAACTTTCACGCAATACGGATCAGGGGCGGCGGCATCGTCTGAGGAAGACGTTATTCGTGATGAAGGTAAGAGTTTCCCCTGCGCGACTGCCGAGGCGACACGGTAAAAAAGTCCTGGACGGACAAACAAGACTTGCGTACTTGCGGACTCGCGACTTGATGCTAACTACTGATAAAGTCATGAGAGACTTGGAGCGCTACGTGGATCTGACCGCGGAGCAAATCCAACAACAATACCCAGACTATGCCCAAAACCTCCAAGATCTCTTAGATCACCTTGACCGGGACACTTGCTCCCCTCCTAAGCGACCCCGTATGCTCTTGAGAGCTCGCGCCGGTATGGAAGTTTGTTTCTTGGCAGTATTGGCCGCGCCGAGACTGATGAGGCTGCAGAACAACCAAAGAACACTTGTTGCCAGAGTCTTTCCAAAATTAGGAGACTGGTTGTCGAGCAGAAAAGGAAATCACGTAAAACGGACAAGGCCGCCGGCGTATCACCAGATGAGCTAAAGCGTTTGGAAGAGGGTCAATTCGACGGTTTTGATGGTCTTCGCTGCACAGCCATCCTTACCGCGGTATTAGCGAGCTATACAACCAAAGGAAAACCGAGTGGCAGTCTCGGCCGTCGTAATGATGAACAAGGTACGGCATGTGTGACTCGCAACAGAAGCCAGTGCCTCCGCTAACCATTGTTCTATTCACAGTGCCAATGGCCGATTGCCAGCGAGCTCGCGATATTGTACTACGACAGAAAATTCCGGAACCTTGCCGCAAAGTCAAGAACATAGAATTTGACCTTGCCTTGTCCAGCGATTATTGGTCTGGAACCTATGATAAGGTCGCCGGGACTATCGAAGGCCCGGCTGGCAAGGCAGACTTTTTCTTCGCGGAGGCACCCGCGCGAGGGACTCAGAAGACGATTTCCGTGGATATGAAAAAGTCCTTCGGCTCAGATGAAATTGATATCAACGGCATTGATAAGATCACCCTTACTGCCCAGGGGGTTTTTTGGACCCTCAAAGTCGGTAGAAATGACAAGTTCCAGGTTCAAGGTAAGAAGGAACATAACAAGTTGGCTTCCAGAAACTAATGGGGTTGCTCCAATATAGATATCAAGATCCGCGCGCAGTGTTCTGATCCTAGCTTCAAGACCAGGAATGATAAATTCATTGGGGTCAATGCATGGTACGGCCATCCTGGAGGTTGGTTTATTGAGCCTTTGAGAGAGAAGACTGTCGCAACCTTCCAAGTCACTCCTGGAGATTGGACTTTCGCCCCTCCCTGCAGTGTGATCAAGGACCTCAGGTACGACTTCAAGGTAGCAAATGTCATCGGTGGCGGAACCTATGACAAGATACACCTTACTCTCGGAGAAGGCAAGCAAATTGAGCTTGGCAGCAACGTGGCTGCTGGATATACCAAGGAGGATGCGATCAACCTTAAGGAGGCTTTCGGTAAAGACACTGTTGATGTTCGCGACATTAAGAAAGTGGCTCTGGCCGATGATCTTGGCAGCTCCCTTATCAGCGGCGACGCATGGACCTTTCAGGGTATGTGCTCTCTTAAGCAATTCCTTGAGAAGCCGAGAACATACTAACCGGACTCCTTTCCTGTTCTAGGCATCACTTTCTCGGCATCTTGCGCAGACGTGCCGAAAAAGATGCAAATGAAGAAGTTTGAATCGGTCAATCAAGATGTCAAGCATGTAGATAACGCACCGGTTTGGACTGGCGATATTGTTCCCCAGGATTGGACGGAAGTGGTCTAAAGAATCAGGGAAACGAAGGCAAACAGGACTTGACTGAGCAGAACACAGTCCCTTTAGCAGCGCAGCACAGTCCCGTTAGTTGGAGTCGCTAGGGGGCTGAGTGGCTTAGAGTCCGATGCAAACCGGGAAACGTCCTACTGGTCTCAACTAGATTAACCCTGCCTTAGCATGGCCCTGATATTCGACGTGTGTTGATCGGAGTAATCCTGTTGGGAAACACCTTGGGCCAAACATCAACCCCGTCTAATAACACCATGCCCATTCCGAAAAACAGGTGTGTCTCCATGTGGCAGTGGGGCAGAAATGGTCCTGGATTCCCAGCCTGATAGCGAATTGCAATCCATCCCAGGGCTCCTAATAGTGCAACTGGTGCGTGTAGACCGCCCAAACGGCCCCTTCAGTGCGTGTGACTTGGCCAGACCAAACTGCCAGTCCGTTCAGCTTGGTCGCACTGAACTGTCAGTGCAAACTGTGGTTTATATTATTAGTGCGAATAACGCGAGCATAAAATTTGACTGTCTTGGACGAGGCAAGATGCCGTGTATGCCCGTCAACTGAGTCTACTCAGCGGTCCGACTAGCTTTGTCCTGTCGCGAAGAGCGTGCACAGCCCGGGTGGTTATGATGGGACATTGGAAACCAACGGTTCAATTGGAGTGCGCGCTCACTTTTGCTTCGCGCGGCGCAGTGGTTGTTCCCGACATGTCCAGTTTGGCCGCCATTTAAGCAGTTTGACCAATCACATCATGAACCGAGACGAGCATCGTGGCTTAAGAGGGCCCTACTCGTTAGAGAAGATCAAATTATAGATAGTCTTATCTATTCGAGCCTGTAGCTCCTTTACCTACTTATCCTAATCGTAGGGCTCTGCTAGAATCGTCCTATAGACCGTAAGGGCAAAAGAGTCGTTTTTCGATATCGCTATGGAATTTTTTTTTAGAAAAATCGGCTCTTTTTAAATGAGGGAAAAAGGAAGAAGGTAGGAAGAAGGGTGCCTTTTATAGCAGCCGGAAGGTATAGGAATTGTATTCCTCCCGGGCTTATAACTCTCGCGAGATATAAGAAGTATATAAAATGCACTAAGGTTAAATTAACGGTAAGGGGTAAGATAAGCAAAGCAAAGCTATTTAAATCTTTCGAGGGCAATAACAATAGCAAAGAGTTAATTATAGTATAGTTCTAATCCCCTTCCTTCTTTATCTAACGCTCCTCTTTATATCCCTCTAGCATCCTGATTGATAAAGGAAATCCCTTAAAGCCTCGATCCCGATATCTGTTAGATAACTAGCAATTTTACTCCTTTTTTCTAGCCGTTGCCGGCACCCCCGTCTCATCTCTCGCTACCTCCATAGGAAGCTCGCTACTTCTGCTTCCCCTCTTTCCCCCACCCTTCCTTCTGCACCTCCTTTCCGCTTCCTCTAGAGCCCCTCTTGCCAAGGGATATCTCCGAGACCTGCGAAATCCGGCCACGCTTCGCGACAACAATACCTGAGAGGCTACTCATTTCCGTCCTGGCATGCAGCGTGGGTTTCTGCTAGAGTTCAATCTATTCAAGGTTATGTATACAGGCAAGTCCATGGCCATTCCGTTTAGATGCGACTAACACCGCCTTGATAATTCTCGAGTCAACCATCCACAACCCCAACCGACGCGGCGATATACTCCGCAACGAGGTCGACAGCAGAAACAAGCACATCATCATGCCCCGTATCCACAAAATGTCTTATCCAGTTCAACCTCCCCGCCTGGAGCCGAAGCTCGGCTCCCCAACCCAGATCGGCATCGGGCAGCCGAGCGCCTAGACCGTGGCTGGCCTGCACCAGCATAACCCCCAACCTTGGCCTCATATCATCACCATCCGCCATAATTAAAGTAGTTCCGTTATCCTTCTCGCTTTTGCCATCCCCTCCTCGCTGCCTTCTGTAGCTACTGCCACAGAGCGCCTGTAAACTCCCCTGCAACCCAAGCGACGACTCGACGAGGTCCGCGTCCGCGATCCAGGACGGGATGCCGCGGGACTTATCGTAGCATTTCCGGACCAGAGGCGGAAGGGCCACCAGGTCCGTGTACTCGTCGAACCGACTGTCCATGAGTAGCTGAGTCAAGATCTGGACCTGGTCGCTCTGGGTCTGGCTCTGAGCCGTCGACTTGTTCTTCTTCTTCTTCTCAGACGCTGACATGTTGGCGCTGCTGCTGCGGGTGCGCTCCGCGACATAATCGATAATATGCTCGGCGTAATTCTCGGCCACCAGGGCGCAGGGGTCGATTTCACGCACCGCGGCGTCGAGAGTCGGGGCGTCGAGCAGGATGACCCGCACACTGGTTTCTTCCTCCTGGCCTTGCTCCACCACCATAGACTGTATGCGCTTGCCCGTCTCGTAGGCCAAGGTGCCTCCAAAGCTCCATCCCAGCAAGTACAGCGGCTGCTTGGAGTCACGACCCGTTCTGCTGCGGGCACTGATGAAGTCGGCCAAGATGTCGGCATACCTCATCGCGAGGGCCTCCACCGTCAGGGGGGAGGAAGCCTCTTCTTCTTCTTCTTCTTCCCTCCTCGTGGTGGCGAGTTCGCGACCACTACTAGTCCACGGTAACCCAACGATCCGGGCCGCCCCCCGGAGCCGCGCGCCCAGGGCATCGGCAAATTCTGCCATGGGCATCAAGCCGCCCCCGATGGGATGCATGACGACGATGTCCATCATCATACCCTGGTTCTCTTCATCCCTCTCATTCCCCCCCTCCTTCCCCGAGTATGCAATAGTAGCAGCAGGCCGGAGCAGCACCAAGGGCGCGGGCAGGTCGCCGGTTTGGTCTTGCCAACGGCGCATGTCGGCCAGGCGCGCGGCCAGCGCCGTTGGCGTCGGATGGGCCAGGACGGCTGTGAAGGGCACCGCCAGGCCTCCCCCCCATAAGCGGGTACGCATCATCTGGACCGCGCGCGCTGCGAGAATGGAGTGGCCCCCGCTGAAGAAGAAGTCGTCGTGCACAGAGCAGGGGCGGCCGAGGACTTCGGTGAAGATGCCTGCGATGTCGCGGGCCAGTGGGAGGATATCGCTGGGAACTATAGCCGCACCGGGCTTGCTGTCGGGGTCCTCAGAGTGTCCGCTTTCTTGTTGGTGATGTTGAGGTGATGCGGCCCCGCTTAGCAGGTCACCAGGCCGTGGTGCTGGGAGGAGCTTGGCATTGACCTTGCCAGTTCCTGCGAGGGGGAGGCCGTCGACGGATATCATATAGTGTGGTATCATCTGCCACGGATGCATTAGCCACGTCTTGACGAAGACGACGATGATGACAATATGGGAGAAAGAAGCAGGATATAAGTCAACGACTTACATAGCGAGGCATCTTGTGGAATAGATGCATGAAGATTGACCTCCGGGTTAGCTGCGACATATCTGCTCGACTACATAAAGGCTGTTGAGTAGTGTTGGAGCAAGCATTAAACTCGGAGAGGTGTGTGAAGGCCCAGCTTGTCGCGGCGCTCCGGAACAACGACGACGGCCGAAAGACAACCAAGTCAAAAGCCACAGGCGTCTTTGGCGAGGGCACAATCAAGGCGTCGTACCCCGTCGCTTGCACTTGAGAAACCAAGACCTCTGGATCCCAGCCTGTCCGCGTTGCGCCAGACTCTAGCACGGCCGAGACAGCATCATGGCCGGCAGTCGCTGACGTGGGATCAAGAAAACGTCTCAGGTGCTCCGATACCTGAAGCCGCTTGTTCGGGACGTCTTGGAAAATCATGATGTCGGTGTCGGATGGAAGAAGAGTGTGCATATCAGAGAGTCGATGCTGCTGCCCCTGCCCCCACGAGACAGACCGTTCTAGTCGCGTCTCGTCTTCTTCAGCTTCCTCGACCATCATGAGCACCGCATCGTACCTAAAAAGTCAGCCCAAGTCAGCTCGGGCCTTTTAACGTGTTCAGTTGGGGGATGAGGAGCAAGCTTTACCGGAATAGCGTCATCTCCGTTGGGGCCGATCCTCTCCTCCACTCGATCCTTGCACGCCCTTCGAAGAGCCGATTGACTGCACCACACCGGTCTACAAAGAAGGAAGGGTCAACCTGAAGCTCTTTATCTTTGTCCAGGATGTCGGCTGCGGACACCTGCAGTGCTGCGGCTGTTCTGGCGCCCCTGGAAAACGCCGACGTGACGGCATGGTGTATCTTGAGTCCCTCGTGACGTATATCGCCCATGAAGAGCAACCCCGACGGGGCCTGCCTGTTGCGGGCTCGCCGGAGCACCTGGTCGAGATACTCGAGAGATGGAAAGTACTGGGCCACCGAGTTGCATATGATGAGGTCGAATTGCTCGCCCTCGGACAGCAGGCTGTCGAACTCATGCGCTGGGAGTGCCTGTGTCCGGATGTGGTGGTGCCCCAAGGTCCCGGCATGTTGCTGCACCTGGGCCACCGTGGACTCGGCCAGGTCTGTGCCGTAATAGCTGCTGACCTTGTCTGCGAGGCGGAACAAGATCATGCCTGTGCCGCAGCCTATCTCGGCAACCCGCGGTTTCTGTCCTCCCCGGAAGCAGTCCAGGTCGAGGATCCGCTCCACGGTACAGTTTACCCACTCCTCCATGTCCTCCTTCGGAATAGTGCTCCGGTCGAAGCTCGAAGCCCAGCCCCGGTAGTCGAACCCCAGATCGATCCCCTCGTCATCGTATTCCTCCAGGCTATGGTTGACATCGGTGAACATGGTTCGCCAGTTGGAAACCGTCTCGAGGTCTTGCTGTTCACGCCACTGCCGGTGCAAAACGACATGGGCCACCACCTTGGTTTGCTTTGCGCCCGCTCCATCCTCTTCGTCCACGGCCGAGACGTGGGCTTCTCGGACTTCTGGATGACTAGCCACGGCCAGTCCGACTTCGTCCAAGTCGACACGAAACCCGCCCAGGACCTTGCGCATCGAGTCCGACCTCCCCAGGACCTCAAAAGCGCCACTGCCTGAGCCCGTCCACCTCCCGAGATCACCCGTCCTCCACCCGCGCAGTTTTTCGCGGGAGATGAACTTGGCCGCGTTCAGTTCGGGCAGGCTGAGATACTCTCTGGCTAGACAGGATCCCCAGATGACTATCTCACCCACAGCGCCCCTGGGGAGGTCTCGCAAGTCTGGACCGACAATCGAGATGGCCGCGCTTGGTAGCGTCGTGTCGATGGGGCTCCGACGTCTGCCAGTCAGCCAGCTCAGGTCGGACGCCCTGTAATCCCCATATGACGAGAAAATGGTGCCTTCGGTAGGGCCATACACGTTCTTCACCTCGACCTTTTCGGGGCAGCTCGACCGCGCGTATATGAGCGACAAGAATGCAGGAGGCAGCTCATCCCCGCCGAGGAGAAGGCAGCGGAAGCGAGGCCCGAAGAATTCGGGATGTGACTGTGAGGCCTGGCTCATCCACAAGCGGATCGCGGCCGTGGTGGTGCAGAGGTAGTTGATCTCATGCTTGCTCAGCGTTGCGGCGATGTACTCTCCATCCTGCTCGCCCCCGTGCTTGGCAAGGATGAGCCTTCCGCCGGTTGTGAGCGCCGAGTACATCTGGGACAAGGACCCGTCAAACGCCGTATTCGAGGTGAGAATGCTGTTGAATACCGTCGGGCCCCCAGGTCGCGCTGTCCACGACCGGATATGATCGAGGAACTGGATGAGGCTCTGCTGCTCGATGGCCACTCCTTTCGGCGTCCCAGTCGTTCCGCTGGTGTAGATGACATAGGCCAAGCTGGGTTCCCGAGACGTCTGGGGAATATCCCAAGCAGCGTCCCGTGGGCCGTTGAAAAGCTCCACGGGGTAGATGATAGGAACGCCGTGGGTGGAAAGGGATGGGAGATCGGCGTCAATGCCGCTTTGCGTGATGATACAGCCCGGTTTTGCGTCGTCGATTATGCGCATGACTCTTTCGCGGGGCTGATTCACGTCGCAGCATATCCAAGGTCGGTCAGCCAGAGCGGAGGCGATCTGGGAGACGGGAACCTCCCATGATCTTCGGAGAAGCAGTAGAACTGCGCCCGGCCGTGAAGCTGTGAGATGAATCTGGTGAGCTAGATGTCTTGCCATCCGTGATAGCTCTTCATATGTGATGCAGCAGTTCGAGACCTCGTCGACTATCGCAACGTTGTTCTGCCTACAAGTATCAACAGCCCGAAGAAGGTATGCACCTAGATCTTCTGGGTGCTTGCGAGTTTTGTCTCCTATGGCCAGCAGATCTTTTGGCTGCGTCTCGACCAAGGTCAGTTGTCCAACAGGGATCTCCCATGCCCGATGTGAAGCGATGCGCTGTAATACGCAACTCATGCAATCTGAAATGGAAGCTATCGTTTCGCGGTCGAAGAGGTCTGCATCGTACTCGAGCTCGCCCGAGATGGATCCATCAACGCAGAGCTCGGTAAAGCAAGTCAAGTCGGCGCGTGCGGCGCCGTTGTGGAGCGGCCACCGCTTGAAGGCGCAGGCGTCGGCCAATTTTCCCTCAGGGGCGTCCTGGAAGGAGAAGCAGAACCTGAGCAATCTTTCGTGTGTGGAGCTTGAGCTCTGCTGTCGACGATATACATCAGCCAGGAGCACATGCTGGTTTCTGCGCAGTGTACCCAGTCCGGCCTCGACCATGTCGAGAAGGTCAGACAGCCGATGCTCCTCCTCGGCTTGGACTCGGAGAGGCAGCATGTTGACGAAGAAGCCTATACACGCTGCAGTTTCGGCCGTCACTCTGTTGGCCATGGGTACTCCCAGGGCGAGGTCGCTCTGACCACCGGCGAAACGTCGAAGCACAGCTGCGTACACGGTAAGCAACAGCGATGTTGGCGTGATGTTACGACCAGCCGATGCAAGAGCTTGACGCATCAGGGTAGCAGGCAGCTCAAATCGCAGAACGCCGCCTCGGCTGTAGCTTTTCTTCTGCGGAGGCGCCAGGTCGGTGGGCAGGCCGACGGACTCGGGCACATTGCGGAGGTAATCGCTCAGTTCCGTAATGGAGGCTTCGGCCGGTATGGACTGTAAGTCGAGCGTGGCCACGACGGGGACAATGGATTCTAAAGCAGCAACGGGGTCTTGGTACAAGGTGTTGAGCTCCTCGAGAAAGATGCCGTCGGAGAAACCGTCCCAGCAAATGTGATGCGCCTGTACGATCAGGACCGATATTCTTGCATCCGGCATCCCTTCGGGATTCTCGGCTTCTAGTAGATGGATCTTGAGCAAGGGCCCAGAGAAGAGGTCTAGAGGAATACTAAACAAGTCGGCGCTGACCCGCTTGAGATTATCTGGGCGAACCACTTGATGATTCCAGATACTCTCCCACAGCGAACCGCTGAGCGGGAGAATGCGTTGTTTCACCTTACCAGCGCTTCCAGCACCGACGAGCACGCATCGAAGGGCTTCATGCCGCCTCACAATGCGCCTAATGGCGGCCTCGAGAAGCTGCGAGTCATAAGATCCCTGAATCTCGATCGCCACGCCGTCGTTGAAAAATGGGGAGTCGGGCTCTTTGCTCTGAGCCAGATACAGCTGCTCCTGGCTCGGTGTTAGGTCAAAGACCTCGTCGGCATCGGGGGTGGCTGATGGCTTGCCCGCAAAGCTGGCTGGCCTACTTTCCAATAAGACGGCCATGTCCGACAGCTGCTGGTGCCGTAGAAGCTCGGGCACAGTGACCCTGACATTGAATCGGTTGTATATTTTGCTCGTCAACGTGACCATGGTCAAAGAATGGCCGCCGAGCCTAGCGAGGTTACTTTCCCTCCCAAGCTGAACTGATGGCTCGAGAGAAAGCGTCTGCCGCCATAAATCGGCCAGCGACTTCTCTGTATCGGTGATGACTGGTGAAACTGATGCATTGGCAGCCTTGGGTCTCCGTTCACACCACTCGACAGCCAAGGCCTTCTTGTCTACTTTGCCGCTTGAGTTGAGCGGCAGCTTTTCCAGCAATACAAAGTGCGAAGGCTTCTCAAAAGCTATCAGATGGATGGCGCAGCTCTTCTCGGCATCGGACAAAACGGTCTCTTCAGGGTGGCCCTCGCGCGCGACGAGAAATGCGACCATGGCCTCGGATCCCTGGTCCTCCACTACGATAATGGAGGCTTCCATGACAGATGCGCAGCCCGCTAGAACCGACTCCACGCCCTCGGCCTCGACTCTCTGACCCCGGACCTGGAGCTGCAAATCGACCCGACCGCAGAAGCCAAGCTCACCTGTCGGTTTTCGGACCACAAGGTCCCCCGTGTTGTAGACACGCTCGTAGCCAGGCATCACCCATTCCTCGAACGGGTTGGGGACGAACTTGGTCGCCGTGAGCGTTTGATCGCTTAGGTAGCCAACAGCCAGCTGAGGCCCGGCAAGCAGCAAACGCCCGACTTGACCATCAGGCACGAGCACGTTGGAGTCATGCTCGGCAACATAGGCTTTCATCCCCGGTAAGGGCCTTCCAATGTTCAACGTCGTGTCACTGAGGTCGAAGCGTGTCCCAAATGTCGCTGAGATGCAGGATTCCGTGGGCCCATAGGCGTTGACAAGCTCGACACTGCCTTTCACAGCAGAAGCCCAATGCCGGTATGCATCGGTACGTGCAGCTTCCCCCCCGATGACCACGAGGCGGAGAGTGCTAGGCAGGCTTTCGCCACTGTCAACGAGATGCGGCGACAAACGGTGCCAGAAGGCCGTGGGCATTGACACGGCTGTGATTCGCGAGGTGGTGATAAACTCGAGGTAGCCAGTGAGCGAGTCGAGGCCCCTCTGAGGCTGGCAGACGATGCAAGCGCCGGCGCTGAGCGGCACGAAGAGCTCCTCGAGGCTGACGTCGAAGGTGTAGGGGGCTGCGTGGAGCCAGCGATCGAGGCTGTTGGTTTTAAAGGTGCGCCTGCTTGCATCCAGGTAATGGAGCACTGAGGAATGAGACATGGTAATGCCCTTTGGTTTCCCGGTGGTACCGGACGAAAAGAGCGTGTAGGCCGCGCTGTTCTCTAACGGTGTTGAGGGCAGCCTGACGTCTGTTGTGCCACGGTCTGTGTGACTGGCAAGAAGTGTTTGCACGCTGAGCAGCAATGGCTTAGTGCCGGTTTCGGCATCATCTAGCTTGTCGCTTAGAGCCTGAGAAGAGGCATCGTCGGTGAGGACGATCTGGACGCCGGATATCTCGAAAGTCCTCGCTAGCCTCTCGGTCCCGGCGTCTAAAGTGAGAGGAACATAGCAGCAGCCGGCTACTAGGATGCCCAAGAGAGCAACAATGGCGCTCGATCCTCTTTGGATACAGAGTCCCACCGTTGGATTTTGGTGTAATGGTACGTCATTCTCAGACGCGGCTCTGAAAAGCGCATTGGCAATCGTTTTGGCACGGTACAGAGCCGTTTTGTAATCAACAACATCTCCCTGGTCCTCAATGGCTGGGGCATCTGGCTGCTCGGCTGCACGCCAGTAAAGAAGTTGCTCCAGCCGCCTAGCAGGCTCTTCGTACGCTAGGAGACCCATTGCGTCGCAGTACAGATAGTGCAAAGAGGTGAAGATACAGTAGAAATTGGGATTAGGTAGAAGAAAATAATACAAAGGGGTCTGCCAATAAGTTAGGTTGAAGGCGGAAATGTGTTCGCCAGGTTATATGTATGATCCAACACATCACGGGTTGTTTCGGTCCTTGCCCAGACAGCCCCCGTCAGTTTATTTACACGTGTTCCCCTGTCACCGTGTCCAGGTGCACAGTATACGGACCAAGTTCAAAATTATACCATTATCGTCTCCGACAATGTACGTCTTCTGGCTGACTTGCGTTTGGAGTTCTCCAGCAAGTAAGCAGCTAAATAACAACGGTTTAGGTCAATAACCCCCCCAGGTGGGCCATGGCTAGCCTGAAGCCGTGCTCTTTGCAGCTTCCTTTCTCGGCGGTTTATACGAAGTAGTTGGTTAACAAAAGTTCTGGGTAACCCCGCTTGAGGCAAGATCTATATCCCTAACCCAACATTCTTTAAACCCGATTACGGGGCTAAATAGAGGCCGATTAATTCAGGGAAAGGGCAGTATACCAATTTAAAATGAGGGCGACGTTGTCCTGGACATAAAATAACTGCACGCCATCCCAAGGCTCCAAAGACACAAAGAACAGTAAGTATTGTCTGAGAAGGGGCGGTATGCTAATAAGAGGCACCGGAAAGTATATGAGTAATAGGTTCTCTTTTTGTCTTAGTCTTGCGCCCTTTCCGCCGTCGGTGATAAAATAGTGTCAGACTGCTCAGTCTGCGGCTCAAGCTTATAGAGGTAGAACAGGGCTAAACAGGGATACACCGCCACTTCAGGAATGGAACCGTTTCTGTGATGGTTGGGTCTCTATGCGGGCGTTGCTGGGCCTTGACGGTGGAGCCGGGTCAGCGGCCGGGTCAGCGGCCGGGTCAGCAGCCGAGCTCGCTGCCTAATCCACGGCAGGCTAGCGTGAGGCGGCTCAAGACAAGCGTTGAGCGGCACCTCTTGCAGAATGAAGTTAACGAACTTAGGAATACAGCCCACGGTTTCTCACAGCGTTACAACAGAGATCGATAGGCTAGGAAAGTATAAGGAGAAGGGAATTAAGAGGGATATAGAGGGGTAATATACCTATAGCTTCATTAAGGCTGCTTGCTGTCTTTCTCAGGCGTTAGAGAGGTTGAGAGGGAAGCCATTAGGGTGGCCGCACCCGGCTACGTGTAAGGGGCTACGCCCCGATGTAATGTAAGGGGCTACGCCCCGATGTGTAGATCTGGCATGGCCAGACTAGTCACGTGCGAGCGCCACGGACACGACTCCTAAAGGGAGCGATGTAGACACGTCTCCCCTTTACACTCTTTGTAGCTCAATTTACATCAATTACGCCCAGCACCTGTGCTAACAGTGCTGACCCGTAACATATTGAGCTACCAGTTAACAAAAGACAGGACAGACAGAAGGACAGACAGCAGGACAGACAGCAGGACAGACAGCAGGACAGACAGCAGGACAGACAGCAGGACAGTCAGCAGGACAGACAGCAAGACAGGCGATAGGCTAAACGACGAGACGGACGATCGATCGGACGACGAGACGGACGAACAAGATGGAGGACAATAGTAGTTATGCAGGGCACCGCGACCGGCGGCGCAACGAGCCGATGGAGGGAAGGAGCAAGAGCTCTTGCAGATCTTATCTGGGATCGCGGAGACGAAGAACTGCGGAAGATGTTCACCGGGCTAGGCCTAGCAGCGCCACCGTTGACACCCAGCCCGGGGGTGCTCAGTACCCCGGCGATCTTACCCGTCGAACCGAGGCCGGAAGCAGCCCAGGAAATGGACCGTGGCAAGAAGCGCAAGCCGATGACTTGGCCGAAGTGGAACGGTCAACCCGAGTCCTTCCACTTCTACCTCGACCGTCTGGTATTTAAGTACAATACCGACGAAGAGGAGGGCCTAAACGGCAATAACAACGTCGTGTGGTACGAGATCCTGCAGACCTTGCCGGATCAGATGATGAGGAGAGTCGAGGGTTTTTGGAGGCAAGAGAGCGCGAAGGGCAACCCAGACCCCCGGAAATTCTTCTCGCACCTAGCCCAGACGTTCGGCAGCGTGCAGCAGACAGAGAGGGCGCAGGACAGGCTGCGCACCCTCATTCAACGAGACAGCCAAGAGTTTGGGAAGTTCCTCCTGAATTCGAGGAAACATTGACCAAAGCGGGCGGCGCGAGCTGGGATAATGCTTCCAAGCTCGCATGGCTACGGAACTCGATCTCTCCTGCTCTCCGTGAGCAACTAGTCCCGGTTATCATGCCGAAGGACTACAACGAGTACATCCAACGTCTACACCCGATTGCTTGGGCGTTCGAGCACACCGCGAAGTTTAAGGCGTTGCAGAGGCAGGGCTCCCGCGGGCAACGTGACCAAGGGCAGGCATCAGGCATCGGCAACATCCAGGTCGCCGGTAACGACAACACCCCGGCACCGTCAGCAACGTTACCCGCCGAGCAGAACGCACGTGACGCACGCGACCATGACGGCGACGTAATAATGACGGTTACACGCACTCAGGGCAGGGTCAGAGAGGACGGGCGAACGGCCAGGGTCAAGTGGAACGAGCAAGACGGTTCGCTTCCAGCCTAGGTCAGGACGGAAGCAACGGGCGAGGTGGGTATCCGAGGACGAACGGAATAAACGCCGTGACGAGGGTCGTTGTCTCCGCTGCGGCGACAACACCCATTTCATTGCCGCTTGCCCCTACTCGCCAGGACAGGACCCTAGCCGGTCGAGGGATGTAAAAGTCCGCACCGCTAGGATCATGCCCTTGCTGGAAGATGATGGTAACGACTCTAGTGAGGAAGAGTCAGGACTTAGCGAGACCCCATCCCTCTCGGAAATGCGTAGCCTCGAAACAAAGACGGGTCTCGAGGCCAAAGAACGGAGCAGTGGCAAAGAAGAGAAGTTCTCAGGAAAAATGGAAGTTGGTCCTACAATAATTCGAAGCATTATCAATAGGACCAATCTCTTCTCCTCACTCGTAGACGAGGGATGCCAGTGCTACGCCGCGGTTGACGAAGAAGTCGTCGAAAAGTTGGAAGTTCCTATAGTGGAAATAGCACCGCGAGCTATTACAGGAGCATCAGGGGCAATGGAAGGAGCAACGATTAGGGGCCTCGTATGGCTATCAATGGAGGTCAACGGCCACATACAGACGATCTGTGCCTACGTGGTGCCCCGATTGGAATTCCCCCTAATCCTAGGAAAACCCTGGTTATGCCACACAAAGTCGTACTCAGTGCCCCACGAGAAACGACTATGGCATGAACCTACACAAGACTGGGTAGATCACCTCGGGGAAGGAGAATATTCTGCGAAAGCCAAGGAGTTCGAAGAAGCAAAGCACGTACTAGCCAGTACCTTTGTGGGTTACTTTGAAAGGATCCGCAAGCAGGAAGGAAGAGAGGCAGCTGCCACGGCGATTTTCGCTATCAGCATGAAGGATATCGAAAGGGCGTTATCACCAAAGAAACCCATGTCAGAAGCAGAGCTACGCCGAACGATACCCCAGCGGTTCCACGATTTACTGCCTCTATTTATGAAGAAGGAAGCTGATAAGCTGAATCCTCATAAGCCAGGCATAGACCACGAAATCAGAATCAAGGAGGACCCGAATGGCCAGCAGTTACCACTACCGTATGGAGCACTATACGGTATGTCACGAGAGGAACTCCTGGTTCTTAAGAAGACTCTACGAGACCTAGTGGATAAAGGATTTATCCGTGCAAGCAGTTCAGAAGCAGCAGCTCCAGTCCTGTTTGTGAGGAAACCAGGTGGCGGGCTGCGATTCTGTTGTGACTACAGAGCGTTGAACGCAATCACTAAGTCGGACCGTTACCCCCTTCCTCTAATAGGGGACACACTTCGCAACCTAAAAGATGCGAAGTGGTTCACTAAGGTCGACGTGGTACAAGCGTTCCATAAAGTACGGGTTGCAGAAGGAGACGAGTGGAAGACAGCGTTCCGCACCCGGTACGGTCTCTTCGAATGGATGGTTACCCCGTTCGGGCTAAGTGGCGCGCCAGCAACCTTCCAGCGGTATATTAACGGTATCCTACGAGACTACCTCGACGAGTTCGCCTCTGCTTATATGGACGATATACTTATCTATTCGAGCGGGAGCAGAGAAGACCATTTCCGGAAGGTACGGTTAGTTTTAGAACGCCTCGCCGAGCATGGACTACACCTAGACCCGGAGAAATGCGAATTTGGAGTCAAGCGGATTAAGTACCTAGGATTCATTATTCACGCAGGAATTGGCATTCAGGCAGATCCCGACAAGATACGAGCAATAGTCGAGTGGGCAGTCCCCGTTACCCAGAAGGGGTGCGCAGTTTTCTAGGATTCGTTAACTACTACCGGATATTTATACCGCAAGCCTCGGAAATAACTGCACCCTAACAGCACTAACAGGAAGGGGACTAAGTTCAAGTGGACGGACGAGCACGATATGGCGTTCCAGACACTAAAGACGCTATTTACGAACGCCCTATTCTTACTCAATGGGATTTCGAGAGGCCAACCTTCGTAGAAGCAGACTGTAGCGGCTGGGCGCTTGGGGCACACTTACGCAGGAAGTCGACGGACAACGCAAGCCAGTAGCGTTCCACTCGCAGAAGCTATCACCGGCTGAGCGCAACTACCCAATCCATGATAAGGAAATGCTCGCTATTATTCGTTGTCTCGAACAATGGTCAGCCGAGCTACGAAGCTGTGATAACTTCGTTATCCTTACCGACCATAAGAACCTCGAGTATTTCATGACGCGCCAACAGCTCTCGGAAAGGCAGGCACGTTGGGCTGAATATCTCTCGCGTTTTAACTTCCAGCTCCAGTACCGTCCGGGACGGGAAGCAGTGGTGCCAGACGCGCTCTCGCCGCGAACAGGACCGACCAAACGAAGCGGATCACGAAGCACGAGATATGCAGCTTATTCCAGAAGCAGCCCTACGTACCTACGTCGGAGTAACGTCGACTCAAGCGGGAGAAGGCGAAGAAGAACACACGGTTTTCCACGACCCAGAGCTACAACAATTATGGCAGCAAACGGCAAACCAGGATCCAGTCTTTACAAGCGTTTATAACGCGGTACGAAACGGATCTCGGTCCCTCGACCCCAAGCTTAAGCTGAAGGTACAAGTCGCCGAGTGCTTTATTGATCCTCGGGGGCACCTACGACTACGTGGCCGCTTATGGGTGCCAGGCGCACCGATCACGACAGAAGCAGCAGCCAAGGCAGCACCGCTAGAGCAGGAGTCGCTAAACGAATTACGGGGCTCCTTAATCCAGAAGGTTCATGACTCCCATGTAGTAGGCCACCCGGGACGGAAGGGACGATAGAAGCCGTATCCAGGGACTTCTACTGGCCGCTAATGCAACAGCATATCCGACGTTTCTTGCGTAACTGCGATGTCTGCGGCCGTACGAAGATATGGCGCGAGCATAAAAGGTCTACTTAGACCGCTACCCGTACCGGACCGCTTTTTCCGCCAGATACAGATGGACTTTATTACGGACCTCCCCTTGCGAACGGTAACCGCTGCCTCTGGGTTATCAAGGACCGGCTAAGTAAGGAAGTTATACTCGAACCGATGCCAACGATGGAAGCGGAAGCATGTGCAGAGCGTTTTCTATGGTGCTTCGCCCGCTACCACTGGTGGCCCGACGCTATAACGAGCGATAGGGCTCGAATTGGGTAGGCCGCTTTTGGAGGCACATGTGCAAGTTACTGGGGATCGACCAGCAGCTAAGCACGGCGTACCACCCCCAAACCGACGGAGGCCCTGAGAGGATGAACCAAGAAGTACAGGCATACCTCCGCGCCGTGATTAACCAGAACCAGAACGACTGGGATAAGTGGGTTCCCGCGGCTCAGATGGCGTTAAACGGTCGGGTCAATACCTCTATAGGGATGTCCCCATTCTTCGCTATACACGGCTATGAGCCGAAGTCACCAGTTCCCCTCGTTACGGAAGCATATGCGGAAGAGTATCCTCAGCATTCGCCAGAAACCAGGGCAAAGAAATTTGTTACCAAACTACAACAGATTACGGACCTCTGCCAAGCATCAATGGCGACAGCTACGCAGCAACAAGAACGCTTCGCTAACAGACGACGGAACGCGGCAGAACGCTTCGAAGTAGGCGATAAGGTTTGGCTTGACTTACGGAACTACGCGTCAGAGCGACCTAAGAAGAAGTTCGACTGGCTGCACGCTAAGTATACGATAAGCAAGGTACTCGACCCGTACACGGTTGAACTAGCAGCCCTCCCGAGGGCTGCTATAATAGGTTCCACGTCGACCAACTCCGGAGAGCGGGGACGGACCCAATGCCTGGTCAGCAACGCACAGACGCTCAACCCCATCTATCCAAGTAGACGGGAGGCTCACCAAGTAGTAGAGGAAATACTATGCGCTAGGTGGAAGAGAACCGGCCGCGGCCGTAGGCGGAAGTCCTTGTACGCTGGCAAGGTTGGCAAGACCCGACCTGGACCTCTTTAGACAATATGCAACAGACAGCGGCCTTGGATAAGTACGAACAGAGATACGGCCCGGCTCTCGAAAACGATGGACCATACCAGCACCGACGAGTGGCAACGGAAGCACAGCCGGCCCAAATCCAGGGGCAAGTCGAAGGAATACAACCACAGCTGCAGATACAGGGCAAGAGAATACGCGGACCACTACGGGCTAGGACTAATGGCGACGCCCCGTCGATAGTAACGGCACCAGACCCTATAGACGACGGCCCTACGATCGTTGTAGGGGACCAGGAACAGGAAAAAGGGCACCAGCGCCAGAGAGGAGTAGGGGCTAATGTAAGGGCTACGCCCCGATGTGTAGATCTGGCATGGCCAGACTAGTCACGTGCGAGCGCCACGGACACGACTCCTAAAGGGAGCGATGTAGACACGTCTCCCCTTTACACTCTTTGTAGCTCAATTTACATCAATTACGCCCAGCACCTGTGCTAACAGTGCTGACCCCGTAACACTACGCAGCTTTAGGGGCTAAAGGGGCCGGATCAATCGACAGGCCACATTATGTGCATATCTCACGAAAGCCCTAAAGCCGCGTTATTTCATGCAGTCGAGAGGGATACATTGCATGTGCATCTGTGGAGGCAGGTGAGGGTATTTAGGTGGTACTGCTACTTACTGGACTCAGGCGAATAAGGCAGGGTGAGCTGACGTCGGTATGTATATTACCAATGAGGCGGGAGTGCAAGTAGAGAATTATATAAGTGTCAATAGTACTGTACTGTACTACCCCTTATTATTACCTAACAGGTAGAGCGTGAGCGTGTTATTCCATTCGAGTATCCGAAGGCCACCCCTAGCTTACAGGGTAGGGATTACAGCCAGTAACGACGCCGCGCAACAAGAGATACTTGCGGTAGTTGGTAGAATGCACTATAGTTGAAGTATCTTTAGCTCCCCCTCGTACAGATAGATACATCGCACTGGTCTCATCCCTCGCAACAAGTTGTTGTCTTGAGGTAGTTACGTACTGTGGGCCTTGTGACCCAGGTTCGGAACTTCGGACACTCCAAGGGACTTAACTACTTCATACTCCGTCGTATTATACTCGTATGGCTGAAGAAATATGCCGTCAGCTTATGAAGAGGACCGATTACTAGCTACCTGGATTGGCTGATGTAGCTTCATAAATATCAAATACCGACCTTGTCCGGGCCTTCGTAGCACCACAACTACAGGTATCGATTCATCTCACTATCTCTTGGAATACCCAAGCTATTATCCGGTTTTTTTTTTCAAAATGGTACCGCCTTCCTCAACGTCCACTTCAGGCTCGCTTGGCCTGGGCAACGGGTGGTCAGACCTTCGCTTGCCAAGAGTCAAGTTGAGCACCGCTAGAGGGCATTACGAAGTGGTCGAGAGCACGGGAAGTTTGTCGGGACCTTTCGGGGCCCCTGTGTTTGATTCTGCCGACCTCTCTCGAGCCACTGGGATGAAGCCGTTGGACCAAGACGCAGAGGCGATGGGAGGCCACGTTTGCAGCTCAAGATCAACCAAAGATGACTGGCTCCTACCCCGGAAGCAATGGGACGAGTTGGTCAGTATGACCCTCGCCCGGCGTGGGCTGAGCCAACGAGATTGCTCTGAGATGCGATATGGAAACCCGCAAGAGCCGGTTATGGATCAACTAGTTGAGCTATTCTCGCAAGCAGCCCACCCCGCCCCAGGAGAGGAAGTGACGTGGTACGCCTACAGTCGACCCAAGCCGGAACATGTCAAGGCACTGGCAAAGAGACTCAGCCGTTCCCAGGGCGTCGAACATGCGCCACAAGACATCATCGTAACTGACGGGTCTTTGGCCGCACTGGATCTCCTGGCCTTCGTCGCCCTGGACGAGGGAGATGAGGCTATTATACTCTCGCCCGTGTACTTCAACTACCCAGTCATCATCCAGCACCGACAGGGCAAGGTGAAATACGTGCCGGTGAACGAGGAAACTCTGGAGCCCGACGTCGAGGCAATCCGACGTGCCATCGGCCCACGCACAAAATGCATCTTTCTCAACACTCCCAACAACCCCACCGGCAAGGTGTACGGACGCCCTGTGCTCGAGCGGCTTGCACGGATGCTCCAAGAGGTCAATACGCAAAGGAACAGGCCGATCTTCGTCGTCAGCGACGAGGCCTACCGACGTATCCTGTACAGCGACGCCTGCTTTACCTCCATCACGCAACTCTACCCTTATTCAGTCTCGGTATACACGACAGGCAAGACGCTTCTGGCACCCGGTCAGAGACTCGGATACATCGCCATCCCCCAAATCATGCCCGCTCCGCAGCGCGAGGTGCTGCGGCGGGCCCTGACCGTGGCGCAGAACAGCGGCTGGGCCTTTCCCAGCGTCACCGTCATGAACTGCCTCGACTCACTGTTGCAGATACAGATCGACCTCGGCGCGCTTGAGCGCAAGCGCGATTACTTCTGCTGGCGCACCCGGAATGCCGGATACCGGGTGACGGTGCCTCAGGGCACGTTTTACGTGTGCATCCATATTCCCCTCCACCATGCGAGCCCCAGCGCCGAAGTGGTCGACTCCGAGATTGGGTTCTGTCTGCTGCTGGCCAGCAGGGGAGTCCTTGTCATGCCGGGGAGCCTTTTCGGGTGGCGAGACACTTTCCGCATCTCGCTCACCGCCACGCACGAGTCCATTGAGCACGCATGTAATGTGCTCGAGTCGGTATGGTCCCCGCAAAGAGAACTTGCCGAATAGCTTAGAGAGGAAACGGGGAAGAATTGCTCCTTTTGGCTCAAAACGTAAATAATAGCCCCAACTAGGCACTTGAATGCCGACTACAGTTTTTACAGCTGCGCTTCAAAACCCATACTAGCTTTGAATATACCCATAACGCTTTCAGCATTGAGGAAGGTTCGTAGCTTTCTTCGTTGTGTGTCACTATCATTACTATGTAGTATGTAGATTAAAGATGTAATTACTACTCCCCTTTGTTTTTTATAAAAAAAACTCCAATAATCTAGCTGGATTGCGTACTTGGTATAAATCGGGAAAACAGGCACCGAGAGCTGCAGGGTAGTAATAGCCCCCCTCTTGAATCTACCAACGCGGCTCTCGTTTTCCCCTCCACGCTGTCAACCTACTTGGTCTTGATCTGCGAGGTGCGTACGAAGTAAAGCTCACATTATCCTGTCGGTGGTTGATGCTGCCCGACTAGGCCGCCGTCTCTGCATATTAGTAAGTACCTGTAAGTTGTATGGGTCTGAGACGCCAGAGATCAGCGCTAATTACCTCTCTCTCTAACGCGAGCTGTGGGCGGTCATATATTACTCAGAAACCTGCTAGTACTTCTGGCCCGGCAAAGAATTGCACCGAGCAGGACTTCGAGGCGTCGGGAACCCAAGTCTGGTTGGGCCGATGATTTGATGCTGCTGATTCTGCTGGGTTTGCCGATTCTGCCGATTACGCTGATACCTTCTGCTCATCCCGCCGATCTGTACTTTCGTACGGAGTACAGGGATACACATCGGCTCCGCTTCCATCTTTCTTTGACCCATCCCCTCAGTGGCTCAGTGGGGCCACCGCCGCCGATTCGGCGACGGCCCGAACACGACGACTCGGCCGACGGCCCGCGGGGCCACCACCAACACGAGGACCCCCTGCTGCAGCATCCCCGCCCGCGCGCCGGCTGCACTAAAGGATGACGGCCTAACCTCCTTGACGTTCCTCCTTGTGTTCCTGTGCAGTGTACTTGTACACCCGGATGAGGACTTTCCTTTCCTGGCACCCGGGCTGTACAGAAATGAAGATGAGGTTTCTAGACCCGCTTTAACCTGTAAGCGATCGGGATGTCGTCGGTGCAGTGCCACGCTATGACTCAAACCCGTCTATTCATGTGATGAAGCATCTATGTATTTAGCGGGACGGCTGCTTGTCATCCCAAAGTGCATGTTTTTTCTCTCTCCACGCCCAATCACCTCTTGACGCGCTGTCTTCTTCCTCGTCTCATCACAAGATTGTATGCAAAACAGCATGACAACCGTCGAGGTCGAGCTCGATCACCTCGGGGCTTCGCAGGTCAAGCTTCAGTGTCCGGCAAAGGTGAGCACCCCGCAACTGAGTTCCGGCTTCTCCGCCGAAGACTCGTCAGACCGTGAAAATGATGCCGAGGCCGGCACCGGCGACGATGATTCCTACCGGCCGCCCAATGCTCTCGCAGGCAGCCCGGATGTTAAAAGGGTTCCTTACCCGATAACTAGGGCGGGATGGATCGTTATTGTCATGGGATCTCTGGAGAGAATGGCATTTTATGGTGGGAGTACGCCTTTCCAGAACTACATCCAAAGAAGCGGGAGCCCAGGTCATCCCGGACGGCTCGGGAAGGGACAGGTGGCGGCTACGGCCTTGAATCAGTACTTGTTAGTCGAAGCTGCCGAGACGTGCTGACCAGCTTGGCGAGACTGAGTGACTGATGTTATTATTGCAGCTTCTTTCTGAGCTACCTGACCCCTGTCATGGCGTCGGCCATCTGTGATAGTGTCTCCGGAAAGTATGGCGTGATTCTTGCCTCGTCTATCGCGGGCATTGCGGGCTGGGGCCTCATAGCAGGCACCTCGGTTCAGTCAGTTGCGGTCGAGGGTGCGTTGGCAGGTCTGGTGGTCGGCATGGCCGCCGTGGCGGCTAGTTCCGGAGGCGTGAGTTCCATCATACCGGCATTTGCTGCGGACCAGGCTCGTGGGACAGGCATGACTGTCGCCTCACCCTCAAACCCGACACTGCGAGGGCGTCTTGTCAGCTGCCTTCTTGGCCGCAAGCAGGCTCCACGTGGTACCACGAAGATTGTGTACGATTCTTCTCTGAACGTTTCACACATCTTCCACTGGTATTATCTTTACATCAACGCCATTGGATTGGTCGGATCTCTTGCGACGCCTTTCATCGAAATCTACTCGACGTACCCGGTCGTCTTCCTTTTCGCGACGGGCTCCATGGCTCTCGGCACAGCCGTGCTTGTGTTAGGCAAATCAACATTCAAGATGGTCAAGCCCCAACAGGGGCTTGTGAGCGACTGCGTAAAGTCTGTCAGGATCTCGCTTGCCGAGCGCAAGAGAAGCCGCTCGGGCGGTCTCGCATGCGGCCACTTCTTGGATCGATCAAAGGCTAGTTACCAAACGGCTTTGTACGGCGCCAATAGTAGTGGAGTCGCCGACCAGACAGTCGAGGATCTCAAACGTGCCTTGGATACGCTGCGCATTCTCCCTCCGCTCGCCGTTTTCTGGCTGGCCTTCAACCAGTGCTCCCACAACCTCCTCTCCCAAGCGAGTCAGATGCGCAGGCCGTCGTGGTTGAGCAACGACCTGATGACCAACGCGAACCCGATCGCACTCACCGTCTTCGTGCCCGTTCTGGATCACTACGGCTTCCCCTGGTTGAGAAAGAAGGGCTGGGAGCCGACACCGATTAAGCGAATGACCTTTGGTTTCCTGCTGGCGTCTCTCGGAATGGTGTATGCCGCCGTGTTGCAGGCTTTCATCTACCGTGCGGGCCCGTACTTTGATCATCCCGGGGACCGCTCCAACAACATTAGCGTGTGGTGGCAGCTGCCGCCATATACTATCGTGGCGCTGGCAGAGATATTGTAAGTAACGTCCCTATAACCCCGTCTTGCTTGCTCTTGGGGAACGAGAACATGTAGCTAAATTCGCTTCCACACGATTTAGCGCCGTCATAACAGCGCTCGAGTACGCCTATAGTCGCTCTCCGGCTTCCATGAAGACGTTCGTGTCGGCGATGAATGCAGTTCCGAATGCCGTGGCCTCTCTTCTCGTTTACGCCCTCCTCCCGCTCAACAGAGATCCTTATCTCACATGGAACTTCGCGACAATTGCATGTAAGTAGTGACCAGCCTGGCCTCGAGAATAGACCCAGACAGTGGCTTACAGTTTATGGCAGTGCTTGCCTTCACCACGACCATAGTATTTTGGTGGCTATTCCGAAAGGAGGACCGAGAGTGGAAATCCGAAGCCGACGATAAGCATCGTGATGCGCTCAACCTGTAAAAAACCGACTATGCCTGCGTGAAGCAGTTGATAGGAACATCTTTCGGATCAAATTTCTTGATGCGGTTCAATCAATATTGCAGCTTCCTGGCACGACAAGTTTAATTATATCGGAAACCGTCTCTAGCGTGTCCTCGCATCAGGTAGGGCCCGAGGTGTCTACTTCATACATCTATATCCGTCTTCACTGTATATGCAAGTTTTCTACTTCTCAATCATCCCTTTCCACTCAGCTCCCGAGACTTGTTGGCTCATCACCCAATGGGGTGGACGATCTTGAGCCTCTTCCGCCGCCTGGCTGGCCACCCCAGAAACTATAAATAAGATGAAACTAAAATTGTCACCATCAACCTTGACATAACAAGCGCAATGAAGGTTTCAGACGGTCCAGTTCTCTTTGAAAAGATTTCCCTTTACTTAGAGGCCTGGGACGATGCATATGCACTTAAGATCCCGTGATTTACTGCCTCATAGGGCTGACTGGGACTCCGGGGGCTGCTGCCAACCACCGACGGCGAATACAAGTCACGGATACTTGCAATCGTGGCCTAGCCGCCCATGCAGTCTCGTCCCGGCTGCTGCCTTGCTGCCTTGCGATGGGCCGTCGTCAGCGTTGATGGATGTTTGATCCTCATAATGTACATCTATTGAATGCTAGTTTCTTCTCGCCTGTTCACAAAGAGTCTGCCCGCTGTTCCATGTCGAGCCGTTTTGTTGCCAACGCGAATTGAACTATGGCATATACAGCCTTTATGCTCGGTTTCTACTTGTCGTCGTCTAATACTGCTTTGCCTCCTAGAAAGAAGGACAAATTGCCTATCTTTTTTATCCGCAGTCGGCTAAACTTTTGCGCTGCGTCGTCTACTTTTTATATCGGGAAAGAAAATAATTGCTGCTTGTCTATAATTGCATATATCTAAGTCTATTGCCCTAATCTTATCGAGGCATCGCGTGGGAGTATCTGAACCTCGTCTCCCACGGCTTCCAGGCCAAGGGCGAGGCAGATGCTGCCAAGCTGCAAGAAGCCAGAGACGGCTACGACGCAGCTCTGGCGGAAAGGGTCCTCGCCGGAAACCCGCCTAGGCCGTACTTGATAGTACTGGCCGGTTGGATGTACATCTTTGGGGGAAAGTTCTAGGACCCCGTTGGCGCAGCGGGAATCAAAGTCATCAACTTGCACCCAGCGCTTCCAGGTCGGGATAAGACGCGATGCATGGACAAAAGCGAGTGCACTAACAGCGGCTGCACCAGTAGCAAACTGGCGGCATGGCATCTGAAGTCTTTGGCGATGCGCGGCTGGCTGTGTCTCCAGGTTTGTCGCGCTTCACTTCGCAAGGCATCAACTCAGCGTGCTCTTTGGAAGCGCTCGCAACATGCATGAGCTTGCATCCCAACACAATTCTCTGCACCGGGACTCGCGGTGCAGGGATTGGAGATGACGAATGCACGCGCTCGCTCGCGATCGATGCGAGGATCTCCTCAGCGCTGGAAATTAGCAACCCGAGCCCCGTCAGGGTCGGTGGAATGGGGGATTGTGACAAACAGATAGTCACGACCAAGTTTTCTTGAAAATATCAGCATCGCAGGCTGTGCGAATCACGGCGCTCGGCGAGAGCCTGGGTGGCGGCGGAGGATGCACGGCTACAAAGCGAGTGCAATAGGAAACGGCGAAGGGAGAGAACAGTCAGTGCACTGTTATTGCATGCAGCGATAAACGACGACCGTGGATGGCGATGGTGAGGCGCGCCGGTGAATGGAGGGCTTGGAGGTGCGCGCAAAGTAGGGTATATAAACAATAAAAGACCACCATCCAGGTGGAGTTGGACCTCCCATACGGACTAATTTCTTGCCTTTTACCAGAGATTACCGTGGGATTGGCCAAAAATACTCCATTCTCCCAATCTTTGGAACCCCTCATTCGAAACCCCCCAGTGGTTTTTTTTGCTTTGTTTTGTCACGGCGCTCCTTCAAAGCCAACTACGAGCGATTCGTATTTTCGTTTCTTTTGTCAATGACGCCTGAGATTTGATTGTCGCCGGCCTCAACACGAGCTGAGTTCTGGCCTCATCCCAAAGGAAGCCATCGATCATCTGTCCATGCGCGCCTTGCAAAGCGTCGAGCTTGATTACAATTAGTCAATTACCTACATACTTCCCGTCCGCCGCGCTCCGCCTCCCCTCGTGCGATCATCATTGCCTTCCGCGCAAGTCCGATGGAAGCAGCCGGTCGATGTCGTCGGTGATGTCTTGGAGGGGAAACTCGGACCGGTTTCCAGCTCCAGCAGGCTGTCCCGGGACCTTGACATTCGCGTCGCCGAAGAACTCGAAGACGCACAAGATGCGCTGTCCGACTTGCACGGCCGTCACGACGCGTATTCCCTCGGCAGCCATTCCGTTCGGAACAGCCCCGAGCTTCTCGGCCGTCGCCCAGTGGTCGTTTGAGTGGAGGATGACGGTGCCGACGAAGGCGTCCGACACGAGAAGGATCTTGCCCCCGTACATGGCAGGCAGAACCGCGGCGTCGAGGCTTTCGCCGACGTTGGAAACCCTGCCGCCCTGCTTCACCGGAATGGCGTTGGGACTTCCTGGCGTGTGGATGTCGAACCAGACCAACTGGCTTCCATCTACTCCTGTTTGGTATGCCCCGAGGAGCTTGCGGTTCTGATACATGGCTATCCCGTTGATGCCGACCACCTGCGAGTCGCTCGGCCCCAGCCACCACGGCGTGGCAGCCTGCGTCGTGATGTTGACGTGCATGAGACTGGGCGGAAACGTGCCGCATACAAACGTGTTGCCGTATCCGTCGTGCTCTATGTCTTGAAACCCCCCGTATGCGCCGCTCGTGACCCTGGACAGGTCGATTGCCCAGAGCACCCGCTTGGTTTTCAAATCGTAGCGGACGAGGTTGTTCTCGCCCGCTATGTTTCGCCCGAGCGTGTTAAAGGCGTTGCCGGCGTTGAACATGATGGACAGCTGGTCGCGGGGGGCATCCAGCTGCACGCCGCTGGCATGTAGCTCCGGCCGGCCTGAGAATCTGTCATCGGTTATGCTGCCGACCACCTCGTTCTTGACCGGGTCCCAGACAGCGACGGAAGCGTTCCACAGCACGCTGCGGGTGTAAGTCAGTGCTAACAAGACGTTGCCGGCGGTCACGAGGCCGTACCTAAAATATACGAGACACCGCTTTGGGTCAAACTCGGCGTTTTCCGGGTACAGCTGGAATCGATTCACCGTCTTGTTTCCGGGTGACACGTCGCAGCTCGGAGCGGCGTAGAATCCCGGAGGCGGGCGGTAGAGGCTGTCGGCGATATGACCCTCTGACCTCGCGCCGGTCAGATGTGGGGACCCAGGGGGGGCCGACAGGAGCAGAAACAGTAAAGGGGCGAGCATTTTGGGCACGCGGATAGATTGTATCATTTCACGAGAGAGTGGCAGCAATTGGAGACGGTATATGCGGACTCGCTATAGATGACGGGCATCGCCATTTTTATATGCCATCTCATAGCGGGCGGACGGCCCGGGACGTGACGTCTGGTTTCTATGGTGAGCTCCATCGAGTTGCTGGTTGACTGGCCGGCTCGGGTAAGACGCAAAGCCTGATGAATCCTTGCGTACGGATTGGATCTCGCTAGGCCGGCATCGCCCGCGCAGTCCTAGCGGCCCCGGAGTGCCGGACTCTTAACACCAGGGCCATGGACTGGAGAAAAAGCGCCGCCGAATTGGCACGGCCCCTTTGGTGGTTATCTCATAAGTTGGAGCTAAGATTTTGAGGCTGGCACGGCCGAACAAGGCAGAAGAAGCGGCTGAAGAGTGTATCAAAGGAACTCGTGTGAAAAGCAGACAAGCTTCGAAATGAGACTCACGAAGAGTTTCGGGGCAAGGCACAGAATAACCGGCTGCATATCAGCTAGAAAATGAGTGAACTACGAGGCAAAACTCGATCAAGTGCGCCCGGACAACAGCATCGGGACCGTACGGGCACCAACACCGACTAGCCGCTACATGCTGTGACCCCATCCGCGAGCCCGGTTCCAGTGGAAACGTCACCCGTGTAATCGTGTTTGATTCTAGAGCCATCGAGATGCTCATCTTGCTTTCAAGATTGACCGGAATACCCATGGCGAAGCGCTACGCCGCGGAAATCAGATTGAGGAAGGGGAGCACAGAAGGAGGCAAGGTGAAGAAGCATTTCCTGTCTTGACCAGGGAACTCCTTGGTACCGGCCATGGCAAGTGCGCGAAATACACTCTTGTGGTAACCTGATTCATCGACTCGCCCGTGTAAGGCCTGCCATAACCAGCAAACCGGCAGACAATGCTGGAGGATTTACGTGTCGGGGCGAGATTGTGGAGGCATGTATACTCGATTTAGGCCACAACTGACCTGCAGAGCGCCGGCAAGCTATATAGCGTAGCCTGTTCCTGACTCGGTATAATCTCCCCCCCATGAAAACAAACTCAAGCCAAAACGCTCTCGATATAAGTAAGAACAGGCTTGGACTCGGCACTCTCGCTGTGATACGTCTCCATCCTCAGCGATGCCTCGATCTCCTCAAGCTCGGGAATCGGCTGCCTCTCGTAGCTTACAGGCCCGTCCGAGATGGAGTGAGGAATAAACGCTGAGCCATTGGTGGTGATGGGCGTCACGTCCTCGCGGACCCCGATTCCCACAGGGTCGCCATCTACGAACCAAAGTCCCACCACGGGGTAGTGCAAATCGTCCTCGTTGTCCTTGAAGCTCGGGAGCAGCGCGAGCTCTTGCACGATGTACCCCTCCTTGCCGTATACTCCCGTCTTCATGTCCTGGATCACCTGGCCGTCGGCTTGCAGGACAATGTCGGCGCCTTCGCGGGCGAAGATTGGCTTGCGCGCAAACTTGGTGAGGGAGGCCGGTGCCTCGTTGTCGAAGAAGGTAGGGAGAAGCCATTTGGAGCGCGGGTCGTCCTTGAACAGGTCCCAGAGGATGGCAAAGATGGCCTTGTTGCTCCATAGCATCTTGTATGGTGCTTCGATCCACACAGTCCCTCCGGTATATTCCCCGTCCTCGTTGCACCGCCCGACAGTCTCCATGTCTTTGAAACACGCCTCTGCGAAGTCTTGCTCGACCATCATCTCCCAAGGATAAAGCTTGAAGATGACGTCGATGTGCTCATTCTGCTTGTCATAGAAGCGTCCGTCGGGACCCAAGCCAATGTCCTCCACGAGCAACGTCTTGGTAGACCATCCCGCCTGCTGGCATGTGTCCAGCAGAAGAGCCGTGTTCATTGTGTCTTCGCCAGTGTCGTCTCCTTCTGCCACCGCAAAGTGCACAGTAGGGCGATGCCCCAATTTCTCCTCAATATGTCTCAAATTCCTCTTCCATGCCGTAATAAGTTCCTCGGTGATGCAGTTATATTGGTCGTTTCCGCAACCTGTCTGCTCTAGCCAGAGCCACTGAATCGAAGCGGCTTCCACAAGCGACGTAGGTGTGTCGGCGTTGAACTCGTAAAATTTGGGCACGCGCAGTCTCGGATCTGGATGGTCAAGGCCCCCAAAGCAGATATCGAAGCGTCCATATACGCTGCCCCAGGCGGGCTCCCGGTCCCACGACTCTATAATCTGCCTGAGCGCAAATGCGGGTATTTTCATCTTGCTGGTAATCGTCTCTGGATGGTCCACCAGATAGTCGGCAGCCTCGCAGCACATGTCAAAGACATCTTGCCCGGCTTTCTTAAGCAGCTCAATCTCCTCGCTAGTAAAGGAATAGTATCGATCATCCGGCCAGTAGTTATCTGTAGGGTCCGACGAGTCGGCAGGATTGGTGTACACAAGGCCCTGGCTCTGCACGAGCAGCGTTGCGTTGGGACGCGATTCCACGGCGACACGTCGCATTTCTACCGTCTTCCAGGATCCAGTGATGCCGAGAAGTTCTCGTGTACGGGCTGCCAAGAGCGTCTATTCTGTGATGTTGGCTAAGTCTATCCAACGACAGCAGCTAGCTACTCGAACTTGCTGGAGCCGAGGAGCGGGCACGCCTATTTATTTATCTCGAGAACCCTTCCGCACAAGGTTACCACAGAAACATGCCAATGCAAGCCGGAGTCTGCCCCCTATACTTTGTTGCAGCGTGTCCTAGGGCCAACCTTCTTTGGTGACGACAACGAGGGGCAGCTAGAAACGCCAAACTAGCCACCGCTCGATTTACCTTCGTCCTGAGGGCTCCGCTTTCCAAAGCCGCGGCGGACAATGCCGCCGGTTCCAAAAAGCCCGGCGGCCTTGCGTGCGTTGTTGACGGGCTGCACCGTGAGTTGAGTGTTGACTGCCTCATCGGCAGCCAAAGGGCCCTGTGCCACGAAGAAGGTTCCCGTGGGGCCGGCGCCATCGCATTTGTTGGCTTCGATGGCCTTGTTGCCCTTGTCGACACAATCGGTCACGCCAGTGTTGATGGCAGCCGCCTGGCACCCGGTGGCGAAGAAGGCAGCAGCCGCGAGCTGCAGGGCCGGGAGAGTAATGTGCTCGCCCTTCATCTTGACAGCGTTGGAGTAACGGTAAGGATTCTTGGAAAGGAACAGATGCTCCCTTGACAAGATTGTAGGACTGCTGCTGTCTGGAGTCTGGCCAAACCCTCAATAACGGGTCAGAAAGACTGCTTTTTTGTCTTGGATTCTTCGTGACCATCCGAGGACGGCGATGACACAGCTTCGTATGAAAGGCTTCGAATGAAAGTGAGGTCTCGTTGTATCGAATGGTTCCAGATCAGGGAAAACGGAAGGGAGGATCCCGGGGAGCGCATGATTTATGAGACCAAATGTGTGGATGAATGAGGGGGAATAGACGAGAAAAAGGCAAACGGGAACAAACTCCATTAGAGCAAAGCCGCCTCTCAGTCCGGTACGGCTGATGCCGTGACACTAACGCTTGGTGCCAAGCTCAGACAAACTTTCCTCGTCAGCTAGCTGTGAAGAAAACTGCCGACGGTCAAAAGCTGGCTACGTATGTTCTTGCGGTTGTGTATTCTTCACTCCTCCTGCTCACATATTTGAGACGCCGGGTAGAGAAGCCATCGCAGTTCTCGCTACGTGGGGTAGGGACGAGGTGAACCGGGGGGTTCTGAACCTCCCCATACCATGTCATTCCCCATTATAAGTCGCCACGGTCCGCAGTTGGCGCCCAAACTCAAATTAGAATTTCTCGATGACGTCTTGCGAGATAGCTAGCGTTAAGCTTATCCATCACCATGCTCATTGCCGAAAGAAAGTGTCAGCAGGATGCTGCATTGACGGCTGCCCGGGCAAGCGGTTGATGCATCTTCACAGGACTGCCAGACTGTTATAGGCTCTCGAAGTATCATGACTTATCAAGTGGTGTCTGGTAAGGCGGTAGCCTACCCGCCTCCTTTACTAACTGCTCCACCAAATGTCGAACAGCTGACCTTTGGCCGAATTCCAGCCTACTCAGTTCTCACGTTCTCGGCATTTTCAAACACAAGTTTGTCCAAGAATCGCCAATTGCGAACACTGTTTAGCATGAGACCGTATTATTGCTGTACAACTAGACTATTCCGACTGTGACAAGCGCACCGTTTATGCTCATCTTATTGCTAGGATCTATGATGAGTAGTTGAGTACGCGGCTCTGCGACTGCTGGTTACCCGTAGGCTCCCCTTTGTACATCGACCAAGGACTCCTGTATATAGCAATACACGTCTTTAAATGAATTTCCACCGCTGCCTCGCTGAGACATGTGCCCTACATTCAGCAAAGGTCCGGTTGCGTTGCCGACGTGTCGGAACCTTGCACTTGTTTATGTTCTATCATGCTCTAAGTGCCAGCACCAAGGCACATTTGGCGACTGGAAAAGGAATCCTTGAGATAGCATGCCGCTGGCGGCGATCTATCTGTGTAAGAGTGCGCTTACATTAATCTTAGTATCGTCCTTCATCTGCACCACATGCCCGGGTCCGAAGCTGGGGACCTTTATTGAAGCTCCCTGCAGCTTTCACTGGCGTACCGCCTGGTTCCGTGATACGAAGCTCAAGAAGAGCAGGTCCTCCAGTATTGCCGTACCAAACCAGGATAGGGTAGTAGGTTCCGGCCTTGATATGCTTTTTAACAGTCTTGGGCTCGTTCTTGCTCTCCGCCGTCCCAAAATAGGTTTGCTGAATGTCAACGTTCTCGCGAGTTGGATTGCGAACGTGATCTTTGCCAAACCAAGCCAAAGTAATATCGTCAGTCCCAGGCGAGTAAAACTCATAAACCCCGCTTTTGCAAGCATAGATATAGGTTGTATACTCGATAGCGATGGGAGGGCTCGACGTGACAATAATTCTGTCGACGGTTCCCTGTTCGATGGGAGTTTGCGTCGGAAAGTATGAAATGTCGAACGACGTGTAATCTGGCGAGTTGTCCGAGACGAATGGGTTCGTATATTTTTTATATTTGATACCCGGCCTGCCGCACTTGGGCTTCTTGCAATCACCATGGGAGTGGTGATGAGCATGTTTGGTGGGCTGAGGGGAGTGGTGATGACCATGTTTGGTGGGCTGTGGGGAGCCTTCACAGGAGTGGTGATTACCATGGTTGGTGGGCTGAGGTGGGTCATAGCTATTGGATTCAGGCGGAGCATCGCTGTACGGGTCCTCGCTAGGTTGGTCGAGCGTGCCAGCCTTCGCAGGCGTGGCTAAGCCGCTGCCTATAAGTGCAACGAAGAAAACAGTCTTGCTCAGCATCATGGCGATGAGCGTAATGACCTGGACCAGACAAACGGGAAAGATGGGCGAGAACAAGGGTGTTGATAGTGAAGAAGAGTTTTCTAGACGAAGTTTGGGCAGACTCATGGCTTTTAAATGCTTGCGAGCATGCAACTCTCGCCTCAATCCTGTACTCTGGATGTGTCTATTGTCTCAATCCATCGCCGCCTAGCTGAGTCTCTCCTCCCCGGCTTGTGGGGTTGCCGACAACTTTCGGAGCAAAGAGTGAACCTCTGCGTGCCTCTCGTTGAGGACTATCCATTTGCCACCGCGGCTAAAGAACAGTCCAACGGAATGTGTCTGTCTGCCCTAGAATGTCTTGCCCTTGTTCTCATGGGCCTTGGCAGAAGCATTCTTTAGACCTCCTACGTGCCCTCTTGGCAGGCACTAGTTTCGGACCCCTGATTATCGCACTTTGCAGATAGGCAAAAGTGGAATTCGCTCCGACAAGTGTTGGGTCCGGACCTTTCTCCGCATCTCTCGCTCTCTCCCTTTCCCCTCCTCGTCTCTCTAGCTGTACCTAAGAATGCTGCGATGCTGTCCCGGCTATATCGCGTTTATGCCTGTGGAATAATGCTTGAAATCTCATTATATGCCTTCTTTTCGTTCGAGTTAGTCGGCTCTCGCGTACCTTTACTTTTAGGCTGGCATTCACTTGCGAGCCGAAAAATTACCCCCTTAAGATGAACTGTAGAGCGTCGTATTATGGAATCTCTCGCCCTGTGAAATTTCTCCATTCTATAAGCCTAAGTACCGTAGAAACTCACAAAATTCAAGCAGGCTTGGCTCTTTAGGGGCCCCCTAAAGAGCCCCCTAATAGGGGGTTCTTAGGCGACATAACCCTTGGAGACGAAAATCATCACTCAGCTGCTCTCTGCTCTTGTGCGTCAGCTGCATTGCATGGGAAGTCATAGAATTGAGGAAACGCAAGCGCTAGAGTGCGATAATATGTACCGTCCCGTTAGGTATACATGGCCTGCCGAAATGCTCACTGATGATACACGCGCGATCCGGCTTCGCATCATCCCCCTCGGACGAAATATGATAGCCCGACTTGGCTTCCCCTGTCACTTCCCCTTGTATCTATACATGTGCCGTTACCCTCCCTTTTTGTTATCGTCCCTCCGGCCTTTTTTTCTTGTCACTAACCCTCTCCCATCTCATCTTCTGCCATCGCCTTCTCACACAGGCTTTCCGCTGCCAATGTGGCCACCTACGCCAGGGTTGAGTGCGAGAGAGACTAATGGGATTGCCGCAGAGGGTTACGAGACCACAAGCCGCAGCAGTTGGAAACAACCTTCGTCGCCGGCCAATGACACTCAAAAGTACAAATACTCTAGTGAATAATATGGGGCGGCGCTGAATCGGCTTATCAATCGTGATATGACGGGGACGGGGACACATACCCAAGCACGCGCAGCACGATGCCTGGATTATAACTACACATTAATACTCAAATGTAATATCGATACACTCGAATAGGGGTTCGAGAGCATAGTGGAAGGTAAAGGGGGCTACATATAGGCGAAAACAGTGATGCTTATTCTATTCCATCTAGCAGGATATTGAGGGAGCTTTAGGTGCATATACCTCTTGAGGCCCTATCCGTAGACAACTACCATGACAGGGGGAATGGCGTGCTCTCGTCAGAACGGGTTGTGGCGAAGTTAGGAGGGGCAGACAGTTAGTCTTCACCACATGCAGTCAACATTGAAGCCAATGACTAACGCCAACGTAATAACTTTCTCCTTGCATAAAGTTGGCGAATACGCAAGCTCAAAGATCGAGCACTCTACGCAAATGCAGCGAATTAAAGACGGGGTAGTGACCATAGGAAATCCCAACAGGCAAACATGCTACGTGATCCAACCTTCATGAGGTGGCGTCACGCTCTGATAATCGAAGCTCTGACGGGTCATCCAGCACTCAAGGTGACTGCACATTCAAGAAACCTGCATCAAGGTTCTGGCAGAGAAGCATGTGTATACAAGAGTTGCGAAAGACCTAGATCACTTGATTCGGACAAGATGCCGCAAACGTTGAACCGACAGACCAAATGGCTGCTCTTCCCCCTTCTTCAGATGTATCCATATTTGAAGGACTTTCTCACCAAGAAGGAGAAAAGAACGCAGACACAATCATACAGTCGCAAGCACCTTCACAACGGCTTCCGTCTCTTGTGATCGGATAGTATTGATGTTCCATGACTCTGGATAGGACAGTAATGGCAAGGACACATGCAACGCGCTGAGCACGTTGAGGGATGTGCCCTCGTCTCTGTCAAACCTTCACTTATCCTCTTGCGCTGCATCGACACCATGCACTTCATCATAATCGAAAAGAAAGGAAGACGAAGCAAGCTTATGGTTGCCGCGTTGCGGGCTCCTGGATGCTGTGAAACATTTGGGAAATCTGCCCAATGACGGACGGCGTCGTTTTGTGCGTGCTTGTCTCCTGTGCGTTGGAAATTGAACCAAGCCCTATTTTACAGCCCTAACAGGCTGATGATCCCGGAACTAACCCGCTATTGAACAAGGCAAGACCCGGCTTGAGTGAGACTTAGGTAGTGTCCAGACACGACTCATGCCTCAGCTCTTTGCCACTGTCTCGCAAAATCGTGACTAAGTCAGACTGGCCGTACAAGGGTTCAGTTCATCAAGAATGACCCGATCTTCACCTTAGCCGCCCGTCCCGTTCTCCCCTTATGGTCTAACCTGTCCAAACCATGGCGAGTTCCGATCTAACTACAAAAAACCGCGAAAGCGGAAGGTTCCGAGGATGGCATTGCTCGTGCGGACGATACCGGTTCTTGACTACGATCAATTAAATTCTGGCAATCCTCACAAACCACCCTGCTGAAGTCTTTGTGCTATCTACTCCTTCATACATGCCTGCACCTTTTCAGCTGGCGGAATCATGAATGCATTAAAGTCGCCCGGCCCCTCTACGGACATCGGTTCGGGATCCGAGAGAGCGGCCATCTCTAGTTCGTCGACTTTCTTCTTTGTTTCCAGGACAAACCCTACAATACTGTTACTTGAAATGGTTGAGCGGAATTTCCGGCCTCGGCGCCAGAGGCACATGAATTCCCATGTGGGAGATGCCGCTGGAAATCCAGACGTGGTTCTGCAAGAAATGGCCCCTGCGCAGTAATGATCAAGAGCTAGACGACACGGGGTCTTGAAGTTGGTTCGCATTGCGGCTTCACTATCGTCTCGAAACAGCGCCAGCCGGAAAAGGATCCATCTCAGCTGTCTGCTGGCGCCGAATAACCAAGGAAAAGGGACGGGACTTTCTCATGCCGTGGGAGGTCAGCCGCGGTAGCGCGTTGTAGAATCATGCAATGCTTGCTAATAAGCACCAAAACATGCTTTTCTGCAGTGGGCTGCCGAACCTAGCCTCTCTTACCCCGCTTCACTTTTCTGTGGGCAAGCAGAGAGGACTTGGCAAGATCGAGTATCTGTACAGGCAGACGAGTGAAAAAAGGGGGAGGGGCGAAGATCAAACTTGACCTATATATTTAGCTTAGCTTACAGGTCTTCCTTATAGCTCTAGCTAACTGCAGAGAAGCTAGCAGCCGTTGTCGGGATGCCGTAGTTCCCTGTTACAAGATCGTGAGGCAACCGCTGATTTAGTTGCCGCCATGGCAGCACTGCCTGGGAGTCTCTTCTATCAGATGAACTCGCTCTGCTTCGTACGAGACCGCGAGGCTACCGGGGTTGCACGCGTCTATCTCAGGAAGGTTTAGAGTTTTCGCGGGGCTCCAAATAGCTTGCGCTTGAGGCGAGAGGAGAGGCAGCGTACATACATCCAGTAATCCACTGCATGCAGTGCCTCGCTGTTCACGCTTGCTTTGCTCAAAGGGGTGAGGGGGTGGCGGAGAGCCTCATGGCTCATAGCACATCTTGATATGACGTGTCCAGCAGGCTAGTTCGTGCCTCCTGACCATGGCGCACGGTCGACATCCGGTGGGGAGACGCGGCCTGCCATCCGAGTGGGTTTGTATTAGGCTAGCAACGATGGGTAGTCTACTTCTGCCCAGCGGAACTTGGCCGTCCTCCCACCATATAGATGCAGGTATAGGCCTGCTGTTGAAGCATTTCTGTCAGGAATTCGACAAATCTCCTCACAATATATGATGAGCTGCCGTGGTGAATCACTTTCGACCTGGGATCTTGCACTTACAAGCGCACTATAGTACGCGAAGCATGAACCCGGTTGCGACGGCGAGGAACATCTCCCATGGCCATGCGAGTAGGGCATACAACATATCAAGGATTTCAAGGAGAAGACGTCCTCCCGCCGGAAATCCGAGCAAAAGCGATGTACGTAAAGCACTGGCGCAGCCACTCCTGGCAAAACGAGCCAGTTGGAATCTGTAACGAGTCAGGACCCGTCTGTCAAAACGCTGGGACGTGCGCCGTCTCACCACCATTGCACCCCGAACCTCGTCGACTTCGGATCTGCAATATGTGACGCAGACATTGATTCATCCGAAATTCAAGCTCGGAGCTTCCTCGGACAAGGACGAGAAAGCAACCAGTCTGATCAAAAGTCGGTCCATTGCATCTTCGTCTGGTGGCTGAAGCATGGATGATACGTAGTCCAGTCCCAAGTTTTCGATCACCCTCGGAGCACACCTGTAACCAGCTACCGATCACGCTTGAGCCTAGGGATGTGCATTTCGTCAACGTATAAGAGGCCGCTTCCCTCGGCCAAGTGCTATCGTCTTACCCCTTCATCCAACGCCATCATCTCCTCTTTCGTGACCATCTAGCATCTCAACAACGACCAGGCGTCGTCCTCTTTCGCTAATTCTTTCCATCAAGCTTCTTATACCCAACCAGGCTGTTGGCCATCTTGTCTTAACCGATCATCTCACACGGTATCTTCCAAGAGACGTCTAATAAAGAATCATCACATCCCTTCAGCAAAATGGTTCGCTTCGCTTTCACCGCCGTTCTGCTTTGTATGTCTCAAAATCCCTCGTCTCAGGTTTCTCTTGACTAACCTCCCGGCAGTTGGCGTTTCTGCTCTCGCTGGCCAGGCTGGCAATGTCGCAGCCCAGAAAAATGCTGCAGCTCAGCAGCAAAAAGCCGCCGCTGGCGCTGCCAACCAGGCCAGCGGCGCTGGTGACAACAAGGTCGGCGCAGGGCAGGCCAACCAGTTCATCACCGGCCCATGTGCATCCAAGGCAGACTGTGCCTCGGGATGCTGCACTCAGAGGAACGGCAAGGTTGAGTGCGCGGCTCCTGGAGCACTTGGTGTTAAGGACAAGGCCAACGACCCGAAGTGCAACGCCAAGGCCGGAGGTCGGGCGGCTAAGCGCCTGAGGGTTTGAGTGGGAAGCGAGATGAAAGATTTAACGAGACCACGAGGCCACGACAGCTGGCTCAGTCTGGTAATTAGGGTACATTGTTCATCGAAGGCCAATTATGGCTTTGTATATACTTGCCAGCTAGGTCAATACCCAATACGTGATTGATCTTAAAAACTCGGAACCAAAGTCCCAGACTATAGTGATGTTTACTGCCGCTTGCGTAGCATGAGTCGTCGGGTTAAGGGAATCAAAGCAGCTGAGCTCATGTGTGTCGGCTGGGCTGCGCAGCCAAAGGGTTGCATCCGTCCGCCCACGACTTACTGTCGGCAGACTAGGACTTATACCGCCCTAGAATTGCATTTGTTGTAGCGTTACACTTTTGCTTGCCCAGCGGCTATTTGTTTCGTCGCTTACATTCTTGCTCCATTCCAAGGCCACGCGTCTGCTCGATAGCTCGTTTTCCTACCCAAGTAGTCAGATCCATGATTATGCGGAGGCTGTGTCCATCTAGTGACGTCGACATAGCTCCTGGACGTTGCTATATCGGGTCATCATGACAAGATTGGGTCCGGACAGCTGACCAGGCGCCTCTTGCGGCACTTCAATGTTGCTGTATATAAAACCATCCAAGCCACCGTTTCTTTGCTGTCATGAAATCGACTGCGAATCCGATGCCACCAGTTTGGAACCCGTGTGCCAACAGCCCATAAATAGATCCGTCATCGGCCAAGCCTCAGAGGTGGCCAGGTCTCTCGAACCACGGACCCTGACGGGATGGGCCTGGCGATTAAGAACTAATATAGCGAATAACTACCGTCTTGGTAGGATCAGGGATAATATTGCCGGCTTTGGCAGCGATCCGGGGGCACGCAACGCTCTATCCCATCGTCTCGCGTCTCGTGCTTCAACGCGGTACGATGCAGTTTGCGGGGGCGGAGTTGCGAATGCCGATGCCGGGTATTGAACTGCGAACACCGCCAGGTGGAAACCCCCATGGTGGATAACTCGACCGTCTTCTCCACTGAAGTGTATGCAAGGCGAAGCAAAAGGGGGAGACATGCACAAGTCGGGCGCTATGGACTGTACATGAGATCTTTCCTTGGTGACTCGCGGAACCCCTTCCAATGACCCCGTGTAGCCAACTTCGATAGGCATGATGAATGAGGAAAGCGGTGTGTCATTTACTGGAATGACAAAGGACGCAACAAGACCTTCTCGCATCGTCACGAAGACGTTTTTCACCGGCAACATAGCACTCAAGGCTGGGTTCCACGTCACGAACAAAGCTCCGGAGCTGCTGGAAGAGTTCTTCGGCATCTCTATTCACGATCCAGCCGGGGGTTGTGCAAAAAATACCGCCTTCCAACTTGGACCTTACAGCATGGCCAACGGATCGACGTTGGTGTAACTGTTCTCTAATAAGAAGACGCAATAAAGCTAGCAGTGGTGACGAGAGATATCGCCCATGAATATTCGACACCAGTTCCTAATTTTTATAGGAACAACTGTAAGAAAGTTAGCAGGATACATGCATGTCTGGTAGTAGTTATTCCGAGCACGCGGCCAAGCAAGCTCTTGGAAGCTCTGGACGATGCGCATGTTTGACTGCATGCTGGGAGGGGCTGCATCACGTCGGCATACATGTACACGAATACGATCGTTTTGAATTCTTTTATTTATATACTTGCACTTGTCGTCAAACCTTTGCAACGACCAGCGCCATGAGCTGCCGCTCCTCCATACGTCCACCGCCCTGTTATTATTCTTGATCCAAGCTTTCGATACCCAAATCTAGCACTATGACCCAAGTTTGTGAGCAGCATGTACGTTTGCGACTGAGGTCGTAAGATCAAACTTACATAACCGCCACAAACAGCACCGTGCCCGCTGGGAAGATCGCAACATTTGCCGGCACAGCAGTTGGATGCCTATTAGTCCGGGACAGGACATATTAGACACTCGGCAGCAACATCACTGGGCAGCCTCGACTCACACTTGATGAACATGATTGCTAGGAAGAGACTCCTAGTTTAGCCATCCCCTCGAGTTAAAGCATGATAAGGCCACTCACTCCATTATCAACACAGTACTGGATGCTGGGGTTCTGCCACAATGGGCCACTGAATTGCGTTCCATCTCGACGATCCTGCTGACGGACCACGGCCGGGCTCGCGATGACCAACGAGGAAAGACCAGCGAGGAGAAGGAAGTACTTCATGATGGGAAAGGTGGAGTGATTGAAATCGTGTAGAGACTTTGTGGGATTGGTAGCGATGCGAATTGCTCTGTTGTGACAGCTTGGGGAAGAATGATGAGAGTCGATGAGAGTCTGAGCGGTGTTTGTCTGGTCTATATATCTGAACTCCCTGAAGACAACACGACATGCCGTGTTGTTGATTGCTGCTTTCGAGTGCCAAGAGCCGTGGGACTTTCAAACATTGAATTGGCGTTGTACGCATACCACTTACCCGACATCTCGATGAGACCTGCATGCTCATGACATGGCCGGCAATATGGCAATGGATGGCCTGACACACCCTGTCTATTACGCATATGTCCATCATTAGAGCCGCAGTACCCGCTTGACAGGCGACTGTATGTAGCGGAGAAGAGCCAGTTGGTGCATGTGATTTCCCTGTCAAAGATACAGACATCAATACACCAGGTCTATGGCGCTTAGAATGCCCCTTTGGCATGGATTTTTCTGGACCGTTGTCCTGCTGCCGTGTACAACGTGGGTCGGAATCACATAGCTGAGTTGTTTCCCACTGGTAAGTCTGACCCATGCGCCCGGTTGCATTATCGGTCGACAAAGTGCCCGCGCGTCTGTTAATCGCTTACGAGGTTCGGAGTGTGGGGGGTTGTTTCGTGGCTGCGATGGACATTAATGGACTTAGCTATGATGTTGTACCTATCGTAAGAGCCATGACCTCGCACGCCAAGATCTAAAATGCTTGATTCTACTGCCTGCTCTTTCAGCTCGTGATGTGACCAAGGGAGTTAAGCTGAGGAACACGATAAATAGTCGCCTTCGCAAAGAAGTATTCTCGAGCTTGGTTTAAGAACCCTGTGGGGATTCGCCAACATGCTCGGTACGAGACGTCATTAGGAGTATGGTTTGATGCGGGCCTTGGTCTTTAGTCACGACGTATCAAGCATACGGAGAACTTGTAATTTCTCCATTTGCAAAGACCGATACATCTGACGCTTATCATGTCCCTTTGGGATGGATCCGGTAGTAGATGTGCTACCATCCGGGCTCTACGGTTTATGTGACGGTATACGTATCTATATATATCTCGTCCGGCCTACGGGAATCATTCCAGCTCGATCCGCTCGGCGAGATTCCCCTCCCGCCCCACGCCAAGGGGTTTCAAGCCGGGTGACCCCTGCTTGTCCAGGATTATCCTCAAACCCGACTAGGTATTTCTTATCCGCCTATCGGTTGAGTTTTCATTCTTTACCACCGCAAGTCTCTGTGCTAGATGCGTAAAAAAGCGCGACAATAGGAACTAGGACGTGCTAAAAGAGGGCCAGGGTGATCATTCACCACGGCTGCCGATGTATGCAAGCTTCAGAAACAAAATGAAAAAGTATCCACCACTCGGCAGGTAAAAGCGGGCACAGGTTTCTAGGCAAGTTCTCCCCTAGGAAGATAAGACGCTTCATAGTCTATATCCAATGCGTAGATTAGAAATCCGTCACCCAAGTCCGTGCGGCCTGCGCCCACTTGCGGACTCTAGACTCGGATATCCCAAGATTCGGTGATACGTTATATACCGGTAGTCCAATGTCATAACTCATAGCACTGCCTATAATACTACCCGCCGCCGTTAGATCCTTGCTCTTCTTTGTTCCCTGTCACTCACTCGCCTGCGTACATATGTGTACTGTACGAAGACTCCGCTCTTACGCGTCCCGTAAAGCCCTCCCGGACACGATTAAATAGCAAACAAAAACGCCGATTCTCTCGTATATTGAACCAAACCAGGTCTCGCTTAGAGTAAGGTCATGGCGTCTGGTGTAATCTGGGGCACGACCACTTAATGTTCCCTGGGTGGTGCTTCCTATCTCCATACCGGGTGTTGATATAGCCTCTTCATACTTCTTACATCTCCATGTACTTATCTGCGGATAGGAAGGGTCTACATCCCAACTCAGGCTCAACTTCAAGCCCCGTGTCCCTATGGCAAAAAGGTACGTCAGCACAAAACTGACGATCCCCCCACACCTACCCCCCTTTTCTTTTTTACAAGATGGGATGCCCGATACTGGAGGGTGCTTTGCCGAGAACCGACTGATAATATAGTTGTCTTGAGTTTTGAGCAACTTCTATTTGCTCCATCACCATCTATCCTATTGCTTCTAAGCGTCCACCGGAAACACGTAATTAGTGAGGAATGTCCAGCGGAAAAACAGGGATCCCACGAACTCCAACGTTGATTTGAATCCCTTGGGCCCTTTGGCTATTCTGGAGATAGCAGGTAGAGGAAGGATCGCATACGTTTCGAGCGATTCGGGCTCCGTCAATCGTGCGGGTAGCCTGCTCATACGTGCGAAGCTAGTTCAGTGAAAGGCCAAAGAAAGATTGCTCTCTGCTCAAACTCGTTATATCAAGTATCGGGGTATGTGGGGAAGGGGGAGGCGAGAGGCCAGGAATGCGTGCTTGTTCGGACAAAGAGCGATATGCACATACAGATCTACGCGTGAGACATGGAGTGCGATTCTGAGGAAGCCAGAAGTGTCTATCGTGGGGAAGTTCTCCAGGACATTTAGCATCGCCAGAAACAAGTTACCGCTGCCTGGCCAGACTTTGTAATCACTCTTGACGATAAGTAGTATCGTTTCCTGCTGTTCGGAGAGCGGTTAGGGACCAAGCAGCAGCTCAAGATCCGGCGTATGCTTACGCGGACCAGACGGCGTTTTTGACTAATCTTGGTATGTGAGTTGGAGAGCCGAACAAACAGGTACACGAGGCTGCTTCTCATTGCACTGTATTATTTCGTGAAGTTGATAACACCATTCTGCGTCGCCTGATGCTATTTGCCTTGTCACATGCGCAGGGGTCGCCTTCCGCGATGGGGAAAGCCTTGGTTTGTACGTAGTCGACCTTGAATTCCACCAAGTCCTACGCGGCACAAGCCTTAACCCTCCGTCCCCTAGCACCTCTGATGAACGGTATTGGGTCGCTGGACGGCCGCGGAGACTCAAACGTCAGCAATCCTGCTTAATCCTTGACAATGCCCGTAATTGCACTTACCTTACCTGCGGTACTCCTTTGGGGCAATGGACGTGTGCCTCTTCTTTAAATGACACTTGACCTCGTTTGCGATGACACGCAAACCTGCACGTCTTGCAAACCACGAACCACGGATCTTGGGAAATCAAGGCGGAGCCTCGAGTCACCCACAGAATGGCCTTGCAGTTGATGAGCATCGGAGTAATGGATGTGAACACGCCACTCTCGGCGCCCGCAAGCAGGGAATCCTCGACCTCGCCGACGAATATGCGAGTCTTTTCGGTCGTGTCCCCCTCGCCGAGCCGCTGGATCGTCGGGGAAGATCCAGTCTCATGAGCAATGGCGGCCTGGACGCTCTTCAGTTAATCCATGGGAGGAGCCAAGGTCCCAGTAACCAGCATTACGTCTGAGCCTTTCTTGTCCTCAACATATGCATTCTCACCTGAAGCGGTGGACATTATTATGCTAATCATGTAAAACTCGTCGTCTTTATAGTCTGCGCGCAATCTGTCAATCAACCAGCGCGGGTCGCCTATGGTTATATCGGGGCTCCAGACCCAAGAGGCGCAGGCGCCTTTGGTGTTCTTAGATAGTTCCTTGTCGCTATAGAAGCCGCTTCCTATGGACTGAAAGGCGAGGCCCCCAACCTCAATGACCGGGGCCTCGACCGGCACGGTCGCATCATCACATACGGCCAGGTCCGCTGTAAACGGTTGCGGGTTGCGTTCCTTAAGACTGGCGCGGGCGGCTAGGACTTGACCGGCCTCAAATTCGGACATTTTCGAAGAGATTCCCAAACTGGTCAGGCCCCTTGGGATCAGACTGGTGGTTAAGTTTGTCCCGACATAAGGTAGCACCGTATATGCCGCCTGGATAACCGAGTCCAGGGGAGTGGGATGCACTACGAGACGGTTCTCCTAAGAGTGAGGAATAGCAGAAGCCAAGTCAGCAATGACAAAAGAGCAGAGGGAGCCGTGCTCATCGCTCTGGAAAACTGCAGCGTAAGCTGCGGCTGCTTCTCCGCTAGAATGACTCGAGATCGCCGTTGGCCGAATTCACCACGACCACAAAAGACGCATGAGTGCAATCTGGATCGCCGTGGACAGCGGAAAACTATACTCGGCAGCGTTGACATGAGTCTCGGCCTCGTCGCGACCTAGTTCCTCTGCTCGGATGAGATACGGTTCAACATCAAGCTTTCTCTTGGCAACACAGATGCCGCCATTCTTTATATTAGGTTACTTACCCATGATTGTCCAACCAGCCCCAAGTTGCTTAATATACTCGTCGCATTCGAGGAGCGCTTGTTGTGAAGACAAGAAAAGCGCCCATCAACTCTCTATTCGTAGCATGCCACTGTGCGCCTTGGCCTGTGAAAACCCACGCGACCCGCGATCCTCCGCTCAACCTAGTCGGCTGAAGGCCCTCGCTATCAAGAGCATGCAAAAGGCCATCAAAGGTTGTCTGCCACGCATGCTGCTCTCCAGGGCAAGGCCGACCGACGAGAAGATAGCATGTATGCCAGGCTGGCGAGGGGGCTTTGCTCGTCAGTCTTGCCTCCGAACTCGAGGTAGTCTCGCAGGTTCGACACGGCTCGCCGACAAGCCTGCTCATTCTTGCCACGGACGATGTAGATCCGGGCCTGGTTCGGGCTTTTCAGGTTATGCTCTTGGGCTTGGGAAACTCGATACTTGCCGCTGTTTACTTGTGAATCGCCTCGCCGAGTGGAGGTCGCTGGGGCCGTCTGAGGCCATTCGAGAATGACACCACAAGTCTGTCAGCTGACGGCATGCTCTTGCATCCAACCAGGCTGCTGAAGGGCTGGAGCCTGGGCGATTATAGCAAACTCCATCGCGGTACGAAGAAGCCCGTGTACCCGTTCCGGTAGCCTCGTCCAGAGAGTCTGTTCTGCCGTGAGCTCCGTCTCGTAGCAAGGTAGAGCAAGACGAAGGTACTCCCAGTCTTGACGCGGAAAGTAGTTGCCACACGCATACTGTCGGCCTCTGTGGCAGGGGGAGTCTGGTAGCGCGACCGCTGCTTTTGCCCTTCTGGGGCCAAGACCCTTACAATTAGTATTCGCATAGATAAAAAACGCTTATCAGGTGCCTTAGAAGCCTCAGCATTTAGCATTAACGGCGGGAAGGACTAGGCGGCGAAGCGGCGAATATACAGCCGAGCGCAACCAGCGCTCGCCGATAGATGCTGGCCAGCGAGGAAGATATCGTAGTGCTTCCAGCCAGGTTCACTGTACTTCTGAGCATGCAGCTGCCCCTTACTGTCGAGGTTACCAAAAGCGGCGGCACCTCCCTCCCGATTCGGTGGGCTCGACAGTGCTTTCTATCACTAATCTGTATGTATTCCTGAGGCTTTCTATCATTAATCTATGTGTATTCCTCTGGCCTCTTGGAATCAAAAGGATACCCCTCGGCGTCATGAGAGAAATGGCACAATGACGGTTGCGGTCCTCAGCCATAGGCGGCCCTTGACGGAAGGTTGCTTCCAACAAGGCTATTCTTTTCAGCATCGTCGACAGCATCCAGATTGGACCCAGAACCAGTCTTTCTTGTAGTGGCCCCAACATCGGTGCTGTTCAAAACCGTAGGTACATTAGGGTCCTATATAGACGAGCCAGTCCCTACGGAGGTCTTCGTCGCTTACGCATTGATAAGGGTAAAGTGAGGGGTCGGCTTAGCAGGTTTTTCCAGGGCCTCAGCTGTCTTGATATGTTCATCAGCGGCCTCGGGTGCCTTGGCCGTTAACGTGACCATCGGATTAGAGCTAGGTGTCTTGAGTGAAGCTGGAAATTCACGAGCGGTGGCAGCAGCCCGCATAGGCATCGTCGCCGTAGTGGTGCCGATGATGCTCTTGGAGATAGAAGAGCTTTTTGGATCACTTCCGGCAAGGCGTGACGCCTCTGTCCCGTTCCGCGGTCGTTTCGCGTTTGGACGTGGTAGCGCTCGACTGCTTGGGCGGAATGGACTTCTCGGTGTTGGTGTCTTGCGCTTCTCCAAGTCGCCATCCGCGGTCGAGGGGCCCTCGAACCGGCGAACATTGAGATGACCCAAGGAGTCGGCTGCGCTGCCGTCTATCGAGCCTTCATAAAGCCTGCTCGAGGTAACGACCCAGCCAGCACAGACCAGAACGGCCGTGACAAGAACGTGACGGACATGAACCATCTTTGAAGCTGTGGTTCTTCGGTAAAGAATGACTGAAGTTCGAAAATAATGATAATAATAATAACAATAATAGCGTTTAACGATTGGAGACTCGGACTGGGAGTGTATGCATGTGCTCGGATCAGAGGCTTCAAGTACTCCGACTATTGGGAGCGACACTAGCCATATATGTGTGCGTCGACATGTACAGTGAGCAGTGAAACCTAAATGCGAATCGTGTCAAGCTACATGCGTGAACAAGTCTCCAGGCATTGTACGCACAGTAACAAAAACAGTAGAAGATGAAGACATGAACAAAGTTCGCGAGTCATATGGATGTTCCCGCATGGCCGCATATAACTACATTAATTCTAGAATCGTTGATCAATCTTAGAAGTCGATGGGAGCGAGTTGGTTGTACATTCGAAGGATTAGTTCAATGGCTCTTACTTCGTGAAGAAGAACGTTCATAGCCCAGGGAGCCACGCGTACACGAAGACTTGGCGTCCATGCTCGAGTTTCAAGTTGAGATTACCTGGCATTGGCGGGGCCCAATAAATCAAGGTTTGTTACATGTACGTGACTTTCTGCGCCCTATGTAGTTCGAGTATGCACGTCCATGACCGTCATGCAGCGCAAGCAAATAGCCTCTCCGTCTTCAACGCATAACGATAGAAATGTCCAAGCAGCAGAAATGACATGGGTTCACGGCTCGACAGCATCAAGGCTTGAGCAGGCGGAGTGGAGGCGACGACCCTTGAGCTCATATCGGCAGAAGAAGGCTGAGAGCGTTGTTGGATGCTACGTATCGTCTTGATACTGGCAGATGGCGCAACACTTCCTAGAGGGCGCGATTTTATATGCAGACGGGAAACACGCACCGGTCGTCTTCCCCATTACATGCACGCGTACGAGTCGTCCAGAGTCCAGACCTACAATTGCACTTTCAGCCCATTGCGCCAAGCAAGGCTGACACGCATCCGACCCAGCGCATGTTGAGCACCGCCTTCGGCTCTTGTATTTCCTTGGCCACAAGGGACTGTGCAAATGTGGTGAAGACTTTTGGCAAAAAAGAAATCTTTTCCAATGCTCATGATGACCCAGACTCATGACCGAGCAATTTGAGCAGCGACACGATAAGCGCACCAAGAGATCCTAGCCGGGGGATTGGATCAAGTTGGACTTTATCACCACCGGCACCGACGACGAGCTCACCGCTATGGTGCTTACTATGGGTCTCTTACAGCCCTACGGCCTCCCCCCCGTTACACTACTTGGCACCAGGGAGGATTGGATCAGCCCTCGAAACAGGCTGGATGACTTGAAAGATTTGGTGAGCGATCTACCGAGTTTGCCTGGATCATCACGCCTACCCTAAACGGCTTTGTTAAAGCTTAGGACTACCCCGAGTCCGAAGAAACTAAGTCATTCTGGGCCCAGATCGTCGTCGGCGGCGCCACAGGGAATGCGGGACAACCAAGGATGGTGAACCGTATCCCTATCAGCTATGCCAAGGTGCCATTCGATCTCGGTTCTTCTCTCGCATTGGCGTGTCGAAGCAACGACGGTACTTGTTTCCTCGGAACTACCCCTGTGCCGCCTGCCGCACCCACGATGTTACGTGCTTGGACGGACCAAGCTGTTCTTTCGTTCTTCTAGTCTGCATTATTCGTTGACATGTATTCTTCCGCTGACTTCTATTGCGCTTTGGGTCGCTGGATCATCACATGCGTAGGAAGACCACTGTCCTTCCGCAAAAGAAGAGAAGGTAATGGAGGAAAGAAAGAGATATATTCAATTCAATTTCTTCAGATATCTTCTTACCGAAAGTTGGGCTGCTGCCCAGAGTAATGGACTACGAATACACGCAGAAGGGAAGGATCCAAGTCCCGCAGGGATAAGGCTCTGAGCCCGGATTCGGGGAAGTGGGGGGGGGGGGCGAGAGTACGAGATGAGAAGGTGTTATAAAGGAACAAAATGACAATGGCCAGGGTTCAATATATAGAAGCCGAGCCCGGGTCGCTCCAGATCCATGACGAGGACGCGGTCCCGGCCGTCAACCTGACGCCCCAAGGATTGTTGGCTGTATGATGACATCAAGTGGATGTCACAGGTCCGGCTTTGGTGGGCGGTCAGCGGATTACCCCGCAGATTACCGCCGATTACCCGCTTGCCCTTGACATCACCTCTGCCGGGTTGATGTCATCTTCGGAGCGCCATAAAGCGCGAAAGCCGGGACCGACGACGAGAAAACCAGTTCGACTGGATAGCCTGCGTTTGTGCGATCAGAATGCACCCTGTCTAAGGTCCTACATCCTGTCGGTTGCGAGGTTGCGGTGATTTGAAGCATTTTCTAGCCTTGACGCACTGGAGCTACAGCGACGCTTAGCGGATGCATACCCTGTCTACAGGCCCCCTGACGGCCTGGGGGCACTTTCGCCGCCAAGGTCCTCGGTCATTCTATCAGACGGGTGTTCAAAATCACTGCGCCATTGACTTTTCGCTACCACCGACGTTGAATTGCCCCGACGCACGTTTGTGTCCCTTTTCGCCTTGCCTGTCCTTTCGGATGGCCTTGAACAACTTATCCAAAGAGCTGGGTCCACGTTCTTCGTCCATTTGCCTCGCCACGATATCTTCAGTTAAGCCGTCCGACTGGGCCCGCCTCCGAACCTCATCGACGATGATCTTGCGCGTGGAAAGGTAATTCTTCTCTGCAGATGGCCGCCATCGAGCACCCCAGTCTCGCTCAAGAGAATCCACAGAAGGCATTTCGCCCCAGCCCTGCCGCCAGAGACGCAGCAGCTCCTGTACAGATTTGACAGAACGGGGAGCTTGAAGCTCGGAGGTTCGCGCGGCCCAGGCGGCTCGCCATGCGCTCTTCCCTGGGGCTTGCCCTGGCCCGCTTGCACCATTCCCTGCTGCTGCTCTAGAGAGAGCGGAGCGTATGTCGGACCGCCCGCTTGCGAAGGGCCTATCTCGGACCTGAGGACCGTCTCTCGTGGAGCGCGGCGCCTCTGTTGATGAGCTCCCGCGATCTCCGCATGTTGACCTGCAGCACCTTGGCCGGGGCTGAAGGTGACGGTGTAGGTCGCCTGCGCAAACTCATCCAACTTTGTGCATAGTTCGTAAGAAGCCCCCAAAAGGTCTAGATGTCTTCGCTCAGCTAACTGCTCGGCTGCGACCTGTTGAGTCAGTACTGTGCGCAGCTTCTCCGCAACCACCGGGATCGCTTTTTGAATGACCGTGGTATGGCTGTCTTCGTGGTCCCGTGTGCATGTGTCTTGAACTTTGCTGGCGAACGCTTCAAACTCGGGGCAAGAGAAGACCGGATCCTGAAAGATAGGATGGTCGGGGTAGGACTCGCGAAGGAAGACAGCGTCCTGCAGGAGCACCTCTCGAAGCCACTCCAGGAGTTCCAAGAAGGCGCCGGCGGCCATGTTCTGCTCCACCCCGAGATCTGAGAAAGGGCTACTGTGGGCCTCTTTCCATTTGTCGAGTTGAGGCCAGACCTGCACGAGTAGCACCACAGGCGGCCTCACGGTGGCCCGGGCACGAAATAAGACCCCGACCATTCAGGGTCAAAGTCGGCCACGGCCCTCATGAATTCGAAAGGCAGGGAAGTCAGATAGCAGCCGGTCATTTGGTCTCCGTTATTCCAACGACCGGCTCGGCGGATCTGTATAGTTCGGGTCAGCCCAGGCCAGGGGGTTGGCGGCTTGCCTAGGGCAGATGACATGCCTGGCCTTCATCCACCCGGCCATGTCGGCGTTTTGCGTCGCGGCCACTCTAGGCGCGTGGCTGACCTTGGAGACCTTGATCCCGGCCTTCTTGTAGAACCTGGACGTCCATTCTCGGGCAGTCTGGCCCGACAACGGAGCTGTATATTCGGTGAGTGAAAGGGTCGATGCACCCTCTGAGTTATGGGATTCCGGTGAATGCCATCACGCTTACCTTGAGGCTCCTTCGCCGATCGGCGGAGCACCTTCGTTTCATACCAGTCTTCGCTTCTTTGGAAGACGGAAACCTTTCCGCCTTTCTACCTGCCAGCGCCAGAAAAGCCAGAACGCGAGGGCGCCGATGAGACAAGACCGCGGATCTCGATGCCGCAAAGCAGATCCATACCCATGCGGCCGTGCTGGTTGGTCTTCCCACAGTTCATCACGACAACCAGCGCCTTCGTGGTATACCCTGGGCCTTGAAGCCCTCGTTGGGTAAGTCCAGGGGAAAGCAGTCTGCCAACTCCATCGGCAGGCGGTTGCCGGACCGCAGCAGCATGTGGTTCCCGAGCAGAAAGTCCACCTGCGTCCTCAGGGCGCAGGCGATCTCTCTCCTCTCGGACCATGCCACGTTGGTGTGGTCGGGGATCTGCGCCGGCGCATACACATCTCTCAGAGTTCCAACTCCCTGTCCATGTATTCCTTCCTCTTCCGGCTCCAAGTCGTTGCAAGAATGCTGCGTTTGAGCGCCTTCAGTGCCACTCCCGTGGCCGGGCCGCAGGATTGACTCCCGGCTCTTCTGCTCGTCGTAAAGCTTCTGTATGGCCGAGACGTAGCCCCGTACAGTATTATACTGTAGTTTGAGCGTGGACTCATACAACTCCAAGTCGGAGTCTGACTCGTATTCGCTACCTCCGCCGCCTACAACGATGGTATCTGCTGGGGAAGCTGGGTGTTAGTATGATGGGCTGGCTCAGTCCGACGACCACATCCCGTGATCAACATCTGTTACCTGATGGTGCTCTGCGTCTTTCACGGCCCTCTTGGCTTCCTGAGCCTCGAGGTGTCGTTTTCTTTCATCGGCGACCCTCTTTCCTTTCTTTGGAGGACGTGATGCCACTACCTCCTTCATGAAGAGCAAGAGCTTTCCTTCATCGACCAGGTCTCCCGGTAGCTGTTGGCCCTGTGGTACCGAGGCCGGCCAAACGTCCGGGATCGCAGGCCAGTTGGCTTGACACCACTCCTGTGAGGCGGTCAATGCATGGATCTACATGAAGATTGCAGGGCGCGCATGCGGGCTTGCCTTCCATTCTTCCTGCTTGGGACGATAATTTCGCTTCGTATTCTTCGGCTGGGTGTTCTCCAGATCTAACAGGTAGTGCTCAATGGCCGCCCTGACCCGGGGATCCTCTATCGCGTTCGACATGGTGCAGGCGGTCGCCGTCGCGACGGTGGCAATGGAGGAGGTGGTGGGAGGTGGGAGGAGGAGGTGGAGCGCAACGCGCGTGAGCGAGACCGAAATCGAAGGTCTCGCGCAGGGCCCCGCGGGCGTGGACCTTCGATTTTGCCGTCCGATGGCGGTAATCCGACTAAGAAAACGCCAGCCCCGCAGGGACGAACCTTCGAAAACGACATGGTTTTGCGTGGGGCGGGGCGGTAATCCGATTACCGGATGACCGGTCAGCCGGCCCCGGGACCTGTGACACCAAGAACTGCCTGGACTGCCGTAACCAGCACAACTCTCATGTCGGCTCCGTCTCCCACACCGCAAGACATTCACCGCTAACTAAGTAAAGCCTTCCAGATCCAGGCATGTGATCCAAATGTTAAAGAACCTCGCTGTCGGCCCTTCCTCAAATGATAGTTCGTCCTACTCTGAAGAGAAGAGAAGAAGATGCTGGTCTATCGCCTCCAAATGACACATCCAGAACCCAGCCTACATCGTCGGACGGTCGGAGAGGGTACGGCAATGTCATACATCGAGGATGTTATTTGAATCCTCGATTAGCCAACCGCGTGTATGGCTGGAGACGCCATTGTCGCCAACCCAACGAAGCTCAGGGCTCTTCCGAACAATAGCTCCCTCACCTCCCGTGCAGCGAACGACCCATCCGATGGGGAAGGACTCGCAAAATAGCCCTTCCACAGCCGGGGCGAGGGTCAATATCGCCACTGTCCAGCGCGACCATCGTTCAGGACGCCGTGCAGGGGAAACTGTATCACTGACGCATACAATATCTCAGCTGGGCAACTTTCAAGGTTCGGAGGCTGCTGGAGAAGGTATCTACCGAGGCGACTGCACTATCTATCCCAGGAGTCCTGGAAGCTCCTCTCCAGCCGTGTGCAGGCGAAGCTGGACAATCAGGAGCTTGCCAGGTTCGTCAATTCCCTACGAGTATACGCCACGAAAGACAGGGTGAACAAATATAACCACTACCGACCGCCTAGGCCGGCCTGTCATCCCAGGTAATGGCTAAGATCATTGGCTCTGGCGCTGCTGCTGCTCCTGACGACAAGGCAGGCAACCTTGCGAAATAGATTCCCGTATGCATTGGCGCCCGTCTGATGCTGACGTCCAACCTTTGGCAGCCAGTCGGCCTCTGCAACGACGCACGTGGTAACGTTACAGTATACGATATCGCCTGGGCGCCTGGAGCTGACCCCATTCAAGACCCTCCCTGCGTGATCATGATGGAGTTTGACAAGTACCCGGGGCCGGTATTCCTGACCACCGCAAATGGCAGGAAGATTGTCCCGATTCGGCCGGTAGACAGGGACTTCCTCGTCGGGCCCACGCTCTGCCCTCGTACGCAGTTTCCCCTGATCGTATGCTACGCCATTACAGTTCACAAGTCGCAGAGCATCACCGAAGACATGATCGTGACGGATCTGTCCTGCCGTGACTTTCAGACCGGATTGAACTGATTGTTCGGTGACTGCTTGACTGGTAGCCAGACTCGCAGCCTTCGGCTGATTGTACGCCTTGCACCACAGCCCTAAAGACTAAAGTGCAAGGTGTGGCGCAGTATTTTAGTATATTAATATGCGGAGAGGCTCTGTGGTATTGATAGCTGGGTGGTTACCGGAATAGTGGTGTACGATGCAAAGAGGCAACAAACCCCAGGACTGCCGTCAGATCAGGCAATTGATGAGAATTATCTGAAGAACAGGAGCTAAATGAACGAACGCACGAAAATATGCAGCTCTTTATACACAAATGAAAAGTCCGTCGCGTGATTACGCATTAGCGGTTGCCTAGCAGGCAACAGCGGCGTTGTCCTGGACAGGCTTGATATGCGACATTCACCCGGCTTCAATTGTAACAAGTCTCCCCTCCCCTCGCCATCACCAGTTCATCTAACTTCGCAATGCACCTCGGCAAGTACTCCTTCACGCCATAGGCGTTAAGATAGTCCCGCTCCTCAACCAAATCATTCAATGCCACCTTGACCCAGTCGACCGTCTTCTCTCTCCGCTCCCTTCTGGCCTGCCGCCTATTTTTTTCCCACATCAGCTTCTGGCGGTACATCTGGCCGCGTTGCTGCTTGTTCGGCCTCCCAGTTTTGAACACGCCGACATCCGCATCCATCACGGTCCACCGCTTTGGGGCCTCGGGCAACTTAGCTGCCAGACTGACGGGCTTCTCCCTCGCCTTGATCAACGACAAAAGTGCCTCGTCCAGCAGCTTGAAAGTCGGAATGCTGTTGTCGCATGGGGTGCCGCACATCTTGCAGGTGGCGTCGAGGTCAGTGTGTGATGCATCAGCCATGCTGAGCAGCAGGTTGAAGGCAAGTGTAATGTCCATGGCGACTAGCTTCTTGACGGCGCCCATGTGTTTACGGATGGAGGTAGCGTAGCTGGAGGTCGTGATCGCCGCGCTGTTACCACTCATGATCCTAACTTTCTTGTCGAGTTCATCGACGCGTTTGTCGAGGGCCTTGAGGGTGTCGGCGTAGAGCTCCTTAGCCTCTTGGCTGGTGCCTACAGCGGCGGTCTTTTTGGGTTTGGCGGAATTGTCTGTCTTGGACGCTTTTGTGGGACAACGGGCTTCGTCGATCTCTTCGTCGGAATACTGAGCCTCTACGTCCACTTTGGTGTCGCGCTTGCGCTTAGCCGAGCGGGGTGGCTTGAGCCAGCTCGTAAGGTCTTTTGGTGGGACCATTCTGGATGCTGTGTATCATGAACGAGCTCAGTACAGTCAAGAATGTAGAAGAAGTGGATTCGTTAGGCAGAGACAATGACCAGCAGAAGAAGCTCAAAAGAACTTGTTACGCGTCGAGAAACGCGTCTTGCGGAGACCATCTCGGACTCGGAGAATAAATTAACCGAGGAGCTATGGAGTTCCAATAAAGTGGGGTGTGGCACGGGTAGGCATTTCAGACCGCCACGGTCCCGCGCGGCCTGCTTCAGCGCCGCGAAAATCTCGTCGATTTCGGCGGCGCCTTCCTCGTCCATGGCCCGATCCAACGGCGGCATGACCTGCGCCGTCCGCGTCCTCTCCAGCGCCGACGGCTCGATTCGCTCCAACCGCTCGCACACCACCGCCGGCACCCCGTACGGCGGCGCCCCCCAGCTGTCCATCTCCGCCGTGTCGATCTCGACCTCGCCGTAGAGCGGGTTGTTCTCCTTAAGCCAGGCCAGCGCCCTCTCGACCACTGACCGTCTCACCGATAGGAGACCCGACAGGCCGCGCGACCCTGGCCTCTCGGCGCCCAGCCATGAGACGTGGATCTCGTCTATGACCCGGAGCAGCGGGTGGGGCAGCACCTTGGCTACCAGGCCCTGCACGTCGTTCGGGAACACCGTGATGTGACCCTTGACGTGCTTGGGATATCTTAACGTCTGCTTCTGGCCGCCTGAGGCGCTGTATCTTGTGACGAACCTATAACATGAGTTCAGCGCGATCAGCTTCTCCACCGACGTTAGGCCCTTGAGCTCATCGGGGAACACGTGCTCACAACCGAGACGGCTATGGAGTTGAGCCGCCGGCGACAACACCCCGCGCGCCAAGGGTCGAGAACACTCCTCGCAGACCGGGACGGGCTCGCCCTCGGGGAAGCAACTCCGGCACGCAAACGGCGATCCGCGACCGCCCCTAATGGTGGGACTCGACATCCACTGGTCCCATGCCATCTCCCTCGGCTCTCTTGCCGTGCGCTTCCGGTGGCATAGCATGCACATCCGTATCGGCAGCTTGTCTACGTCGTGGAAGGCCCGATAGAAACCTCGCACCGTCGACACCTTCCTCTCGTGCGGTACGGGCGTGCATCGGTTTTGCATTGGACAGCCTTTCCTTTACGGCGAATTCCTCTTCAAGGTAACGTAGGACGCTGGCCAAATCCTCCTCCTGCAACTCCCTTCTCCTCTGCCTCCAAAGGCCTCCTCGAGTACGTTTCGCCGGGGCCGGTCTCGGTCGGCTGGCCCATTCTCTTTCTCTGTTCTACGGGCTGCGACGGTCTCGCTGCCGCCTTGTCTCGTCTCGGCCGATCTTGTTCCTCCGCTGCGACCTCGCATAATGGTCGCGGTGGCGAACGTCCGGAAGACTGCAGATTCGCTGTTCTGTTTTCCGTCTCTCTAGGTCGGACTGGCCGAACGAAGGGCTCCTTACCGACGTGCAACCCGCCTTCACCCGAGCGAGGCACTTGTCCGGCCGGGTTCGTAGCCTCTCTGGGCTGAACGGGTTGGGGTTTTCTCTCCCTCGCGCGTTTCCCCAGCGCCGGTTGTACGCTCGATGAGACCCTTCAGAGTTACCCGGGCGCCATCGCCGGACTGCCTAGGCCTAGCCGTCTCAAGACCACCTCTGGCCGCGGCAGACGATTCCCCTATGCCTGCGCCTTCGTTTCGCCCAACTAACACGGCCTCTGGCCCATCACGAGCGTTTATCGATGCTGACCGTGGCGCTTGCCCTCCCTCTAAAGTAGCGCCATCGATGTACCTCGTCCGTTTTCGCTGCTAAGTACCTCGCCGTATTCCTACAGGCAACGCTCTTTTGAGTGTTTTCGCTCGTTCCCTTCGCAAGGCCTCCTCGAACGCCGGCGCCTGCTTGGCCTCGATAGGCCGGACTTGGATGCCGCGTCCACTTGACTTTCGTGGTGTGACACCTGCTTCGGCCCTTGTCCGCCGCGCTAACTGTCCCCTCCGCGATACTCCTTGTCGCAGCGGCCACCGCAGCCACCGTCCCCATTTGACCTTCTCCGGCCACTAACCTAACCTCGCGGCTATCCAGTCAGAACTCCTGATGAGTCCTTCGTCAAGGGTTGGCCACTTCTCTTCCTATATGTATGACGTCAGCATTGAGGAGACGGTAATAGCAATGATGCGAGGCACATGCGTTTGCGTCTTATCCGAAGAAGACCGCTTCAGTAGACTGACCCGAGCGTTCAAGTACAACGAAACTGGCGCGAATCAAGGCAGCCCTAAAGTCAAGAGCAGCGCAAAATAGCAACAGTCGGGGGAGCCAGGAGCCGCCGGGTCACGTTAAAGCTGCGGCGTCTCCGGCACAGTTATATCATCAAAGAGCAGCAGTTTGTCCCTGATGGAGCAATCCTGCATCGCAAATTAGTGCCAAACACGGTGACTACAGTACGTTTCAGCGCGCTTATCCATGGCAACTACTCGTATCCCTCTAGCTTATACGTCATGACCACATAACGCACGTAGGACAAACGTTTCGTGGCACTATGCCACGTTGTTGCCCACCGGCGAGGCTGCATTACATGATGGCCTTCAATCTCCTTCCATTGTGGCCGCACTGATTCAGTCCTCGTATTTCTGCTGTGAATGGTCCCGATGAGTACGTGCCTATTCCATCCTCGGTTGCACCTTTGCTTTATGGCAAAGAGGCCCGGCGAGTGGAAGTGGACGACCCGCACGGTGATCGACATGGCATGGTTCGTCAGGGTCTGATGGTACTTATTTCAACTGACGGAATATCTTCTATGAGCTTGGCAATGAGTCGTTGCAGTGAAGGGTCCTTGCTGCAGAGGCAGCCTTCTTAGCTGCCCGCCCACTCCACAGCGGAGGCTGCCAAGCCAACGTACTGCAGCCCCTCAATTAGGTACCCGTGCCACGCCCCACTTATTTCGCGTTCGTTCCTCACCAGCTCCATGGCTCAAGCTGGTGCTGGAGATCTTTAGAGAGTTGGTGCTCGATCGATTCGATTCCCGTTCTTCTTCATATTTCTTTACTCTGGGGTAGGTGTGGCTCTTGATTGCCATCATGGCAGAGCCTGAAATGGCGCCTCCGGCCGACGTGGGGGCGGGGCTGGATCCAACTAGCCCGTCGCCATTGACGCGTCCGACGCGAGGGATGACGCCCAGCGCACGAGTGCAGGATACGTTACGAACGCTGGAAAATGCGACCGCGAGAGCTCCCAAGCGTGTCTCGACCCGAACGACGCGAGTCATATCGGTGGGCAACGAAAGCGAAAGAGGCGACGAGGTGAAGTCACGCAGCAATGCGGAGACCGCCAAATCGATGATGCAGAGGGTTCTAGAGATGCTGGCGAAGATGGGAAGTGAGATGGTGGAGCTGAAACATCGAGTATCCGAGCAAAGCGACACGATCAGGAAGCTGAGCGCCACGGTTTACAAGCAAAGCACCATCATTCAGGGACAGGAAGATCTGATCCGAGGCTTGGAAGCCCAGGTCCAGGAATCCAAGGAAGAGTTTTGACATAAGAGCGAAGAGCACGACAAGGAAATGAAACAGGAGCACCGGGATGTTAAGAGAGAATTGGTTGGAGTGAAAGAGCAGCTACATCAGCTGATGCAAAAGCTGGATGTATCGGGCGAGGTGGCTTTGCCAAGCGGCCCTCGAGCAACGTTTGCGGACGTCGCGCGCGCCCTGCCAAACAACCCGCCATCCAGTACACGCAGCATACCTGGTCCAACCAAACAGCAGACAACCAACGAGTCTGTCCATTGTACCATTGACACGTCTCGTGTAAGTGAGTCGAACAGGAACAAAGCGCAAATCGGGCAGATACGACAGGCCATCGAGGTTGAGATGAGAGCGAAGAACGGACATGAGACCTGGAGGTGTGCAGCAGTTGTGAGAGAATCCCGGAACGCCGACCGAGTCAAGATCGTCTGCAGAGACGAAGCCGAGCTTCAGCTGGTCAAAGAGGCGGCGCAGAAGACAGCCGTGGAGGGAGCGCGAGTCATGAGAGACCAGCTGTATCCGGTCCGGGTCGACAACGCCAACCGGACAGCAATCCTCGACACGGAGGGCAATATCCTGCCCGGAGCGATCGACGCCTTGAGTGCCGAAAACAGAGTGACCATTGGCAAGATTTCCTGGCTGAGCAAACGAGAGTCTGGTAAAGCCTACGGATCCATGGTAGTATACGTCACCAAGAAAAGCGATGCAGAAAGGCTTCTGGACGGTTACTACTTTGACCTAGCGGGAGAGTCGGCCACCACTTATACGTTCGAGCCAAGAACGGGACCGAGCCAATGCTTCAATTGCCAGGAGATCGGCCACAAAGCATATATATGCAAGAAGCAGCGGACATGCGGCAAGTGCGCAAACGCTGGGCATCACCACCGAGAGTGCACAGCGATTGAGCCAAAATGCGTCCCGTGCGGCGGACCGCATGAGTCGTTTAGCTGGAAGTGCAGGATGAGGAACCCGAGCAGCGATGCTTGAGTCCCTCCGCATCCTGCAGCTGAATGCACACAAGAGTGATGTGGTGCAGCAGAGTCTGATGAACGACGAAGACTTGAAGGATTTTGCCGCACTGGCTATATCTGAGCCACATGCGCGCAATATCGACGGAAAGGTGGTGACGAGTCCTATGGGACATCGTAACTGGACAAAGATGATTCCGACGTGTGTTCGTGACGCGTCATGGCCGATCCGCAGCATGCTCTGGATCCGAAGTGACCTTGAGGCAGAGCAAGTATCCGTGCCGTCGGCTGACCTTACAGTAGCGATAGTTCGACTCGAGGGGAGGGAGGTGATGGTGGTGTCAGTGTATGTGGAAGGGAAGAACGACGAGGCGCTGGCGAGCGCGATGGAGGTGTTGCGCGACGTGATCGATCGCTTCCGCAATGGAACAGGAAACCGCACAGATGTGGTTCTGGCGGGGGACTTCAATCGCCACGATCTCCTCTGGGGCGGAGATGAGGTGTCAGCGAGAAGACAAGGGAAGGTCAGCCCATCGTTGACCTGATGGACGACGTTGGTCTCTGCAGCCTTCTCCCGAGAGGGACGAAAACGTGGCAGGGGCCGGACAAGGAGAGCACCATCGACCTGGTGCTGGCATCGGCAGAACTGGCAGACGAGGTGATATCCTGCGTGATTCACCCGACAGAGCACGGATCAGACCACAGAGCGATCCAGACGACCTTTGACATTCAAGTACCGGAGCGAATGTTTCCGCAGCGCCTGCTGCTCAGGAACGCGCCGTGGGTCGCCATCGCAGCCAGGGTCGAGGACGAGCTTCGACCTCTTCCGTGGAACGTGGGGGTGCAGACGCAGGCGGATCAGCTCATGCGGGTGGTCACCAAGGTGCTGCACGATCTGACACCCCGGGCACAGCCGCCGCCTTACGCGAAACGATGGTGGACGAAGGACCTTACACGACTGCGGCGGACATACACGTACTGGCGCAATCAAGCGAGGGCACAGCGACGAGCCGGCCAGTCACGGCCGGATCTGGAGCAACGCGCCAAGGAGGCTGCCAAGGAATACCACGACAACTTGCGGAGACAGAAAAAGGCCCATTGGGATGACTTCGTCACGGACGAGAGCAACATCTGGAAGGCAGTCAAGTATGTGAAGTCTGGTACGGAGATGACAGATGACAAGGTGCCGCCGTTGAAGAGAGCCGACGGCTCGATCACCGAAGGCAAGGGCGAGCAAGCAGAGGAGCTCCTAAGCACCTTCTTCCCGCCTCTGCCAACGAGGATCGAGCCGGAGGGTGAACGTCCGCAAAGAAAAGAGATAGCCATGCCAGACCTCACGTTGCAAGAGATTGAGGAGAAGGTGATGGCCGCGAAGCCCTGGAAAGCGCCTGGGGAGGACGGCCTCCCTGCGATCGTATGGAAGAAGCTCTGGCACGCGGTGAAGCACCGTGTGTGGACGCTCTTCAGCTCATCGCTCCGAGAGGGCGTGGTGCCTTATCAATGGCGAACGGCCAAGATCATTCCCCTGAAGAAACCAGGTAAAGGGGATTACACCTTGGCCAAGGCGTGGCGACCGATTTCTCTCTTGTCAACGCTTGGCAAAACCCTGGAAGCAGTCGTTGCGGAACGTATCAGCTATGCAGTAGAGGCTCAAGGGCTTTTGCCCGCGAACCACTTTGGTGCACGGAAGCGCAGGTCCGCAGATCAAGCACTTGTGCTTCTGCAGGAGCGGATCTACAAGGCCTGGAGAACGGGCAGAGTGATCGCTTGGTCCATGATTATGGACATGTTGACTTGCCTTTTCCTTGTGTCTTATTTCCCATCTGTTGGTGCCCATCTGAATCTCCACGGCATTGAACGAAAAAGGACAACCCGTCTTTCTTTCCTCCCCTGTCCTCCCTGCGCGGTTACATTCCCAAACAAGCCTCTTCTTCGCAACTGGGCCTCCTATGACTTTCGAGCATTTTTGGAAAGATCGACAAATACGAATACCGTAGCCTTGCGACTTGGCAAATTCGAAGAGCTCTCGTCTCATTTCTTTAAAAGAAGGGTAAGTGGTGCCTTCTGGAGGGAGCTTCAATAGTTGCACTTCACATCCGGCTGACAGAACAGATGCACCTCGTTTCTCTAACTGGGACTCTGTTAAATCTCCATTTCTGCATCAGTCTTTTGCTCAGTTCTGCTCTGTAAAGCCTTTCCCGGTGTTGCATCGAATGCTAACCTGCTAGAAATATTGCTCCCGTCTCGTGATCTGCGGATTCCTGCGCAAGGCACGGGTCGATAGGGATGTATTGGCCGTCCACGGCCTCTAACATGCCATCATTCGCCCGACTACTTGACGAAGAATCCTTGGTGCGTTTAGATGGCGAAGCAACCGGGCTGCTGCTGAAAGGGTTTCGTCGTTTCCCCGGTTCGGCCTTTGCGTTCTGTGGAGAAGACTGTTTCCTCATCGTTACAGCACTGTCGAACGTAGCGTTCGATATGAAGCCGAATTCATCCGCGAGCACTACTAGGATATCTTGACCAGGCTGGAGCTCCTCCTCTAGCAGCGCAGGGTTCAGCACACCGACGATGCTGCCTCTCCCATACATCCATTTTCTGGCTGCGAAGCCGCCTTCGGGTGCGCTCTTCATCCAATCAATACGGCTTTTCCAAGGCTGCTGATCGTGTGGCAAGTACACTAGGATGTGGAACATCTGGCCGCCTTTAAATGTCGGGTCTCTGCCAAGGGGCGGTACGAGATATGTGCTACACCGGACGAAGCCACAGCACTTTAGCTGGTTAATGCTCAGCGATCCGGCCTTGAAACGGAATGTTGTCGTGTCGATGGGTCCGTGGAGGCTAGCACGCGGTGCCATGGTTGGGAAACTGCCATTCGCAAGCCTCAGAGGCCTCATCGCGATCCTAGAGGCAGGGCTGGTCAGTTCTCCCAGGCTTGTGGGGTTGGGGTTCTGTCGGAGTGATGCTTGCACGCAGGGCTTCAACATACGGTTGAACACACATATGTCCACGGACCTGGGCTAACTTTGCGTACGAGTCTTCCCACATCCCGACAGCTGACTCGTCTCCATCTTCGACTCTGCGGCGGAAATGCAGCTGATACGGATGGAGCTGGGCGTCGAAGAAGAACCACTGGCTCTCCCACTCATCCATTTGGGGGAAGGGATACACGTGCATGGATAGCGGCACATCGACTCCATCAATCTCATCGAGGAGTTCTCCATGCTCCCCAGCCCCGTCGTCGAAGAAACTCGGCCTGACGAACTGTAGTCGGACCGCACCGACCAAGTTGTGCCCTCGGATGAGCTGCCGGTCGGTAGATGAGGCTATCTCCAGCCCCTCGAGGCTCGAGAAGAATTGTACTCCTAGGGGGTTCAGAGCTGGCTGCCCTAGCCCTGGTCCCGATGCCGACGAACGAGCCATTGATTGTCTGCTGCTGGATTCTAGCCCTTGAGGAATTCTGGGTAGAAGTTGACCTGGCGGGTACTTATGGCGATGAGAGGAAACGGGGGTATGTCAAAAACGTCTCTGGCCCTCTTGTAAGGAGGTCTCACCATATTCTTATACGCAAATGACCCTCATCAGGCCTGACAAGACAACATTTACAGAATGCATCCTGATGATGCGAGAAGATCCCTCGCCGCACAGCTCTTGGTCATGAGTACTAATTGGTACTCATGTGATGAGCTAGGACGGCAGCGGTAACTAGTGATGCTCTACTTGTTTGTCTCCTAGATCGTTCCCAGCCTCACTTAACAGCACGTGAGAGAGGGCCAGACAGGGCCCCTGGCTCCAGGGTCCGACAACGACGGCATTGATCAGTTGCGTGACCCTGGAAACGGGCGTCACGATGTCATTGCCCGCATCGGTCCCTGTCTATATTGCTTTTTGATCCTATTCGGCTCAGCCCTACGAAAGTCAGCTGGACCTCTTACCTCACGAGACGTGATCCCAGACCAAACGCCGCGGTTGGTATGCCATCTGTCAAGCCGGGTACCCCACGACCTTCCGATCTCGAAGCGTCTCCGGGCACGCTTTGCGAGGTTGCCAGCTCCGTAAAGCTCTTACTCCACCGACCAAGTTACAGCTGTGCATTGACCCCCCCGTGCCTCCGTTGCTCCTTCCTGGCCATTCGTTCGATGATAAAAACGGTGTATTTCTTCCGTTCAACCCCGATCGGTTAAGCATGGTATCCTTTTATTTGGTTATTCTTTTCTTCACTCCGTCCCTCTAGCGGGGGGTGTCAAGATTTCGCTTGAAGAGGTTCGCTCGATGGAAGATCAGGAACGCCAACCCGCGCGATACCGTGCCAGAAGGGGGGCCTCGAGATGAGCCAGTTAGAGTGCTTTTCGACGAGGCGACTCTACAGGCACTCCGCGAGCCCCAGCAGGAGCCCGCTCGAATTTCGCTCGACGAAATTCGCCGTACGTTGCATGGCCTGGATCGCCAGCGAGCCGAAGAAAGAGCCCGCCGGGGACAAGGAGTTCCCCAGCAGGAAGCCACGGCGCTGCAGCCCCGAAATGGGAAAGCCATAGTACCCCTTGAGGAAATCGTCGGTACACTAGACGATCTGGAGCGACAGCGCGCCGAGGCCCGGGCCCGGCCGAGGGCGAGCGATACCGAGCCGGTACGAAGGCCAAATACCCCGGAAATGACCTTGCGTCCTCCCCAGACGCCGCCTTCCCGCAAGCGCCGTGGCGAACGACAAGAAGGACTTCTGACTCCAGTGACTCCACCACCCTCGGGTCAAGGCCGGCCCCGGAAAAGACCGAGGCTACCGCATGAGGCTGTCCAATTCCAGCAACGGTCTGTTGACGCGATTCTACAACACCGAGAGTCTTGCTTCGGTGCTCAGAAAGATGCATCGGTAGGAAGATCCTGGTGCAAAGAAGTACCCCTCGCTCTTCAGGTCGAGACCTCAAAGTCATTCTATGAGGCCTTCACAGACGAGAGAACGCTACCCATTTCCCACTGCATCTTTTGCTACAGAAAATTCCCGCCTGCGAGGCTCACCATCCTCCAATGGAGAGAGTGCTTAACCCCCTGGTTGGTGCAGGCCACGACGGCTCTCCAGAAATGCGAGAAGTGCCTCCCATCGGATGCTGACCCTCAAGTCGATATTTGCCTGGAGTGCCGCGCTGGTTTCGAACGTGGGAAGCTGCCAAAGGCCTGCTCGGTCAACAATATGGATATCGGATGTGAGCATCGTTATCCTAAAGAACTCGACGGTCTCTCTCCTCTTGAGGAGAGACTGATTGCTCTCCAAGCCCCCTTCGGCTATATTACAAAGTTTACAGTTGATAACAAGACGCCGTCCGGTGTTGGTTACCGGAAACACGTGAAGGGACACATTGTCGTGTTTCTGAACAATACGAACGACCTGGTTGCCACGGTGCTCCCCCACCCGCTCCTTCAGACAGTCGAGAACATCCATGTATCTTGGAGCGGCGCCAACAGACCCAGCCCGGCGGACGTGGGAACTCTCCTTCGGGTGCGCAAGTCCCGCGTAATAGCCGCCCTTTTATGGCTTCAGAGGAACAATCCCCTGTATAAGGACGTCAAAATCAACCTCGATGAGATACGGGGCTGGAAGTACGCGGAGGGCTCAGTAGTTCCCGCCGTTCTCATGGAACGGATGCAGAGAGAGGATCTCTCGGCCGTGGAAAGGACGCATACAGATCCCGTCGTCCCGAATATTGATCGGGGTTTGGAAGAGAACGGCTTCACAAGCATTGAAGAGCTCCTCACCTCGCTACGGGCAGACCCTAGCAACGATACCTGCCCGTCAGGTAGCAATACAGCGGCAGAACAGCCCTACGCATTGCCTCGGGATCTCCATATGTCTGCTCCTAATCCGGAGAGTGCCGACCAAGGCGGTGATATTCCCCATCGCCCTGCGATACTGCTGATTGGTCGTGATATTGCCAGTGGGCTGCGCTGCGTACCACGCGCTCCTTGCGGCAACGTATCTTCCATATATGGCTTGTGGCGAGTCGTACCTCGGCGGTAAATCGAGAGGGGCTCCGCAAACGGCATGGCTCTCCTTCAACAGAGCTTGGCATAGTTCCAACCGGACCATCTGGGACGACAGGAGAGTGGAGAGTTATAAGGGACTCTTGCATAGTAGGTAAGACTAAGGGCGGCACAGATGGGGTTGGTTCAGCAGCGGGAGAGCGCCGAACAGCTTCCGCAGGAGGATCCAGTGTAGCCCCGAGCAATGATGCCCTCGGACCGCCGGAACACTTGGGGGAGGATCAGTAAAAGCTGGAACGGCAACTGATGCTGCGTCCGGCTGTGGGACTGGCTTTGCCGGTGCTGCCTTTGTAAGCAACTCCTGGAACCTCAGAGGGCATGCTCTTGAGGACCTTATGTGACCAACTTGGTCATTGGTGACATCTGCTGCACGTACGGGGAGCTTTCTTGCCAGACTGGACAATTTCAAATCCACAGGGTTCTCGTCTGGTGCTCGTTCTAGACTGGCTGGTTGTCTGAGAACCTTGCTTTGGGACTCGACGTGGTTCAAGTATAGGTTGTGGCCGATCCACACTCCGTCTTAGGTTCCAGTGGGGATGAAAATGCTCGAGCAGAAGGCACTGCTTTGCATCCTCGAGTTTCTTCAAGGTATGAGAGCATGGTAGTCCGTATGAAGAAGTGAAAGATTGACTGCAAGGAGATTTCAGAGGCGCCGAAAGTAACTGCCGTTGCTCTTGCACTCTGCGCAGGGCCTGGTGTGACACCCAACCATGCACGGCCTCGAACATTCCTCCAGAGACATCTAGAGGCATCCGTATCTGCTGAGATGCTCGCATATGATTCAGCTCCTTTAGTTGGTTGGTGATCGCATGCCGCATGGCCTGCCAAGAGTCAAAGAGGTCGAATGTGGATGTCTTGATGTATGATTTGATCAATGAGTGAATTCCTTCGGCCTATCACGGGGCAGACCTAGGATGCCAGGGAAGATCTATGTTGTGCTGTGAGGAGGGCAAACCACGGAGGTGGAACAGAGTCTAGACTAAGTACAGGGAGGCACGTGACGGAACCCAGGTTGGTGCCGTGACAGTACCCCCTTCCCAAAGGCTCTAGTTAATGGGCCCTTGGTTTTCCTTATCGGGCCCTTAAAGTGTGGCTAAAATAGTCACATGACTGTCGCGTCCCTTTCCCCGCCAAAACATTAGCCGCCAACTGTGAAAAGCTGTCAATACGGCCTCCGTACTCGTGCACGCCCCCACTTGTGGGTGAGCCAAAGCGAATCCCAAAGTGGAGGCGGGCACGAGTAGTCAATGGTGCATCCAGCTAGAACGCGACAAAGTTGACAACGCGCATACAACGCACGCCAACGTACGAACGCACGAACGCATACCAAGGTGAGGGCATCCCCAACGCACCAACGCCGCACCGATGAAGTCACCTTTCCGCCGCAAGTTCGAGACCTGGCAAGCTGCTGCAGAGAGCGCCGTAGCTGCATTACGGAGCGAGAGCCTAATCAGGACTGTGTCGTTGTAGCGACGTAGCCTCGGGCATATGTTCCACGAGCCTGTTCAATTGCCTCACTCATTGACATTACATTAAGCACCCTACTTTTAACGGCTCTACGTGAAATGCAGTTATGCTGTCGGGCCTATGACGCCGGCAAATGTGTGCACCGGCGCGCGTGCAAGCAAAGCCGCAAAGTAGGTTTGACAGTCCGCCACACTTTCAGCCACACTTCAAGGGCCCGATAAGGAAAGCCAAGGGCCCATTAACTAGAGCCTTCCCAAACGGCTGTTCGTCCTCGAACAGCCTAAACGACTAAGAGCGGCCTGGGCACAAAGTATATAGTTGTACCCTTTACTTCCTTGCCCAGACCGGGGGGCCTGGCTTGTTTGGGTGAACTCTATGAAAGTCGAGGAGTACTTGGTTATGTCCTTTGAGGTCTCTAGCCGGTTGCCAGGTAGGGTCATAGTGTTTCCACTTGACTAGGTAATGTAGGCCATCAGCGTCTCTGCGGCTATTTAGTAGCCCGTCAAATAGCCATTTTTCGACTAGTTCTCCTGTCTCGTCATCGCGTTCTAGGACTCGTCCTCGGGTGTTTTTTGACTCGGCCTTGTTGATAACGTCTTGGCCGGGTAGACCATTTGTTTCTGGTTTCGGTCGTAGGAGCGAGTTGTGGAACACGGGAAAGATCTTCATTCCCTCAGGGAGTTTAAGCAAGCATGAACGAGGGTAGACTTTCAGAATTGGGAATGGTCCTGCCCACTTGTCGTCTCCTTTCTTCATCGGCCGGTTTGTCTTCATATTCTTCGTGCTTACGTAGACTTCTTGACCTTCGGCGTACTGAGGAGCATCTTCTCGATTGAGGTTGGCGTTCTCCTCGTAGCGTCTGGCGGCTTGGGTTGCAAGGGCTTTCAGTTGGGTGATAATACGCTCAAAGCGGTCGGCGATGTTGTTTGCTTTGAGGAACTCTCGCCGTTGGGCTGCGGACTGGTTTGGCGGCAGTGGCTTGGTTGGTTCAGTGCCGAGTTTGGGGTGAAACCCATAGTTAGCGAAGAATGGTGATACTCCCGTGGTCTCAGATGTAACGTTGTTCGCGGCGAACTCGGCAAGGGGGAGCCAGTCGACCCAGTCGTCTTGGTGGAAGTTCATCAATGCTCTCAGATATTGTTCGATACCTGCGTTGATCCGTTCCGTTTGTCCGTCTGTCTCTGGGTGGAAGGCGGAAGAATGGCGGAGTCGAACTCCTAGGCGGTCGGAGAGTTGGCGCCAGAACTCGGAGATGAATTGGGAACCGCGGTCGGAGATGACATTGTCGGGTGTGCCATGGAGGCAATAGACCCGGCTGATAAAGACAGAGGCTAGTTCTTCGGCTGTTAGGCCTACAACTGGGATGAAATGGCGCATCTTTGTCAATCGGCACACAACAACGAGGACATGCTGGTATGTTTTGCCATAGCGCTCGCATTCTGGCAGGGGCGTGATGTAGTCAATGGATATATCTGACCAAGCTTGGAATGGCACTGGCAGTGGTTGGAGGAATCCTGGGGGTGCCGACCTTGAGGCTTTGACCCGATCACACAGCTCGCAGGCTTTAACATATTCCTCGATGTCTCGGGTTATGCGTGGCCACCAGTAAGTTCGGCTAACCAAATCGATTGTCTTTATCCGCCCGGGGTGTCCTGCAGGGCCTGTGGAGTGCGTACGGTAAATAACCTGGGTTTTTAGTTCCTGATCGTTGGGTGGTATGAAGAGCTTTTCGCGGTAGTATATGCGATTCCCAATGACAGAGCAGTCTGCCATTGCTACGCGAAGTTCCTTTCGCCATTTCTTGGGCCAGCGGCGGTGGGTTGATGCGTCTCTCAGGGCCGTCAGCATGTCTTGGGCCATCTCTGAATTTTCGTAGGCTCTATCGACCAGTTCATCGATGGGTTTGTCCATGGCTGGCATGATAACGTCTATCGGGGCGGCAGCGAGGTCGAATTCCCCATTGACTTCTCGTGTCAGTTCAGCCAGGGCCTCTGGGTCAAAGATGTGTTCTGGCAGAATGGTCCGTTGGCGGTTCTTAATGCGGTCGTCGTTTGTGTCTGCGCGCTTGGGTTGGTCTTCTGGCTTTCGACTTAGCGCATCTGGACGGACGGCTTTGGTGCCTGGTCGATAAACAATACGGAAGTTGAAGCCTGACAGGAACTCGGACCAGCGGACTTGTCGTTGGTTTAAAGCCTTGGTTGTTGTGAAATATTCAAGGTTCTTATGGTCCGTGATGACTTCGAAGGGTTCTTGGGTCCCTTGAAGCTCAGGCCTCCATTCTTCCAGAGCCTTAATGATCGCCAGTAGTTCCTTGTCGTAGATCTCGTAGTTGCATTCCTGGGCCGAGTGTTTTGACGAGAAGTAGGCTACAGGTCGCAGTACGCCTTCGTCATCATACTGGGACAAGACTCCTCCAGACGCCCAGTCCGAGGCGTCTGTTTCAAGTACAGTTTTCCTATTATAGTCATATAGGGCTAGAACCGGTGCTACGGAGAATGCGGCTTTCAGTTGGTCAAAGGCAGTTTGGTGTTCTACCTCCCAGGACCAGATTGTGCTCTTCTTCAGGAGGTCATTTAACGGCCGGGTGATCTTGGAGAAGTCACGGATAAAGCGGCGATAAAAGTTTGCAAAGCCGAGGAATCTTTGTAAGTCGCGGAGTGCTGTTGGTGGCTCCCAGTTGAGGATTGTAGAGACCTTGTCGGGGTCCATCTCGACGCCTCCAGGCGTAACGATCAGCCCAAGGTATTTCGTCCTGGTTGTTTCGAATTCGCATTTGTCGATATCAATCTGGAGGCCTGCATCGCGAAGTCGTGTGGCTACCTCGCGGACGTGTTCCCTATGCTGCTTCTTATCTGTTGAATATATCAAGATATCGTCAAGGTAGGCGGTGCAGAACTTATCGAGAAGGTCGAATAAGGTATGGTTGATGTAGTTCTGGAAGGTTGCTGGGGCGTTGCAGAGGCCGAACGGCATAACCAATGTTTCAAACAAGCCAAACCGTGTGATAAAGGCTGTTTTCCATATATCTCCCTCGGCGATGCGGATTTTGTTAAATGCGGCGATAATGTCTAGTTTCGTATAGACCTTGGCGTTGCATAGGGCATCTAGAGTCTCACGGATCAAAGGCAGTGGGTAGCGATTCTTGATGGTGATGTTGTTAAGACCGCGGTAGTCCTGGCAGATCCGGACACCACCTCCTGGCTTCGCGGCCAGGAGTAGTGGTGCTGCACAGCGGGCTCGGGACTCCCGTATGAACCCTTTAGCCAGGTTATCATCCAGCCATTTCCGTATGACTTTGAGTTCCTGTGGGTTCATTGGGCGTGTCTTTTGGTACGGAGGTTCTTTTCCAGTCAGAAGCTCTATCTTATGGTCCCATGAGCGCTGCGGGGGAAGTTTGTCTGCGAGCTTAGGTAGGAACACATCGTAGAGGTCGCGCAGCCATATCGGGAGCTTCTTCAGGACGTCATCCGCTGTTCGCTCCGGCTTGCCTTTCATGAACTTTTCGATATCGGCATCTGTGATCTTGGCTAGGCGGGCTGGTGAGTAGCATTCGTCAACGAAGTCGTGCAATTCATTAGGAAAGAGCTGTCTTGCTTCCTTCCAGCTGAAGTCCATGTTTTTGCTGCTTATACCAAGGACTACCATTTTATAATATTCCTCTGGGAGGTCAGGTAGGCGGTATTTCGTCTGCTGGCGACTACTATCCAGTCGATCAAGCTCATCCCATGTTATTTTCATGGCCTCAACGGTTGGGTCGCGGCAGAATTGGACGAAGTTTGTAGCGTTTGTAAGCCGTATGTTCGATAGGTCTGGTCGGTCTGATGGTTCTAGGGCGGTGTCGCGAGATGGGTTTGGAAGTGGCACGCTGAGTGGAGGTAGCGGAGGTCTTGGTGGTGGCTTCTTTGTATGACGGCTGCCAGCAGTCATACGAGTCGGGGCTGGTTTAGTTCTCGGCTGATTGGGGATCATCTGGGCTCGGCACTCGGGGCCTTGGTGATTCTTAGGGTTGCGGGTACGGTAGTGATTTGCGCCTGGGGTCAGCGTTGCTTTAAATGTCATAGCCGGAGCATCTTCGCTAGCGTTGGAACAGTCATTACTATCATTCTCTAAGTCTTCGACTGTTGGGGGCTGATAGAATGAGACTCGTCGCGCTGGCTTGCTAGATATTGGCGTTGCTTCAAATGTCATGACGGGGGCATCTTCGCTAGTGTTTGAGCAGTTGCTAGTATCGTCCTCTGAGTCGTCGACCGTTGAGGACTGATGTGTGAGAGTGCTCGTTTTGTTGGCGTTGGTTGGGTTACGATATTCCGGGTCTTGACAAAGCTACGGTCCGCAAATGCCCGTGCAGAGCATCCGCTATCAATAAGGCTCGTCACCTCAATGGGGTCGGTATGCGCGGGGACTAAGGTAGCTTGAATGAGTAGAGATTTGCTGTCTATTGACCTAAGTCTGATAGGTTTGTGGCTCGAGAGACAGCGACGTATCCATTCCGGCATCCTTGGTTCCTTCGTTGACCTCCGTCCGCGGCTCTGGGCGGAGGTTATTCTTTTCCCTGGTGCTCTAGTGAGGCTGGGGTGCTGACAGAGAGAGTGGGGGTCGGGGTAGTCCTTGTTTCCTCGTCTGCTATAATATAGCCTTGTTCGAGGGATCGCAGTCTTGGAAAGGCTGGGGGATACGCAGGGAATTGGGGCTGGGAAACGGGTGGGTTGTGTTGTTGGCTGGCTTGGTAATTGTAGGGGTGGTGGTTTTGTCCAGGTTGGCCGCGTCCCATTCCTCTACTGTACCCATAGCTAGGTTTATATGTTCCAAAGGCCTGGTTGCGTTTTGCGTCGGCCTGCAACTTTTCATCACAATCGCTTTTAAAGTGGCCGGGCTTTTTGCAGTACAAACAGAGGTTATTAGTAAAGCAGTCCTCCCTCGTCGGTCTGGCTTGGCGCGTAGCGTCCAAAACCATCGGGTCGCCAACGTCAGCCTGTTGGCGTTGTTGGGACTGCTGGTGTGTTTGGCCTTGGTAGGGTCGACTACCTAGACGTACTGAGCGCAGTTTGTCCTGGTGGTCCTTGACCAACAGGTTATCGTAGATCGTCTGGTACATTTTGCACCACTCAGAGAAGTTGTCTCTAGCAGGGCGGACAAGCTGGTGCGTCATTTCGTTGGCGAGTTCCTGAGAGACCTTGAGCTGCAAGGATTCAACTTTCTGGGTCTCAGTCTTTCCACACTCCTCGGCCAGGGCGGCAAAGTCAGCGATGAAGTTTTGGAAGGGTTTCTTGCCCATCCAAAGGTTATCAAAGGCTTGTGAAGCCGAAAGTGTCAGATCAAGCGTTTCATACTGTTTGTTCATCTCCGCCAGGCAGTCGGTATGGGTCTGCCATGGCCATATGGCTTGGTTTTCCTCATGTTCAATAATGAAATCGAATTTCTTGCGGTAGAGCTTCGAGGCCGATCCTCCAAGCAGGCCAGCGATGTGTTGGATTCGGATAAAGTCGGTGGCAAAGAAACTCTTATCCACAGCAAAAGCTCGGAGCACTTGAGAGCGCCAGTTGACATATTGCAGCTGGCGTTTCTTAACATCCTTCTCATCGCCTTCAAATGGGTTGGGATTTGGCATCATTCGACGGGGACGTGGCTCAGGGCGCAATTCTGTTGGTCTGGCGCTCAGCAGAGTTCTTAGTTCGTCGGCGAGGGTGACAAGGGAGTCTTGGGTCCGGGGCGTTCCTTGGGCTTGGGCGAGGTGTGTTTCTAATTCCGCGATTCGTCTCTCCAGATGGGCGTTTTGGTTGATGAAGTGGTCCATTGCGCTCTCGGCCGCTTGGCAGAGAGCTTCGACCTGGTTCTTGTACATGTCGTCTGTTGGGTTTTGGAGCATAGAGGCGAGGCTGGAGCAGTCACAAGCTTGGACCCGGTGAAGGGCAGCTGCGATGTTTGGGAAGGTATCATGAATAGCGTCGGCGAAGGTTGCGCCCGCCTGGTTCTGGGGGTTCATCGTGGTCTGGGCAGGGCGGGGGAGAATTCCAGTGATCGAGAGTAGGGCTGGGCCGCTCGCGGCGTGGTAATCTCGTTGCGTGGGACTTGGGGTGTCGAATGGGAAAACTCTGGTTAGGTGTGCAATCGCGATTGCGGCGCAGCCGATAATAGACAGCACAAACTATCACGGGGCAGACCTAGGATGCCAGGGAAGATCTATGTTGTGCTGTGAGGAGGGCAAACCACGGAGGTGGAACAGAGTCTAGACTAAGTACAGGGAGGCACGTGACGGAACCCAGGTTGGTGCCGTGACACGGCCCTAGGGAGCAAACGTTAGCCTTGAATCATGGTGCAAGCTGTCACGACCCTGGGCGCCAGCGTAGAGCCGCCAGCGCAGAACCTCACCAGTGTCACGTGCCCAAGCAGCATCACGTGCCCACGCGCGACCTCGTGTCTATATAAGGGCCCGCTCGGTCGTGTAGTCTAGTCTTCCTTTCTTGCTCCTTAGCTTTGAGTCTTTGTTCATAGTGCCAATACATCTTTATAGCCGTCAAGGCTCGTATGTGCCTGGCCGTAACACTACTCAAAGCTCAATAAGATCGCTTGCCAGCGATTAAGCAAATAGGCACCGAGCTTTCACGTCACACGCGCCTGACGTAAATCCAGCGCATCCGTTCTGACCGTTCCGACCAAGACTCCGACCACCGACCAAGTGATCCTCAAGGCTGAGATCACGTCCGTTCCGACCAAGACTACGCGTGTGTGTAGTCGTCCGACCAACCGTTCCGACCAAGGGATTCGTCCCGTCTGACCTCCGACCGTCCCTGCTTGTGCAGGCATCTGACCGTGATTCCGCGTGGTATCATTTCCGACCCTAGACTCTGACCTCCCGCTCCTCCGACCGATCTCGCCGCGCGCCGACTAAGACTGCTCCGACTACCGCCAAGACTCGAACAAGACCGGCTCGACACCTATCACCTCGCGACTATGATATCCGAGGAAGCCCTGCCCTCTGATCAGCCTCGCCGTTCCACCCGGCTTGCTGGCCAAGCCACTGAATCCGAAATGGTAGCCATGGCTGCCCCGAGCCCCCAAGACGCTCTCATCCGCGAGATGAGGGAACAGATTGCGGCCTTAACGGCCCGTCTAAATGAACGCTCTCCGTCTGTTGAATCAAATCGACAGCACCGGGAGCCCTCGACTGCTTTGCCGGCCCAAATGGCCCGGCCTTCCGACCAGCAGGCAAAGCTGCCTGGCCTATTTTTGCCCCCTTCCCAGAGGGCAAGAACCCCGAGTACAGCGACGCCGCCAAATCGCGCATCAAGGTCTCCGCGACGTTCTCAGGGAAGAAGGACGAGTTCCATTCCTTCATCCTGAGCATAAAGAACAAATTTGACGAAGACGTGCGAACCTTCCGGACTGAGAACAGCCGGATGGTCTGTCTGTATAACCTGCTCGAGGGAAAAGCCCGCCGAGCACTTGAAACCCGCTTCTCCTCTGACACTCGACCCTTCTCTGGAGTGGCAGAGATGATCCAAGCCCTCGAGTCCGCCTATGGCAATCCGAATGAGCTTTCCGAGGCTCTTGACCGCCTGCAACGCCTCCAGTTTACCGTGAATGGGAAGACCGACATTGTGGACTTCCTTGCGGAATTTGACTACTTAACTGCGACCGGTCGTGTGCCCGAGGACCAGATGAAGCATACCTTGTGGCAGCACATCCCAGCCAACCTAGATAACAGCCTCTTGACCAAGACCCGTGACGAGTCCGTGACCTACGAGGTTTTCTGTGGGTTCATTAAAGACGCTGTCCACTGCCAGAAGAGGAGTATGAGGCAGACACAGGACTCCCGCTCTTCCGACCGATCTCGCCGCGCGCCGACTAAGACTGCTCCGACTACCGCCAAGACTCCGAACAAGACCGGCTCGACCCTATCACCTCGCGTGATGCTGGCAGAGCCTTGACCGACGATGAGAAAAGGGTCCATTGGGATAATGGCACCTGCTTTATTTGTGGAAAACAGGGCACCTCTCTCGCGAGTGTCCCGACCGCACCCATGCTGTCTCCCGTGTCGCCTCCGTCCCTGTCCCTGCCAACGACTCTGATCAAGATTCGGGAAACGAATAGGACCATCACAAGACTCCTTGATGGTCCCTAAGGTGTCACAGACAGCGAGTAGGTCTAGCAAGTCATTCACTCTGCCAAGTCAAGTCCAAGTGGATGGTGTGAGCCTACCTGCCCGCTCCCTCTGTGATACCGGAGCCGAAACCCGTTTGCTGGTTAGCCCAACCTTCGCCCAGTCCGCCGCCCAAAGACTCGGAGCCCAGATTAAGGAGCTCCCGAGTCGGATTCCTCCAAGACTTCCGTGGAAAGCCAGCCGGCTATATCCAGAAACAGCTGGTCGCCACTTTCGTCATCGATGGCCGTTCGTTCGCAAACGAGACATTTGATATAGCTGAGTGTGGCCATGATATCTTTATCGGTCTTTTCTGGATGCGGGAGAAGCGCCTCCTGCTTGACTGCGCCGCCCGACAGATCATCTGGCCAGATGATCTTCCTGCCCTCGCCAAGTTCTCCCCGACGATCCAGCTCTCGTCAAGCCCCGCTCTCGGGTCGGATCGACCCTAAGATCCAGGCCGACGCTGAGAGGCGGAACCGCCTGCTCGAGAAAGAGGAGAAACGCTACCGGATCCTCCACAAGAACTGGCGCCGCTCTGATCAAGCTCCTCCGGCCTCTGTCCCGACCCGTTACCGACTCCGTCTCCGTCGTTTCAGTCCAAGTCTCCGTCTGCCAAGAAGTCTGTCCGTTTTCAGCTCACGACCGCCCCTGCTACCGCCTTCGTCTCCGTCGCCTCGGTCCAAGCCTCCGAAGATCAAGCCCTGATTAACGCCCTGGTCTGCCAAGTAGAGTCTCACGAGAGATTCGAACAGTGGAACGAACTCGAACCGTTGATGCCCCGGGATCCAGTCCAGCTCGAGCCAAGCTCCGGCCTTGACCAGACCGTCCCTAGTGCTCGAACCGTTGCTAAAGTCTCCCGGATCAGAAGACCTACCAGGGACAAAGCATTCCGTTCCCTCAGGAGAAGACCCTGAGCATGTTGCTTGTGTCCGTAGTCGTCTACCGCCCCAGCTCACCCATCTAGAGGATTCTTCTCGAAGAAAGAGGCCCACACCCTACCTTCGAGCCGACCCGGTCACGATGTAGTCCTAGAGCTTGAGAAGCCTCTTTCGCCGACAGGACCCCGTCGTACCGCACGCCCGTTAAGTATCTGCCTCTAGAGAAAGAGACTGTCGATCACCTCCGGAGATAGACTTCATCGAGCCCGATCCGAGTCCGCACGCCGCTTCTGTCCTCTTCGCTCCGAAACCGAACACGACCGCCCGCCGCTTCTGCATCGACTACCGTTGGATGAACGATCATCTTAAAAGTCGCATCACGCCCGCTCCGTCCCTCGAAAGTACTGCTTTCGGTTGCCGTGAAGCTCAACGCTTCACGAAGATCGATGTGATCCAGGCCTTCCACCGTCTCCGCATGGACCCTGACTCCGAGTATTTGACCGCCTTTCGCACCCGTTTCGGAACTTTCCGCTGGAAAGTCCTCCCGTTCGGTCTGAAGGTAGGTCCCGCCTGGTTCCAGCAGTTTATCAACGCGCAGCTTCACGATCTCCTCGACCGGTGCGCCAGCGCCTACGCAGATGACGTCCTGATCTACTCGGATAAAGAAGAAGACCACTGGAAAGACTGTCAAGAAGTGATCTGGCGACTCCATCAGGCAAACCTCCAGGGAGACATCAAGAAGTCTAGATTTAACGTGACCAAGGTTGACTACCTCGGCGTTCTGCTTGAAGCCGGTGTGGGCCTTAGTGTCGACCCTCGGAAAGTTCGATCGATACAAGACTGGAAGTTTGAGGACCTCCGAGACCGCACCGCGATCCGATCATTCGTTGGCCTATGCAACTTCATCCGTGTTTTCTGCTACCACGCCTCTGGAGTGGCAGAACCCTTGAACCGGTTGCTTAAGAAGGATGTTGCCTTTGTGATGGGCCCGGAGCAACGCGAAGCATTTGATCAACTCAAGCGCCTGGCTATCGAAGCCCCGGTCCTCGCCTTCTTTAGACCAGAACTGCCGACCCGACTGGAGACCGATGCCTCCCGGAATGCCACAGCTGGTGTTCTATGGCAGGAACAGCCTGATCAGACCTGGAAGCCCGTTGGATTCTTCTCTAGGACCATGACCCCGGCCGAGCGAGCCTACCCAATCCAAGATCGAGAGCTCCTCGCCGTCGTACAGAGTCTAGAGCACTTCTACCCAGAGCTCTTAGGCCAGAAATTTGATGTGATCACCGACCACGAAGCCTTAGTCCATTTCTCTACGAAGCGCCTGCTCTCGGTACGACAGATCAGATGGTCCGACTTTCTCGCCCAGTTCGACATCCGTTTCCTCTACCGCCCCGGTCGACTGAACGTAGTCGCCGATGCCCTCTCAGGAAGACAGCCGAGCTTCCTACCGTAAAGGCCCGGGAAGCCGAGGAACGCACGGTGACCCTGATCCCTCCGGAAAGGCTAGGCTTCGCGACCGACTCTCTAGACCCTACGGCCGCCGGCCACCTGCCCCCTCAGAACTTTAGTCCCGAACCTAAGCCTACTAGACCATTAGTTCTGAGGGCCACGAGTGCCCTACAGACCCCAGAAGACCAAGGGATACAGCAGACGCCCGATCAAGACCGCCCAGAACTAGACCCGAACTCAGTCCCGAAGGGAGCCGAACTCGTTTCATTGATCCGCCAAGAGAACCTCCTCCAAGACCTCGGCACCCATGGAACACACCTGATCGTACCAGCCCAGACCTCAGACAAGCAGACGTTTCTTCAGACCGCGCTCATTCGCGAAGCCCACGAGCCCCAGATCTTCGCTCACGCCGGACAGAACAAAGTGATCAAGCTGCTCCAACGAGACTTCTACTGGCCAAGGATGAAGGAGGATATCCGTCGTTATATTCGAACTGCCACGACTGCCGCCGCAACAAAACCCTCGAGACAAGACCCTGGACTGCTCCATCCACTGCCCGTGCCGACCTCTGTTTGGGAGCACGTCGAATGTGACGGGAAGGATATGCCGAAAGACCGTTACGGATATGACTATGTTTGGACCTTCGTCTGCAAGCTAAGCCGGATTATCGCCACGCTCCCAGGAAGGAAAAACGATACGGCAGAAGTCTTAGCTAGCCGCTACTTCCGCTACCTCTATCGTTTCTTCGGTATGCCCTCGTATGGATTTCTGACAACGCTGGACAGTTTATTTCTGCCTTCCTCGCAGAGATTAACCGGCTCACGGGAACGAAGCATCGTCATGGAAGCTCCTACACCCTCAGACCCAAGGGTGTAGAAGTCACAAATCAATACCTGGATCAAAAGCTACGATTCTACGTGACGAAGCATCAAGACAACTGGAGTTCCCTGCTGCCCGCCCTCGACTTCGCCCATAACTCGTCTTGGCACTCTTCCATCGACATGGCACCGTTAAAAGTAGTCCTAGGCCGAGATATCCGGAACCCCCTGTCACTGCCCCCGACTGACAAGACCGCTGCCACCGGACCCGCCGCCAGAGCTAGGGAACTTGTGCAGACCGCCCAGGAAACCCAGGAAGACGCGAGGAATGCTGCCACCGCCGCTCAAGAACGTCAGAAGGAACAGACTAATAGGAAACGACGACCAACCGACTTTGCCATCGGTGACCGAGTTTTCTCAGCAGGAAAGGCTTCGCCACGAACGCTCCGACTACTCGGCTAGATAACCAATGGTCAGGTCCGTTCGTAATCCTGGAAGAACGCGGTTATAGCTACGTACTGCAGCTGCCCGAGTCGTACAAAATGAAGAACCTATTCCACGCCGACCGTCTTCGAAAAGCAGCCAATAACCCCTTGCCCCAGCAGATCCAGTCACCTCCGCCACCCGAGGAGATCAACGGAGAACCCGAGTGGGAGGTTGATCAAGTCCAGCAGTCTCGAGTAACCGGTAGGAGTCGACGACTGGAATACCAGGTCTTATGGAAGGGATGTGACCCTGATGAGACCTGGTACCCGGCTAGGAATTTCCGTAACGCACCAATGGCATTGAAGATTTTCCACGATGAACATCCGGACGCAGCAGGCCCACCCGTCAACCTGCAATACTGGATCGAATGTGCTGCAGCGGAGGAGGGCTGCGAGGAACGAGACGATGACGACACAGCAGAGAAAGCCGTGAAACCAAGAACCCGCCGCCACGACTGACTACCTTGATACGCATATCAAGGCCTTAGACGGGGGGCAGTGTCACGACCCTGGGCGCCAGCGTAGAGCCGCCAGCGCAGAACCTCACCAGTGTCACGTGCCCAAGCAGCATCACGTGCCCACGCGCGACCTCGTGTCTATATAAGGGCCCGCTCGGTCGTGTAGTCTAGTCTTCCTTTCTTGCTCCTTAGCTTTGAGTCTTTGTTCATAGTGCCAATACATCTTTATAGCCGTCAAGGCTCGTATGTGCCTGGCCGTAACACAAGCCCTGGCGAACTACCTCGAGGTGGCCACATTGCCAAAATGCAAGTGCCTGTCTACCCATGCTTTTATGATTCTCTCCTTGTGTGGCTCTAGCCAGTATAGTTTAATATACCCAACCGCCCGGGGGTGGCTTTTGGCGTACTTAACCTCAAATTTGGCCAACCGCTCTTCATATACCGCTTCGGTTGGCGAATCCACAATCGAGTGCCAAAATCGGTAGAATTCGTTCCATGCATCTTCTGCTTGACCGCTCGGTTGGCTACTCTTTGTACAAAGTCAGGTTGACAGTACTGCAGAACTGCCTTGTTGACATGCCAGAGGCAAAGCAGTGCTTTGGAGGTAGGAAACCAGGTTGCAGCCGCATTTATCGCAGCGAGGCATCGGTCAGTCAAGACCACAGAAGGAAGCTCGTGCTGGTAGAGTGATTTGAGGTGATGAAGTGTCCACGAATAGTCCGCTTCTGATTCACCGGAGAGAAATGCGAATGCAATGCAGAACGAACGCTGACAAGAATCAACTCCGACCATGTCGAGGAGCGGCATGGCGTGCTTGTTCGTCTTGTAGGTGCAGTCTAGCAACAAGACGTCTGGGTTGCATTGGAGGTAGGCAACAGAGTCTGGATGGGCGAAAAGATGGCAGTAAGCCGATGGTCTGAATCCAGTCGAACCTGACACCAGAAACCCTCTTCATGTAACTGGTCAACGAGCGCTTGTATACTGCTTTGGCCTTCACGCAGATCTCTCCTGGTTGCCGCAATTCGGTTATAGACGTCCTGCTGAGTCGCGAGGGTATCAGAATTATTATGGAGGTAAGTTCTGATATCTCGAGGAGCAGTGCCAGCAGTTGTCAGATTTGATATAATTGCAGCGTCTCTCTCGTTAAGCTGGCGATGCGCTGGGTGGACAGATGCATCTGAACTCGGTGGATGATTGTGCTGGGCGCAGTCCTTATCTGGTCGATGGCTAAGGACCCAAGTACTTCCATCTAATGACTGTTTGGCCAGTACTGAGAACTTGCATCCGGCTCTCCGGCTACAAGTGCGGCGTTTTCGTTCGATAAATGTACTGGGCGGCAGCTTATTTCGATCGCATGCGAACACGATTTTGACCCGACCGTTAGGGGTCTTCGTAGATTTTCCCGTCGTGAATGCGTATCCTCGTGGTTTCGCCCAAGAATTGATGGCGCTGAGTAGAGATTCGCGTGATTCGTACGTGCCCTCCGGAGGGAGGGCATCATCGCCAAATGTCGTCGGTCCCGTTGAATTCATTCTCTTGACTCAACGTGTTGTGTCGCGGTTTAGGGTACAGTTGCAGAGCGCGTGAACAGAGGTCGATACGTGTGTTCATGGGCCAATGACAGTCTGCGGTTCTTAGTGGCGCGCCCGGGCGCGCAATTTTATTTGGGCGCCCGGGCGCCCATGTATTGGCCGCCAAACTGCAGTGTGCACTAATAGTGCGCTAAACGGTCTGCACTATTAGGAGCGCTGCCCGGGGGGCGTTCCGCTCGTCAAGCCTTGCGGCGATCGTTGAGGCGTGGAGGGTTCGATTACTTGGTCCAAGTTGCCTTCCTGGATGAAGCCGGGAAGATCTCGCTTAAGTCCCTGCACATAGAAATGGGCACCCCCCTGTTTTGGGCACCCAAGATGGGTGCCCAACCTAAACGGCTGCGTCAACTTCAACAGCAAATTTCACCGCGGAAACGCATCCAATCTGCTAAAAATTGACGCATGTGTCTTCAAGCCACTACTGATGAAATATACAGAGTCTGACATTCACAGCGCCCTTGAGGCAATCGCCAATGGCGGATCCGCCAAGAAGGCTGCTCGCGATTGGGGCGTCCTGAGGGCAACTCTTTACAATCGCATGCATGGTCACGAATGCAGAAAGGATGCATTTTCTGCTCTTCAGAGGCTTTATCAGACACAGGAAAAGCAACTTACCGAATGGATTCTCATTCAGGACGCCTTGGGCCTTCCTCCCACTCACTCGCAGATCAGGCAGTTCGCGCAGCGCATGCTCGCCGTCAAAGGAGACCACACACCGCTCGGAAAACACTGGATGCAAGCATTTTAAGACGAAATCCTGCAGTTCGGACCCAGAAGTGCCATCACAGAGACTCTGCGCGTGTCAACGGCGCTTCTACCGAGGTAATTCGGCCTTGGTTCAACAATTTCTTCCTTCCCGAGATTCTGGCTATTAAGCCGGAGAACAGGTACAACATGGATGAAGCAGGCATCATGGAAGGACTTGGGGAGAATGGCCTGGTCGTTGGCAGTGCTGAAAAACGATCTGTACAAAAGAAGACGCCTGGTTCTCGGGTCTGGACGTCGTTCATCGAGTGCGTGTCCGCTGCCGGCACCTTCCTCCTCCACTCGTCATTTTCAAGGGCAAATCGGTCCAGCAACAGTGGTTCCCAGAAGATCTCAGTACTTTTAGTGACTGGCAATTCACTGCGACAAAGAACGGCTGGACTTCGGACCAAACTGCGGTGGAGTGGCTCGAAAAGGTGTTCATTCCAAGAACCCAGCCACCCGACCCTTCGGAGCGAAGACTGCTAGTATTGGACGGCCACGGAAGTCACGAGACGGTTGACTTCATGTATCTATGCTACCAGCATCAGATTCACCTTCTTTCTTACCTCCCCATACCTCTCATGTGCTGCAACCGCTCGATTTGTCTGTCTTCTCCGCTCTTAAGCACTACTACCGCAAACAGGTCGGATTTCTCAGCCTCCTGACCGATTCAAGCCCAGTCGGCAAGCAAAACTTTCTTTCCTGCTACCAGAAAGCACGCGAGCAAGCGCTCACTGTGTCAAACATCAAGGGTGGCTGGAAAGCGACGGGTTTGTGGCCGGTGTCGATGGCGAAGCCACTTTGAGCCCTCTTCTGCTGGAGAACAGCAACAGACGCAAAAGAACGCGAAAAATGTGGCCAATGCATTCAATAGCCACTTACCCACCAGTGACTGGCAATCAGACACATCCCAGATTGCGTGGTCGACCCCGAGGCGCTCGCAAGATCTGAAGGTTCAGGTAGTTCAATTCAACCAGCTAGACGACGACGTGCCCACGAAGAGATTGCTGTTCAGGAAGATCACAAAAGGGTTTGACGAGAAGGATGGCCTTTTAGCAAAAGCTCAATTGCAGATTCAGGCACTGGAAACACAATTGGCGGCCGTCAAGCCGAAAAAAAGGAAGAGGGTGGTCACGAGCCCGAATTCGAGGTTCGCCAATATTGAGGCAATACGACGGGCGCAGGAGGAGGTGAACGCAGCTGAGAATGAAGAATCTGATGAAACCGAAGCTGAGGTTTCAGAAATAGGTGACGATTGTATCGTAGTGCACGGTGGTGGGCAGTGAGAAGGGATTGAATTAATGGTGTTGAAAATGGTCGTGATTTTTTTGGGGTGCCCAAAACAGGGGGGTGCCCATTTCTATGTGCAGGGACTTATCTACTTCTTTCGTAAGCGATGATAACGCATCTTGGAGGTTATCGAGAACCATCGACGGCTTGTGTGGGAAAAGACCGCACTTCTCCCACGCCGAGAGGATCGTATGCTTCTTGAACGTTCGATTGCGAATCTCTTGAAGATGGTAGAGGAAGTCGGTCTTGCCGAAGTCACTCGCGCCGTCATGAAAGGAGGTGCAGGGGGAAATGTCATGATTTGCAAGCCAGCCAATAGCCAAAAGGGGATTGAAGTTGTTAAGCAGAGGGTCGTTGCGTGCGCCATCATACACAAGGAATGTCGGGTTAAGGCCATATGTGACGTGGGCCTCGGCATGGGAGGCGCGAGGGAAGTGGAATCGACATAGCTTTTCCCTTGACAGAGAGTTGTCAGGCAGTCGGCGGTGTCGCAAGCAATAGAGCTCAGAACAACGATGGCGTTGTACGCGATTAACAACCTCAGCGAGGAACTGGAAAGTAGGCGGCGGTCGGACTAGTACCAATGGATTTGCGTCGCCTTGCTGCATCACACGAAGCGGCTCTGGGTTAATGGCAGAGACATAAGGGGCCCAGAACCGGGCAAACTCAGCTTTGCCTTCGAGAGTAGACATATCAGGCTTTGGTGTATCCCTAACCCAATAAAGGCCGTGCACATGCGTGCTGCCACGGGCCTGCCATTCGTAGCGAAACCAATAGTCGGTAATGTTGAACTTTGCATCGATACTATCTTAAGGAAGCTAGTAAAACGGCTGTGAAAGTGATATGCTGCGATATGAGGGTTTTCAAGGAGATTCCGGAACGCAATAGCACCCTTACCACGGCCATCAGCCTCACGCCATTCAACATATGACGGCATGTGTCTCTGGAGGCTATCCCAGTGAAGGTCAGCAGCTGAGAAGGTGAGGAAGACACCAGGACAGGTAAGGCCGTGGACGATGGCCTCAAGCTGATGTCTCTGGCCGCCCCAGTAAGCTCGTGTGCCTTTCAAGCTGCTTGAGAAGCGCACAATAGAGCTCAACAGTGCGCGAGATTCTGGGGTATCTTCCTCAAAGGCATTGCGTAGTTCATCCATGTCAACTTGCTGCTGCAGGCCAGGCCTCTTCAGAAAGAAGGAACTGCGAGAGTTAACTTGTTGGCGCATGAGTGTGTTAAAAGCAACATATCGAAAGCGTGGATGCGTAGCAAAACGGCCATCATGGTATCTCACGGCGTGTGCGATATACTCATCGTACCGAATTGTCCTCTGACGAGGCGCCACGAAGTCTGCCTGCCCAGTAGGGTAGAGGGTAGGAAAGGCGAGAGACAGCAGAGGCTGGGAACGATTGAACTCATTGAGAGGTGTAGACCGGATATTAGGCATCTCGATGTGGGCCTGGCGCAGAGGGATCTGCTCGGGCGGTACGGGTTCGTGATCCTCAAGCTGAGCCCGGAGACGCTCAAGGTCAGCCTGCGCTGCAATGAAGTTTGGGATTGCTGCTGCATCGTAGTCATCAATGCCAGCTGCATCGGCATCCTCAACGGCCTCAGGGTCAGGGTGCTCTATAGGATGTTGCTCTGCTTGCACGCCCTCAGGCACATCGACTTCCTCGGCAAGCATTTGATCAACCACATCACCGTCGTTTGGTAGCTGACTTAGGCGCTCAGCGTCAATGATGATATCTCGATAGCCAGGGTGGTTGAGTTGAAGGTGTTCAAGCCAGACGCGAATGTGACCTTGCCTAACACGGAATTGACGTCGAAACTGCCGGACGACGTGTGGCTGGTTCGTTGAATCCCGTGGGCGTATTATGATGATGTCCAATTCGCGCGGCAGAAGAGGAAGCTGCGTATAGACGTGGCCAATATCCCGTAAGAAGTTAATGACATGACCACGATACTTATACTGCTGGCCACGGTACTGGAAAACCTGGATGTGGACATGCACCCGCGCAATGAGCATCTCCTCGACTTGGGATAGCTCTGGGAGCTCGTTGGGAACGCTGCCGAGATCCAGGTTATTTTCTTCGGAGAAGAGGAAAGGTTCGTGAGGCTGCCTTTTCCCATCGGCGTCACGACGACGGCAGGCAGAACAGACATCATTTACAAGGACCATGTTGAACCAGGACTCCTTGAATCGACTGCAGTACTCACGAGACTCAGAGTCAAGCTTGTCGTTCCACAGATTGAGGAGGTCCTGATCACTCTGAGAAATGGCCTGTGCGTTGAGATCGCCGGCAAACGGTCCAACGATGTCCAAAGGAGGAACGTCTTCATCGGCCTCGTCGCATTGGATAGATTGTAGGCTTGCAGGAGCAGAAAGGCCAATGCGAGGAACCGGATGCAGATTCAAATCGCCTGCTGTGAAAGCAGAAGAGGCTGGAGACGACACGTTGGAAGGGCTGCTTGACATCGGATAAGAGATATGAGAATGTGTTGCTAACCGCGGGATAGAGAGCAGGAGACGACGGGGCCGGCTGCATAGAAAGCAACTGGGAGGTGCCTGGCGTTGCGGATGGCTCATGGCCTTGCCGTCTCTCCATACGATGACGTCGACTGATAGTAACCTGGCGGGCGTGTGCCCTTGCATGGCCTGGACTATCTTCTGGCCGAATGCCCCGACGAAAGAACCGAGGGCGATGCTGTAGTGGAGGTAAGCGTAGCGGAGGCACGCCAGGAGAAAACGAAGGACGAGGCTGCAGAGGAGGCAGAGCAGGCGAAGCCGAAGACGGTGTCTGGGGTGCGGTAGGCCTACGCGCCGTTGGACTCTGGATATCTAGGCTTGCGTGTCGCTTATGGATTGTTGGGATGCGTTGAGCCTAAGTGAAGATCAACAGACGAAGGAATTGAGAGGCAAGAAGAGACACACACAGGACGATTGTGAACCCGACGACAGGGGAGACATTTTCTAGTACGCTTAGATGGGTCAATCAGGTGAATGAATTGATCGTCTTGCTTGAACTGGTTGCATTGAATGCAAAGACGATCGGGAAGAAGCTCCCCCGAAGGAGGCTCCCCCGTAGGACCCCACATAGGAGGATGAGGAGACGGCATGTAGATCAGATCGTCTTGCCTGAACTGGTTGCATTGAATTCAAAGACGATCGGGAAGAAGCTCCCCCGTAGGAGGCCCCCGTAGGAGGACCCCACGTAGGAGGATGAGGAGACGGCATGTAGATGTCATATCAGAAGATCAATGTCAAAGGATAGGAATCGAGGTTTTCAAGAGGAAATTAGGTCCTCCGGGCGCCCCTACGTTCTATGGCAAAGGTGCGGGTAAACCTTTTAGACCAATCAGAGGCGTCTTTTACGGTGTGAATAATTTCTACTGCAGACAGTATACATAGGCTCTAACCAATCACAACAAAGTTCACGGGTAAAGTCTGGGTAAATCTGACCAATCACCTAGACGTATTCGAAGTGGGCTCCAATCAAAACGCAACTGTTAGCAAAGTGGGTCTAAAAGTTTCGCACTTTTTGCTCAGTACGAGAGGAAGGCTCGCCAGCCGCGGCTCGCGCAAAGACGCCTTTCGGAACGAAGTTGGCGGTGACAGGAGACAGGAAGACAAGAGAAGAGTGAGCTCGAGATACGGCGAAGACGTGGAGCATTATCATGAGTGAAATCGAAACAGAGCGCCAGAGAGGCAGGCTAGGCCGCTGGAGAGAGATTTTGCTTTGCAAAGGCGCAAAGGGCGTGGAGAGACGGCAGGGTTGAAGATAGATGTGGGTGGGTGATGAATGTCCGGGCGAGTGGAAGGCTCGGAGGATTTACAGGTGCTATAAGTCGTAGATATACCTAATAAACATCATGAGGAGTATATTGGGGAAGTTTTGACTCGATTGTCCTTGTGAGAAGGAGAACAAGAGGAGAAGGGAATGTCCTATCCGAGGCTTTCGCACTTAAAGACGCAAAACGCGACGCCAAGCAATGGGCAGCCTCGCCCGGCGATGGCGACCCGACGGTCGCACACGTCGAGGAGGTTGGAGCAGGCGAGGCGGGCGCGGAGTCTGCAGCGACATATCAGCCCAACAGTATCGGAGACGCAACGCGGCTCATCGACGTCGTCCGAGGTGCAGTGGGAGCGAATCAGGTGACGGCCAAGTCGCCGGAGCTCATAGCAACGATACAGCAGCTCTGTCGGTTTCAGCAATCGGCGCTGCGCTCGACGGCCGAGCTCGAGGCCACCGCGCTGATCGAACGAGGGGAGAGGCGGTTAAGCATGCCAGGGCGGGTATTTTCCGGGGCCGCACTCCCGCCGCAGGATCAGGTCAAGGCTATCAAGTCGCAGCAGGTAAGTGCCTCGAAGGAGAGGGGGAGGATGATCCAAGGGATACAAAGCACGCCCGCCGCCTGGGAAAGCGATCGCCGCGCAGCGTTGCGAGGGTGATGACCGGTTTCGGGGAGGACGAGGTCGAAATGACGACGGCCGACTCCGACGAGACCGCTATCGACGCAGGGGCGGGAATGGACGTTCAGTTTGGCCCATCAACCTCCTTCCTCGCGGCGGGCAAGGTGTTGGCAACACGGCTGACGCTGAACAAGAGGCAGTCCATCGCTTTTCTGATAATATGCCGCCAGCTCGATTTGATGCAGCAGACCGACGGGGCGATGCCTGCCAGCTGCGCCAGTTCGTCGGTGGCGAGGGCGGTACCGGCAAGTCGCGAATCATCGAGGCACTCGTCGAGCTGTTCAATAAAAAGAGCCTTTCGAATCGTCTGCTGATCACGGCGACATCGGGGACTGCGGCGGCGCGGATCAACGGCATCACGATCCACTCCGCCTGCGGGTTCACCAAAGACCAAGGGGCGGGGGGCGCAAACATGGTCAAAGACCTTGACGGGGTGCGGCTGCCGAAACAGGCGGAGCGGTTCATCCACGGCCAGTCTCGAATGGATTGGCAGGAGAAGGATGTGCTCGTCATCGACGAGGTGAGCAAGCTCGGGGCGCGGACGCTGCACGCCGTGAACGAGCGGCTTCGCCGGCTTCGCGGATCGCGGCAAGATTTCGGGGGGGGATCCCCATCGTCCTCTTCTGCGGAGATTTTCAGCAGTTCCGGCCGGTCCAAGAGAGGTCGATCGTCTTGCCTAGCGCGGCCATCTCGTGGGACGTAGACAACTCGTTCAAGGCCGAGCAGCGTCACCAGCACGACAAAGCGCACGCGCTGTGGAAGAGGTTCACGACGGTCGTCATGCTGGACGAGCAGATGCGCGCCGCCGGCGACCCGGAGCTGCAGAGGCTGCTGAAGCGGATCCGTCTAGGCGTGCAGGATCGGACGGATCTAAACCTCCTCAACTCAAGGTGCTACCGGGAGGGAAGGCGGATCCCTTGGGAGACGGGCATCACCGTGGTGACGCCGCTGAACAGGAATCGGTGGAACCTGAACATGGAGGCGAGCCTGGCGTTCCGGGTCCAGCAGCGGTCGACGATGCGCATTTTCATCTCCGAGCACAAGTGGAAGGAGGAGCTGCCGACGGAGGAAGAGGCGATCATGATACTCAACCAGGGCGACGATAGCGCGATCCCGGTGCCGGCCGTCTTCATGTTCGTGGCCGGGATGCCCATCGTCGTGAACCACAACACCCACCAGGGGCTGAAGCTAGTGAACGGCGCGAGCTACTCGGCGGTGGAGGTCATTGTCGACAAGGCGTACCCGGGGCATCGGATCTCGGCCGATATGACGATCCACTTCGGGCCGCCGGCGGGGATCATTCTCGAATCGGAGACGACGAGATATCTCCACTTCGTCGGGATGCCGCCGGGCACGATCTTGTTGACACCCATGACCGTTAAGATACAGTGCCAGCGAAAAAAGGCCGTGGCAACGCAACGACGTCAGCCGAAAGGGTTTGCCGTGCGCAGCAGCGTTCGCGTGCACGGACTACAAGGTGCAGGGCAAAACGCTGGAGCGCGTGGCCCTCGAGCTGCGAGGGACACGGACGACGAAGATGGATGGAACGGTGGTGCCCTCGCAGTGCGACCCGTACGGCCTGTACGTGCAGCTATCGCGCTGCCGAACTCTAGACGGCATCATGCTCGTGTCCAAGGTGCGGGACAGAGACTTGGTGGGCAACCGGGTCCCCGAGGAGATGACTGCCGCACAGGCCAGGCTCGAGGTACTGAGCGAGAGGACCGTTGAGGAGGCGTTGCGCTGGCTGGACGGTGATGCTGAAGAGTCAAGGCGGCCGGGCTAGGTGACGCGATGAAGAGTTCGGCAGGCGGGAAGAGTCGGCAGGCGGCAGACAGGGTGGGAGGCGCCTAGTGGTGGGATAAGGCACGCGAAAAGGCAACAGAAGCCGGGGGAAGGGCAGCGACCAACGAGGAGAGGAGGGAGGCAAGGAGGGACCAATCACAAGGGACCAATCAAGGGGCGGAGAACCTTTGGGGGGAGAGGGCGGGGTCTGCGGGGCACGTTAGAAGGCCTTTCGTTCCTCAAGGCAAAGGCCTTTCGTTCCTCAAGGCAAAGAAGCTCCGCTGAATTTTCGCACTGCGTGTACTTCGTCACTTCGTAGCACAAATTTACAGCTTTGCTTAATTAAAAGCTGCCCTCTATACAGCTACATTGTTTATTTTCCACCAGCAGGCTGCTTTGCGGATGAAACGGGATGTCGAACATGGTGCTTCGGCAGGTTCCAGGATAGCCCTTGGCGGCCGTTGTAACGCGATAACGGTTCGTGCGGCCAACAGGACGCTTTCATTCTGGATCACGATAGTCTGCTCCGTTTTAATAGGTATCAAATTCTGGGTTGGGCTGAAAAACTCTAGTGAAAGGCATTTGGGATAGGATCTTGAAGGAAGTCAGCTGTCACGGATTTTTTGTGATGTCACGGATTTTTTGTGCCAACTAAAGGGCGTCAGACCTTTAGTGGGCTGCCGTGGCCCCACCACGCTTAGACCAACGGGTAGAAGTGAAGCTTTTCGCGATATCTCTCCACACCTACTACTTACCGCCGCCGCCGCAATGGATTATCCCGTACCACCGCGAATTCGATTCAAAGAAGGCCGCCCAAGATGCCTGTCATACAGTCGCCAAGGCACAAGGCCACGCCCTGATTGTACGATCGGGGAGGGATAACGACGCCTACATGACCTGCTCGCGGGCTGGCGGGCATCGCGATTCTACTGACCCCAGCGCCCATAGATAAAAACGCCGGGCGAACCAGGCCACATACAAATGCGACTGCGGCTTCCGCCTTATTATTAAGAGGGGCAGCGAGGGCGCCTGGTTTCCGAAGCCATCGCCGTCCTCTACAGACCACAACCACCCTCCTGTGCCCGCGATATTACACTCCAAGTATCGCGCCGAGCTTCTCAGCGAGCATCACGACCACATTATCCGGCTCTACAATACAGGCCTCAAGCCATTCCAAATTGCCGCCCACCTCCGCAGCCTCGCCCCCGTCAAGAGCCCCGACCTCAAGCATATCTCGAGCCAACACATCCGCAACGCCCTCGCCGCATACCGCACCGCAGAACTCGCTGGCCGTACGCCCCTGCAATTCCTCTATGACCAGCTACGGATTCGTCTTGCGGCTTCTTTTCCGGGATACACGTGACCAAGATGGCCGGCTGACCGGCCTCTTCATCGCACCACGCAGCGGTATCGAGCTTTGGCGGCGTTTTCCGAATATCCTGCTTTTGGATTGTACGTATAAGACCAACCGGTTCAAGATGCCGCTTCTCAACGTGTGTGGGTCAACCGCAGAGCGGAAAACCTTCTCTGTGGCCACTATCTTCCTCAACGGGGAGGCCGAATCACAATACCGCTGGGCTCTGCAATGCCTACTCCAATTGGCAGCCGAAGCGGAAGAGGGCATTCCGGCGCCGCGGATCATGGTCACAGATCGTGAGCTTGCCCTAATGAATGCAGTTGTTGCTTTCCCAGAATTACACCACGTAGTTCACCTGCTCTGCCGCTGGCATATCAACAAAAACGTTCTTACCAAGTGCAAAAAGCACTTCCCTGCTGCAACAAAGGAAGGAGATCTCACAATCCGAGCCCCTACGTTCACAGCCTTCCTCAAAGAGTGGGCAGGCATCGTTAACGCCCCTAATGAGGCTATCTATAACACACTGGTCCCCGCGTTCGAAATGAATGAAGTTGACGTGTTCTGGCATCGCGAAAAGCCTCAGGGCATGAGCCCTGACGACGCCCCACAAGATCCGCTCCCTATACGCGGCAAAGGCCGGCCACAGGGCTCGTTGAACCTTCAAAAAAGCACACGTCGCGACCAGTCGGAATTTGAGGTCGTTGAGGGCATCGAGCGAGCTGAGGCCACAAGGCCGCCGCCGTCAACAGCGCCGGCAGCAGGCTTTCTAATCATACGCGTATTGTTTGTTTAAACCATATATTGCCCATATATTGTCAATAAAACTATACCATACGGAATCATCCGTATGACCATATATGGCCATACGCGGTATAAAGTTCCTCCGAGGTTGAAATGCTTGGCAAGTGGGCACTTGATATTATTTAGTGGGAAGAATTGCCTACCGATATATGTCAAAAAAAAAGCTGTCGCGATAAGACTTACGTGCAACTGACGTTTGGTGAAGTTTTAATAAGTTATAAAAATTTAGTGATTTAAATTGCATAGACGGGTGGAAATAGCGCGAGAACGTAGATCGCCTCCTTAAACTTTGCCAGATAAAAACAGAGGATTCCTTATAAATATGGCTAAAGGAGTGTAGGGTAATCAACGTTGCTTAGACCGTCAGGAAACATAATTCGGAAGCTGAGAGTGAATTACGTGTAGAATTGAAAATACGATTATAGGTAAAAGTAACGTTAGATACTTGAGTTGAAGGTCATATTTGGTTCAATCCGTGCATTCCGCGACTCTCGTGGTGAGTTCTCTCGTTAAGTAGTTTGGCCGACGACAATTTCTCTATTAAAGATGGATAGCGTCGTGACGGATACGGAGGTCATGAGCGAATGACGTCATTTCTCGTATGGGCAATATATGGTTTATTTCACCATATGAGAATAAACCATACACCATAAACCATACGGGTCCGTATGGCATATGGCGTATGGTTAGAAAGCCTGGCCGGCAGCGCTGACGGGCACAAATTCTACACGCAACACACGCAGGGGCAAGGCTATCGCTGTCAACACCACTGCCAGCGACGCTAATATGACGAGGCAGGCGTTGGAATACCTTCATACACACGGCGACTCGTACGAGCCGGGCACAGAGATGCCACGGGCGTATCAGCGCGCCGCTGCTGCTGATGACTCTGATGACGAGCTTGCTGGCGAGACGCAGGGCACGATCCACTGTTATCAGGCCACGCAGCCAGCTACACAGTGGACTTCACAGCGGGTCACGATGCCCTCAAATCGTCGAGAAGAGGAGGATATAGAAGATGAGGACGACCCTTTGGCCGATTTCGATGAGATGGAACGGCGGGTGGATGAAGAAGCTCGTGCGCGGCGAGTTTTGGATACAGATGACCCGCTGTAGCTACTTCCTTTGCGATTGTGTTTAAATTGACGGTGGTGCGCTTCGTATGACTCTAAAATCGACTCCCTTCCATAGGTAAAGGGTATCACGGCCGGCTTCAATTGCGACTTCAATTGCGCCATGGACGTTGCTTGCGCCCGCTTGCAGTTCGTAGTGGGGAATGTGCACACAAAAATGCGGTATCGGCGCTGCCCCGCGATCTGCGCCACATTTTGTTGTACGTTCAGCAAAATGTGTTGTACGGATAACTACCCCCTTCTTGAACCCTTCAGCGTCGTAGTATAGCTCGTCAGGGTCCTGTCCTGCCCACTCGGCTCGGTACTGTAATTTTCCCCTCGAGATCCTTGACGACAATATTTTTGGGGGGTAGTTTATTTTTGCCACCTCGTACTCTGGCTCGCCGTTAATCATCTCGGCCGGCGGAGCTTCTACCTGCTGTCCCGGCAGGGGGTCTCGCGCAGCCCTTCTCAACCGGTCGGCATGCAGCACCTTTGCCACCCTCATGCCTTTGGGTAGGTCCAGCTCGAATGAGTGACCCCTTTTTGCCACGATTCTGAACGGACCCGCGTTCTTAGAATCTAGCCGTGTTGTTGGCCTGTCAGTTGACCAGCCCCTTTTTGAAACGAACACCCAGTCACCAACATCGAAATCGGGCACTCTTCTCTTCAAATTGGCTGATCGTGCCTGGCTCCTTTGAGCCGCTTCCACGTTCCTTTTTGCCAGCGAACAAACTTTCTTAGCTCGATTCACAAAGTCCTTAGCTGCCTTTTGGGCGTCGGTCCAATCCCCGACCTGCTTGTCGGTCGCTATATCCACCTGTTTGTTCTATGGAAACCTTCAAGCCGGTCCGCTGTCTAATACTCTGCCACTCCTGGTCCTGACCGCCATTGGGATATGAGCCATTACTATTGACCGATTTTCGATTCAACCACGGTGGCAAGCAGCTGCCCAGCTCCGAGCTCGCCACCTCCAGTGACAGTTGAATTGACCGAGCCGAAGGGAAGGAAGGATCGGGGAATCTCCGGGTAAGTTCGTTCGACTAACTTAGTGGTCAGAGCGGGGTAATGCGTCAACTGTGTCTGAATCAAGAATGAAACTCTGCATTTAACGCTGGACAGATCTGCCGGGTTTTCACGAGCCAGTCCCGTAACCATGGTTCGGGTAGCACGCCCAGCCGGCCGTCGCGACTTTGAGATTGCCATCATCTGCGCCCTCACTGCTGAGGCCGACGCCGTGGAGGCTCTCTTCGACGGCTATTGGGACGACGAAGGGCCCCATTATGACAAAGCCTCTGGGGATCCTAACGCCTACTCCACCGGCTACATCAGCCGCCACAATGTCGTGCTTGCTCACATGCCTAGCATGGGGAAGGCCAACGCGGCGGCCGTTACGGCCAACTGCCGTGCCAGCTTCCCCAACATCAAGCTCGCTCTTGTGGTTGGCGTCTGCGGCGCGGCGCCCTTTGTACCCGGCAGTAAGGACGAGATTGTGCTCGGCGACGTGATCATCAGCGACGGGGTCGTTCAATACGATCTCGGACGACGGCTACCCGAGAGCTTCGTGCGCAAAGATACTCTTCTAGACTCTTTGGGGAGGCCCAACACGGAGATCCGCGGGCTGTTAGCGAAGCTGAAGGGCGTCCGCGGCCAAAAGACGCTAAGAAGCAAGATGGCTAGTAATCTGGACAGGCTCGAGGAAGATCCAGAGCTGAAAGCAGAGTACCCAGGTGTCCGGTGTGACCGGCTCTTCGAATCGAAATATCGCCACGCTCGCGATGGGATGACGTGCGAAGAGTGCGGATGCAGCGGTGAGCCAATCTTGCGCCGTCGCCTCGAGCAGGGCATACCACAGCCTGCCGTCCACTTTGGCTTGGTCGCATCTGGCGACACAGTGATGAAGGATGGAGACGAGCGTGACGCCATCGCACAACGGGAGAATGTTATCGGCTTCGAGATGGAGGGCGCCGGAGTATGGGATATCCTCCCGTGCGTTGTGATCAAGGGCGCCTGCGACTATGCAGACAGCCATAAGACCAAGGCATGGCAGAATTATGCTGCGGCAACGGCAGCGGCATGCGCAAAGGCATTCTTGGACTATTGGGTGCCTTCAGTTACTTATGGTGCGTGACAGCATCACACTCGAATGCTTTGGGTGGTTTGCTGATCGTTTTCGGGGCAGGCAATGTTCCCGAACAATCCACCGGCCCTTGGTGTGAGTAGTTGATCTTTCGTTCGTAACTTCAGGTAGACGAATTCTTACATAGTTCACAGTTATTGTTCCATTCCCAAAAAATGACGCTTTTGTTGGTCGAAGCTCTATTCTTGAAGAATTGCAACAGCTCGCGGGTAAGCCGCAAGCGCAGATTGCGCTCTTTGGTCTAGGCGGCATAGGGTGAGTGGCTTCAACCACGCATCACTTCGTCACTGACAGGACAAGAAAAACCCAAATCGCGCTGGCGCATGTCTATTGGCTTCAGGAGACGTGTCCAGAGGTGTCAGTATTTTGGGTCTATGCAAGCAACGTCGAGCGGTTCCGCCAGTCCTTCAATACGATTGCGCTGGAATGCAAAATTCCAGGGTATGACGACTCCAAGACGGATGTGTTACTGCTGGTGAAAAGATGGCTAGAAAAGAAGGATTGTGGGCGGTGGCTCATGGTCATCGATAATGCCGACGATATGGACCTTTTCTTCAATCCAAGTGGGCCGACTACGAGCACATTCTCGAGCGGCGGCAATTTCGCACGCTACCTTCCCGAATGCAGCCACGGAGCCATTCTAGTCACGACGCGGAACAAGAAAGCGGCGTTAAGGTTTGCCAAGGGGCAGAGTCTAATCGAGGTGGATTGTATGGAGGACGACGAGTCGGAAGGCCTGCTTCGTGCAACACTGAAAGGCGTTTCCTCCACCCCTGCCGAATTGTCGGAGCTCTCTTCTCGACTAGAGCACCTTCCGCTCGCCCTCGTCCAAGCGGCGGCCTTCATTCAGGCGAACAGCATTTCCATGGAAGCGTATCTCGGGCTGCTCGACGAAAGTGACCATAATGTCGTCGACCTGCTATGCAAGGAATTCGAGACGATCGGGCGGGACTCGGAGGCTGCACAGGCGGTAGCGCAAACGTGGATGCTCTCGTTCCGACAGATTAAGGAACAGGATGCATTGGCGGGCAACTTGCTCTCGTTGATGAGCGTATTCGACCGGCAGGGCATTCCGACGCCGTTTCTATCGCATTACAGTACACAGGAACGCAACGGAGGCCCGAAGAGCAATATGGAGCTGACCGAATCTATTGGGCTACTTAAAGCCTTCGGCCTCATTTCAGAGGAGAAGAACGGCAGCCTAGATATGCATCGACTGGTACAGTTAGTGACACAAAAGTGGCTCGTCAACGATAGCAAGATGGGTGAGTTTGGGCGAGAGGCGCTATTGACGGTATCGCAGATGTATCCGTTTGGGAGGTTCGAGAACCGGACGATATGTAGTGCGTATCTACCACACGCAAGCGCTGTGCTGGAGATTGAGGTTGGCGAGCTAGGAGATGATGTGAAGGCGAAGGCATCGCTGCTCCATCGCGTGGCTAGCTACTTGGGTTTTGAGGGCAAATGGGGGGACGCAGAGAAACTTAGCGTGAATGCTGTCAAGACTCGGAAAAGGGTGCTGGGCGAGGAGCATCCCGAGACGCTGACCAGCATGAACAACCTCGCGTTGACGTACCGGAATCAGGGGCGGTGGAGGGAGGCGGAGGAGCTCGGGTTGCGGGTGATGGAGACCCGCAAGAGGGTGCTGGGCGAGGAGCATCCCGAGACGCTGACCAGCATGGCGAACCTCGCGTCGACGTTCTCGAATCAGGGGCGGTGGAGGGAGGCGGAGGAGCTCGGGGTGCGGGTGGTGGACATCTGGAAGAGGGTGCTGGGCGAGGAGCATCCCGAGACGCTGACCAGCATGGCGAACCTCGCGTTGACGTTCTCGAATCAAGGGCGGTGGAAGGAGGCGGAGGAGCTCGGGGTGCGGGTGATGGAGACCCGCAAGAGGGTGCTGGGCGAGGAGCATCCCTCGACGCTGACCAGCATGGCGAACCTCGCGTCGACGTTCTCGAATCAGGGGCGGTGGAAGGAGGCGGAGGAGCTCGGGGTGCGGGTGATGGAGACCCGCAAGAGGGTGCTGGGCGAGGAGCATCCTGACACGCTGACCAGCATGGCGAACCTCGCGTTGACGTTCTCGAATCAGGGGCGGTGGAGGGAGGCGGAGGAGCTCGGGGTGCAGGTGATGGAGACCCGCAAGAGGGTGCTGGGCGAGGAGCATCCCGAGACGCTGACCAGCATGGCGAACCTCGCGTTGACGTTCTCGAATCAGGGGCGGTGGAAGGAGGCGGAGGAGCTCGGGGTGCGGGTGATGGAGACCCGCAAGAGGGTGCTGGGCGAGGAGCATCCTGACACGCTGACCAGCATGGCGAACCTCGCGTCGACGTTCTCGAATCAGGGGCGGTGGAAGGAGGCGGAGGAGCTCGGGTTGCGGGTGATGGAGATCTGGAAGAGGGTGCTGGGCGAGGAGCATCCCGAGACGCTGACCAGCATGGCGAACCTCGCGTTGACGTTCCCGAATCAGGGGCGGTGGAGGGAGGCGGAGGAGCTCGGGGTGCGGGTGATGGAGACCCGCAAGAGGGTGCTGGGCGAGGAGCATCCTGACACGCTGACCAGCATGGCGAACCTCGCGTCGACGTACTCGAATCAGGGGCGGAGGAAGGAGGCGGAGGAGCTCGGGTTGCGGGTGATGGAGACCCACAAGAGGGTGCTGGGCGAGGAGCATCCCTCGACGCTGACCAGCATGGCGAACCTCGCGTCGACGTACTCGAATCAGGGGCGGTGGAAGGAGGCGGAGGAGCTCGGGGTGCGGGTGATGGAGACCCGCAAGAGGGTGCTGGGCGAGGAGCATCCCTCGACGCTGACCAGCATGGCGAACCTCGCGTCGACGTTCTCGAATCAGGGGCGGTGGAAGGAGGCGGAGGAGCTCGGGGTGCGGGTGATGGAGACCCGCAAGAGGGTGCTGGGCGAGGAGCATCCCTCAACGCTGACCAGCATGAACAACCTCGCGTTCACGTACCGGAATCAGGGGCGGTGGAGGGAGGCGGAGGAGCTCGGGGTGCAGGTGATGGAGACCCGCAAGAGGGTGCTGGGCGAGGAGCATCCCGAGACGCTGACCAGCATGGCGAACCTCGCGTTGACGTTCTCGAATCAGGGGCGGTGGAAGGAGGCGGAGGAGCTCGGGGTGCGGGTGATGGAGACCCGCAAGAGGGTGCTGGGCGAGGAGCATCCTGACACGCTGACCAGCATGGCGAACCTCGCGTCGACGTTCTCGAATCAGGGGCGGTGGAAGGAGGCGGAGGAGCTCGGGTTGCGGGTGATGGAGATCTGGAAGAGGGTGCTGGGCGAGGAGCATCCCGAGACGCTGACCAGCATGGCGAACCTCGCGTTGACGTTCTCGAATCAGGGGCGGTGGAGGGAGGCGGAGGAGCTCGGGGTGCGGGTGATGGAGACCCGCAAGAGGGTGCTGGGCGAGGAGCATCCTGACACGCTGACCAGCATGGCGAACCTCGCGTTGACGTTCTCGAATCAGGGGCGGTGGAAGGAGGCGGAGGAGCTCGGGTTGCGGGTGATGGAGATCTGGAAGAGGGTGCTGGGCGAGGAGCATCCCGAGACGCTGACCAGCATGGCGAACCTCGCGTCGACGTACTCGAATCAGGGGCGGAGGAAGGAGGCGGAGGAGCTCGGGTTGCGGGTGATGGAGACCCACAAGAGGGTGCTGGGCGAGGAGCATCCCTCGACGCTGACCAGCATGGCGAACCTCGCGTCGACGTACTCGAATCAGGGGCGGTGGAAGGAGGCGGAGGAGCTCGGGTTGCGGGTGATGGAGATCTGGAAGAGGGTGCTGGGCGAGGAGCATCCCTCGACGCTGACCAGCATGAACAACCTCGCGTTGACGTTCTCGAATCAGGGGCGGTGGAAGGAGGCGGAGGAGCTCGGGGTGCGGGTGATGGAGACCCGCAAGAGGGTGCTGGGCGAGGAGCATCCCTCGACGCTGAGCAGCATAAACAACCTCGCGTTGACGTACCGGAATCAGGGGCGGTGGAGGGAGGCGGAGGAGCTCGGGTTGCGGGTGATGGAGACCCGCAAGAGGGTGCTGGGCGAGGAGCATCCCGAGACGCTGACCAGCATGAACAACCTCGCGTTGACGTACCGGAATCAGGGGCGGTGGAGGGAGGCGGAGGAGCTCGGGGTGCGGTTGATGGAGACCCGCAAGAGGGTGCTGGGCGAGGAGCATCCCGAGACGCTGACCAGCATGAACAACCTCGCGTTGACGTACCGGAATCAGGGGCGGTGCAGGGAGGCGGAGGAGCTCGGGTTGCGGGTGATGGAGACCCGCAAGAGGGTGCTGGGCGAGGAGCATCCCGAGACGCTGACCAGCATGGCGAACCTCGCGTCGACGTACTCGAATCAGGGACGGTGGAAGGAGGCGGAGGAGCTCGGTTTGCGGGTGATGGAGACCCGCAAGAGGGTGCTGGGCGAGGAGCATCCTGACACGCTGACCAGCATGAACAACCTCGCGTTCACGTACCGGAATCAGGGGCGGTGGAAGGAGGCGGAGGAGCTCGGGGTGCGGGTGATGGAGACCCGCAAGAGGGTGCTGGGCGAGGAGCATCCCGAGACGCTGACCAGCATGAACAACCTCGCGTTGACGTACCGGAATCAGGGGCGGTGGAGGGAGGCGGAGGAGCTCGGGTTGCGGGTGATGGAGACCCGCAAGAGGGTGCTGGGCGAGGAGCATCCTGACACGCTGACCAGCATGGCGAACCTCGCGTTGACGTTCTCGAATCAGGGGCGGTGGAGGGAGGCGGAGGAGCTCGGGTTGCGGGTGATGGAGACCCGCAAGAGGGTGCTGGGCGAGGAGCATCCTGACACGCTGACCAGCATGGCGAACCTCGCGTTGACGTTCTCGAATCAGGGGCGGTGGAGGGAGGCGGAGGAGCTCGGGTTGCGGGTGATGGAGACCCGCAAGAGGGTGCTGGGCGAGGAGCATCCCGAGACGCTGACCAGCATGGCGAACCTCGCGTCGACGTTCTCGAATCAGGGACGGTGGAAGGAGGCGGAGGAGCTCGGGGTGCGGGTGATGGAGACCCGCAAGAGGGTGCTGGGCGAGGAGCATCCTGACACGCTGACCAGCATGGCGAACCTCGCGTCGACATACTCGAATCAGGCACGGTGGAAGGAGGCAGAGGAGCTCGGGTTGCGGGTGATGGAGACCCGCAAGAGGGTGCTGGGCGAGGAGCATCCCGAGACGCTGACCAGCATGGCGAACCTCGCGTTGACGTTCTCGAATCAGGGGCGGTGGAGGGAGGCGGAGGAGCTCGGGGTGCGTGCGGGTGGTGGAAATCTGGAAGAGGGTACTGGGCGAGGAGCATCCCGAGACGCTGACCAGCATGGCGAACCTCGCATTGACGTACTGGAATCAGGGACGGTGGAAGGAGGCCGAGGAGCTGGAACCTGGCGTCGACTTGTTATCAGATTGACTGAGTCGTCGAAGCAACGGCGTTAATGCGTGATTGCATTGGCTACTGGAAAAAGATGCTTGGCCAAGATCATCCTCATACCCAGTCTTCCATATCGGCCCTGGCTGGATGGGAGGTAAGAGGTAAAAATTTGTTCTCTATCCTTCATCACAATTTCTGACAGATCCCTGATCTCCTATATCGAATTCCTCCAAAAGTGTCAAACAATTGCTAGTATTTATTAACCATCCTAGAATTCTCATGAAGAGAACTTGTGAATGGAAATAAAAGGGGAATCCGGGTTGTGTTGATTGATGTGTGCATGTCTGGCTTCCATTTGTCGCCATCCGATGCGGCCTTTCCTCCCAAGAAGAAAGACAAGTTCCCAACCTTGGCTTGTGTCAGGCTCATTCCTTCATTTCACAAGCCGGCCGCCTTGCTTCTCATGCTCTCAAGCTCATTCCGAAAAGGCATTGGCGGGCCCCATGGGGGACCGGTCTCCTGTTACCAGTGACCGGCAATCTGAGCCGGGCGGTTACTGGCCACTTTGCCACGACGCTTGATTGGTTACTGGCAATCATGGCTGGGCGGTTACCGACAGCACATAGCTACCATCAGCAAGCGCCCAGAGGTTACCGGAGCCTATAGGCTGCCGGCAATCTCTGCCTGGCAGTTACCAGCATCCCTTGCAATCCAGATGCTTGGTTACTGGTTACGAGCGTTCTTCACATCACCGTTACTGGTAACATGTGAGCCATTCGCCACCGGCCCCAGACTCGTGCCTGGGCGGTTAACGGTAAGTCCTGGCTCTTGTGTTGCGCGATAAAGATTACAGGAGACCGGCCCCTTCCAGGGTCCGCCAATGCCTTTTCGGAACGAGCTTGAGAGCATGAGAAGCAAGGCGGCTGGCTTGTGAAATGAAGGAATGAGCCTGACACAAGCACTTGTCTTGTGCGCCTAACACCTACCTAACACATGCGCGGTAGGTGGCGATGAAGCTCTGGGTAGGTATCGCGTACGGCCATTGTAGATTCCCTTTCAGGTGTCTTTTTGAAGGGAAAGGAGGAAAGAGAAGAGTGTGAGCCCAGCAGTGAGCTATATAGGCAATTGGGAGACTGTTTTATAGGCGCTGGTGGCGTCTGCGTGTGACCTTTTTTTTTTTGCTTTTCAGGGTTGAAGGTGCTGCGCACAGGCATTGGCTTCCAGCTAGACCCCGCGTTCGATGACATTGCAGTCTAATGCCGTCTGGTGACTTCATTTCTTTATACCTGGCCTGTTCAATCTTGAATCCTCCTCTGGTCGTAACAATGAAACGCTCTTCACGACTATCGATTACTCAAGATAGAACAATATGGCCACATATTCCGTGCTAAAAATTTCGCCTCTGCTACCTGTGGCCGAAGCATTACCCAGCACCCGCTCCAGCCGCCCCACAGTCAGTAGGGTCAGCTAGAGCCCGCACCAACTTCAACCAGCGTACCAGGGTCCATCCAAGCTGTCATTGCCCGGTGCGATGTTGAGAGAATAAGATTTGTGTCTTGTTCGGCGTCGATGATCTAGGCAGATCGCCCCGTCATATAATCACGTATCTCAACATCGACCATGAATCCAGGTTTGTGCCCCTGGGGTGGCGTGGCGTTCCTACGTCGGAACCGTGGTACTCTCACGAAGAAAGTCAGCAGAAAAGGCATATAATGTAGTAATGAGGTAGTTGCATCGTATTCCGTATCTCCGTCCTCCTCTCTTTCTGCCCTAAACCCAAGCCCCTATTTATATCCCTCTTTCGTAGTATAGGTAATGGGCTGAGGGAGGCTGGGTGACCCCAGCCTCTCGACTGGAGACGTTCCAGTCTCAAATAGCAGCTTTCCAGCCTCTCGTTTGACCTGGTTGACAGCTCCCTTGTTGGCCCAGCCACCCATGTGTGACCTGGCTGACTCAATCGAGAGACGTTCTTCGCGACAGGTACCGGTGGTCGCGCGAATGGACGAGTAACCGTTGCTGCCCCAACATCTTGAGATGTGTGGATGTATTGTGGCTACATTCTGGACCTCTTTGTGGAGGAGAAGGTGCGCCGACATACTCGTATAATAGACAGGCATTCGAAGTGTGGTTGGGCTATTGCGACGAACAGGAGGGTTTCGGCCGGGTAACGGAGGTGACAACGATCCGGTTGATTGGCGAGCGGGAGGTGGCCTTATGAGATGTAGAGCCTTCGTGGGTTCCGAATAAAAGACCTGTATTTGTATCTCGCCCTGTCCTACACGAGGATTTGCTGACTTTCAAATAGTCGCCTCGTCACCGCCGCCAGATGCGTCAACCTCTGCATGGCATCAATGATGCTTTGGTCTGGCTTATTCCCGATGAAATCCTGGGGTCGTACGGGACTAAGAAGCTTGATACCTTGCAACGTTCTGCACCTGGATAGTTGTACATAGAGGCTGGTAAAGCCGCATTTGGAAGGCTGACCATGTGTCATACGGTTTCCTCGTAGCTCCAACAGTACATCCTCAAACGTCTTACCTTGAGCTTTATAGTCAGTAAGGACAAATGCCGGACAACTGGCAAACCCGCCGTGTGCATTTCCCCGACAGGAATCTGTAGTAGGAGTTTGCTGGATCGAGAGTATGTGTGATAGGCCGGATAAGCACGGTGCCTGTTGGAAGGGCTGGGATAGCTAAACCCTTTGTTTCTTGCGACTCTAACAATATGCCTAGTGGCGGACCAAAGTGAATGGTAACGTCGTCCGCAAGATGGTAGCCAGGGATTTTGTATCGGGAATGACGTCCGCGGCGGTGAACTCGGCCCCATTCACAACTTTTAAGCCGGTGTACGTATTTTTGTTGACAACTACAGGCATCCCTGGGCGTAGAAGAAAACCCCGGGGATCTTGCAGTTTGAGTTGTCGCCTTGTTCGATGGTATGAGCCACCTCCTGCTGGGATAAGGCTCGACTGCGCCAGGTGTGGGCCGAGACGAAGATTGAGATGTGTCTCTGGTGAAAGCGGGCCCTGCGATTGAGCGGTGTTATAGCGCGCAAGTCATCCTTGAACGTGATTTGGGAGCGGTCCACGAGCTTGGTGTTGAGCAAGTCAAGATCCTCTATCGTCTGTGTTCCAGCGCGTACTCTGTCCAAAAGAGCGCCTAGCTGAGGATCGTCTCGCGCGCGGACTTGTTCCTCGAGAAGGATGACAGTCTTGAACATCAGCCATAGACTATGGCCACGGTGGTGAGCAATGGTCGCCTGCCCCAGGGAGGCCATGTAAGTCAAACCTACCACTCGGTCCACCAGGAGACTTGCCTCAAGCACGGGGGCGAACTGATAGAAGTCCTCCATCAAGAGAACAACAGGAATACCTCAAAATGGCTTATCAGGACAGTCACGGAGGGCCTGGAGGCGGCAGTTGGCGTTGAATAGAGTGGCTCCCCCGAGCATGCTCACTTCGTCGATCACGAGAGCCAACTTTTGCTTCCACATCCATTTTTTCGCTTCCGAGAACATTGGAGGCTGTTGTTTGTCGTGAGGACGACTGATATCCAGGCCACATGCCGAGTGGAGTGTCGTCCCGCCGATCTGAGCAGCCGCACTGCCCGATGTGCCGGTAATCTGGAGGTGATGTGGCTGACCTCTAGCCGTGAATACGCCCCGCAAAGCATCGACGATCCTAGACTTCCCAGTACCGCCTGGACCTCCGACGTACTGAAGATGTTGACCGGCGGAGTCAGGATTGGCAATATACTTGTCCAAGAACCGGCACACAAGTTGAAGTGCCATGCTCTGCAGATCGTTGAGCGTGTAGCTAGAGGCGGCAAGAAGTCCCAACTCCACAAATCCTCTGCTGGAGCCTACCTCAACAACCATCCGAGGTCTCTGTACGGCCGAGTCTTCCAGTTGTCTCGGAATGGGGATGTCCGCGTCACACTGCCGAACAAGCAGATCGTCGGTGTCCGCATCGCCAATGGAGGTTGTATCACCTTGGACGCCGCCTTCCATCTCATTGAGCATCCGGAGATGGAGCATGTCCTGGGCCTTCGCCGCCGCCTGAACATCTTCTGCAGAAGGAATCGGACACCGAGACAAGAGGCTGTCCTGACGAGCGCGAATCTGCTGATAGAAATCGTAGTGACGTTGGATGAAAGGCCGGTCCTCTTGTGTCGGGTTCTCCTGGCAAAAGTCTCGGATCAGACTTTGCAGGACTAGAGAGTCTCTCGTTGCGTCGGAGTCTCGCACAGCATTTCGAAGAATCTGGAGGAGGGCCGTATATTTTTGGTGATGCTCTGCCATGGTTGGGTCTTCGTTATAATCGCCTTCATCCAGAGGAAAGTCCACATCCACTGTGTCGTCGCCTTCCGACCGGCTAGCCCAGAGCTTCGCGTCTTTACGAGCATCCTCAGCCGATTTTCTGAGGAGGGAGATGTTTGCGACACGGGATCTCAGGCGGGGGCAGAGGGTAGCTGCATGGTTCCTCCATATGCCCGTGATATCACCGCGCGTCTCGGAGAGGAAGTTTTCCCATGGTACAAACAAGGCCAGGTGGAGAACCGAGTTTCTGCGCAGAATGTCAGAGCCGGCTCAGGGGCAAATGGGGCAGCAAGAGGAGCGTACCGTTTGAAATACACCGGGTGCTCGTCTATATGGTCGTCGCTAATGAATCCCTGAAAGATTGGCACCGCGTACTCGGGGGCTGTCGAAGCTTTTGTATCCATCCGTAGCACTCTGGAGGACCTTCCAGAGCAATACGGGTTTCATCCTCATCTCGGCCACGGCGACGCTCCAGGGTAATCATAGACATATAGTCATAGAGGCATACGTCCTCAGAACCGGGCCTCGATAGGCGTAGGCATCCAGGCACAATAAAGTCCGGCCACTTTCCCGAATTGTACCGTCTCCGACGGCTCTTCGGCGTCGGTTTGCGTACTGGCCTGTCGACGGAGGTGAGTCCAGCACCGGAAAATGGTCCAATAGAGTGCGGTCAAATTTATGTAGGACCAGTGCGGTACATTAGTAAAGTCAGTTTGATAGCCCAGCAGGAAGTAACAGACCTCTACGGCCGAAAGCTGTCTATCGGAAAATATTCGGTTGGCCGCTCTCATCAGAAACTGACGACTCTCGTTCACCACAGCCTGGCGTTGGGCATCCTGTTCGGCAAGATTTGGACCCCTCAACGCGGCAGATTCACGAAGCTGTCGAAGAACATCAGCAGCGAAGACAAGGCGTTTCCACATGGGCGTGTCCAACTTGGTGGCGTAGTTTGTGATGTAAAATACCATGGCGAGTCCCTTGGTTTTCGTCAAGATCATCGAGACGTCGTGGTTGTGACGGAGGCCGACTGCCATGGCTTTATTATATCGGTTGACAAGCGGGTGGTTCCGCCGGATCTTGAGCAAGCCATCTTCTGTGAATCCGGATTCCTCGACGATCTTCCAAGGCGCCTTGAATCGACAAGGCGTCCGTCTATGCTTATGCGCGCCATCTCCGACGAGTCCCTTTAGAGAATACTTAATGCATGTGTAGGTGTGCGAGTGAACCTGGCAACAGTACGCAATGTAATTAGACTCCTTGTCAAAGACTGCTGCGAGAGCCTCGGTGTTGTGCATCATTCCCTCGACCGGATCAATCGGCTTCCTCTCCTTTCGGACAGCTTTTCCAGCTTCCTCGTCTAAGCATTCGTTAAAGACCGAATCCAGATACCGAACCACTTGGGCACGGTATCCCTCCTCGTCGGGCTTTGCCATATCATCGACCAGGGAAGGCAACTGCATGTTACCCTCCAACCAGAGCAGTCCATGCAAGTGCAGACTGCCTCGGTCATTCGTCTCGACTGTGGCGTAGTAATGGCTGATCTTTCCGAAAATCGATTCTTGGCCCGTCCTGACGTATTTCTCAAAAAACAGCGAGATTTCTCGATGGAAGAAGATGGCCGCGCTAACTGGGTCCATGGTGCTGAGGGCGATCCTATCATATCTTCCCCGGAGATCGGCTAGCAGTTCCTTTGCTGTGTCATGCTCGTGGAGCCTGTGGATGGAGAGCCTCATCTTGACCGGGTTGTTGATATCGTTGGGGTTGACAGTGATCCAGATGGCAGGCATACCTGTCCAAATGTTAACTGCTTGTATCTTCCTCCGCATTAGGAGTCGAGTTTCGTTAGACAGCGGTTGTGCGTGGCCAAAGATGGACAATTCGCGGAGTAAGAACGATATGTCCGGATCTGTCGTGGTCCTTGTCTCTCGCATCTCCTCCACGGCTCTTTTTAGGCGGTCCGCTTTCAGCCGTCCATAGACTTGCTCTAGTCTATGGAAGGAGCCCCTTGCCATACGGACCATGCTGATACGGCGGTTTGTGGATCGGAGAAGGATGTTGAAGACCAGGAAACAAAAGACCGGATGCGTAGCAAATCGACCCCCGTGCCGTTGCAGCACATATTTAGCCCAATAATTGAGCGAGTGATTCGCACTGCGCTGCACAGGCTGCGAAGGATGAGGTCTGTTGCCATCTTGCTCCCTCAGCGCCTTAGGGCCGCCACTCCCCCACGGAAAAGTTTCGGAAAGGTCCGCGGAAAGAAGTCCTCGTGCAGATTGTCCGCAAAATCCGCACCACGCTCGACCCTAATGAACGGTTGGTCTCCTGCTGTGTAGACCATCATGGCGGAGGGTTCGGCATCATCGCCGCGCCTAATCTGGCTCGTCTGGTAGGCTTCGGCTAGGAAAGACAGCTTGTCAACTTCAGCAAAAGCGGCCGGCCCGTCCAAAGGAAACACGCCGGAGGTTGAAGTTTCATATAGAATATCACCGCCTTGGTCGGCACTCTCCGGATTAGGAGCAGACATATGGAGATCCCGAGGAAATGCGTAGGGCTGTTCTGCCGCTGTATTGCTACCTGACGGGCAGGTATCGTTGCTAGGGTCTGCCCGTAGCGAGGTGAGGAGCTCTTCAATGCTTGTGAAGCCGTTCTCTTCCAAACCCCGATCAATATTCGGGACGACGGGATCTGTATGCGTCCTTTCCACGGCCGAGAGATCCTCTCTCTGCATCCGTTCCATGAGAACGGCGGGAACTACTGAGCCCTCCGCGTACTTCCAGCCCCGTATCTCATCGAGGTTGATTTTGACGTCCTTATACAGGGGATTGTTCCTCTGAAGCCATAAAAGGGCGGCTATTACGCGGGACTTGCGCACCCGAAGGAGAGTTCCCACGTCCGCCGGGCTGGGTCTGTTGGCGCCGCTCCAAGATACATGGATGTTCTCGACTGTCTGAAGGAGCGGGTGGGGGAGCACCGTGGCAACCAGGTCGTTCGTATTGTTCAGAAACACGACAATGTGTCCCTTCACGTGTTTCCGGTAACCAACACCGGACGGCGTCTTGTTATCAACTGTAAACTTTGTAATATAGCCGAAGGGGCTTGAGAGCAATCAGTCTCTCCTCAAGAGGAGAGAGACCGTCGAGTTCTTTAGGATAACGATGCTCACATCCGATATCCATATTGTTGACCGAGCAGGCCTTTGGCAGCTTCCCACGTTCGAAACCAGCGCGGCACTCCAGGCAAATATCGACTTGAGGGTCAGCATCCGATGGGAGGCACTTCTCGCATTTCTGGAGAGCCGTCGTGGCCTGCACCAACCAGGGGTTAAGCACTCTCCATTGGAGGATGGTGAGCCTCGCAGGCGGGAATTTTCTGTAGCAAAAGATGCAGTGGGAAATGGGTAGCGTTCTCTCGTCTGTGAAGGCCTCATAGAATGACTTTGAGGTCTCGACCTGAAGAGCGAGGGGTACTTCTTTGCACCAGGATCTTCCTACCGATGCATCTTTCTGAGCACCGAAGCAAGACTCTCGGTGTTGTAGAATCGCGTCAACAGACCGTTGCTGGAATTGGACAGCCTCATGCGGTAGCCTCGGTCTTTTCCGGGCCGGCCTTGACCCGAGGGTGGTGGAGTCACTGGAGTCAGAAGTCCTTCTTGTCGTTCGCCACGGCGCTTGCGGGAAGGCGGCGTCTGGGAGGACGCAAGGTCATTTCCGGGTATTTGGCCTTCGTACCGGCTCGGTATCGCTCGCCCTCGGCCGGGCCCGGCCTCGGCGCGCTGTCGCTCCAGATCGTCTAGTGTACCGACGATTTCCTCAAGGGTACTATGGCTTTCCCATTTCGGGCTGCAGCGCCGTGGCTTCCTGCTGGGGAACTCCTTGTCCCCGGCGGGCTCTCTTCGGCTCGCTGGCGATCCAGGCCATGCAACGTACGGCGAATTTCGTCGAGCGAAATTCGAGCGGGCTCCTGCTGGGGCTCGCGGAGTGCCTGTAGAGTCGCCTCGTCGAAAAGCACTCTAACTGGCTCATCTCGAGGCCCCCTTCTGGCACGGTATCGCGCGGGTTGGCGTTCCTGATCTTCCATCGAGCGAACCTCTTCAAGCGAAATCTTGACACCCCCCGCTAGAGGGACGGAGTGAAGAAAAGAATAACCAAATAAAAGGATACCATGCTTAACCGATCGGGGTTGAACGGAAGAAATACACCGTTTTATCATCGAACGAATGGCCAGGAAGGAGCAACGGAGGCACGGGGGTCAATGCACAGCTGTAACTTGGTCGGTGGAGTAAGAGCTTTACGGAGCTGGCAACCTCGCAAAGCGTGCCCGGAGACGCTTCGAGATCGGAAGGTCGGGTACCCGGCTTGACAGATGGCATACCAACCGCGGCGTTTGGTCTGGGATCACGTCTCGTGAGGTAAGAGGTCCAGCTGACTTTCGTAGGGCTGAGCCGAATAGGATCAAAAGCAATATAGACAGGGACCGATGCGGGCAATGACATCGTGACGCCCGTTTCAGGGTCACGCAACTGATCAATGCCGTCGTTGTCGGACCCTGGAGCCAGGGGCCCTGTCTGGCCCTCTCACGTGCTGTTAAGTGAGGCTGGGAACGATCTAGGAGACAAACAAGTAGAGCATCACTTGTTACCGCTGCCGTCCTAGCTCATCACATGAGTACCAATTAGTACTCATGACCAAGAGCTGTGCGGCGAGGGATCTTCTCGCATCATCAGGATGCATTCTGTAAATGTTGTCTTGTCAGGCCTGATGAGGGTCATTTGCGTATAAGAATATGGTGAGACCTCCTTACAAGAGGGCCAGAGACGTTTTTGACATACCCCGTTTCCTCATCGCCATAAGTACCCGCCAGGTCAACTTCTACCCAGAATTCCTCAAGGGCTAGAATCCAGCAGCAGACAATCAATGGCTCGTTCGTCGGCATCGGGACCAGGGCTAGGGCAGCCAGCTCTGAACCCCCTAGGAGTACAATTCTTCTCGAGCCTCGAGGGGCTGGAGATAGCCTCATCTACCGACCGGCAGCTCATCCGAGGGCACAACTTGGTCGGTGCGGTCCGACTACAGTTCGTCAGGCCGAGTTTCTTCGACGACGGGGCTGGGGAGCATGGAGAACTCCTCGATGAGATTGATGGAGTCGATGTGCCGCTATCCATGCACGTGTATCCCTTCCCCCAAATGGATGAGTGGGAGAGCCAGTGGTTCTTCTTCGACGCCCAGCTCCATCCGTATCAGCTGCATTTCCGCCGCAGAGTCGAAGATGGAGACGAGTCAGCTGTCGGGATGTGGGAAGACTCGTACGCAAAGTTAGCCCAGGTCCGTGGACATATGTGTGTTCAACCGTATGTTGAAGCCCTGCGTGCAAGCATCACTCCGACAGAACCCCAACCCCACAAGCCTGGGGAGAACTGACCAGCCCTGCCTCTAGGATCGCGATGAGGCCTCTGAGGCTTGCGAATGGCAGTTTCCCAACCATGGCACCGCGTGCTAGCCTCCACGGACCCATCGACACGACAACATTCCGTTTCAAGGCCGGATCGCTGAGCATTAACCAGCTAAAGTGCTGTGGCTTCGTCCGGTGTAGCACATATCTCGTACCGCCCCTTGGCAGAGACCCGACATTTAAAGGCGGCCAGATGTTCCACATCCTAGTGTACTTGCCACACGATCAGCAGCCTTGGAAAAGCCGTATTGATTGGATGAAGAGCGCACCCGAAGGCGGCTTCGCAGCCAGAAAATGGATGTATGGGAGAGGCAGCATCGTCGGTGTGCTGAACCCTGCGCTGCTAGAGGAGGAGCTCCAGCCTGGTCAAGATATCCTAGTAGTGCTCGCGGATGAGTTCGGCTTCATATCGAACGCTACGTTCGACAGTGCTGTAACGATGAGGAAACAGTCTTCCACAGAACGCAAAGGCCGAACCGGGGAAACGACGAAACCCTTTCAGCAGCAGCCCGGTTGCTTCGCCATCTAAACGCACCAAGGATTCTTCGTCAAGTAGTCGGGCGAATGATGGCATGTTAGAGGCCGTGGACGGCCAATACATCCCTATCGACCCGTGCCTTGCGCAGGAATCCGCAGATCACGAGACGGGAGCAATATTTCTAGCAGGTTAGCATTCGATGCAACACCGGGAAAGGCTTTACAGAGCAGAACTGAGCAAAAGACTGATGCAGAAATGGAGATTAACAGAGTCCCAGATAGAGAAACGAGGTGCATCTGTTCTGTCAGCCGGATGTGAAGTGCAACTATTGAAGCTCCCTCCAGAAGGCACCACTTACCCTTCTTTTAAAGAAATGAGACGAGAGCTCTTCGAATTTGCCAAGTCGCAAGGCTACGGTATTCGTATTTGTCGATCTTTCCAAAAATGCTCGAAAGTCACAGGAGGCCCAGTTGCGAAGAAGAGGCTTGTTTGGGAATGTAACCGCGCAGGGAGGACAGGGGAGGAAAGAAAGACGGGTTGTCCTTTTTCGTTCAATGCCGTGGAGATTCAGATGGGCACCAACAGATGGGAAATAAGACACAAGGAAAAGGCAAGTCAACATGTCCATAATCATGGACCAAGCGATGGATCTGTTGCACACCCTAAGGGAGGAGAGCGGATGGTGCAAAGCGAAAACGGGTCAACAATGCAATTACGGCAGAATGCTGGCTCACCACATCGCACACCGGGATGAGAATCCCAGCTGAGCAAAGAGAGGTGGCAGCATGGATGGATGCGCGAAATTTAACTTGCCCCGTTCAGGCATACCTAGATGATGAGTTCCTTTACAATGGTAATGGCCCCGGAGGTCGGGGGCAGCCATGTAAGGCTCGGATGTCTTGCCGAGCTTAAGTTCTCCATAGTTTGGGGAAGGCCCTTCAAGGACTCCTCAAAGGCACAGTAGATATGACATGCAGCATTGCGCTGTTCAGATTGGATCGTAGAGAGTGCCTAGTTGTGTAGTATGGTATCGTCCGGCATGCAGGCTGCAAATGATGATGAACGATTGGGAGTGCCCCGTGGCTTTAGCCCTCGGCGACCTTCTGGTCCGACCCCAGCCCGATACAGGAGACCGGCCCCTTTCAGGGCCCGCCAATGCCTTGAGGAACGGGACGAGAGTTGGCATAGCCGAGCGCGAGCATTCGGGTTGGTTTTTAAACGTAGACAAGTCTGTTGGAGAAGAGAGGGGTAGTGCGGCTGCTTGGACCCGCTACAGCACCTTACCTGTTTAAGCCTACCCCTCATCTCCACCCTGCGGCACAAATAAGCTTCAAATTGATTCAGCCTCTTCACACAAGCAACCTGCAACGATTTGGTCATCGGAATTAGGTCATCATGGCCCTTGAGTGCAATAGCTGCAAGAAGTCGCCGCCTGAAGTCGCCCTCAAGAGGTGCGCGAAATGTTCCACAACGCCGTACTGCTCCAGGGATTGCCAGAAGGCAGACTCGAAGGCCCACAAGAAGGTTTGCAGCAAACAACAGGCCGACGCCACGACGTCGTTTCAAGATGGGTCTACGACGACAAATTTGTCGCCTCCGAAGGGGTTGGAACACGGCGTCGCCCACCCCTTCACACGTCTTGAATTCACGCGTCTTGAAAATCGCACTTGGCTCCATGATCGATCGGAAAGAGATGTCTACGGGTTGCTGATCGACGCTTACCGGCTGCGCGTTGAGGACATGTACAACATTGAAGGCGAAGCAGACACGGATAGCATATATGGTGGTGCCGCCAATGGGCTGCGTGGCTTCAAGCGCTTCCTGGGGCGCGTCGAGCGTTGTCCCGGTTTACTGCCGCCGTGGTGGGATGCAAAGAAGAAGAAAGAGTGTGAGACACTCGGCATGACCCCGTCGCAATGGCACGACCTACGATGCGCGGTGGAAAAGAGCGACATCATCGAGCAATATGGGGATTCACGATTCCCGATGCAGCTTCGGATGTTTGCTGAGTCCGTGTATGGTCGAGCTCCGGGCGGGACAAGTGGGACGGCGATGAGGCAAATGATGGTTGCGATGGAGCAGGGTAAAGCAGAGGATGGAGTCGCATATGGACAGGTCAGCAGCCATGCTTGGTCGGCGGTGAAGGGATAGGCTTAGTTGGTCGACAGCACCGCAGATCGAGTAGAAGCTGGCCGATCGTGGTGTGCTTTGAGAAGATTGTTTCTCCATCTGCAAATCATCCTAGGTCAACAGGGCCGAACCTCGACAACCAGATTGCTACGTATCTCAGTATTGAAGCCAACTCCGGTTTGCACCTCCAGAATGGCAGTCACAAGTTGGCACCGTCGTGGTCACGCGCAAGGACGGGAAGCCATTTTATCCGCAGCATCTTGAAGGTGTGTGGATGTTTTGCGACTATATCCTGGATCTGTTCGAGGAAGGAGACGGGCCGCCGGGATGGCTCTACAGCCGCCACGCGTTTGAGAAATGGTGGGTGAATTATTGTGAAAGCCAAAAGCACTTGCGCTCTGGGAAGGGAGGGGATCGAGATCCAGACGACTGGGGTGCGGTCCGGTCACCTTATGAAGTGTAGGACGTTTACCTGCCGCGTTACGACATGCAAAAGGTCAAACTATCGGGATGGTTAGTAATCTACCACTACTTTTCGAAACCTTGGTCCTCGTATAACCCTCTCGTTTCTGCGGCCAAGTTCTTGAATCTCTGCATTCCATCAATTATGGCCGGATCCAGCCCATTGCCAATGAAATCATGGTGTCTCACAGGACCAAGAAGCTTGATGCCCCGAAGCGAGATGCACCTGGACAGTTGCACATAGAGGCTCGTAAAATCGCACCTGGAGGGTTCACCATTGGTCACACGATTTCCACGCAGCTCCAACAGTACTTCCACGAACGTTTTACCCTGGGCTTTGTAATCGGTGAGGACGAACCTCTTCGGGTGCGACAGTGGCTGGGTGTTCTCGCGACATGGTGCTGCGAACGAGAGCTGGGAGGACGTGGGAGGGGAATGGTCTGTTACCGGCGCCCAGCCAGAATCCGGCGTTGGAAGATCAGAGGGCTTACGGAGTGCTTAGGTCATGATCAAGACCTTTGGTCCGGCTGGTAGGAGATGGCGGTCACGAAGTGAGGGGCCAGTATCCATGTCTCTCGCAGGATTGGACGGTTCTCGCCGGACGGTCCTTCCGATGTGGCCCGTGGGCAGGGGCCCTATCCCGCCGACCGGCCGGAGCATGGTCGGAGCGGATAGGCGGCCCGGGTAGATAGAGGGGCCGGAACGGTCCCGCTGGCAGGAGATGGCGGTCACGACGGGAGGAGCCAGGCGGCCCGGGAAGAGAGGGGCCGGAGCGGGCGGCCCGGGGAGAGAAGAAGTGGTGGCTTGGCCAGGGTCAGGGCAGGTGGCGGTGAAGAGTGGCTGGGAAGTGCACGGGGCAGCAAGCGGTCCGTGTTTACGGAGGGGGCGGAAGAAGGATCCTTTCGTCTCTTCGTTCCTCAAGGCATATGTGTGAGGCCGCCTGTAACCCGGGCACACAGAAGGAAGAGGCTCCTGCCCCGTCGATGAAGTTTGGCCAGCTGTGTGGCTTGTGGCTGGTGCGTGAGGCGCAGCCAGCACGGATCGTTGAGTGGCCCGAGCTTCGTCAAGGACGGGGCGGAAGACAGGAGACCGGTCCCTACGGGCCCGCCATCAAACCTTCGGAACGGCCCTTTCAGTTTGTGAGTTTGATGGAGGTCTGCAGTTGCTTTCGAAGTGTCGCAGGAATCGCGGTTGTGGCTGGTGGGGCACGGACCCACCGCATGTCTCGAAGATCGGCGCATCTAGCGCACGGACCAATCGACCAATCAATGAATTCAGCTCCGGTACCCAGCTTATCGTGGTGATTCGTCAATTTCAACCGCCCATTGGTAATGTTGAGATGAATGGCCTTGAGAAGTACGAAGAAACTAGGCAGTAGGCACCACGGTTTTCCTGCAGGGTGTCCATCCATCGATCCATGGACACGGATAATGTGGCGCCAATTCCGAGCTGGCATTTGACAGGACGGCAGGGGGGGCCATGTATCACAATCCCGGGCCCTCGTAAACCCGTTTGGTCTCCGAGGCCAGGTTCTCAAGCCTCTGCATTGCATCTACCATTTTCTGATCCAGTTTGTTGCCAATGAAGTCCTGGGGCCGCACAGGGCTGAGAAGCTTAATGCCTCGAAGAGTCGTACCCCTGGACAACTGAACGTAGAGACTGGTAAAATCGCACTTGGAGGGTTCGCCATTGGTCACGCGATTCCCCCGCAGCTCCAAGAGTACGTCGGCAAAGGTTTTTGACTGAGATTTATAATCGGTGAGAACAAAGGCCGGAACAACCGGCAGACCTCGTCGGGTGCATTTCGTCGACAAGAACTTGAAGCGGGAATCAGCTGGTTCGAGAATGTGCGAGATAGGGCGGACGAGCACCATCTCCGCCGGCAGGACGGGGACTGCCAAGCTCGCCGTGTCGCTTGACTGTAATAGGATGCCTAGCGGCGGACCGAAGTGTATGGTGACGTCGTCCGCAAGACGGTATCCTGGGTGTTTCGGATCGGGGATGATGTCTGCCGCGGTGAACTCTGCTCCATTGACAACTTTCAAGCCAGTGTATAAATTCTTGTTGACAACAACAGGCATCCCCTGGGCATAGAAGAAAATGCCTGGAATCTTGCATTTGGAGTCATCCCCTTGCTCGACCGCCTGTGCGATCTCATATTGGGACTGGCCCGCTCTTCTCCAGGTGTGGGTTGACACGAAGACGGAGATGTGCCTCTCATTGAAGCGCGCCCAGTCGACAACGGCTTCCATATTGAGGCTCCATCGGTTGCGGTTGAGAGGTGTTATGGCGCGCAAGCCGTTACTGAAGGTAATATCGGAGCGGTCGATCAGCTTTGTATTCAGCAGGTCCAGATCTTGCCACGTCTGAGTACTGTGTCGCACTCGGTCCAGAAGAGCGCCTAGCTCAGGGTCGTCGCGTGCGCGGACCTGTTCTTCGAGAAGAACCACGGTCTTGAACATGAGCCACAGACGGAATCCGCGGTGGTGGGAAATGGTGGCTTGGTTCAGACGGGCGGAGAGGGGATCCGCCATTCGGTCCACTAGGAGGCTCGTCTCACGTACTGGGGCGAACTGATAAAAGTCACCCATCAACAGAACAACAGGAATACCGCCAAAGGGCCTGTCTGGGCAGTCGCGGAGCGACTGGAGACGACAGCTGGCCTCGTAAAGAGTAGCGCCTCCAAGCATGCTAACCTCGTCGATCACAAGGACCAGCTTCTGCTTCCACACCCACTTCTTGGCCTCGGAGAAAAGGGGGATTCGTTTGTCGGCGGAGCGGCGGGTATCCAGCCCACAGGCGGAATGCAAGGTCGTGCCACCGATCTGTGCCGCTGCGCTCCCCGAGGTTCCCGTGATCTGGAGAAGATGTGGCTGTCCCCTTGCGGAAAAGACCCATTTCAGGGCCTCGACGACTCTGGATTTGCCCGTGCCGCCCGGGCCTCCTGTGTACTGGAGATGCTGACACGCCGAATCGGGATCCGCGGAGTACGTGTCCAAGAACCTGCACACCAGTTGAAGGGCCCTTGTCTGCAGAGGGTTGAGGGTATAGTCTGAGACGGCCAGGTGGCCTAATTCCGTGAAGCTAGTTGCCATGTTTACATCAACAAGCATTCGAGGACCACGTGTGGCTGTGCCTTGACTCCGATGCGGCAGCGGAAGCTCAGCATCATAGTGGCGGGCAAGCAGATCGTCTATATCGGCGTTAGGCGCGCGATGAGGGCCACCCTGTGGACCAGTCTCAATCTCGTCCAGCATCTGGAGATGGAGTAGCTCCTGGGCCTTCGCGGCGGCCTGGACATCCTCTACGGAAAGAGTCTGAGACTGGCACAAGGGAGCGTCCTGAGCGCGGCGGATTTGCTGATAGAAGCCCTCGGGACATTGCATAAATGGCTTATCCTCCGATGCCAAAGTCTCTTCACGCAGATCCCGGATGAAATTCGCCAAGACTGGAGAGCCTCTCGTGGCATCGGAATCTCTCACGGCATTGTACAGAGTATGGAGCAAAGCCGCGAAATTCTGATGATGCTCAGCGACTGTTGCACGCTCTTCGCCGTCGTCGTCCTCATCAAGAGGAAAGTCTATGTCGACGGTGTCGTCGCCTTCTGATCGGCTGGCCCAGAGCTTTGCGTCTTTGCGCGCGTCCTCGGCGGACTTGCTCAGGAGAGAGATGTTCGAGACGTGAAAACGCAGCCTGCGACAGAGGGAGGCTTCGTACCCGAGCCATATATCGGTGATATCGCCCTGCGTGGTGGGAAGGAAGCGCTCCCAAGGCACGAATAGGGCCAGATGGAGAACAGAGTTTCTGCTCGGCATGTGAGAGAGGGGCATCGGATTCACCAGTGCGGACGAGCAGCGTACCGTCTGAAGTATACCGGGTGCTCGTCCCGGTGGTCGTCGCTGATGAAACCTTGGAAGATCGGCACGGCGTACTCGTGAGGTCGGCGGAGCTTCTGAAACCACTCACGGCAGCCTGGAGAAGGCCCCTCGAGGGAGATGTGGCTCTCGTCCTCGCCCCGGCCACGGTTACGGACCAGGGTGACCATGGACATGTAGTCGTACAGGCAAATATTTCTCAGCACATGGCCTCTGCAGGCGTAAGCATCCAAGCACAACAGGGTCCGCCCGCCCTCCCTGAGCTGCACAGTCTCTGGTGGCTCCTCCCCCTCCGTTTCCTCGCCAGCCTGGCGGCGGAGGTGTTTCCATCTCCGAAAGGCCGACCAATACAGCGCGGTCAGGTTCAGGAAGGACCAGTGCGGGACGTTGGTGAAGTCCGTCTGGTAGCCGAGCATGTGGTAACATACCTCCACGGCCGAGAGCTGTCTCTCGGAAAATATCCGATTCGCCACCCTCATCAGAAACTGACGGCTCTGGTTCAGCACTGCAGGTTGGGTGCCCCGGTCGGCTGGCGCGGATGCGTCACGCCTCGACACGGCATCTTCGCGAAGCTGTCGGAAGACGTCGGCCGCGTGGGCGATTCGTCTCCACATGGGCGTGTCCAGCTTTGTGGCATAGTTGGTGATGTAAAACACCATGGCCAGGCCCTTGGTCCTCGTCAAGATCATGGATACGTCGTGGTTGTGGCGGAGGCCAACCGCCATCGCTTTGTTGTACCGGTTGACGAGCGGATGGTTGCGACGGATGGCGAGCAGGCCGTCGTCAGTCAGCCCCGTCGCATCGACAATCTTCCAGGGTGCTCTGAACCGGCAAGCCGCTCGCCTGCACCTGTCCGCGTCGTGGTCGGCGAGGCCCTTCAGAGAATACTTGATGCAGGTGTAGGTGTGGGAATGGACCTGGCAGCAGTGCGCGATGAAGTTGGCCTCGGCGTCAAAGGCCGCAGACAGGGCCTCGGTGTCGTTCATCATCTCCTCGACGGGGTGGATCGGCTTCCGCTGCTGGCGAACGGCCTTTCCGGCGTCCTCATCCAAGCACTCATGGAAGACCGAGTCCACGTAGCGCACCACTCGGGCACGGTACTCGTGCTCTCGAGGGTCGGCGATGTCGTCGATGAGCGACGGCAGCTCCATGTTGCCGTGCAACCACAGGAGTCCGTGCAGGTGCAGGCTGCCACGATCGTTCGTCTCCACCGTTGCATAATAGTGGCTCACCTTCCCGAAGATCGACTCTTGGCCTGTTCGGACGTATTTTTCGAAGAAGAGAGATATTTCTCTATGGAAGAAGATGGCAGAGCTGACCGGGTCCATGATACTGAGGGCAATCCTGTCGTATTTCCCTCGGAGATCCGCCAATAGGTCCTTCGCCGCGTGATAGTCGTGGAGCCTGTGGATGGAGAGCCGCATCTTGACCGGGTTGTTGATGTCGTTGGGGTTGATGGAGAACCAAATTGCGGGTGTGCCGGTCCAGATGTCAATTGCTTGTATCTTCCTGCGCATGAGCAGTCGCGTTTCGTTGGAGAGCGGCTGCGCATGGCCGAAGATGGACAACTCCCGGAGCAGGAACGCCACGTCGGGGTCCGTCGTCTTCCTTGTTTCTCGCATCTCGTCCTCGGCCTTCTTCAGTCGGTCCGCTGTCAGGGTTTCGTAAACTCGTTCAACCCTCTCGAAAGAGCCCTTTGTCGTGCGCATCATGCTGATGCGGCGGTTAGAAGAGCGGAGGAGGATGTTGAAGACGAGAAAACAAAAGACGGGGTGGCTGGCAAACCGTCCCCCATGTCGCTGCAGCACGTATCTGGCCCAGTAACTGAGCGAGTGGTTCAGGTTCACATGGAGCCCGGCGGCCGCCGGAGCCTGCTGCTGCTGGAGGTCCGACGCGTGCAGCGCCTTCGGGCCACCTCTGCCCCAGGGGAAAAGCTTCGGGAAGGTGCGCGGGAAGAAGTCCTCGTGCAGGCTGTCCGCAAAGTCTGCACCTCGTTCCACCAGGATGAACGGCTGCGCTCCCGTGCCCTGGACGTGCATCGCGCACGGCTCAGCCTCGTCGGCACCTCGAGCCCGGATCGTCCGGATGGCGCCGGCTAGAAATGAAAGCTTATCAGCCTCTTCGAAAGCCACTGGCCCGTCAAGAGGAAACATCCCGGACGATGTCGTTTCTAGGATAATGTCACCATCACTGCCGGCACCCTCCGGTCCTGGGGTGGAGGTACGGGCGTCACCCGACAAGCGCGGGTCCTGTTCGTTCGGCAGAGTACCCTCGGCAAGGCTGGAGTCGTGACCGGACTGAGCTTGCGCCGACGCAACAATCTCTTCAATGCTCGTGAACCGGTTCTCCTCCAAACCTCGATCGGTATCTGGGACTATATGGTCTGTCTGCGTCCTCTCGGCAACGGACGGCTCGTCCCACTGCATGCTGTCCATGATGAGGATAGGGACATTGGAGCCGTCTGCGTACTCCCAGCCATCTATCTCGCCATGATCGATCGCGATGTGCTCGTAGAGCGGATTGTTCTTCTGGAGCCACGACAGGGCGTCCCTCACGCGGGACTTGCGCACTTGGAGAAGGTGGCCAACGTCGGCAGCGCCAGGTTTGCTGGAGCCACTCCAAGAGACGTGGATGTTCTCGATGGTTTCCAAAAGAGGGTGAGGGAGGACTGTGGCAACGAGGTCCTCCACCTTGTTCGGAAAGACCACGATATGGCCCTTGACGTGCTTCCGGTAGCTGAGGCCTGACGGGGTCTTGTTGTCGACGATGAACTTCGTGATGTAGCCGAATGAGGCCTGCAGAGCAATCAGCCTTTCCTCAACGGGAGAGAGGCCGTCAAGTGCTTCGGGATACCGGTGCTCGCATCCAATGTGCATATTGTTGACGGCACAGGTCTTCGGCAGCTTCCCCTTCTTCAAAGCAGCGGAGCATTCGTGGCAAACTATAGCTTCAGCGTCGTCGCCAGCGGGGAAACAGTCCGTGCACTCCTGGAGCGCCGTCGTGGCCTGCAGCAACGGGGCGGACAGGCGCGTCCTCCAGCGGATCGTGGTGAGCTCGGACGGGGGTTGCTTCCTGTAGCAAAAGCTGCAGTGCGAAATCGGCAACGTCCTTTCGTCGGCGAATGCCTGGTGGAAGGACTTCGCAGTCTCCACCTGGAGGGCCAGTGGGACCTCTTTACACCAAGATCTTGTTAGCGATTCCTTCTCTTTGTCGCGAAAACGAGATTCATGGTGTTCAAGAATGGTCTTGAGGGACTCTCGTTGGAGCCGGGCGTTGTCGTGCGACGGCCTCGTTCTTTTCCGGGGTCGGTCCGGCCTCGTGGGTGGCGGAGTCGGAAGTCCTTCCGTTTGTGGGTCCCGGGCGCGTTTTCGAGGGGAGGGGGTGTGCGGAATCGGTCGTGCAGGCGGCGGAGGTCGATGCCTCGGGCAGTCTTCGGACGGGGAACCCTGTGGGTCACGGACCATTCCCTCGGGAATGACGAGTGGCAGCGTCGGCGGCGTCTCTTCGCGCTCGTCCGCATGCTCCTGCATTCGTAGCCTTGCGGCTCTTGCCCGTGAGCGTCCCTCGGCCTGTTCTTGCGTGATGGCGGCCATCGTGCGGGCGAGCTCATCTTCCGGAACGGTAACCCTATGCTGTCGAGGTGGGCGTCGTCGGTTGTTCCGACGTTCTAGGACTTCTAAAATACGTCGCCGTTCTAGGACTTCTAAAGTACGTCGCACCTCGTCAGGGGAAACTCTGACCGGCTCTCGGCGGGACATCGTCGAGGTAGTCGTGGAAAGATCTGCTGGTACCATGAATGCCCAGGCGAGGGCAGCCGAGAGATGATTTTTACGCAGGCCACATAGCCCACCATCGCACCGAGGCGGCCGTCGTCGAGAAGGCGGGGGTCTACTACAGTCATGGCGGCTTCCTCGCCGGCCCGGCAGCAGCAGAATTCACATCGGGGTGGCTACTTTCCGGAATTCCCTATTTTCCCTATACGGTTCGTCTGGTCCGTCTTGGGGGTGTGGTACGGAGATCTGGCGGGCTGTTCATCTGGCCGGTTGATAAAAGCAGGAGCGGTGAGGGGCAGCGGGGGGAGGACGTAAAAAAAAAAAGCAGGACGTAAACAAAAGCAAATCGGGGGAGTGAGACACCGACATCGAGACAAGAAGGGTGGCTTTCTGTGGCGGTGTCGAGGGGGCTTGCAAAGTCGGGCTCAGGGAGCGAACCGTGCGTCGCGGGGGGGGGTGGGAAGGAGGGGGCGGAAGGAAGAACCTTCGGAACCTTCCGTGCACACAGGAGACCGGCCCCTTTCAGGGTCCGCCAATGCCTTGAGGAACGGGACTGAATTTGGTTCCACACTGGCAGGTCTGCTGAGACGATGAGGCTTGCTCCCGGTAGTGTGGCTGCTTGGACGCCATTTTACCCCGCCACAACAAGGTGGGTTGAGGGCGGGCGGGGTAAGAACGCGGAGGTAACTTGTAAGGGGCCATCATCTCGAAGGGCAAAGGAGTCTGAACTGTTCGCGAATCATGCAGTAAAGTGTAACAGTTTGTTAAGAATCGACTCAATGCCTCCGATTGATTACTCAAAGTGGGACAACATCGACACCGATTCGGAGCCAGAGGCATCGCCCCAGCAAGCGCCAGCAGCAAAACCCACCCCGCCGCCCACGCATGCCTCCCCGCCGATGGGTACATCAGGTTTGAGGGAAACGCACAGCAAGTCGGGGCATGTCGAAGCTGTCATTGTCCGATGTGAGGCCGAGAAACGCAAGTTTCCCCTTTGGTCTGCCACTACAATCCCTGCGAATCATGTCGTGTTTTCGCAGTCGGTGCCGTCCGTCCCAGGGCTCATCGAGGTCCCGCTGGTCCTGGATCGGACGGGGACTCAGTCCGTCAACGAGGCAGACCTCGACAACCAGATTGCTACGTACCTCAATATTGATGCCAACTCCGGGTTTGCACCTCCAGACTGGCAGTCACAAGTTGGCACCGTCGTGGTCGCGCGTAAGGACAGGAAGCCATTTTATCCGCAGCATCTCGAAGGAGTGTGGATGTTCTGCGACCATATCCTGGACCTGTTCGGGGAAGGAGACGGGCCGCCGAGGTGGCTTTACAGCCGCCAGGCGTTCGAGGAATGGTGGGTAAATTATTGTGAGGAGCAAAAGCGCTTACGTCCTGGGAAGGGAGGGCGAGATCCGGACGACTGGCGTGCGGTCCGGTCACCTTATGAAGTGTAGGACGTCTACGTGCCGCGTTACGACGTGCGAAAGGTCAAACTATAAGGATGGTTAGTATACTAGCACTACTTTTCGAAACCTTGGTCCTTGTATAACCGTCTCGTTTCCGCGGCCAAGTTCTTGAGTCTCTGCATTCCATCAAGAATGGCCTGATCGAGCCCATTGCCAATGAAGTCATGGTGTCTCACGGGATTAAGAAGCTTGATGCCCCGAAGCGAGGTGCACCTGGATAGTTGCACATAGAGGCTCGTAAAATCGCACTTGGAGGGTTCACCATTGGTCACACGATTTCCACGCAGCTCCAACAGTACTTCGACGAATGTTTTACCCTGGGCTTTGTAATCAGTGAGAACGAACGCTGGTACAGCGGGCAGTCCACGTCGCGTGCATCTTGCGGATAAGAACTTGAAGTGAGAGTTAGTCGAATCAAGTGTATGCGACATGGGCCGGATAAGTACTGTCCCCACCGGGAGGGACGGTATCGCCAAGGTCTTCGTCTCCTCGGACTGCAGAAGAATGCCGAGCGGCGGCCCGAAGTGGATGGTCACGTCATCTGCCAAGCAGTATCCCGGGTGATTGGGATCGATTATCACGTCCACGGCAGTAAAGTCAGCCCCATTCACCACCTTCAGGCCAGTGTAGATGTTCTTGTTCACAACCACGGGCATGCCCTGGGCGTAGAAGAAGACGCCGGGGACTTTGCAGGCAGAGTCGTCGCCTTGTCCGATGGTTCGCGCTATGAGGTTTGGAGACAGCGTGCCGTTGCGCCAGGTGTGAGTCGAGACAAAGATACGGATGTGCTGCCTGTTGAAGCGCGCCCAGCCCACAACAGCTTCCATGTTGAGGGCCCACCGGGTGCGGTTCAGCGGCGTTATAGCGCGCAAACCATCGTGGAAGGTGATTTGCGAGCGTCCTACAATGTTGGCATTGAGCAAGCTCAGATCTTGCTGGGTCTGGCGCCCGTTACGAACTCGATCCAGGAGTGCACGGAGCTGGGGATCGTTGCGTGCGCGGACTTGGTCTTCGAGGAGCACCACGGTTTTGAACAGATGCCACAATCTGCAGCCGCTGTGGTGAGAGATGGTGGCTTGTCGCAAGGGGGTCTCTGTTCGGTCCGGCGGTCTGATGATCAGTAGGCTTGTCTCCCGCACGGGGGCGAACTGGTAGAAGTCTCCCATCAGTAGAACGACGGGCATCCCGCCAAACGGTTCGTCCGGACAGTCACGGAGTGCCTGCAGGTAATGACTGACGTTGTGCAGAGTGGCTCCTCCCAGCATACTGACCTCGTCAATCACGAGTACCAGCTTCTGTTTCCAGATCCACTTCTTCGCCTCCGAGAAGGGGGGAGGCGGTTTGTTTGGATCGCGATGGGAATCTAACCCACAGGCCGAGTGGATGGTCGTGCCGCCAATCTGGGCCGCCGAACTGCCCGACGTGCCGGTTATCTGCAGAAGATGCGGCTGGTTCCTCGCCGCGAACACGTCCTTCAGGGCATCGATAATCCTCGACTTTCCCGTGCCACCCGGCCCGCCGGTGTATTGAAGATGCTGACCCGCTGAGTCCGGATTGGCAGCATACTTGTCCAGAAACAGGCAAACGAGTTGAAGGGCCATGGTCTGTAGATAGTTCAGTGTAAAGCTGGCCGCGGCGGTGTGTCCCATCTCCGCGAAGCTAGTTGCCGGACTGACGTCGACAAGCATCCGAGGCCTCGTTCATTGAGGTCGCTGCCCGGGAGCCCAGCAGGGGACTCCGTATCGCCGTAGCGAGCTAGCGTATCGTCGATGTCGGCGCCATCCGCGGAAAGCATGGTCCCCTGGGAACCACCCTCAATGTCGTCTAGCATCCGAAGATGCAATAGTTGTTGGGCCTTGGCCGCTGCCTGGACATCGTCTCGAGATATGGGAGTTGACACAAGGCGTCACCTTGATCATGGGGCATATTCCGGTACAGATCCTCTTGACGTTGGACAAAGGTTGCTCTTCTCCAGCCGGGTTCTCTTCGCACAGATCGTGTATTAAACCTCCAAGGACGGGTGAGTCTTTTGTGGCGTCCGTGTCCCGCACGGCATTTCGCAAAATCTGGGTAGAGCTCTGTAGGCCTGACGATGAGCCATCGCTGGAGGCTCTTCTTCGTATCGGCCATCGTCAAGCGGGTACTCAACGTCAATTGTGTCGTCGCCCTCCGACCGACTGGCCCAGAGCTTCGCGTCCTTACGCGCGTCTTCGGCAGACTTTCTCAAAAGACAAATGTTAGAGAGGTAGAAACGGAGGCGGGGACAAAGGCCCGCTCGATGCGTCGTCCATATGTCGGTTATATCACCTAGGCTCTCAGAAATGAAGTCTTCCCAAGGGACGAATAACGCCAAATGTAGGACAGAGTTTCTACACAGAGTGTCAGACGGAGCCAAAACGGTGCCGGGGGTTAGAGCGTACCGCTTAATATAGACTGGGTGATCGTCCTCGTGGTCGTCGCTGATGTATCCTTGGAAGATCGGGACGGCGTACTGGTCTGGCCGTCGAAGCTTTTGCATCCAGCCGTCACAGTCGGAATCCTGCCCATCGAGAAAAATGTGAGAGTCGTCTTCACTCCGACCATTTCGACGCACCAAGTGAATCATTGACATGTAGTCATACAGGCATAAGTCTTGTAGAACATGACCGCGGTAGGCGTACGCCTCCAGGCATAATAGGGTTCGCCCTCCTTGCCTCAGAGGATTGTCTCTGGGGCTGTTCGGCGTCCGTGAGCTCGCCGGCCTGATGGCGGAGATGCGCCCATAGCCGAAAGATTGTCAGTATAGGGCCGTCAAGTTCAAGAAGGACCAATGCGGCACGTTGGTAAAGTCGGTGTCATATCCAAGGAGGTGGTAACAAACCTCGACAGCCGAGAGTTGTCGCTCGGAGAAGATGCGATTTGCCGTTCTCATCAGGAATTGACGGCTTTCGTTCAATACCGCCTGGTGCCTCTCGTCGGGCAAGGCGGGACCTGGCGCGCGAGACGTCGGACGACCGGCTTCGCGAAGTTGGCGGGCAACCTCGGTGGCGAGAGCAATGCGCTTCCACATTGGCGTATCCAGTTTGGTGGCGTAGTTCGTGATGTAGTACACCATGGCCAGGCCCTTGGTCTTGGTCAAGATCATCGAGACGTCGTGATTGTGGCGAAGGCCGACCGCCAACGACTTGTTATACCGGTTGACGAGTGGATGGTTGCGCCGAATCTGAAGCAAGCCATCCTCAGTGAATCCTGTCTGCTCGACGATCTTCCACGGTGCCTTGAAGCGGCAGGCTGTCCGTCTCTGTTGATCTGCCCCCCGGTCGATGACCCCCTTCAAAGAATACTTAAGGCAGGTGTATGTGTGGGAATGCGCGGCAACAGTATGCGATAAAATTGGATTCGTCTTCAAAAGCCGCAGTGAGAGCCGAGGTGCTGGTCATGACCTCCTCCACGGGATCGATGGGCTTCCTCTCCTGTCGCACGGCTTTTCCGGCATCTTCATCTAGACACTCATGAAAGACGGAGTCTATATATCGAATCACCTGGGCGCGATATGCTTCTTCCGCGGGATTGGCCATGTCGTCTATCAAGTTCGGTAAGCGCATGTTGCCGTCCAGCCAGAGGAGTCCATGCAAGTGGAGGCTGCCTCGCTCATTCGTTTCCACCGTGGCGTAGTAGTGGCTGATCTTCCCGAAGATCGATTCCCGGCCTGTATTCACATACTTTTCAAAGAATAGGGATATTTCTCGGTGGAAGAAGATGGCCGAGCTGACCGGATCCATGGTGCTCAGGGCGATCCTGTCGTACTTTTCACGGAGATCGGCCAAAAGCTCCTTCGCAGACTCATAATCGTGGAGCCTATGAATGGCAAGCTTCATCTTTACCGGGTTATTAATGTCGTTGGGACTGATGGTAATCCAGATTGCAGGCATACCGGCGCGGATGTCTAGAGCTTGTATCTTCCTCCGCATAAGTAAACGGGATTCGTTCGAGAGCGGCTGTGCATGGCCAAAGATCGACAGCTCGCGAAGCAAGAGCGATATGTCGGGGTCCGACGTAGTCCTCGTCTCCCGCATCTCCACTTCGGCCCTCTTCAGTCGGTCCTCGGTCAAGTTCGCATATGCTTGCTCAAGCCTGTGGAAGGAATCCTTAGCGACACGGACCATGCTGATGCGGCGGTTGGTGGAGCGAAGGAGGGTGTTGAATACTAAGAAACAAAACACAGGATGGGTGGCGAATCGGCCTCCATGCCGTTGCAATACGTATCTGGTCCAGTATTGAAGAGAGTGATTCGGACGACGGTCGGCAGCGTCGCTTTGTCGGCTACGACTCGAGTCGCCCTTCGATTTCGGGCCGCCCCTTCCCCACGGAAAAAGCTTGGGAAATGTTCGAGGGAAGAAATCTTCGTGCAGGTTGTCTGCAAAGTCCGCACCACGCTCTACTCGGATAAACGGCCGATCTCCCGTAGTTTGGACCTGCATAACGCATGGTATAGAGCGGCCACGTGGATCCGGATTGGCGTTGGCCATGCCCGCCACAAACGACAGCTTATCGGTATCCGCAAAGGCAGCCGGTCCATCAAGAGGAACATGGCGGATGCCGACGTCTCACATATGGTTTCAACTTCCTGGCCGATGGCAGCCGAGGCGGGGGCAAGAGTCGCCAGCTCACCAGGAGAGGTCGAGTCTGCTCAGTCGATAGAGTACAGTCCAAGTCGCGAGACTCGTCGACGAAGGTGCCATCGATCGAGCTCACAAGTTCATCGATGCTTCTGAAACTGTTTTCCTCCAAGCCTCGATCAGTGTCCGGGACTATGTGGTCAGTTTGAGTCCTCTCAACGGTCGACGGTTCCTCTCTCCGCATGCGGTCCATGATGACGGTCGGAACAGTGGAGCCGTCGGCATACCGCCAGCCATCCATCTCTGCCTGGTCGATTGCGATATTCTCGTAAAGTGGGTTGTTCCTTTGCAGCCACGCCAGGGCGGCCGCCACTCGAGATTTGCGCACCTGAAGCAGGTGTCTGACGTCTGCGGAGCCAGGCTTAGCCGAACCGCTCCAAGAGACGTGGATATTCTCAATGGTCTGCAGCAAGGGATGGGGAAGAACGGTGGTAACAAGATCGTCCACCTTGTTCGGAAAGACGACGATATGTCCTTTCACGTGCTTGCGGTAGCTGATTCCCGAACGGGTCTTGTTGTCGACCGTGAACTTGGTGATATAGCCAAAGGGCGCATGCAGGGCAATGAGTCTCTCCTCAACGGGAGAGAGGTCATCAAGCTCGCCAGGGTACCGATGTTCGCAACCGATGGCCATATTGTTGACCGAGCAGGCTTTGGGCAGCCGTCCACCGTCGAAGCTGGCGCGACACTCGCGGCATACGTCAACTCCCGCGCGCTCGTGCGGCGGAAGGCAAGCGCCACACTTCTGGATGGTCCTGGTCGCCTGCAGCAGGGAGGGCGACAATCGACCCCTCCACTGCATGGTTGAGAGCTCGCAAGGTGGGGTCTTTCTATAGCAGAAGACGCAGTGAGAAATGGGCAACGTCCTCTCGTCCGTAAACGCCTGGTAGAACGATCTAGGAGCTGCTACCTGAAGGGCACGTGGAACTTCGTTGCACCAGGATCTTGTTGACGATGCCTGCTCTTTAGAGCGAAACGGGCGTCATGGTGATGTAGCGCAGACTCGACAGAGTCTCGCTGGAGTTGGACGGTTTCTTGCGTAGGCCCGGGCCTCGTGGGGAAGCGCCCGTCCGTGTGGGCGATGAAGGGCGAAGCGGTTGTTCCGCCCTGGATCGACTCGGTGATGGAGAGGCCGGCGTCTGCGTGTGTCTTTTGGAGGAGCGCGTTGGCTGCGTGGGGGGTGGAGTGGGAGGTGTCTCCTCTTCTCTGTGTCGTTTCGGCGATGGAGCGGGACGGGAACGGGCAGCAGGAACAGGAAGTTGGTGGGGAAAAAGAACAGGTGGCGGTGAAGAGTGGCTGGTGGGCACGGAGCGGCATGCGGTCCGTGCGTAGGGGGTAGAGGATGTGGAGGTGTGGCGAAGGACGCGGAAGAAAGAACCTTTCGTCTCTTCGTTCCTCAAGGCACCTTCGGAACCTTCCGTTCCTCAGGCAAAGACCCTTGAGTTCCTCAAGGCACCGGTACCCTACGACGCGCCATTGGGCCAGGTATCCTGCGGAGCCCCCTTGCTCTCGGCCGAGGCTGCAGCCAAACCTATCCCGTTCGACGGCAGTGAAGGACCGGCGGCCCTCCATGTCGGCTAGGCCGAATGTCCCGTGGAGCGTCCGAACTTCTCGTCTGCGGCGGCGAGGGCAGAGGCCGGATTTCTCTCGGTGCGCACCGGTTTTTCCCTGAGGCCGAGACGGCGCTGGACCCGCCCAGCGGCAGCCACTGCCCCGCCGCCCTCGGTGTCGACGGCAGCCAAGTTGCCGCCGCACTCGGTGTCGGCTGAGGCTGGATATCCCGCGGCGCGACTCGGCCTGCGCTGATCCTCCATTTCCCTAGTCCTGGCGGTCTTCCCCGCCCTCGCCTCGGAGGCGCCTCCCTTGACGCCTCTTCTTGCTCTCTCCGAGAGGCGCCGCGACCGAGTGCCGGCGCTGCTGTGATCGGCCGGATCTCTGGTCCTGTGTACGGCGCTGCTCGGGCTTCTGGCGCCGGGCTTGCCCTGTCACCCGCTCCGGACTGGACCCTCCCGTTAGCTGGCTTCATCGCGACACCGGTCTACCGAGGCCCCGCGGACCTCTTGTCTTCCTCGCTTGCGCTGCCCTCTTCGGCCCCGCCTACTTGCGGTGCTACTGGGCTCCCGGCGTAAATCCTCGTAAGTGTAATAACGGCGTATAAGTCCTTGCCTCGACCATTCATCCTGCACTTGTCTTGCTGACTGGCACCCCTCCTGTGCGTACAGGATCCTCTAGGAAAGTCTATATCTTACTCGTAGCTCTTTAATACGTCTACAGGCGTGCCGCTGCTCTTTACATTATACCGGCGCCGCCTTTCTATCGAGGCCGCCCGCTATTGCTCGCCGCTAAAGGCGGCGGGCTATACGTCCTCGGCCGGTCCTTACATGTAGGTCGCCAAGACAGCTTCTTCTTGCCTGTGCTTTGCATGGTACACTTTTCCGTCTTGTCATCTAGGTCTTGTCAGTCAAAGCCTCAATACGCCCCTAGACGCTCGCCTGCTGAATTTTGAACACATGTCTTACACGTGTTGCGAATAGGTCTGCCTCCTTCTCCTGGAACATGGCTTCGCGCGTCCTGCTTGTCTTAAAACCCTCTACATCTTACTAGACCGCCTTTCGAAGTTTCCTCTTCTCCTCTTGTCGCAATTTTTTCTATACGCATCTTATAGACCTCCTTTATATAGGCTCCTTATCTTAGCCTACCGCTAACGCTACGTTGCGTCTTCGTTTAGGATCCTTTGACTTCTCATATACACCACGGCCACTAGCCCTTGCCTACTACACTAAACTCTTAAGACGGCATATTGGTAGGGAGCACTCCTGCCCCTATTCCTCGCCGCTTCTAGCTTCGCTCCGGCAACGTTGCTCTTCCGCCACACGGCCTCGCCATGCCTTCGTCTCCGTCGGCGGACAGCTCTGCCCCGCACCTCCGCAAGCCCCTTGTCACTAGCAAAGGCGCGGGCGGCGACATGTCCATGATGTTCTTCGCCCAGCCCGACTGCCCCGCGAGGTTCGCCCATCAGGACGAGCACCGCATTAGGGGCCTTAACGCCGAGGCTATCGCCCGCGTCCTCCTGCCGGTGCCCTCGTGGCTGCTAGAGTCAGAGTACGCACCCCTCCGGGCCGGGAGCGACGACCTGGGGCCCTCTCTCTTTTTTAGCCTAAACCTCTCCATCTACGGCCAGCCAGTCGTTGATACGGACTGGTCCGAGCAGTGGTTCTTTATGAGCGGCCGCGTTTACCCCTATGCCCTCCCTGGGAGGTGGAGCGCCGCGACGGCCTCGAGGCCGGCCCGGACGATACTATTGTCTACACCGTGCCCGCCCTTATCGTCCCCGACCAAGGTTACCAGCCTTCCCCCCCCCCTCCCCTTTTTATTTTAATGCGCCTCCTCACCCACCGCCCCGCTGACCTTGCCCCTCAGCATCCTGCCGCGCTTCTTGGCCTCCGGCAGCCAGTTCCCGTCTACGCCTCCCGTTGTCTCCTTCCATGGCGTAGTAGCCGGGCCTGGCCTCGACCTCCTATGTCCAGACTTCCTGCCTGGTCTCGTGCCCGACCAGCTCCGCTGCTGCGGCTTCGTCCGGCTCACGACCTACATCGCCCCTGGCCTGCCGGACAGGATTCCCTTTAAGGGCTACCACCCCTTCGAGGTCTTTGTTATCTTTACCATCTACGTTAACCCTTGGGCCGTGCTATGCAAGAAAATCGCTGAAAAGCCTAACTCTTCCTTCCTACCTGGCGTCCCCTTTACCTGCACCGGAAAGGTCGTCGGCCTTCTCGACCACCGCGTTATGCTCTGTCCCCCGGGCTCAGAGCGCGATTACGTTTTTATCGTCGTCCCGGACAGCTGGACCTTTGTCGAGAGGCCCTCGGCGGCGGCCGCCGCCTCGGCTTCCCCCCTCGCGACGCCCCTTTGGCGCCAGACCCAATCCGCCTCATCTACCTTCGATTCCGTCCGCGCCGCCTTATACTCTGTTGCTGCGCCGGCCTCGACCGCGCCGCCCCCCCTTTCCTCGGCCCCGGCCCCGCAAACCCTCGACCCCGTCACGCCGCCGCCTAAGCGATCGCCCCCGGCCCTTGCCGATACGCCCATGAAGAGGGCGCGCTTCCTGCAGCAGCAGCATTCGCCGCTTTCCTCGTCTTCGAACACCGTCGGCTCCGCCGCCCCCTCCTCCTCTTCGCCGGCTGCTTTTCCGTCTCGACCGGACGGCGCCCCACCCGTTCCCGCTCCGACGGCCAGCCCGGATTCCCCTCTCAACTCTATCGCCGCGAGCACCTCCGACCCCCCCGCACGCCCTCTTCGCTATCGCATGCAGAAATAAGCTACCTACTATAGACCCATCACTCTCTCACGCCTCCTACCTTTACTAAAACGAACTGTTCTCCCTCCCGGGGTGCTGCTCCTAACGCAAATTGTCGCTGTAGAATTACTATTACTCTGCACATTACAGCGTTTGTCCCTTTTAAGGATAGCTTTAGCTTCCGAACCCGTTTCTTACGAAAGTGCCTGCCTCTAGACGTTCTCTGTGACCTCCTTTGTGTCCTGTGCGTTGCGCTTCGCCCCTTCTCTTTTCCTTGCCAGCTTGCCGCCGCACCTCTCGGCTGCATTTAGCGGCGACGGGGGGCCTGTAGTTGCGTCTCGGCAAAAGGCGTCTTTGTTGCGGAAGCCGACTCCGCTTCTCGTCTATCGGTCATTGCTCTACATGGAGGATACGGTTTTCCACTATATAATATTATATGCCGTTCCTTAGTTGTGCAAGCCATAGGGACGACGGTCGTTGAAGTCGGCGGGTTCTACTAAGGCCGTTGCGGCGTTTGAGGCTGGCCGTAAGCCCGCCTCTACGGCGTTGCTTGCTTCCTCTCGCTAGCTCCCTAGCTTGCCTTTGGCTTGCATCCCTTCTTGTGCACCTTCCAGTCCTCCTTTTGGTGTTGCCTGCTGCAGTACGCGACCGCCAGGCATCGGCTGCACCTCCTCGCCCCCGCGATCTCTCTACAAACCCGGCAGACCTTCCCCTCTGTGCTCAGGGCATCCTACCCTTGCATTTGCGTCGCGCGCCTTTGTTTCCGCCCGCCTGCCCCGCCTCCGCCATCGTGTCCTGCATTTCCTGCCTCGTCCTAATTTCGCATCCTTCTTTGCCGTAGAACGACGACACGACCACGAGCACAAACGGCCTCTCTGCGTGTAGGTACGATATCGGGCTCTGTAGAATGTCCTTTGCGAGTCCGCCGCAGCTCTCGCAGCGCACCCCTGCTGCCTTTCAACACGCTGCCTCGAGCTCCCGTAGGATCGGCCTTATCCACTGTAGGAACAGTGCACTGGCTGTGTGGTTCGGCCTCGCCTGGCCTACCTGCGTCACGAGCGTCTTCGGGATGCTATGCTTGTACTTGAGCTCCGTGGCCCCGAATTCGCACCAGAACTCCACGGAAACGTTGCAAGTGGCCATGCTATAGTTGTTTTCCCAACTGCTCGATCGGTAGCTACGGTAGACGCTTCTGCTTTTGTTCTCTTATTCGTGCCTTGGTGCTCCTCTTATGCCCCCTTCCTCTCGCTTACCCCGCAACCGTCATCACCACTTTACTTTTCTTGTTGCTTTTTCTGCCTCTTCCCCGCTGCGGGATGGTGCCCGAATGGCCGCTTTCTTTGCCTACCTTTTTTGCATATTTTAGTTCCTAGCGCTACCGCCTGCTTGCGTTCATTCTCTCGCCCTGTCTTTGTCTTGTTTGTTTCTCCAATCTTCAGCCTTTGTTCCTCAAGGCTCTTTGCGCAACCCATGAGGGGTTGCCTTACCCGTTACTCCTATACACGCCTGCATATTTTCTGCCGGCAGATTGAAAGCAGTGTATTGTAGCAGAAATTACTGCCGGCAGAATTACTAAGCACTCCCGTACATGTGGGAGCCAATAGAGGCGCGGGGGTCCGCGCCTTTAAAGTCGGCGCGGACGTCCGCGCCTGTTTTGTAAGCCCAGCCGGAAGATAGTCGGGCCCGCCTCCGGCCCCGACCTGTCCTCTCCTTTCTCTCGCCCTCCGTACTGTGGCAAGCATATCACGACCATATCCACGGAGGGTCAGCGCGCCGCCATTGCGGCCCAATTTATCCGCCGCCCCTTACGCAGAGTAGGCCAATATGGAGCTTACTGAATTCCCTGACGATTGCCTTCCTCCTGAGGTCAATTCGACTCGCGAGAGTCCCTTCTTGTCTCAATTAATGCGTGGGCAGCTCCAGAGGCTATGCCTTCACCACAGGCAAGTCCACGAGAGACCCGCGGTCCGGAAGACGCACAGTCACATTTGCCTGTGATCGTGGAGGTAGACCAGGGCTCATACAAGCAAGGACCAGAAGCCAGCTGAACGGCAACGGTCTACAAGCTCCCGTATCACTGGATGCCAGTTTTCCATCAATGCGAAAGAGAGCCTTGATAAGTCGTACTGGTATATCAGGCATCGCCCAGGCGAGGAGAAGTCGGTCCACAACCATGAGCCCAGTCTGCACATTACAGCACATCCAGCTCATCGTGCCTCTCCTCAACTGACCAGTCAGCTATTGGGAACCTCGCAAGCGCCGGCATAGCACCAAAGGATATCCGGACATATATGCGCCAGAGCTCTCAGACTGCTCAAGGAGCGACACAGCAAGACATATATAACTGTATCGCACAGCGCAGACGAGAGCTTCTTGCTGGGCAGAGCACAATGCATGCCCTTGCCAATGAGCTTGACAACGAGGGTTCCAAACCCGCATACAGCTTGACCATGACGGCCGAGTCACAGCGGTCTTATTCGCACACCGGCGTCACTAGAATACCTCAACGCATACCCAGAATTACTACTTCTAGACTGCACATACAAGACGAACAAATATAAGATGCCACTGCTCGATATGATCGGCGTTGATGCCTGCCAACGGTCATTCTGTATTGCCTTTGCCTTTCTCAGTGGTGAAGATGAAGATGACTACATCTGGGCACTGGACCAACTCAATCGATATACGAGTTATATGACATTCGCCAGCCATCCGTTATCCTTACAGATCGTTGCCTTGCCTGCATGAACGCAATTTCCCGGTGCTTTCCTGCGTCAAGGTCTCTGCTCTGCATCTGGCATGCGAACAAGGCGGTGCTTAGCTATTGCAAACCAGCATTCGACCGTGAGGATGAGAACTCTAACAGTGATGAGAAATGGGTTGAGTTCTTTGGGTATTGGCACTCAATCGTGAGCTCGAGAGATGAGGAGACATTCGATCAACAAGTTGAAGAGCTGGAGAAGCGCTTTGTACCACGATACGTCAAGGAGGTTAGCTACATACGGAAACCTGGTTGGACCCGTATAAGGAAAAGCTCGTCAAGGCCTGGGTTGATCAATATGCTCATTTCGGCAATGTGGCTACTTCCCGGGTGGAAGGCATCCACGCATTATTGAAGAGCCACCTTAAGAAGTCAACACTAGACCTCTTCGAAGCAACGAGGGCAATCAAGCAAGCTCTTCTCAACCAACTGGCCGAGCTACAAGCCAACCAAGCCAGGCAGCATATACGGATGCCAATTGAGCTCTCTGGAACCGTATATAGCACGGTACGTGGCTGGGTATCACACGAAGCCTTGCGACAGGTTGCAAAGCAACACAAGCGCCTCAACGAGAAAGACATCCCTGCTTGCACAGGCAGCTTCACCAAGTCTCACGGTCTCCCTTGTGCGCACACATTACAGCCGCTCATAGAGGAAGATCTGCCACTCCGGCCACAACATTTTCATACGCATTGGCGCCTTCGACGGGATACCAAAGAGATTGGTCAGGTCCTCATAGAGCCTCGTCGGCGATTGGACCAACTTGTCGCCACATCGAGGATAACACAGTCATCCACACAGCGCGAGCCAAGTGCATTTGAAGCCATAGAGCCAGTTCTACGGCCAAGGCGCCACCTACATGCAGCAAATGCCACCAGAAAGGGCACATCATGACATCTCGCAATTGTCCTTTACGCTATAGCGACATACTGCAGCGGGCAGAGGCACGGGCGGCAGAGACTGCAGAGACGGCAGCAATTGCAGCGACTGCACAGACTGCACAGACTGCACAAGCAGTAGCAATTTCAGAGACTGCACAGACTGCAGCAGTCATGGAGACAATCACGGTTGCAGTCACTACAGTCTCTACGGTGTCTACAATTGCTGCAGTCTCGACAGGAATTGCAGAAGCTACAGAGACTACGGAGAATCTACGATATGATGACCCACGAGCCATCTATCAGAGGTATGTCAGGGCAAGAGACTCTTGGTATAGAGCACAGCCTCGCGGCAATCTCAAGACCAACCAGGCATACCGAAGGCAATGGGCTTGCCATTGCGCTACAGCAAGACTGAATATGACTGGTGCCTCGACTGGAAGCAAATGTCTGAGCTGCGGCTCGAGGAAATGGACCAAGGAAGAGATGATGGCATACCTTGATTGGGATAAGGCAGAAGAAGAGCGGTTAGATGCCCGGGTGGCCGAGGAAATGCAAGCGCAGCCTTTCTCACGAGAAAGAGGTACTGCAGGTATATGGGCTGACTGCGAGAGAGACTCGGAGGAACAGCAGGCAAACTATTCCCGCATATAAGTCGTCTGCTAGGACCGGTCTGTATAAGTGCGCCACAGTTGGAAACCACAGCAATTCTAGATTAAAAAAAATTTGAGTCGATTGACACTCAAATTGACGCTGTAACCGTTGAGTACTTTTGCCGATGTGCGGGGAGATATGTGCAGTAAAACTGGCGCGCCAGCGCGGTCGCGGCGGGCGCTGTTCGCGGCGCCCACAATGGCCAGCCGGGCTTACATAACAGGCGCGGACGTCCGCGCCGACTTTAAAGGCGCGGACCCCCGCGCCTCTATTGGCTCCCCGTACATGTCTGGATATTTTCTGCCGGCAGAATTAAAGCGGTGTATAGTAGCAGGAATTACAGGTAAGGCAACCGCTCGTGGGTTGCGCAAAGAGCCCCGAGGGACGAAGCTGAAAGTTAGAATAATAAACGGCAGGCAGGCAGTAGCGTTAGAAACCAAAAGCATGCTAGAAGGCAAGTGAAGAAAGCGGCCATTTGCGTATTCTTTTCCATCGCAGACTTGCAGAGGGAATTAGGGGGGGAAAAGGCAAGAACGCAGCTAAAGCAGCCAGAGATTGCGGGTTAAGAGACGAGGAAGGGAATATAATGCTAGGCCACGGCGACGACAGCGCGACCCCGGTCCCGGCCGTCTTCGTCTTGTAGACGTCATCCCCGACCGGGCATTCCCCGGCCACCTGATCTCGGCGGAGCTCACGATGCACTTCGGGCCGCCGGCGGGCATCGTGCT